TTTAACACCATTATTTTAAGCATAAGGAGCTTTGATCTTGAGGGGAGAATTTGTAAATTATGAAGGATACGATTTAAGATCATTGTTCAAATCAAAAGGAAGTTACATTTTGGAAGATATAAAAAACTTCAACTAAAAGAAAAAAGAAGATTGTATTGTATAATGAAAATTATTGAATTAATTTATTTTCAGAATTTTGATGTTAATTCTCTATTTATTCCGTCTTTTATTTTTTTAGTGTTGTGTAAAAATTTATATTCATATTACCTTTTATTTTAATTTATAAAAAGGGTAGCCATTACTGTTTCTATTATTTATTAAATTTGAGCTTTTCATCCAGTCTATATTGAATAGTGAAACAATGCAATTTTATAAAATCATCTAATATATTATGTAAGGTTTATTTAATTTATAATTATTTATAAAAGGGATTGGTATATATAATTTAATAATAGTAAAAGATAAATTTAATAATAAAAATTATTAAAAAAAAATATGTCAAGAATTAAAAAATTAAAGTTAATACTAGAATTAATCTAAACGTTAGAACAATTAGATTGAATGATTTTCATATTGAAACGTACCAATGTTATTTAGATTATTATTCTTCAATTGATATTAAAGGTATTAGACATTATAAAAGACTGATAAGGTTATTTAAGAGTTAGAACTATATAATCATTATTACCTTCAAGAGGATTTTTACGAAATTAGTTAATATCTAAACCAAAAATAATATCCCTTACTCATCAACTGATTAAATTTAACAATTAAATTCATAAATTATCGTTAATTTATAATAAATAAAAAGCAAGTTCATGGTAAAAATTGAAGGAATATATGAATAAGAGTACAATATTAAATTTAAAAAAAAAAAAATTTTCCTCTTCTCTTTAAAATTGAATTAACCCCCTAAAATGAATTGGAAAATAAATTTGAAGAACTAACTAAATATATAAATAGTACAAAAGTAGTGATATTAATCATTGGTCATAAATGCTTGTGAATATTTACTTATATTATTAAATTTATACTCACTAATAAACAATTTGATAATTATATAAATTTAAGAATTAAGGTTTATAAAAATACTAAAAATTCAGGATAAAATGTTAAGTAATCCTTTCTGCAAATTTATGTTCCATGCAGTTTTAGTTTTTTTTTAGAGCACTGATTTATTGATAAAGTTTTTAGATAAGAAAATTAAAATTATTATAAAATTTAATTTTGAGATAAAAGGAACTCAGCCAATAACCACTCTCCTATCCATCAAGAGTAATAATGATTTTCCTCACTCTAAACTACACATAGGAACCATTTGGCTTGCAAAAAGGACTAAAAATCAAAAAATTTTTATGTAACAGATGAAAATGCAAAAATTTTTGTTTAAAAGATCTTTTTGTAAGCATTAGATTTTCATATATCTTCTACAACATCTAATGATATAAAAAAAAAATATTAGTTGTAGTATGAACAAAATTATTTTATTTTCTGCATTTTTAACTAATTGGGAAATTAATGGTTGATCTGATTTATTTATTGATTGTTATTTTATTAGAGATATTTTTTAATAATTAAAATCCTAAGTCTATCAATTATACCATATTACCAAGGGCATGAATACGAATGCATTCATAAAGTAATTAAATTGATGTACCATCCCTCCTCTGTAAGTCTTAGTGGCTATGATTTCATTTTATTAATATTCGAAAATTAATACCAAGAACGCAATCATGTTTCCAATCAGAACAAATTTAATCTTAAATGATAGACTTATGGGAGAAGTATAAAGTTAGCATTTTCTGGACTAACAAGTTGAGTTTATAAAAAATCATACTCACAATTTTAAAACTAAGTGTTGAAATATTACATATTAAAAATCCACATTATTGCTCGCTGCACAATTTAAAATGACACAACCGATACAACTTCTATTTTATTATCTAGAGTTAAATAAAATAACATTATCATATCTGTAATTTGACCAAAAGTCTCAGCATAATTTGCTTTTATCCAAGTTTGACATAGATGGATTAAATTTTAAGTACAATAGTCGCTGTTATCATAAATAACTATCCTAATCTTGTTTATTTTGTTTTCACAAGTAGTTAATGATAGATATTTACTAGCATACTTATAATCAGAACTCAAATAACCAGAATAATTAAACTTAATTAATTTTTTTATGATGGCACTTTCTTTCACAAACATTGTTTGAAAAATCTGAAAATTTATTAATATAGTAGCATCTTAATTAGAATACAGTTGTGAGCAATGTTGATTACTTCTACTGTCTCTAATAGCTTCACATTAATTAGAAGGTTTCTTAGTTTTAAAATAATATTATGAATAACTTTTACTTTTTTCTAATGATTTAATAGCAGTTTTCCTTTTTTTCTTATCTGTTTCCGTGAATAGTGGTATTCACAGTGCATTTAAGATTCCACACATAAAATGGTTATTGCATTCCTTACATAATATCATTAAGAGAAGATTATTGTATATATAATCAAATTTCATCTTCTGGAAGTTTCATGAATAGATCTAGTTCTTTTGTTTGTGATTTAGCTTGGATATAAATTAAATTTGATTAGTGTAAAAAAGTTTATAAGCATAATTAATTTCAATTATTTGGCAGTAGTTAGCAATTTAAACCAGAATATTATCCTATATACGAACCATCTATCCCCTTAAATGATACGCGTTCATAGTGCCAAAAATATAATTAAGAATGTGCATCAGTTCAAACTTTATAAACACATTGTTCTTCAAATGTTATCATAATCATTTGTTAGACAAACACACACTTAATTTTCTTATTTTTAGTAAACTAACACATGTGCAATAAGGCAACCACTCTTTGTATTGTGTGATGCTCTGATAAATTATTGGAGCAATAGTTTTTCAATACACCCTACATTAAATCAGATGAGGAAATTTTCATAAATATTTTTTTTTTTAAATAGGATTTAAAGTTTAAATCCATCCTAAAATTATTGTAATTTGACTTACAAATCAATCTTTGCATTCACTCAAATATTATTCTAAAGTAAAAGATGAATTTTCACATATTGTTTTTCTAACTTATATTATTTGAAAAAACCAAATTGCAGTTTTATTTTTTAAATATACTTTCAAGCATTTTCCATCATCAAAATATTAGGTGCATAAGTCCTATTATTAATATTTTCATACCTTCTCCGCTTACAGTGAGACCGTCTTATCCATCTTTATACATATGATATACCTTATTAAATATATTTGTAGTTCTTTAAACATTACAACATCTCAACAACTTATTTTTTACCTAAAAACAATCACTACCATTTTTACTCTCACATCTATTCTATGTTTATAATCTTATCATTCCAAAATTTATAAATCTGCCATTTTCTTCTTCATAATTAAATCACACATAATAGAAGAATTCTATTATCATCAAATATCGGAATGCAAGCGAAGGAGATTTCTACCTTTAGCCATCCATGAAAACATTAAAAATGTTTAGCCTTTAACAAAAAAAAAACTTAAATAAACATTAATTGTAAAGCTGACTTCCAAAGAGTTACATTTTCTAATATTTTTTATCATCCTCTCTATGAACATCAGAAGAATCATTAAATTAGAAATTAGTCAAACTAAATTCATAAAAAATATATAAATTAGAATTATAAATTATTAATTAAACTTGAAAGTAAAGCTAGAATTCAAAGAAAGATGAAATTTTAGTATAATTTAAGGTAATTCTGAAAACTGCCAAATATCATTAAATTCAGTTAATTAGTTTCTAAATTGAAAATAAGTCCACTTGACTGAATCTGTAATTGAATAGTAATTGTGAAATTAAGCATTCTGTTTCTGAAATATCAACTATCAGATCTTAATAGGCTACTGAAGTAGATATAAGGGTAAAAGTAATCACAACTTCTTCAAAGGAGTCCAAACAGCTGTGGAAAAATGGATTTGTAATACTATTCTAAGTAGAATTAGGTATAAATAAGATTATTTTCATAGTTTCTTTTTCTTAACATTTAGTATGAATTTTTAAATTTGTTTATTATTCTGCTTTATCTATGATGATTCTTGTTAACCCCAAGTTTGTTGCTTTCTATAGATCTCCTTAAATTTCAATTTTGAATGATTGTAAATAATCAACTTTACTATCTTTAAAATACTTTATTGAAATGAAACCAATTTCATAAGGTTTAAATTCAGTGATATATTCAAATTTCATCCAACTTTGTTTGTGCCAGAGGGTTGGCATACAACAACAACCTGTTGCATAACTTTAAAAATTTCCAACATTCATATCATACCATAAATTATTAACATTTGAGAAATACTATTTCTTGAATCTAATTTCTTAAACTCCATCATACTAAAAACCGTAAAATGGCAAAAGAAACCATGATGATTATATGAATGCAAATTCTTGGCTAGTATATGGGGAATTTATTAATGCTAATGGTTATTATTAAAATGTTTCATCAATTCCTAAAATTATTTAGTAACTTATAGAAATAAGATTCGGTAATGTATTTTATAGATCTGTAACTATAATTGTTAGAGACTTGNCCAAAATTTATAAATCTGCCATTTTCTTCTTCATAATTAAATCACACATAATAGAAGAATTCTATTATCATCAAATATCGGAATGCAAGCGAAGGAGATTTCTACCTTTAGCCATCCATGAAAACATTAAAAATGTTTAGCCTTTAACAAAAAAAAAACTTAAATAAACATTAATTGTAAAGCTGACTTCCAAAGAGTTACATTTTCTAATATTTTTTATCATCCTCTCTATGAACATCAGAAGAATCATTAAATTAGAAATTAGTCAAACTAAATTCATAAAAAATATATAAATTAGAATTATAAATTATTAATTAAACTTGAAAGTAAAGCTAGAATTCAAAGAAAGATGAAATTTTAGTATAATTTAAGGTAATTCTGAAAACTGCCAAATATCATTAAATTCAGTTAATTAGTTTCTAAATTGAAAATAAGTCCACTTGACTGAATCTGTAATTGAATAGTAATTGTGAAATTAAGCATTCTGTTTCTGAAATATCAACTATCAGATCTTAATAGGCTACTGAAGTAGATATAAGGGTAAAAGTAATCACAACTTCTTCAAAGGAGTCCAAACAGCTGTGGAAAAATGGATTTGTAATACTATTCTAAGTAGAATTAGGTATAAATAAGATTATTTTCATAGTTTCTTTTTCTTAACATTTAGTATGAATTTTTAAATTTGTTTATTATTCTGCTTTATCTATGATGATTCTTGTTAACCCCAAGTTTGTTGCTTTCTATAGATCTCCTTAAATTTCAATTTTGAATGATTGTAAATAATCAACTTTACTATCTTTAAAATACTTTATTGAAATGAAACCAATTTCATAAGGTTTAAATTCAGTGATATATTCAAATTTCATCCAACTTTGTTTGTGCCAGAGGGTTGGCATACAACAACAACCTGTTGCATAACTTTAAAAATTTCCAACATTCATATCATACCATAAATTATTAACATTTGAGAAATACTATTTCTTGAATCTAATTTCTTAAACTCCATCATACTAAAAACCGTAAAATGGCAAAAGAAACCATGATGATTATATGAATGCAAATTCTTGGCTAGTATATGGGGAATTTATTAATGCTAATGGTTATTATTAAAATGTTTCATCAATTCCTAAAATTATTTAGTAACTTATAGAAATAAGATTCGGTAATGTATTTTATAGATCTGTAACTATAATTGTTAGAGACTTGGTGTTAATCTCAGATACCTTAAATTTTAATAAATATTGCTACTTTGACTTGAAAACTTACAGATCCTGAAAAAGAAAAAGCAATAACAGATATTAGGTAATTTTAAGCATTGGGATTGGAATGATCCAAAGTTAATGACTCAAAATTTTTTTAATTAAATTAATTAATAACTTAGATTCTCTAATCATCAATAGCCAGCCATTTATAGTGAATTCCATAAATTACTCCATCAAAGCATTTTATACTGAGAGTGAATTCTAAATTGAATAAAAATAATTAAACTAGTTAAAGTAATTTATGTTATTTCTAAATTATAGTTAGCTACACCTCCAGGAATATCAAATAATTCTGGAATCAGAATCACTTTAGGGATATTTTCAAATGAATCTCTAAATTTAATGTCTTATGTTCTTCCAATGTTATTAAAACAATAGAATCCTTTATTGGTAATTTGGAATGACCTAAATGTGTTTTCATCATATCTAATGAATCCCTAAGCAAATAAAAATAAAGTAATAAATATCATTAATTAAAATATTGCTTTGGATTTTATAAATTAAGAAATATTATTTTTATGGATCATGTTTTTAATGAAAAAATATTAAGAAATGTGAATTTAAGACATCAAATGTCATAGAATTTTATACTTTAAAAATATCTTTTTTTATATACATTTCTACTTTGAATAACAATAAAATTATTTTCAACTTTTAGTATGTTCTAAAAGGCCATTATAACAAAAATCAATTATCTCATATAGTCTTCCAAAATTATGTGGTAAAGTGTATTCTTAAAATTTATTTCTATTATTAAGATAATTTGTTTTTTTTAGTGATATAATATTCCTTAATTTCTAGTAATTCATTTATGTTTTCTTTATATTTATTTTTGGATAGCAAAATTCCTCATATAATGAATAACAAAATTTTTGATTGACTTTTCCTATATTTTTATAAATTTAATTGCTAATTGAATAATTAGCATTAAAATCAATAAATTCCTCCAAAGGAATAACCCCTTTAAAGTAATAATACAAAGCCTTAAAATTGTAAAAAAATTAAGAAATAAATTATCTTCATAATCATTTTTAGAATAAAATTTATATCTGATACTATAGCTTAATTTAATAACAATCTAGATTAGATAAAAATTATTTAAAAAAACTATTAAGCATTTATCAAATGCTTCAAAAAAATGTGTATAATTAACCTTTTTATAAGTTTTGGATGCCAATTCTAAATGATTAATTTTTTCAAATGTTAATTCTTAAAAAAAATACATAAAATGATTGAAACCGAAATCAAAAAATATCTAACAATTTACTTGATGGATAAGAATAATTAATCTTATTAATTTACAGAATTTCATTCAAACTTATTTTGAGAATTAATTAAATTTCTAAAATAACTAGCATAAATATTTGAGTTTTTCTAATACTATTTTTTTCATTTAATAATTAATTTATGAAATTTGAAGCTGACTTTTAATAATTCAATTCACCTTGGATACTATAAGAATTTATTGATGTAATTTGGTTTGAATAAAAATCCTTGAAAAGCTAAAATATTTTCACTTTTAATGGGAATTATCAATTCGAAAAATTATTCTATTCCTCAAAACAATTAAGAGGAGGGGGATGTTGCAATAATATAACCAGGGCCTAACCTTACAGGATAATTACTGCTTAAAAATTACCTTTATAGTTCTCTTAACACATGATAGATAATTCTAGAATTATCGAATCAAAAGCTCTTTATGTGTAGAATAAATAGGATAAATAATTAGTGATAACTTCCATTTAATGGTTCAATTACAACCAAGAACACTTTAATACGCTTTTTTAGATTAATAATCAGGATCAAAATTTTTAGGGTTTATTTAAATATCCTTAGATTTAATATTAAAATCAACCTTAAATTATATCACAACATCTGGATATTTATGTATTGAGCTTTTTTCATTATGTAATATGTTAGTAAGAGTATTATTTAGTTATTACAATTGTTTTTAGAAAAAAAAGCTTAATTCAAACTTCAAAGAATGTTTAGAAAATTATTTAGCAGAGTTTGAAAATACTGTTAAATCTAATGTTACTCAATGTTGGGAATTTGGAATAGAATTTGAGCTTGAAATAATGAATACTACTTTGGCTCACATACCAACAAAATTAGAGGGTCCTAACAATTTAACTTTGGGAATAAACTAATCAATTTTTAAATTTGAAATAAATGATGCACTTATATAATCCATTTTTGAATATGCCAAGGAGATTTTAAAAAGATTTGTAGGTAAAGTAAGAAACCCAATAAAAAAGTATGAAGTTTATTGCACTTTTGAAAGTATGAAATGGAATATCATTATGTAAATAACTCAGAGACTTAAATTCAAAATATTAAAATTGAATTATAAAATCTTTACATTTAATTTATAAAAAATTCATAAGATTGGATACTATATTATTGTTGGATTAAGATGATTTCTGATTTTTTAACTTATAGACCTATTGTAGATATTAATATATTATTATAAGATATAAGAAATCCTTTTGAGAGAAGGAAAAAATGGAAAGATCTAATCAAAAATTAATGTATTGAACAACTACCATACAATATCAACTTAGCTAAATGTATTTGTTTTCCCAACAAATCAAATGTTCTTTCAAGAAATTTATTTTTAAGAGAATACTCAGAAATTGGTTTAACAGAACTTTCAGAATTTTAATAATATTTGATGAAATTAAATAAATAACCAGATTAATAATTTTGGTAGTTTTATATTATTTATAATAAAGAAAAGGAAAATTAAAAGGATAATGAATTAAATTAAATAAACTAGTAAATTTAACATTTGTTCAACTTTATTCCAATATTTTAATAATTCCTTGATTATTTATAGAGTTTGCTTGAGAAAAATCAAAGTATCATTTAAAAAATGAATAAATTAATCCAAAATCTTAAAAATGAATAGAATGATGCTGACACTAACTATAAATCTGAAATTTTAGATTAAAACTCAAAAATTCAGATTAACACAATCGAAATGATCTATGTTATCAATGAAATTAATCTCCATATTATTTTGATGACTTACAAATTATCATTTATTACAAATTCCCTTATAATGGAAAATATATCAGTATTTAGTGATATTGTTGATAATATTAAAAATTAATATTAAATGTAATTTTTGACTCTGCTGAATTTATTACCAAAAAATCTAATGGAATTTTTTAAAACTAAATTTAATTGGCAAGATGCACTAAATAATGATTTCAATAGAAATTCTATTTAGAATCCTTTCGATAATATTCCTAATTATCCCTTAGAACAATTAAGAATACTTTCAGAAAATATATTAGAAAAAGTAACAGAATATAAAACAATTAGAAAATGATGATTGTCTTAATTTTTTTAAGGGGGAAGAAAATATTAATTTTAAGAAAAAATAAATTGAAATATTAAAATAATCCTGGTTAAATTAAGAAAAGTTTAATTTATCTTAAATATAATATAAATAAGTACTCTAAATTCTAAAAGAGAAAGTAATAAATAAGAAATCATTTAAGAAAAAGCTTATCTTACTTATTCAAATTTCAGCTCAATACGATATGATTCAAGTTGCTTCAAATATCATTAGTGTTCTTGGTTTTATAACTAAAGACTTAAGTAATATACATTTATCAGGAATAAGATTACAAAACACAAGTTTAATAGGTATTGATTTTTCAAATTCTGATTTGAGTAAGTCAATATTTTATAATGTAAATATTAGTGATTGTAATTTTACTGGATCAACATTAAATAATGCTGAATGGTAAAACATCATAAATTATAACATTTAAAGAGAAATCTAAAATTGTCATTCTTTGTTTTAATTCTACTAATAAAAACAAATGGTTATATATTCAACTGGTAAAAAGTTTATGCAATTGGGATTAGAGAATGGTTAATAGCCATTAGAAATATTTGAATCTTATTAAAATTTGAATTGCTATGATATTTCTAATGATGGATAGAATATAGCATATACATTAGTAAATAGTTGTGAAATCTAAATCTGGAATATTCCCGAAAAAAGGAACATAATGTCTTTGAAAGACCATGTAAATAATGTATACATATTGTCCTTTTCAAAATAACATCGCTTTTAGCTTCAGGAGGCAATGATAATAAAATAATTATTAGGAATTTGTAAAAAGAATCAATCATCACAGAAATTGATATCATAAGTAAAAAATTAAAAAATCTTGTTTTTTCTTATAACAACGATTATATTGCTTTACACTTTACAACAGAATTCATTCAATTAAATAGTGGAGACAAATGGACACCTTTAAAGGGTGTTAATAATCTATAAGAGAAAATAACTGTATTTGCATTTTCTTTTGACTAAATGATGGCTTCAGTATCATCAACAGATAATAAATCTTAAATTATTTGGTTATTCAATTTAAAATAAAAAGAGAAAGAAAGAAAACTTAAAGGACATCGAGATAAGATCAATTACTTGCTTTTTCTATCAGATAAAAGATCTTTAATTTCTGGTGGGGATGATTTTTTCATCATGCTATGGAATTATCAAACTGGTGAATTAAAAGGAAGAGTTTAAAAATATACACACAAGATTCAATTCCTGAATATATCGAAGAATAATAGAATTTTGGGATACTACAATCAAAAAAAATCAATATCATTTATCGATCTTGATGCATTTCAATCTGTCCATTAATTAAAGCATCCTTCGAAAGAAATAAGTTAGATTCTTTTTTCGAAAGATGGCTTAATATTAGTATCTTGTAATTAAAGCAAAAATATTACATTATGGGATATGAAAGGAGGAAAATAAATGAGGAAAATAAAAGAGAAGCATGATAATAATGTGATATAAATAGCTTTTACTCAAAATGGAAAATTTTTAGCTTATGCAGTTAAAAAGGAGATAATACTATTGAAAAAATTTTAAGATGATGCTTCAAGAGAAAATGGATGGGAAACTAAAGAAACAATTAAAAAGATAAAATTTTCGAAAGATGAAAAATATCTTGCATATTTATGTGAGGAAGATGACTCAGAAATAACCCTTATTCCTTAAGAAGGAAATTTAGATAAGAAAAATTTTTAAAATAAAAATAACCAATAAAAAATAAAAATTCTAGATTTCTGTTTTGCATATGATTCTTAGATTTTAAATATGCTGAAAAATCTATTTTTAGTTGGAATTATATGGATGAAAGATAAAAACCTTCATTTGAATTAGATTCAGTAATTAAATGTTTTTCATTTTCTACATTTGGTCGTTATTTTGCTTATTTAGATGATACTAATTATATAAAGTATTATGATTTATCAACTAAGAATAAAGAATAAATAAATTAAAAATTCCTTGATGTAAATTGTATTGCTTTTTCTACACATGAAGATGTCTCACATTTAGCAATAGGAATGAAAAGATAAATATAAATTTATAATGTTTAATAAAGAGTTTTGAATTTTACTATATCACTTGATCATCATTTAGATATTGAATTACTATAATTTTCACCTAATGGTTTTCTCCTAGCTTCTGTATTTAAAGATAAAACAATTAAAATATTTGATATTTATTGATAATAATTGATATTTACTTTGCCTAATTTAATTAACCTTTAATTAAAAAATTCTGAAAATCCCAATATTATGAATTTCCTTAATGAAAAATTACCTTAAAAATGAATAAATTTTGTTTTTTTTAATCATTTTTTTAATAAATAAATAAATATATTTCGTTTTAAATCCATAAAATATCGTTTATCTAAATATTATTACTCTTATCAAAATTTTATAGTTGTTATTCTTATTACATATGTTTTAGTTTGATAAATAGAAGTTTATTGGAAGTAAAATTTCATTTCTATTTGATATTTAATTTTTAGCTTTATAAGCTTATTAATTTAAAGGGATTGTATCATTTTTGAGTTAAAGCTAGGAATCAAATTATTTTTTTAAGGAATACTCCTATCAAAAATAATGAAGAGTTTACTTTTATTACAATATAAATATAAGGAGAAGAATTAATCTAATTTAGAAATCATATAATGCCTGTTTAAATATAAGACTGAATTAAAATTAAGGTGTTTAAAGATGCTTGGATTTGACTAAAAATAATTCAATTTCTTTTTGATATATAACTAAATTTTTTAATATGATTTGTAGAGAAGGATAACATTAAATATACTTGAAAGAAGATTAATGAAGGAATTCCTAAAAAAACTTTATTTTTCCTATGGAGTTAAGTTAAACAATAAGGTATTGGTGATGTATAGTAACAGTATAGTTTTAAAACTCCAGTTATCACTCAGTTATCACTTAATCTATTTGGTTGTAATTAGGTAGAAAAATAAAATTTAAAGTTTACTTTTTGTTTCTTTCAAAAAGATATGATATGATAGAAGGGAAATAAAAGATTTTAATTGTTAAATATTGTTTTTAAGATAATTTGATAAAATGTTAATATTTTAATTTTAAAGTTTAGGAATTTACCCTCGACCAAGCTGTAAAGTATATCTTTTACTTTTATGTTTTTAAAATGTATAGCTTATTATTAAGAGTACTTATTAGCTATTTAATTTTATCTTTGTAATTTATTATTTTTATTTACAATATATATAGATAATCATGCTGACTTAGTTTCAACAAAATTGTTTTACTCTGTTCAATAAATATACAATATTTTTGAATTAATATTTAATTTCTATTCATTAATAACAATAGAACTAATACAAATTATTTTATATATTTATCCATATCCTATCCATTTTTAAATATAATCCTCCTCCACTAAAATTTCGTTATTAATACACATACATATTTAATATTAGTATAAAATTTTAATATAATCTTTTTAGTATTCTGTTAATTGAAATTTATAGGATATATTTGATTTGATATTTGTTTCATTCATTTAGTCTTAATTTATGTAGTTTCTTTTGTAATTTTAGAAAATTAATTGATTTATAATTAGTTTAATTATAAAAAGAGCAGATGCTAATTAATTGATTGATTGATAGAAAATTAATTAAAAAGAAAATACTAGATAAGTATTTCATTACTATTTTTGCATAATAAAATCAAAAATAATTTATTATAAAATCATAAAAAAAATATAATAGAAAATATAATCATAAAAAGAAACTTCTGTTTAATTACAAAAATAGTATAAATACAACTTTACATCAACATTTTCTAATTGTATGATTAATTATTTATTGGCTCTATATTACTTTTAATAAATTTTATCTGTATTTGAAAAAACTTGAGTAAATAATAAATAGTATTAGATAATTTTTGTCTATTCATTTTTTTTAACATAATTTTAAACTTTAAATCAATACCAGATGTTTCCATATTAATGTAGATCCCAAAAATCAGAAGACTTGATTTCTATTTGAAATTTAAATTATCATAATAAATATTAAAGAATTTATGTCTGAAAAACAAAATCAACAAAATCCTAAAAAGGGAGAGCCTTGGAAGCCAAAAGAAAAATTTGATAAGAAAGCTAATAAAAAGAAGTAGGAATAGGAATAAGAATAAGTAGAGGGAAAATAGGAAACTAATAAGCCACAATAATAATAAAATCAATAGCCAATCATCCCATAATAAACAATTGATTAATAATCGAGTTAACCATAATTGCCCATAAATGATAAATAAATTGCTTTAGCAGATGCTTCAAAAGAGCCTAATAAACGAAAAGATTTTCTTTCACATCTTCCAATATTTTAGGATTATACTTCTGTAAGTATAAAAACAGTAAAATAAATTGATGTAAAGATTTTATTGAATTATAGCCTTTTACTTTGCATCATGCTTTTATTGAGCTTTGTATTTAATATCAAAATGGTTAATGTATAGGGTCTACTCATAGATGTGTAGAATTTCTTAATGCTTTGAAATAATTTATAAGGGATTATAAGCTATCAAGACAATCAAATTATTTTGCTATGGCATTTTTAGATGAATTAAAGGAAATTTTTAATTTGATGAAAAACTTTAGAACAGTAAATGAAGGAATGAGCACATCATATTTATTTATTAGAGAATGTTTGATGATATTAAGAGATACAAGACTTGATGAAAATGAATCAAAAATTTGGTTATGTAATTAGATTGATTAATTTATTCAATCAAAAATAATTGCAGCATCAGAATTGATTGTTAAAAATGTATTTATATAAAATTAATATTTTATAAGGCTACTTAATTAATATAAGAAGGAACAACAATTTTGGTATATGCTAGATCGTATTTGATTGAGAATTTCATAATAAACTATATTAAGTAAGGAAAGCAATTGACCATTTTTGTAGTAGATAATCCTTAATTTGGAGAAGGATCATAATTNTGTATTTGAAAAAACTTGAGTAAATAATAAATAGTATTAGATAATTTTTGTCTATTCATTTTTTTTAACATAATTTTAAACTTTAAATCAATACCAGATGTTTCCATATTAATGTAGATCCCAAAAATCAGAAGACTTGATTTCTATTTGAAATTTAAATTATCATAATAAATATTAAAGAATTTATGTCTGAAAAACAAAATCAACAAAATCCTAAAAAGGGAGAGCCTTGGAAGCCAAAAGAAAAATTTGATAAGAAAGCTAATAAAAAGAAGTAGGAATAGGAATAAGAATAAGTAGAGGGAAAATAGGAAACTAATAAGCCACAATAATAATAAAATCAATAGCCAATCATCCCATAATAAACAATTGATTAATAATCGAGTTAACCATAATTGCCCATAAATGATAAATAAATTGCTTTAGCAGATGCTTCAAAAGAGCCTAATAAACGAAAAGATTTTCTTTCACATCTTCCAATATTTTAGGATTATACTTCTGTAAGTATAAAAACAGTAAAATAAATTGATGTAAAGATTTTATTGAATTATAGCCTTTTACTTTGCATCATGCTTTTATTGAGCTTTGTATTTAATATCAAAATGGTTAATGTATAGGGTCTACTCATAGATGTGTAGAATTTCTTAATGCTTTGAAATAATTTATAAGGGATTATAAGCTATCAAGACAATCAAATTATTTTGCTATGGCATTTTTAGATGAATTAAAGGAAATTTTTAATTTGATGAAAAACTTTAGAACAGTAAATGAAGGAATGAGCACATCATATTTATTTATTAGAGAATGTTTGATGATATTAAGAGATACAAGACTTGATGAAAATGAATCAAAAATTTGGTTATGTAATTAGATTGATTAATTTATTCAATCAAAAATAATTGCAGCATCAGAATTGATTGTTAAAAATGTATTTATATAAAATTAATATTTTATAAGGCTACTTAATTAATATAAGAAGGAACAACAATTTTGGTATATGCTAGATCGTATTTGATTGAGAATTTCATAATAAACTATATTAAGTAAGGAAAGCAATTGACCATTTTTGTAGTAGATAATCCTTAATTTGGAGAAGGATCATAATTAGTAAATCGACTATAATAATAAGGTATATCTTGTTATCAAATATTATTATCTCATGTCAGTTACATTCTGTCAAAAGTAGAAATTAATTAAAATTATTTAGGTTGATAAAATTCTAGTTGGAGCATCATCTATGTTATGTAATGGAGCTTTAGTTTCTAGAGTTGGAACTGCATTATTGGCATGTTTAGCATCAACTCATAAAATACCATTTTTAGTATTTTGTGAAAGTTATAAATTCTCAGAAAAAAGTCAGATTGATTCTTTATCTTGGAATGAAATAGCATAATTATCATAAGGAAATGAAAATCAACAATATACTTCTTTAAGTCTCAGATATGATATAACATAATCTAATTATATAAATATGGTATAAGTGATGATATGTTATTTAATAGATAGTAACAGAAGTTGGATTGATACCGGCAACTTCTGTTAAAGCAGTGATAGGAGAATTTAAAAAGTATAATTATGTGGATGCAATCGAAGTTCCAAGAAAAGAATAATGACAATGTGTTATAGGTAGAAATCATATATATATATATCATATTATTCAATATCTTCTATTAATATTATAAATTTATATATGTTATAATTAAAGGTTTCAGCTTTACCATAAAATCCACACTTAATTAACTAAATTGAATAATTCATAATAGACTCCAACACTTTGATAAGAAATGTAAGTTCTCTCTCTAAATTAGGGATATTATAGGAAATGTGTAATGCATTTAGATGGCTAATATAAAAAACTCCTACCAATAGAATCACCTTTACTTTTGAGGATAAAAGTATTGAGAAGATTATGTTATTGTACGATAATGTATTTCAAACTGAAAATTAACAAAGGTGAAGTTAATTAAGGCAAAAATTAATTCATTCTTTGGACAAGATTGTAATTATATCTGAGAGATTTTCATGATAATATTTCTCTATTGAAGATTTAATATAAGAGTATGTGATATTGAAATTCTTATTTAGAAAAGTTTTATACTCAAGAACTGATATCTTTAATAATTAAGGCTATATTGTTTAGATCTCTTTATTATTAAAAAAATCAATTAGTAGCCAGAGGTCTATTATACTTAAATTATTTATGTGGAACAATAATTGAATAAGCTTTGATAGATAAAATAACGGTTTTCTTAAGTTTATAAGGGTAAGATAGTGTTCATATATAAATTAGAAAATATAATTTGATTACTGGAAATAGCTACTTTCAATTGTAAAACTATTCGACTGCTTTAAAATATTATCTTAAAGGACTTGATATATATTAAAGAAATTTGATCATTATTTATAAGGAAATCACTCTTACATCTTTGGAAGAGATTAAGATGACTCTAAATTATTATGTAATTAATAATTATATAAAAAGACTAAAGAAATAATATTGTCTTTGTTTTTAATAGCATTAGTATATGAATAAATGAATGATTTTCTAAAATACCAAGAAACCATAAAAATTATGACTTGGGTAGATTCAAATTATTAACCAGAAAATTCAATTGGGAAATTATATTTTTAATAATGTATTGATAATACCAGATACATTTAATATGCACTTGAGAAAGCTGAAATCTCAAAAGTATTGAAATAAGCTTTACCAGAAGAGGAGACATCTAAAGTACCAGGAGAGGAAGATTAATTAAATTATTACACTAATTTACTTTATGAATTCAGTGAATTTCCAAAAATAAGAAAACAATATTTTTATTACGATAAATCATAACTACCTTATACTTAAGAAATAGCAGAGAGTGATACTTAATTAGAAAAATCAAGGGCATTTAAAACTAATGCCAGTGTTTAGATGGTCTATAAATCATAACCAAATGAAAATGAATCAACTACATTATGTAGGTCTGCTCTAATGAAAACTAAAAATTCAGACAATGGATTATCAACAAGATTTTAAACAGAATCAGAAGGATTCTCATAAACTATGATTCATATATAAAAGTAAAAGAAATTGAAAAAATAAGTTAATAAAGAAGATGTCACATTATAAGTGTATTATGGAAAGGCAATTGAGAAGTCAGTTAAATTATAAGAATTAGAAAGTTTAGCTGAATAACACAATTAAGATTTAGTTTAATAATAGATTGACACACTTTCTTTTGATAAAAAATTGAAGTTATCAAAATAATAGATTTGTAAATATGTTTATTATTTTAAAGAATTTAAGAAAATATTTGGTTGTATTGATTTGAAGTAAGGTCCCTTTTAAATTGAAACAAGAGAATCAAGAAAGAGACAATAAAAGTAATAAGCTAAAAACATCAATTAATTATAATCATTATTAAGCATACAAATTTAGATTAAAACAAAGACTGAACAATCTTAATTGTTAGAGCAATATAATAAATAAAGAAAAGGAAACTTTTAATCGGCACCTAATATATTTTAGCAATTGCATAACAAACATAGATAAAATAAAGATATAAGAGTGTAGGAAAAATCAATAATCACTAATAAAGAATTTAGTAAAGATATAGGAAGTCATCATAAAACCTAAGATGAAGAACAATTAATTAGATAGATAAATATTAATACAAAAGAAACAATTAAATAAATGATGGATGAAAAAGAAAGTATAATTTAATCAAAACCATTTTCAACTAGACGATCATCTTAAAATAATAATATTAAGTATGTAGATATATAATTTAGAAATAGTATATTATTTGAAAAACTTATCTCAAAGAATGACAATTTAGCACATACAACAGATTAAATTAGTAATTCTAAAAAGGTTAATTCATTGAAATCTTTATTGGAAGTACCTAGAAATAATTAAAATTAAAAGAGAATGACTACAATTTTATCAACTATAACTCCTAGGCCTACTAGTAAAATGAGTTCACATACAATTTTACCTATTTGTTGATTATAAATAATAAAATTAAATTAATATTTAAAATGAATTAAGGCGGATCAAATGATTTATTAACATTGAAAAGAGAGAAGTTTAGAATATAAATTAGACATTAAAAATTAACAGAAGAATTTAAGAAAAAAAGAAGGTTTTATAATTATGAATAAACAAAAAATGATTTTCTACATAAGATTTGTGATGAACTAGCTAAATATCAATTTAAAGAGTAGTTAGTTGAAGAAGACCTTAATAATATTAAGTTATTAATAAAAGTACTCTAGAAAGCCTTGGAGGATGAATAAAATATTGATTATTGGGTGACTGAAAATATAGTAAAAAAAATTAGGTAATATATCATATAATCTCAGATTTTTTATTAATCTATCTAAAGTGGATACTGAGTTTTAAGAAATAAATGCAACACTTATTCAAAGTGTTTTCTATTATCTAAATAGAGAAGATTATTAAAGATTTGCAGAATTAGATGATATTCAATTATTAGATTATCTTAAGAATAATATTAAAGAAGAGATATTAGAAATCTTTCCTTAAGTAAATTTTAAAATCATTTTAGACTTTAAATTGCATCTATTTTCTAGCTTAAGAAAAATAGACATATAGAGATTTTATAATCTAAAATGATTTTGAATTTTTAACATAATTAATGATACTTGATCCTTTTCGACAATTTTCTGAAGTTATCTTAGCCTTGATAGGTTCAGCATTTACTTTTTGTTTGGAAATAAATATTGATAACATAAAATCTATAAAAGAATATGTTATCAAATCCTATTTCGATGAAAGTTAAGCAATAAAAAGATTAGCCTTAGAAATTTTAGAAGAAATTCCTTCAAAATTATCATTTGAGAATAATTGTACATTTGCAGATGAAATCATTTCTTCTCCAATGTTCTTAAAAATTTATGATGCTGCTTTAAAAACTAATTATGATTTTTTAGCTTTAAAAATAGTAATTATTTATTTTGGAATAAGTGATAAATTTTTTGAGAAAGAACTTACTATATATAAAAAAGTAGTAAATTCAAATCTTTAATCATAAGATCTTAATAAAGCATTAAGAATATAATTATTTTGGGCTATTTCAAATAAAATTCATAATAAAGAATTCTTGATTAAATTATTAGATTCAAAATTATTAGAGGAAATTTATGAACAATGTTTTGAATTATCAGATAATGAAGCTCTTGAATTCTCTTATGTTATTTTGAATTTATCGATTTTAGTATAACAATATTTATATTTTTTAGTCTAATGAAGAATAACTATCAAAATTAATAAAAATAGGATTGTTTAACATATGTAATCATTTTTTTTCAATGGAATCAAGATCTATAAAAATAGAAGAACATACATTGAAAGCATTAATTAATATATTACATAAGTTATCAGATTGTTAAGATATTAATAATGAACTTGTATTACCATTCTCGGCTGTTATAAAAATGATTGAAATGACTGGACTTGTTAATAAAGTAAAGGATAGCAAAAGTGATGATAAATTAATCTAAGATTTTGATGTTTATTTTTGATTTTTGTAATTAGATATTTTAAAAGATAAAATTTAATTATTTATTTACAAATAAATTTTTATAACACAGTAAAACTCCTACATTACTAAAATCAATTTAGATGTCAACATGGAATGTTTTCTCTTCTTGCCTATTTTTTAGTTAAACAAAATTTGACTCTTTTTGCAGGAGATTAAGAATTAGTTTATTATTTTGGAGGAGATTAACCAGTGATGTTTAAACTTGAAAAACTAAGCCTACTTTAGAAACTTAATCTGCTTACAATTTCCAATTAAGAGTTTTATAATGATGGATTCTTTAAGATACTTTTTGGTGTAGAGACAGAACTCTATGATCTTCCTCTTACTCCATCAAATTCCAATTATAACAAAGATAATTAAGAAGTTCTTTGAGAATTTGCTTATTATGAAATTCTTAGTTTCTAATTTTATTAGTTTTAAATTAATTTAATAGTTGTTTTAGCAATTTTTGCTCTCTCTTTTCTAGTATCTTTATAATGAATTGAATTTTAAGATGGTATTTGCTGAGTATTATTGTAAGATAATTCTAAATATGAATTATAAGTTTCATGTGATCTTTGTGAGAATTGTGACTATTTTTTAGAAGAGAATTTATTGTTAACAGATGGTGATAAACCATCTTATAATTTAGTAATATCAAATGGTCCATGTGTATGTAATTTTAGATTTTTTCTATAATCAATAGTTGTATTTTGGTTTTAACTTTCTTTCATTTCACCTACAAAGTTAATTTTGGGAACTGTTTCCTTTCTTGAAAACAATGAGGATTAATCTCCATTAGAAATTACAGATAATTATTAAATAGGTTAAATTGGCTTTTTAAATGATAATTATTCTTTTTTAGTTTTATTTTCAATAGAGTCTGTTCCTAATTCTTATTATTTCTAATGTTTTATTAATCCTTTTTTAAAACCACAAGAATTATAAATTAGTTTATTCATTTTTTACTCTAAATCTTAAAAATCAGGTTCATTTAATTAGCAATCTTATAATCTAAAATCAATGTCTTCTTTGAAGCATACATTTAGATTGTATACTGATACTGGACGATCTACTTCATCTTCAATAATATCTGAATCAATAATATATTGTTCCGTCATTATTATAAATAATAACATAAAAAGTGATAATAATCAAACAAAACAAAGGAGTTTATTACAAATTCAATCTAATTAAAGCATCTCAATTTATTTTAGTTAATAAATTGAGATGCAACAAAGTAACTAGTAATATTTTATAATTTAAGAACTCTCTATATATTAATGTAATATGAATATTATATATATGTAAATTATTTATAAGAATGAAATTTAATATATGAATAAAAAACATACAAATATAAATATATATTTACAAATCTTCTCATCTAGTTAGATTAAAATATCAATAAAGTTTAGGTTATGGCACAGAGTTGATATGATCGAATTCCTTAAAATTGAATATCTAATCAATAATTCCTTTATTAGCAATAGGAGAACAAGGATTATTAGATGAACTTATTTGAGTACTAGAACTATGAGTTAATGAGCTTTTTTGACTATCTGATAAACTACTTTTAATTGATCCACTTTGAAATATATAAATTATAAATATTTACTTCACTTCTAAAGTCTTAATTGTAATATTTTTATTTCTAAATTTGTTTTTTAATTATTCATTCTCATACTTGTTAAATATATTATTTAATTTCATCTAACTTTTTATCCATCTACTTAAGTATAATTATTGAATTGTAGGTCTATCATTAGGATCCTTAGTCAATAATGCTTGTATAAGAATTTATAAATCTTCATTAATATTACTATTAACAATGACTTCTTAACTAGTTATTTTGGCAATTAAATCAGGCTAAGAATTTGCTTAAAATGGGAAATGAGTATGCAATAAGATCTAAAAATAATATATTCTATATATATTACATAAATTAATGCTCCAAGTGAATAGCAATCTACTTTATAATCATGATATTATTTCAACACAACCTCTGGTGGCATATATTCGGTAGTTCCACAAAGAATGGGCTCCACTTTATCGATATAAGTAGCCCAACCAAAGTCTCCCAGTTTATATGTTCCATCCTCATGAAGAAAAATATTTTCTAACTATTTTTAGAAGATATAATTATTATATTACTTTCAAATCTCTATGAATTATTTTATTCGAATGCAAACAATCCAGTGCACCTAATATAGATATACAAATGTTAAAAACATCTTTTTCTTAGAATGGAGTCTTTGGAGTTTATAATGAACCACCAGAACAGAATTCAGAAATGATATAAATATTTTGATTGTCTTCGAAAGAATGATATACTTTGAGTATGTTTTTATGATTTAATGTTGATTAGATTTTAATTTCTTATCTAATCATTGGTTCTGCATTATATTTATATAACAATCCTTTTGAAATCTATATTTTAATAAAATTTAAATACTATTTTGCAAGCATAATACTTGTTTGTTCTCAGATCTAAGACCTGATATACTGTTCCAAATGAACCACTACCTAATTAAGTTTATAAGGCATAAGTGGATCCATTACTTGACATAATTATGTTGTTCATTAAATAATTTATTTATTAAATCATCTAATAAAAATTATTTCTTTTCTTTTTAATAGAGAAAATATTAGTAATAAATTATTAAATCAAATCATTTCTTTCGCTTATAAACTAATCCTTAAAATTCATAAGGTCGCTTTTCTAAAGAAATTTGTTTTTTTGCTCCAAAGAATGGGGTTTAAAAACTATCATTAAATTTAGTCAACTTACCTTAACTAATTTTAAATTCAATTTTATCAAATTCTAATAAATAAATAAGATATCTTACATAATAAACATTTTTTTAATATAGGTAATCTTACATTATTTTACTTGTTATTTTCTTTATTAATAAAATTACATTTATGATCTTCAAAATTCTATTGATGTTAAATTTCAATATCTCCAATATTAACTTTTTAATTATTAAAAGTATCAATATTACATGATTTAAATAAGTCCATTTAACTTAATATTTTCTTAAAAACTAATTAATTCTAATGAAAATACAGTTTGTATAATATGATTTCTTTTTTTAGAGTAAGTTTTTGGTTCTGTGCTTTATCTTCTTTAGTAATTGATATAATTATCATTCTAATTTGTTTCAGTTTAGATAGAATTATATTATACAGATCGTTTTGGTTTTATATAAATCTTCTCATATTTTCTAATTTCATTTTAACAGAGTGATTAATACTCTTAAGAATTTCTTTATTTCTTAATCTATTTTGGTAAACGATTAGTATATGATTCAAAAAATGATTTGCATTTCTATCTGATTTCTTTAACTCCCAAACAATTATTATTATTCATATAAATTATAATATATTATAAGAATATGTAATTATAAAAATTATATATAAATTCTTTTAATATCATTATTAATATTACAAATAGTTAACAGTGTTATTTTATTAAGCTTATATTAATAGTATTGTGAGATTATTATTAATTTATTATTATTGTTTATTTTCTTCATCAAGTTATTTAATTACATTTTAATTTTATTTTTCCTTATTTTCTCCTTCTACTCTTATTTTCTCTAATCTTTTATGTTATTTAAGGAATGCTTATTTCAATAATATATTTTCACTATCCAATCTTTAAATCTATATTTATAATCAAAATCAATACATTCTATTAATATTTCTCTCCTAATTTTTGTTCAAAAACATCAAAAAATAATTAAATCACTTGTTAAGCCAACTGATTGTTTTATGATTATTAAAGTCTTTTTAACATTTCCTCTTTTAAATTATTTTTATAATTGTCAAACTATCATAGATATTTAAACCATACATCTGTATCAAAAATCTCTAATTTCTATGGAACGTCTGTCTTTTAACAAAGTATTTCACAGACCATTTCAATATTATTATCAAAATCTTCTAATAATCGTAAAATATCTGATTATTGAATCTAAGGGTATTTCTCTTAAATAATAGCCAAATTTTATCTAAATATTTTCTATTAAATAATATACAATGTAAGTCTTTTGCGTGCTTAACATAATGTTTCTAAATTTTTATCTTATGTAATACGTCTTCTTAAAGCATATGTAGGATTTTTAATCTAAATTAATAATAATTAAAGTTACTTCAATTGATTCATCTTCAAATTACCTTCTCTTCCCAACCAACATGTATCTATGTATTTTAATAATAATAATTAATATTTAATACTACCTTAAATCACATTAATAGAACGTAATAAATTATATTTCATTAATATATAAATGTTGTACAAAAATACTTATATAAATTTCAATCTATAGATGTAAATAATAACTATTATTTATTTTCTTATCATTATAATATTAATATTTTTTTTATTTTTAATCAGAAATGTGCTGCATTACTACTGTCACTTGTTAATTCTGCTCTTAATTGTTTCAATCTGGCTTCCTTCTTTGCCAAAGCAAAATCAAACACTGAAAAGTTATATTTCTCAGCTAAATCAGATATCACCTTATTTCTTTAAACAAAAATTGGCTCAAATAATATTTAAGAAAGGTTATATGAAAATGCAGCTGAAACCAAACCTAAAGGTATTATTATATTTAAATTACCAATTCCCAAAACAAAAATACTATTTAAAATTGGACGACTTGTAATTCTTGAAGTAATTAATTATTATTCCCTTATTGTTGCTAAGGCCAAGAAAATACCACCAAATGAAAATATTCCTGATCTTGCATCTACATCAATAAATTTCTCTTTGATATATTTCGAATGATCTTCTTTTGAAATCTTCTCTGGTGTCTAGCTTGCAATATAATAAAATATTAATCTTCTCTTATCTTGTGGTCCAGCTGATTAATAATTGTGATTTCAAATACCAAGCATGATATTGTCATGATTTATAAAATAGCCATTAGTAGTTTTATGCAATTAAGGAGACACCAACCAACTCAAACTCATTATAGATATTTGATTGAATAAATATATATAAATATAAATTTATTTATAATTTTCTTTATCTTATATTTTATTTTATTTTAACCATTGAAATAATAAATATAGTTGTATAATATTAAAGGATCTTTGATTCTAATAAAATATTTTATATTTTTATATATTTAAGTGAAAAAAAACTAAAAACAATTAAAAAAAAGAATAACTATAAACTTATATGAAATGCTATTCATATAATTCTATGTACAATATATAAATAATAATATAATACATTTAATAACCTGATATTGATAATTTTAATTGAGATTAATATTTTTTAAATGAAAGATACATTTAAGGAATTTGAAGGATGAATAAATAATTAAATAAGATTATTTTAGGATTAGATACATAACAAAAATTAAATCAATAATTAATGTATTTTTAGTTAATTGTAGTATAGAAAATTGGTTGAACTGATAAATTAGTCACTTAATTAAAGAAAATGAAAAAGTAATTAAAATTTAAATAATGGAAATTAAGGCATTAAAAGAATAAGTCAAGGACCAAGAATTTTGTACTGGATATTTTCTTAATATTATTATTATTAATGTTGATTGGTATAATCATTTCATATTCACAGTCACAAGAGGTGATTAATAAATTAATTAAGAGAAGATTTTTTATAAATATCATTATTTGATGTATTAAAATATTTTTTCTTTTATTAATGATACTCAGTTTGAAAGATCATCCGAAGGGGAACGCACGGGCTATTTTTTGTTGTTATACTATTTGTCACGACGGGAAGACTCAGAGCTGGATGAGTGTCTTTTGTGGCCTAATTAGAAGTAAAGTAAGTGAGTTAGTTAAACTTTTAGATTTCTTCTTATGTCTGTCAATGCTTCGACTTCTGGAACGTCTCTTATAGTTACTATCTCTCTTCCTGTACTTATCATTGCCTCCTCTACCTCTGTCTTTATCACGATCATTTGTACTCCTAAAAACTAATTAAATTAACTATTACCTCTTCCTTCCACTTGCATACTCAATCTTCATTGCTTACCCTTTCAACTCACGACCTTGTAAACTAATATATAGATATTTTTCACTCCTTTACCTATTAAAAGCTTCAATAGCTTTTTCTACCTTTTCAAATTCAACAAATGCGTATACATGAGGACCCTTGTCCAACACTTTAATCTCGGTGATTTAACCATACTGTTTAAACAGCTCCTCTAAATCATCCTTTTGAACCTAAGGAATTCTAAATAATCATATTACTTTGTAAGCAAGATTGCCAATCCATAACTTCTTTTTAGGTTCGGACATTAAGAAAAATGTAATTTATATTAATTTTTAATATTCATCATTCAAAAAAATGGCTTTAATACCTCAAGATTTTAATACCCTCCTATAATAAATAAAATATATATATATATATTTGAAAATATTTAAAATATTTTTCTGTTGTTATCTTAAATCATTCTTTTCCATATAACTCAGTGTCTATTTCTATCCTCATTCATATTGTTAATATGTACTGTATCTATATTTGTAGTATATAAGAGAAATTTATGATAAATTAAAATATAAAGATTCATCATAATTTATTTATAATATAATTATGTATGAATATTTATTATTACTACAAATCAAAAAGTGGAAATCCATTATTCAATCATATCAATTCACATACATTCATGTTATTCTATGATTTAATTATGATTCCCTTAAATTAGAGAATTGTTATTCATTTTCATTTTGAATATATATTTCCTAACTCATGTATAAATATTTACAAGAATATCTAGTGATTCACAATTCTAGATGATCATCAAATCTCTTGTTCACAATTACAAACATTGAATCTATAGTGGAAATGAAATTAATATTATAATTTATGAGTTTACCATTTATAAATTAAGCTATTCAAACTATATAACAGTTTCCTATTACCTAACAAACAAATGAACTTAGATTAATTTATCAAACATGTTAATAATCATCAAAGTAGTTGGGAAAATTTAAGATAGATAATACATTTTGGAATCAAGACATCACTAAAGTAGAAATAGAAATCTCTAAAATATTACATGAATTTGGTTATCGTGTAAAACCTAATCCCATTCATTAATTTAATTTTGATACATTCCTATAGAAAAAGGCTCGTCTTAATATTACAACTGAAGATTATAGAGAAGCTTTGCTATAGTTTTATGAAAACTTATAAGCAAATTTATGGATTAGGAGAAAATATCTATTGAGATAAAGAATAGCTTTATTACATAATCCAACTGAAGATGTTCTATTCTATGATCCATTAGTTAAAGTTAAATCAGATGTTATTCCAATAGAAATGTATTCAACAGTGAATTTAGAGAGAATACATCCTGATGAAAATAAGACTTTAGTTGATGAAGAAATAAAAATGATTGATGAAAAGCTTATAGAATATGCAGAAATAAGTGAAAAACTATCAAATGAAAGAATTTTTGATCCTTCAAGATTTGATTAAGATATACCTTAAATACAAATATCAACTGATGATGATCTCATTTTTGAGAGAATGAATAATAAGATATATTAGAGTATGCCATTTATTACTTAGAAACATCTAAAAGAGTATTACAATTTTAAATAAAATCAAATGGTCAATAAATTAGATGATTTAGATACTCAAATATATATTGAAAGTTTAGAATCAACAACTTAAGATAGTACTATAACTGAATATTGCAATATGTATTTGATTCCTGTAACAATGCCTTAATTATAATAAGAATTGCAATAATTAGCATTAGAGTAGGGAGTAGATTAAGACATTACTGTTGATAATGGTGCTTTATTTTTGTTTGCTATTGATAAACATTTTATTCAAAAGATTTAAGAATAAAGTAATAAATATTTACTTTTCCTTCCATACAATTTAGATTAATCTGAATAAAAAACTAAGAGTTTTTAATAATAAACTATGAATATATTAAATGAATTGAAAGAGGATAAGATAAGGAAGAATTAATATAGAATCAGAAGTAGTGCTCATTGGTTAGATAATATTTAAATTATATAAGAGAAGGAAGATACTGAAATGAATTTGATATTTAATTAATACGAAGATAGTTCTATAAATTCTTGGATGAAATTCTTGTTATATCATGAATCTGATAAGATATAAGATAAAATCAATAAGGATGTTTCTTTAGTTTAAGAGAAAGTGTAATCTACTTATTTTCCAGAGATTTATTTTTAATTTTTCTTAAGATATTAGAAATTATTATATTTAGAGTCAAGAGAGTCTTTAATTTAGATTATGCATTGTTATAATGTAATGAGAACAATGTAGAAGAATTTAAATATATATTTTATTGATTTGCATCAATTATCTAGTTAATTGACAAAAGAGAGAATACAGAAGAAATAATAAAATACATTGAATGCATTTATAACAAGTTTAGATTCTAAGGAAACAATACCTTAGGAAGATACTTCTGCATATTTTTGTGAAGAAAAGATATAGAGAAATCATAATCTTTATGAAGTAGTAGATGGAAATGGTCATAAAATAATACATGAAATAGTATTTAAAGATGTAGCTTAATTGTTAGATAAGATAAGTCATATAAGTGCATTTACATTATAATTTACTAATAAAATTGGGGAAAAAAATAGTCATTCTGATTCTTAATAATTAAATAGATTTTTAGCAGTGAAAGATTTACTTTAAGCTGAATTAGATTATAATAATGCTAAATGTAAAATATTATAAATTGTATATCCTTTATTATCTAAAGCAAGAGTATCAGAATTGACTAATGCTATTAGTATTCTAGCTAGATTAATTCATTAATAACCATAATTTAGATATGATTAGAATGTACTCATTCATTATTCAGAAGCTACAAAGAGATTGAATCTATTAAGTGATATTTTCATTAATACAAAATCTTTGAAATTAATTTTGAAATTATTCTCTATTAAAGATATTAATATTTTGGAATAAACTTTGAAATATATTAAAAGAGATAGACTTATAGATAAAGAATTTCCATATAAATCATTTTATAAAGATACAATTTTAGATTCTTAAAATAATTTATCATAAATTTTAAAATAATTACCAGAAGATGGAAATTTTAATATATTTTCACTATTAGAATTTTTATTATTGAGAAGGAAATTCTATAAGTTATCCTTAAGAATTTATTATCTTAGTAATTTATATGGATAATAAATTAAAGAGAGAGGTTTGATTAATAAAATGATATAAAAATTAGAATTAATTCCAAATAGAGTTATTGATGAAAAAAACTTTGATGTTTTCTCAATAGTTATGGATGAATATTTAAAAATTGGGAAAGAATGTTAATAAATAGAATTATGGACAACTTTTGCTTCAGATAATTATAAAATGATAGATATGCTCATGCCTCTTAAATCCTTATTATTATTAGACTTCTATTTATTCAATGCAATTAAAATAAATAGGAAATAAACACATCATTTTGTAGATATTATTGGATTAAAAGAAAGATTAGCATTATAAGCTTAAACAATTTAGAGGAAAGCCAATATTATGTAGAGTAGTACAGCAGCAACTGATTAAAATAATTAAGATAAATTAAAATAGACAGCTATTAGTATGATCTCTACTTAATTTAGAGGTTCATTATTAGTTAAAAATTTTGTTAATAAAATATAATAGAATTAATCAACTGCTTTATAAGAATTTAATAAATTATTAACTTAATAATGTCAATCATTAGTATTCACATTATAAGCTTTAGTATAAAGAGAATAAATGATTTAATTAAATTAATAATTACCATTTGTAAAACCTTTATTTACAGAAGAGCCATTCTTAAATGAAATGTAATAAATCTAAAATCCTTTTATAATTCATAGTATTCCCTCAATTATGAATATAATTAATTTTAAAGATTTTGACAATAAATCATCAAATCTTGAAGTTGATAATTTGGGAGATGAAGATTGGATAACAACAACTCGATTAAAATTAGAGAAAAATGTTAGTCCTTTGTCTGCTAATAGAAAACAACCTAAATTTAAAAGTTCTGGAAATCCATTTTCAAATAATACTAAATTCTAGGAACCCATATCTGGATCATAATAATTAGCTTTATAATTAGTACAATTATTAATTGGTGTACAATCATGTAATTGTAATGTTTAAGATCTTATTTATTTACATCAAGGTATGTTAGGAATGGAAGAATTGAAACGTAATTAATTGAGATTAAGAAGAGATTTAGAAAGTGTCTATTAGTAGGTTTAAAAGTATAAGGATAATATTTCTAAGATTTTATCAAGTGGAAATATTTAGAATATGAATTTAACTATTATGACATATTTAGAGAAGTTGATAAAAAGATTTCATTTATTAATTATTATAACTATGATATCATCAGTACATCAATTCAGAAAATAAATTTAAGATAATAGTGAAATTTATCCATAAATAATATCTACATTAAAAAATGCATTGATTACTGGTTGTTTTAGAAATATGAGTCATGTTGAAAGATTAATGGATTAAGCACCAAAAGTTTATCCTTCAATCTAAACCAAAAAAATTATAAGTGATAAAATGATGTTATTGAAATATGCATTTGGTTCATAATTTGTATAAGCTCATTAAACAAATCCCAATAATGTACATATGCCACTTAAGGAATTTTAATTTGAAGATTTTTATACATAATTATCACCTTATATGATTCCATCATAGTAAATATTATTTAGAACTTAGAAAATCAATTATAATATTGAAACTTTCTTATCATCTGTTATTGATCTATTTCCTAATGCAATGGCTAATTTATTTACTCTATTTCCTTAATCAAAATTGATATATTATTCAACAATATAAGATTTAATAATTTCAGAATCAGAATCAATATTAAGAGATAAATGTATTTTTGAAGTAGATGATCTATTTAAATATGAAAGAGCATATAGAAAACTTTTAGTGTTATAATTTCGTTATTTAGTATTATCAGAATTTTTTACAGTATAAAAAAGATAAATATTACCTTTTTCTTCAGATACTAATGATCCATGTACTTAATGGCTTGAGAATTGTGTAGAGTTATGTGATAAAAATATGCATAAATAATAATTGAAAGCTGGACTCTTATTAAATGCACTTCCTGGTGTTAATAAATAAGTTAATGAACTTAAAAAGGGATCTAAAACAACAAGAATGAATTATGAACCATCATAAGAGAAGTTTTCAATTTTACCTAGATTAAGATTAGAGAGTTTTGAAAATTAAGTATTTTAATTAATTTCAATGATGATTGGATGTTAGGCTATATTTTAAGAGGAAGGGAAACAATATTATTAATAGTTAAACAATTAATTAAATAAAATGGATTAACCTTATTAAGTGGCTAAATAATTAAATGTGTTTTATAGTAATTTAGAAAGAGATTCATTAAAAATAATGACATTGAATAAAGGTTATGCACATGTTATAGCTGATAATGATTTAGATAAGCATTTAAATGATTTTAATAGAAGAATGTTGGATTTCAATAAAGCAAATTATCCAAATCATGTAATTATTGAAAATGAATCATTATAAAGAATGTATAATTAAAAATCAATAGAATTAAGATTTGCAATGAAAAAGATTAAGTTTTATGAATCAAATATAAATCATATAGTAGAAAGTTTGGTTGCATAAAGGACAAATGATTTAATATTTGAAAATGATGCATTGAAATAATAAATAGAATAGATGATGAAAAGTTTTGATATAGAGAAATAGAAACAGAGAGACAAGATTAAAGAAGAATTTTCTGAGTAAATTCGTACTTAAGATGTATTAATATAATAAATGTAAAATCGATTTTAAGATTATAAGAGAGGAATTTCAATGGAGATGACAAATTTTATATAAGAATATAAAACAGATGGATTGAAAAGAGTTAGAGATAAAGCATCTGAAGCATTATTTGGTTAGGTTAATAAATTGAATATAGATTTAGATGTAGAATATTAAAGAGTAGGAGTTTATGATAAATTTAAAGAAGATAGTGAGTAAATAAATTCTTTATTTTCATCATTAAAAAAATTAAGAACATTTTATTTATGGAAAGAGATGTGTATAAGAGAAAGATTTGAGAAATAAATATAAATAATAGTAGCAGCAAATTCAAGCAATGAAGAATTATAATAAAAGATTTAATAATTAACAGAGAATGTTGAGATATTGAAGGATGAATTAATATAAAATAGAAAGATTATAACAATAATGGATAATTAAAACTAGATTTTAAGAAGAGATCTTTAAAAATTAAAGATAGAAAGATTTTAAGCTATGAGAGAGAAAGGATAATTGGGAGCAATAGCTACTTATTAAGATTAAGAATAATAATTAGAAGAATAAAGAAAATAAGTTATAGAAGCAAAGAAAGAATAATAATTTAAAAATTCTAGACCTATTACTGCTTCATCTATAACAAGATCAATAAAATCAGCATAGAAAGTATAAAAATTGTCAACCACTTAAAGTGTGCCAAAATTAGGAACATCTTAAATGATGTCAAATTAAAAGGGAACATTAACAATGAAATATAAAATTACATCTTGATTTTATTATATATATATATATATTTATATATAAAATTAAGTATTTATATGTTAAGATTAGCCACTTAGGCAATTAAAAATATGGTGCAAATTGTACCAATTATTAGACCTATACAATTTTGTTAGAAACCAATATAATTCTTTGGATTAGCTAGATTATTTAAATAAACTCGTATAAGTGGATAGGCTAGATCTAAAACAAAATCTTCAAGTTCAAGTTGGAAATCAAGAATCAGAACTCAAAATAGATTATATAAGATTGGAAATCATAAAGGATTAATGAAAAGAGTTAAAATTGTTGGTCCAAGGAGAGCTAGAAGACTTAAGTTTAAGTCTCCTGGATCTAGGCATCTTAATCGAAATTGTTCAAAAGCTAATTTAAGAAGAAAAAGACGAACTAGATATATAAGTGATGTTGATATGCCAAGAATGAGAAAGCTGTTACCATTAATGAAGAGATAGAAATGTAAAAGAGGATCTTGAGTATATAAAAAAGAAGAGAGAAACAAAAATATTTTATTTCAAATATATTATTTAAATAATATGATAAGAGGATTAAGATTGTTATAGATGAGACCAATCTTTTATTTTGCTGCTGATAAGACTCCAGCACCAACTTAAGGCAAACAATAATAAGCAAAACCAATTCAAGTTTATAAAGATGGATAATTAATAACTAAGAATTATCTTTAATTGAAAAAGTCTTAAGATATTGAAGGATATGTTCTAACATTAGTCAAGAATTATTACAGAACAACAAATAAGGTAATTAATTATAATAATATTCAGTAAGCTTTAACTTTAGATTCTGAATTAGAATAACATGGATTAGATAGTTTGGATTCTATTGAATTATCTATGCAAGTAAATAAATAATAATAAATTAGATTGAAGAAGACTTAGGATATGTTATTTCTGCTGAAACCTTACCAGTCTTGAATAAGGTTAGACATTATGTTAATTATATTAAATAAGTTGAGCAATATAAAGTAGAAAACAATGCTGCTCCATTGGCATGATTAATATCATATGCATATTCAGTATTAATAACAAAATAATAATTTTCGTTTATTAATTAACATGCTTATTAATTAAATGATATATGGAAGTATCAATTTGTAAATGACAATCATATTCTGACTAAATTAATATTCATAATTATTTTATTATATAAATTAATAAATAATTTTAATTTACATTTCTTATTATTAAGAAAATAAACTAGAAATTCAGATATTTATTGTTTTTTTCATAATTAAATCTGATGCCATAAATATTTATGAAATTATATTATGTAAAATGATTTCACATTAATAATTAGCTATTCCCAAATAAATAGTTGATATTTGAGACTGATAATTCTAATAATACAATTATGGACAAAGCTTCATATTAATCAACATCAATCTAAAAGTATTATACTTAGTTATTTTAGATTAATTATATAATAAATCCAATAAGTTAATATGAATTTACATAGAATCTCAATGAAGAAAAAATCAAGATTGAATTTCTATTGTGTTAATTCATTTAAAATAATTATATATGCTAATAGAAGTATTAAAATTATCTGTTGAAAATTTCAATAAGCAACTTTTTTATATATTTACAAATTCAAATTACAAAAATAGGTCACCTTATTTATAGTGAATATTAAAGTCATACATATGATTAGTAAAAGAAGGAAAATAGTATTGTCATAATCAATTCAAACTTCATTTTCATTTTAATTATGAATTATTAATAATAATATCTACAATTCAGCTACTATGAATACATTCATTTTAGTTAACACAAAAGGAATATTGTTATACAATAATAATAATTGATTGAATAAGTAGTTCATTAATATGTTAATCAACAATAAATATTTTTAAAAAGAGGGTTTGTTTAATTTAATCAAAAGATCTTTGACTAATTACAAGCACAAATGATGAGATTTTATTGTAATTCATTGAGGTAAATTTTGCATTATTTTAGAATGATATCTCAAACAATAATTTTAAATTAAAACTTCTTAATGTTATTATTAGTAAATTTCTATTATTACAAGTTAAAGTCAAACTAGTTATTTAAATAATGCATTTGTAATAATAAGACTAAGAAAAATTAAGTCAAAATTTGATTTTGATGATTTCTAATTCGTAATTAAAAGTTTTGCTTTTTATTATACCAATTTACAATGATGACGTCAGAAAAGGCGTAGTAGCAAATTGATAAGCGTTAAATTGATCCTAGTATCCTTGTTATATTAACATAAATTCATTATAGCTTTAAGAAGTAAAACATCAGATCTAAAACAAAAAAATGAAACTCAATTTAATTGATATCTTAGTATATAACAGTAAAAATTTTTAATTTAAAGTTCATAATCTATATCTATTTTATAAATTAATTTATTTAATGAAATAAAAGATTACATCATCGCTGATAGTATTCTTAATATGTCTTTTGACAGTGAATAGCAAGTCAACTGGATGCTGTAATTTATCATCTTATACTTGTAGTTTCAAAAGTGGAGCAATTATAATTATTTCCAACAAAAGGAGAAAAATTGTAAATTAATCTTCGTGATAATATTTTTGAGGGTGAAGATCTCACTTATGAATTATAAGACACATATTTTAAGATTGTTAATCCAGTAGCAAATACTGGAGGTATTTCAAGTCATATATCATGTATATTCACATTTAATTGATTTAGCTGCTTCAAATATTAGGGCAGCAAAACCATATCACACAAAGAAAATGTAATCATGGTTAAATTCATTTGTATTCCTAGATTAAAGTGCAACAGAAGTGTCTATATATTTTTCTGAAGGGTAATTATATATATATAGATGTTAGAACTGCTTTAGATAAAATTCCAACTCCAGATTTCAATACTAAAGTTAAGATTGCAACTGTGACTAATAATCTATAGTGTTATGATGTAGAATATATTGACAATGATAAATTTATAGTAGATTGTTAAAAAGAAGTGACTGAAAAATAAATCACAAAATAAATTGATGTATTCTATATTTATTCAAAATAAACAAAAAAAATAACTTCGTTTGATGATGAAGCATCTGTCAAAATATATAATTAAAGACGTATAGGATTGTATTATTCAACAAGTGCATTAGGAAAAGAAACTACTTATATTGTTAGAGTTACACCAACCTATTCAATGAATCCTACAGATTAATTATCTGGAAATTCAATTGTGTAAGTTTATGCATTAAGTGAAAATTATTAACCTATGCCAAGAAATTATATTTTAGATAATGTTACAATGGCATTGTTGTTAGGAAAAGTTGAAATTGAACTTTCTATAGTTGATTTTGAAATCTCTTATAATGGATTTATATTTTTATTGGATGCTTAATATGGTCTTTTTGTTGTTAGATTCTAGCCAACTGGATAATGGGAATTATTTGCTTCAGTTGATTTTTAATAAGGAAGATTATATTCATTTGATATTGATTATGAACATAAAAAGGATGGTTCTGAACTTGGAGTGATTGCTATTCTTGGATACAATTTTTTTGCTATTTTAGATGCAGAAAAATCTTATGTTCATAATCTTCCATTTTTTTAATTTGAATATCCAGCCACTATTAAAATATCATAGGATAATATTATTATTAGAAATGATAAATAAACTTATTTTTATAAAATTGATGTGGATACTGATAAAATCTATTTAAATTATAAATAAGAAATACCTATTAGTGATGTCTTATTGATTAATCCATAAGAACCAGATTTAATCCAAATTAGCACCAAAAATTCTTATAGACATACAATTTCTAATGGATATTTGTATTATTCTGGAAGTGATAAAGTATAGTAGAAGAAAGTTGTGGTTATCAAAGCCAAAACTTCAAGTAAAGAAGAATGCACTGTTTATCTTTCATATTAAATTATTGAAGATAATGAGAATTGGATTTATCAATTATTTGATCAACCTATGCCTTTTCCTAATATAATTGCAGAAGGTTAATCTCAATCTATATTGAAAAAATTAGCATCAGGTCCAAATCTCTAATATAGATTACTTAAATCAACTTAATTTGAAGACACAGATATTACAACTACCATTAGATCAAGAGTAGAATTAAGTTTAAATAATGAATAACCTAAAAATGTTATTTATGCAGAAATAATATCAACTGAAGATGATACTATATTCTATTAAGTTTTGTAAACTTAAAATATGAAGATATAAATATTGAATTGTGTTCATAATTCAGTTTATGTTGATGCTACATTTTGTGATATTTATATAGATGATTTAGGTATTACAACTAAAGTAAATAAATAAAACTTTTCAATATGGGCCAAATATAATGTAATATATTTCATGTACATTGATACATAATATAATGTTGTAATTAGATCAATACATGATGGTGTAATAACTCCAGTTAAAACAATATAATTAGATCCTACAGTAACTGCTAATAAGATTTTAAATATTTTGAATTGTGGAGATTATCTTTTAATTCATATATCTAATAATGATATCCTTACATTTTTAATATATAGACCTGAACTTTTTGTACTCACTACTTTAAATAAAAATTCATTCTCATTATATGGTTACAATGAAGATTGGGAACCAAAAGCACTCTTTACAAATAAAAAATTACATCCAAATATTCTTTTTATTTAACACAAAAATCATATTTTAATATTAGATACTGATTTTGGTTTATTCTCATTTATTAAAACTATATAAATTACTCCAAATTTAGATTATTCAATTGCTATAGGAAAAGAAACATTCTTTGTTGTTCAAGGCAAATCATCTAATGATGTCAAAGATGCTTAAATCTATGAATACAATTTTGCAGATATAAATCATGTCTATTTATTGAAGAAATTATACTTATATTGGTATGATATATCCACTCCTTTAAATGTTGATTATAGTGAAGATACTGGTCATTTGTTTGTTAGAGGTGTTTGTCTATACTGTAGTAAATCCTTTGTTTTAGTATTTTAACCTAATACTCCTCAACATGAGGCCTTAGTCTAAGCTTGGGATATTGCTGATACTCTTATTCCTGATTCAAAATCAATATTAATTGCTGCAAATGGATTTCATTAAACTTATTTATATTTAAATGTTGAAGGAGAACAATCTCTTTTTGCTGTTTATGATTAAACAACAATGATTGTATATTCCAAAATCTAATAAGATGTTTATTCAAATAAATATCCATTAAATTTTTAGATTAGAAATTATAATTTCTAAGGCAAACCAGAAAAATTTAATACAATCGATATCAATTAATAAATTACTACCATTTCTTCTTTAACTTAAATTAAATTAAATCAAAATGATTTCCCTTTTTCTAAAGTAGCTGTAGAGATCTATTCAACTGATGAAACTAAAACCTTTGATTTAGGTCAAAATTGGTATTCTGGTTAAATTGGAAATTTTGAAATTGATTGTGACTAATGTGAAACAAATATTGAATTATAAAGTACTTTTGATCTAATCAATCCAAAAATATTTAATGGTTATGAAATTAGAGATCATATCAAATATAATACTGATTTCAATATTATGTAAGCTACAACAGGTTTAATATTTGTAAATCTTGATAACACTTTAGCTTCTGTCTATGATTTTGATTTGCCTAATATTAATTATCAATGTTATTAAGCTACTGTTTCTGAAGATAAAATGATTATTTATTCATTATGTAATGATGGAACAGAATTCACAGTTTATGCTACTGGTTGTTTTTCTATTACAGGATGTTCTCCATTAGGTGAAAAATTCAAACTTGGTATGGCATCAAAAATTCAAATTATTTCAAATGAACTTTTAGTTGTTTTGCATACAGATATAAATAATCCAGAACTTGTTTAAGAAGGAAAAATTGTACTTTATAAAATTGTTATGGGATTATAAGCATGGAAACTTGAAGTCATTGAAATAATTGATTTAAATTATCTTAATTCTAAATTAACAACTCCTTTAAATGATTTCAGACCTGCTGATTTTTCAATCGTAAAATAAAAATACTATCAACAAAATAAATATTCTTATAAATTGTTTATAAGTGATTCAAATATTGGTTTCATTTTTATAGATTTCTCATTTTCAAATCTACCTGAATATGTATTTTTATCTATTGAAACACTTAATCTTCATAATTATTTAAATAAGTAAGTTAGCTAATACACACTTCCAACAACTAAATTCTTATCATTCTAATTTATTTGGGAACCAATTTTTGATTGGAGTTCTAATTAATTGAGAACCTATCTAATAATTTTGACTACTGATGCTTCTTAATATGGATTCAAATTCGATTTTGCTGGTTAGCCTGCATATAATACACTTCTTACTGCTAAAGCATTATCTGCTGTTATTGTAAGATATGGAGATTGGGTTCCATTGAATAAATTAGCCATCCATAACAAATATTTATAATTAGCTATTCCATATAGAAATGAAAATTAAATTATTGTTGCTGTCTATGATATTGATATTGTAACAACTAATGATTTTTCAGCTATTGTTCCTACCATTAGTGTTGGCACCTATACTATATTTTATGAATAAGCTTAATGGATTAGTCCTTTAAATTTAGCCATGTTTTTTGCTAAATAGGATAAAATCCTTTTTGTATCCTAATTATAAGGACCACTTTAAAGTTATGGAATCTATAGATCTCCAATTTTAATATTGAAAAATCAAGATAAAACACTAAAAAGCTAAGAAATTACACTCATAGCTAAAAATAACTTTTCTGAAGAAAAATTAAAATTGAAATTAATCGTTCAAGAAGTCGATACTAATGAATGTATTGCCAAGATAACTAATCTCATGATTTACCCATCAACTAATGAAGTTATGTAATGGAATTTATCATAAAATTTATTTGATGGTGTTTCTTTAAAATATAATATAGATTAAATAGATTTTGAAATAATTTAAAATAGTTAATAAATAGGATAATATATAAATCATATATAAAGTAATAATATATAATATATAATTAATTAGTTGCAACATAAATTATATAAGCAAAAGCATTAATTACATAAAATAGAGCATGGTCTAATTAATTTGGATTTTTAAATAAAGATAATTCAAAATATTCTATATTTTATACAAATATGTAATTTATTATTTATATTTATAATTAGACCTACATTTAATAATGCACCATCATTTAATTAAATAATTAATATTAAAAAAACAGATATTAATCTTAATTGTATAGATTTTCTATTATTATCATCTAATTCATTTATTATTGATTGTTAAATCTAAAATAATAAATTCTTATTATTAATTTAATCAAATTAAGAAACTTAATATTTTAAAGTTGAAAGTCTCTTTTTAAATAGAGTTATGGATACATATAAGATTAAGGATGATTAATATGTTGTAAGAGTTACTTTATCTATTAATAATGAAGGGCAATTAGCCAATAATTCCTTTGTTGAATTGTTCTAAGTTACAAACGAAGGTTTAATCAGTAAAACAACACTAGATAAAACTAAATTAATTAATATTTCTGGAAAATAGATAAATTAATTGAATATAGTTGATTTTAAAATTGGATTGAATGGATAAATCTATTTACTAGATGCTAAAATAGGAATCTTTGTTGTATTTTTTGATACAGATTGGAAATTTTCTAAATTTATTGGATATAATTTTGGATAAAGTTTTGCATTTGATAGAACAGTGTTTAGTAATAATGAAGAAATGTTTGTAATAAAGGGTTATAATTATTATGGAGTAATAAATTAAGAAGGAAAAATTAAAAAAGTATAAGATTTGCCATTTGCAAGTGTAACATATCCTTAATAAATTATGTTAAGTCATAAATATGTGTTCTTGCATAATCAAGGAAATCTTTATATATATCATACTGATGAGGATAATAGTAGTTTGATAGATATTATGAATGTGTCAAATGGAGCTGGAATAGTAAATCCAAATAGTTAAGATATTGTTATACTATCCCTCACATCTTCTTCAGCATGGACCTTTAGTTTAGGATAATTAAAATTTAATGGAAACGCATAAGCAAGTACAAATTTCAAAACTTTGACAATTTCAGCCAAATCTTAACACAATTAAGTCTGTTATTCAAGAATATTCTATTAAGTATTGGCTAGCAATAGTGAGACAATCTTTAAAAAGGTTGATACTGAAACTCCATTTCCGAAAGTATTGGATGAGAATGATGAACAAGTAAAATTAGGAAGTTTGGTTTCAGGTCCTAATTTAATTTATGAGATTATTCAACCTAAATCACCATTAACTTTGCATTCTAATAATTTTATGAACTTATTTGCAGAACCAGATTTAGATGTCTTTGCTTAGATTGCACATTAGAGAACAATAAAAGTGAATAATTGGCCTAAAAAATCATTATATTAGACATCTCTAATTGGCAATAATTAAGAAACTCTATTCTAAGTATTTTAATAAGAAGATAAGAAAGTTATTATTTAAACCTGTGAGTTGACTGATCATGTAAGATATGAATGTAAAGATTTTGGAAATGTGTAAGTTAAGGAATAATTATCAGATTAGCTTTTTAGTATATGGTAGGATAGTGAAAATATAGTTCATTTCATAATATTAGAGACACCATTTATTATTAAATTCTTCAAAATAAAAAATAGTCAAACTGTTTAATATGGATTTATTAAATTAAATGAAAATGAAGAGAAAGATGAATTAAAAGTATTAGCATTTTAAAATTAAGGAGACTTTATATTTTTAATTTAAGAAAATGGTGAATTGTCATCATATTCTACTGAGAAGTTTACATTAATTAATAAAGTTACTGGAGTAAATTTAATTGGATTCTAAGGTGACTGGAAACCAATTAAGTTATATGGTAATAGAATTTTAAGACAAAATGTTATATTTGTTCAAAATGAGAATAATGTTGCAATTATCAATTACAGTAATCAAGAATTCATTTATGGATAGTAGATAAACTATACTAAGGGCAATTAAATATACATAACTTAATCAGTAAATTCATTCTTTTTTGTAAATAACAAAGAATTGAGTGAATACAATTATGAAATAGTTAACAATGTTTTCAAGTAAAAGACTGTTGAATTATTTGGATATTAAATAACTAATCCTTTAGGTGTCTCATCACACTTATAAACAGGTATTCTAATAATTAGAACAACAAAAAATGATAATGTATATTTGAACATTTTCAAACCAGATTAATTATAACATGATACATTTTATTTGGCTGTTAAAATTAATGCTAAAGTTGATGATATATTTGCAGTATCTGCATGTGGATCAGATCCAATAGGATCAGCTTATATAATTACACTAGTAAGTAGCGAAGTAGTTTAGTAATTAGATTTTATTGTACTTGATCCATAATTGATTATTATTCCTAATAAATAAAAACAAAAATATCTTACTGATTATGAAATTACTATTAATGTTAAGAATGCTGATTCCTAAAATAATAATTTACTTCCATTCACATAAAAAGTTAAAGTCATCAATACTTTTACTAATTTAATTGTTGATGATACAAATTAGATTTAATAAATAGATATTGAACCAAAATAAAATTCAACATCTATTAAGTTAAAAAATGGATGGATAAATGGATAATAAGCTTATTGTACATTAAAATAAGAAAAAGCTAACGATATAGTTTTATAATCATATCTATAAGAAACTAAAAAAGAAGCACTTACAAATCACTAAATCAAAGATGTTTCAACATTCTAAAAGAATGTAATTCTTTAAGCTAAAAACACAGTCCTATTAATGAAAGATAATAAATTAGAAGAAAGCAAACCAATTCTTGATATTTTAGGCTAAGAATACGATTGTTTCAGAATAACATCTTATGAAAAATCTATATATTCACTTTGTAATAATGGTGTAGAAGATTAAATATAAGTAGCTAGTTGTAATGATAAATAAGAATGTAAAAGAGAAAATGCTTATATTTCATCACCATTTGCAACTTAAATAGTTACTTTAGCTTAAGATGTTGTTGTTATATTACATACAGATTCATTAAATCCTGAAAATTATGATGGATATATTACAATTCATAAATTAATTTCAATTGATGCAATATGGTCATAAACTCTATTATTTACTATTGATTATCAATTCATATAATCTAAATTAGGAGCATAAACACCTAAATCATTTAGACCATCTTCATTTCTTCATTCATTGACTCATTCTGATGATAATTTATTTGCATTTTAATTCATAATATCTGATAGTGTAAATGGATTATTATTTATTGATTTAACTATTTCAAAGACTACATTTGATATCAAATTTTTATTTATGGAGTATTAGTTACTTAATAAATGGTTGAATGATAATAAACAATATGCTAATGATTATACTCATTATTATTCTAATAAGATTATAGAAGAATCAATCAAGGATAAAACCAAAACTATCACAATAGTAGTTGTTACTGATAATTCTTCATCTTATATTTTTGCTCTTACATTTGCCATTTCTGATAATCATTCAAATAAGTTGACAGATACTAAAGTTATAGCAGCTCTGAATAGATACGGATCATGGAAAGCATTAAACACTGTGGCTGCTAATAAATAATCAGTTGTTTTGGCATTTGTGCATAATTCTAAAGTTGTAGTTGGTGTTTATCACATTTCAGATAATGCTGTTTAAGCAATTAAAGGTTCCTTTTCATTTACTATTGCTGGAACATCAAAATTGGAACCAATTGATTTCCCACTTTATTTACAAGTAATTTTTTATCATTATACTTTAGGATTCAACTTTGATATCAAGTAAAGCCAGTAAGGGATTAAATCAATATGAGATCAGATAGGATATAAGTTTGAACTTTGGAGAAAGTGCCAAACTTGAAAACCAAACTTTAACAATAACCTTTTTTAATGATTACAGAACTGTCTCTAAATAAATTAAATTAAATATCAAACCAGACGCTGGAGGTGATGATGACGGAGGTTCAAGTTCTAAAGCTTGGTGGATCACACTCATTGTAGCTGGATCTATACTTATACTAGGTTTGATAGGATTTTTATTCTACAAAAAGAGAAATTATCAAGATGAAGATTAAGATGATCAAGAATCTGGTTTAATGCATGTAAATTGAGTTATACATTAACAAAATTATTATATGAAATAAATTTATTAATTAGATTACTAATTATTATTTAATAAGCATCAGCTCTACACTTGTTGTATCAATTTTAATTAAAGTTATACTATTTTGACTTTGATTAAAAATTAATTTTTAAATCAAATGATAATTATTATATTACAATAACTTATTTATATCTTAAATATTAATTTAAGTCATTCATTTTTTGATTTATGTACTATTATTTTTTCCATCTATTTTTACTAAAATTTCTAAAGTTCAATTTTCTTTATATAGTGATCGTCGAGTAGACTTTTCAAAATAGTACTAATAATATTAATACTCATAATATTCAAACTGTACTAATATTTTGAAATATCTCACACTTTGGTTTAATAATAACTTACTCAAAATCTCTGCTATTCTTATTAGGATGTTATAAATGCCTATAAGTTTTAGTTAAAGAATTATCCTATAAAATCAAGAAGAAAGATTGGAATATATCACTTTGATAAAGATTACAAAATAGTAGTAAATCAAATAAAAGCTGAATTTTATACTTTTTGTCATTTTTTAATTTATTAAAATATAATGGATAGATAATTGTAAACGAGTCAAAGAATCTTTACAAAAGCTTAGGTTGATGAGAAGGTTAAATATTTACTTTGTGTTGATATGGATTCTCACCAAATCTTCACTATTAATCTTAAGAATCATGAAATCTGCATAGAATATGATGTTCCTTAAGCTTACAGAGTTAAGGCTAAAAAAGATATAATGGATATCTAGAAATTAGTTTAATTGCCTGATTCCTCATGGAATATGGATACATTGAGAAATTAAAGGTATCGAAGGAGAGAAATCTCAGAATATCTATTGCATAAAATTGTCAACTAAGAGCCAACCTATTTGGCTGAATCATCAATGTCTGATGCATTCTCTAAAGTCACTTCACTCAAATTGATTGTTGATCTAAGTGATTACATTAGATTGGAAGACTAAGTATATTAAGATATAAATCCTATAACAATTGAATTACATGTGGATTTAGTCACTTGTTCAGATGAGGTAATTAAGAAGATTTTGAGAGTAGTTTATAACAACTTTTAAGTTAGACTGAAAACTAAATCTCAGGAAAATTAGTTTGTTCTTTAGATTTCTGGTTTTAGAGAATATTTAGCAGGAAATTATTCAATATTGAGTTATGATAGAGTCAGAATGAATTTAAGAGGTATATAGTATTTACAAGTTAATCTAACTGAAGTTCCTAAGGTTAGAAGGATGTATGATAATTTTCCTCCTATTTTTGAAAGAAATGCAGATGAAAGTGTACCTTGGGATTAATTTATTGATATTCCTTGCTTTCTATTTTATGCTCCATTTCCTTTACGTGATATATAGAATGAAGAGGGCAAAAAAAGAAAAAAAATAAGTAGATAAGACTCTAATTTCTCTCCATTACGACCTCGTCTATTTTTGAAAGAGAGATGTTTGGAATTTGTTGAGATGAGATACTAAATGTTATAAGAAAGATATTTCCCTTTAAAAAAGAGTATCATATATTCAGGGGAATGTGATTATAGATTTAAAATTCAGATTCTGTGTCTCTCAAATATACATAGATTATTCATATTGGATGATAAAGATCTTGATGAATTCAAAAAACAAAATGGACATAAAAGAAGAGCAACATATAATGGTTAATGTCCTCCTAGATTTATTACAAAAGCTTCTGCAAAATAGGAAGAATTACATAATACTTCTAAGAAGAAGGTAAAAGTGGAAGATGAAGAGAAATTATAAAAGAAGATAAGTTTCCTTAAATTATGTAAGACTAAAGAATAAGATGCTTAATAAATTAAATAACTTTCGAAAGGTTTTTTTAATCCTCATTTTTTTAATCATGGTCCATAAGGAACAGCTAATATGGAATGCTTAATGTAGAAATATGAATTAGATATACAACCATATTTAATATCAATTTAAGTTTTATTGATGTATGGATAAACTCCTTTGACTAAATTCAGTGTTGTTAATAGTTAAAAAGTTCCATTCAGATAAAACACTTGGTTTTATTAAGATATTACATTTTAAGGATTGAAAATCTCATAATTACCTATGGAATTAAGATTATGTTTCAATATAGTTTTGCATTCTTCAAATGGTGAAGAATAAATAATTGGAAGTACAATTACAGAATTATTTGATGAAAATGGAAAACTAAAATAAGGAAGGTTACATCTAAATGTATGGCCATTTTATAAATGTGATACTAGAATAGCATGCATGAATGAATATTATGGAGCAGCATTACCTAATCAAGAACGAGCACCATATTATACATAATTAGTTATTGGGATGCCAACATTCATTGAAGATGTATATTGGAGTTTGAGAGATGAAAAATATATGAAATAAGTTGGATTCCCTTCTACTCCATTGAATATTTAATAGATTTCTCTACAATATCTTAATGGTGTATTAGAAAGAAGGGGTACTTTGAATTCTAGTGTCACAGTTAGACCTTAAAGAGATTGGAAAGCCACTCCAAATACAAATGAATTGGCTAAATTGGATAGATTATTAAAGTTTGATCCTCTTTAACGTCATCTTTATACAGATGAAGATAAATTCATTTTATTAAAATGTAGAAATCATTACAAGAATTAACCATCTGCTTTTCCAATTTTTTTATGTGCTATTAATTGGAGTGATCCTGAAGAAATTAGAGAAGTCTATTAAATGATGAAAGTTTGGACTAGTTTACCTTCTGATGATGCATTGCCTCTGTTAGATGCAAACATTTCAGATGAATTAGTTAGGTATTATGCTACTAAAAGGGTAGGTCTATATAAGGATGATGAATTAGTGTTATTTATGTTAGAATTGACTTAAGCTTTAATTTTTGAATAATGTCATTTTTCACCTTTGGGAGAAATGCTTATTGAAAGATCCATTATGAATCCTTGGGTTGTTGGACATGAATTATTTTGGTAATTGAGATCTTAATTACATATACAACCTACTTATGAGAGATATAGTCTAATTTTAGAATAGTTAATGATGCTTTTTGGAAATTATAGATATGAATTATTTGGTGAGGTTTAAGTGAATGATGAAATCATGTAGATTGCTGATTTTATAAAGACAGAAAAGGATTCAAGTAAAAGATTAAAAGAAATGAAAAATAAATTATAAGATGCCAGACAGAAATTCTCAAAAACATTTTAATTTGCAATTGATCCAAGAATGAGTGCTTCAGAATTGATTTACGAAAAATGTAAAATATTAGATAGCAAAAAAGTAATCGAGTATATATATATGTCTATAGCTACCTTTATGGTTAGTTATGAAATCTGCTGAAACTAGAGATGTGAGTTAAATTCCAAAGTAAATCATCATGTTATCTTCTAAGAATTTAAAAGATACTGATTGTCTTGAAAACTTAAGAAGAGAAAAAGAATTAAGAAAAATAACTATAAATGATAAATTTCTTATTATTTTTAAATGTGGAGATGATATCAGATAGGATTTACTGACATTATAATTGATAAAAATTATGGATAAAATATGGTTAGATTTTGGTCTTGATTATAGAATGAAACCATATAAAGTCATTTCTACATTAGATCAAGTAGGAATGATTGAAGTAGTTCTTAATTCAGACACTACTTCAAGTATCCATGAAAATGCTGGTAAATTTGGAGCATTAAATAAAAGTTCAATTATGGAATATCTAAAAAAACATAATAAACATAGTATGGAAAATGCAGTAGAGAATTTCTTAAGATCTTGTGCTGGTTATTGTGTTGCTACTTATCTTCTAGGAATTGGTGATAGACATAGTGGTAATATTATGTTAACTGAAAGTGGACATCTATTTCATATAGATTTTGGACATTTTTTAGGTATCAATGATTTATCATTTATTTTTTAGGTAATTTTAAAACAAAATATGGAATCAATAGAGAAAGAACTCCTTTTGTTTTTACTTAAGAAATGGCTTATGTAATGGGAGGAGTATAAGGACACAATTTTTAAAGATTTGAAGATTTTTGTACTAAAGCCTATAATTAAATTCGATAGCATGGGCATTTGCTAATTAATATCTTCCTTATGAATTTATCAGCAGGTATGCCTGAATTGTAAGAGATTGCAGATATCGAATACTTAAGGGAGAAATTATAATTAGATATTGGAGAATAATAGGCAACTGAATTGTTTAGGAAAGAAATTACTACTAGTTTAAATGATATGTGGAGAAAGATTGATAATTTAATTCATAACTTTACAAGAGATTGATTTATACAATTCTTTATATAAAAATTATAATTTTCATTCTTATTTCTCTTTTATCTATCTTTATTCTCTTAATTAAGCCAAAGCTCTCATTCTCAAAATTTATGAGTCTGTTATAGTATTCTTGGCATATGTAGTTTATCTTTTATAAAAGAAAACATAAGCACTTGTTATTGAAATAACAAAAGTAAACATTAATAACACTTTCAATAAAGTATGATCACTAAATCCTATATAACTCATCTTATCAAGTACTGTAGATAGAATCTGAATTGAAAGTTCTATTAATCTTAATATCGTGAAAGTCATTGTTACGCATTTCTGAAGTGTTTTATTATTGGCTTTTAAATTTACGCAATAATTCTTGATAATCTGCTCTTTTTTAAGCATTTTCAGGTTTATAATATTCTTGAGGTTTTTCATAGAAATAAAATCCAAAGATCATTTTAAAACATTCTTCTTCAGATTATGCCTAACTATTTTAATGGTAATTTGAATTTACTAATAATTCTTCTAAAACTCTTCATCAACCTATTCATAAAATTTCTTTTATTTCAAAGTTTTATAAGCTTCATGAATTTAAGAAAACTTTTCTCTAGCATCTTCTTGATTATTTAAATCAGGATGATCTAATATTGTATTATTAAATAAGTACATTTTTTACATAAACCAATATAAGCATCCTTGATTTAATTCATAGTGGCATTTTTGTTTAATCCCAATATTAAATATGGATCAGATTATTGAGTTGCAAATCGAAAAAATCTTAAGTATGTTTACATAATTATTAATAAATTAGATCATTAACATTTATAACATGTGACATCTACTGGAGACAATAAATTTACAGAGAATCTTTCATGACAATTATGGCAAAATCTTTAGGATAAAACTGTAATATATCATGAAATTCATAACATGGAAATGTCTATATTATAATATATATAAAATAATGAATACCTAATTAATAAGATCATTATGAATACATACCATATTGTTGTAATTGCAATTAAATTAAGTATTTTATATATTCTAAGCTGCCAATCTTCTATTTAATATATTATTAATATTTTTATTATGAAGAATTAAGAGAATATATATGATGACTATTTTTTCTACTTTCTAATTATTTGCCATCACTTTTGTAATAATAATTAACTCCAATTGTGACTAGTTTATCTTATATGAAAGAATTAGTTTTAACATTTAAATTGTTTTTCTATTCTTAAGTTGATTGAGCATAAACTTAATTAGTATTAGTTTGAAACATGTTTTTGAGTGATTTCTAATTACTATTACCTAAATTGCCAAAGGATGTTGTATTTAATCCACTTTTAGTAACTTAATATTATATAGGTTATGTTTTTGTATATAATAAAATGAGATTTAATATGTATCATGATATTCAGTATGAAATTGAATTTCTTAAACATAGAAACCTCTTAAAACTTATAATTATCATTTAACAATTTCAACAACTATTTTGATATTTTTCTCTATTTAACCAATTGAATCCATCATTTTCAATTTGTTATAATAAATCTTTAATTTTACTAACTATTTAGAATGATTAATGCTAATTAAAATAGATAATTTTCATCAATAATCTTATTTGATATATGTTAATTATGTTATTGAATAATACAATAAGATTACATTTCCCTATTTCTTGAAAAGGATTCTTATACTTATTTATTTCTTTGATTTACTATGATTTCTAATATTATTTTAAACTATTAGACCTTAATTTAATTATTTTATAATTTTATAATTATAATTTTCATTATTTTTTTTCTTCAGCTGCAGCCTTCCTCTTTAACTTAAGTACTTCTTCTTTTGGAACCTAAAATTTATATAGATTTAGAATATATACTTCCTTTAAATCTTATGGACGTATTTATTTTTGACAAAGAGGACAAATTGGTTCAATTTCTAGGATTCTTTTGAAATATTAAATGTTTGCAGGAAATTTACATTCTGGACACAAACAACATTACTCTGCTACTATATGTCTGAAATTAATAATATTAATTACTTTGCAGATGCAATACAAAATGGAATATTATTTGAACATTTTGGACAATCAAGACAAAATTCACTAACAAATTCCTAATAATCATTTTAAATTATACTCCACAAAATGGACATGGTGTTTTCTTATCTGGAGTTTCCTCTTTTACTGGTTTTCTAGCTATATTTTCAATTTTAGTTTTAAATTTTTCATTTATTTATTATCTATATTCTTATTTCATTAATGTAATAGCCCATTAATATGCTAATGATCTATAATTTAATTCAAATAATTACTTAAAATTAGCTTTTGTAGCTTCAATTACAGCCATAGTTAAAATATTTGTTGCACCATTAGGAAATTAACTAATACTTTTACATACTCTATCTAATAATTTTGCTAAATCTTCATGTTCTTCTAATTTCATAATCTTTTTAACTAATGTATATGAATGTAAAGTCATCAATTTTTAATATAAATCAAATGGTATTTAATTTCCACTTGATTTCAAATCCTCACAAGTTTCAAATAAAAATTGATGAGCTTCCTTATATTTACCACATTCTTATTCTGATCCTGCAATAGTAATAGCAATTCTTCCAACTGCTGCTAAATTACCAATAGCTTTTTATAATTTCAATGAATAAATAGGATCTTTAGGAATATCATCAGTATCTCCATTAATATAATCTGATAAATGTTAAATTAGACTATCTTATTTATTACGAGCAACTAAGTCTATCATATCATTAATAAATTCCTCTCCTGCTTATTAATATAATCTCAAAGCTTTCATTGGATCTTAGGCTTTCTCATAATGAAATGCAGCTTTATCTAATTAATTTTTTCCTTCAAAATATTATGCTACTTATAATCTTTCTTCAAGTGAAAATGCTTTCATATGTTCTACATATGAATCCATTTCATTATAATTTTGAGCCAAAGCAAATGCTTATTCTTTTTTTTCAGCCAATATTAAGAATTCAACAGCTTCTGCTTTAGATCCTCTTCTTTCACAATATTATGCAACCATTAATGCAAGAGTCACTGTTTTACACTTATTACGCAATATGAATTTAGCCCTTTCAATATTATTTAATTAATTTAAGTTTAAACGAACAACATTTTCCCAATCTTCAGCTTTTTCATATACATTTTCTGCTTCTTAGAAAGCTCCTTCACTTTCTTTTGCTTTTGCATATAATATTAATAATTTTGGAGATTTAACTTTATTCATTAATGGTGCAGCTTATTTAAACATCTTTTATGTAATATAAATAGTAGCTGCCTTTTCTATACAACCAGCTTATTCATATAATTCTGCAGCTTCAACTTAAAATTTCATATTTTCACACACTAATGCAATTTCCTATAATATCAAAGGATCTGAAATTTGTCTTGATAGACTTGATCCTCTTAATATATCACCCATCTTGATTGAACAACGAGCAATACCAGCTACACATTATTGATTATGTGTTTCAACTGTTTTAGAATCATGTAATTTTTCATTCAACATAGCCATCTCATACATTTTGACTGCTTCTGGATTATTACCTTATGTTTCTATTTAGATAGCAAGTCTTTTGCAAATAAATGGTTCTTATTCTGGTGCAATCTTTTTGGCTAAAGATAAAGCATTAACATAATCTTAGATATCACTTCTTAATTCTAGTGCTCCTAATCTATAAGATGATTTTAAGAACAAATCTTAAGCCAAATCATGTTATCCTAAAATCATTGCAACATATGCAAATAATAAATTCTTTTCAGATTCATTTTTAAAACTTTATATCATCATAACCATAGATATATTATTGGCAGATTAGAATGATTTTTAAGCAACATCGAATTCTAGATTTTCTAAACATCTTCTACCAAAAGTATCAAATAATTTTAGATTCTTTAGATTTACAACTGCTTTATATGCATTAGAAAATTTAAATAGGGCTAGATTTTATAAAAAATATCTAAAATGTCCATCATTTGTATCATCAGCTCCTTTATATTATTTCAAATAAGAATGACTAATTAATGGTTAACCTATAACATTTCTAGTCATTGTAAAACATTTTAAAGTACCATTAGTTAAACTTAATGCTTAAATTCCTTTTTCTAATTCAGTTATAGATAGTTTTGGAGATGCAGACTTTTGTAAATCTTCCATTGACAAATATTCTAATACTGCATGTACCATTTCTTATTAAAAATTATTCTTATTAACTATAAAAGTTGTAAGATAAATTGTTTCTTATGTCACAAATAAATTTGGATCTTTTTGATCCCAAATAATTCTTTCTGTTTTTTCTGGGAATTCAGATATTTTAGTTAATAATTCATTAGATGCTTCAAATAAAAAACCTTAACCTTTATTATTAATACAAATTGATCTTGTTCCACTAAAATTTGGAAAGATTTTAGTCAAATTATAATCATTTTTGAATTCAATAATGAATTATTTTTCATATATATTATAGACTCTAATTTTAGATTAAGAATCTAATAAAAATAAGAAATTCTTAGTTAATCCTATATGTAAGATTGGTTTATCTTAATCATTATCAGGGAATTATCTATTAAAATTTAATAAATATATTACTATTTAATATAATCACCTGTTTATTCAATTTTATGAAAAGTACAAACATTATTACTTAAGACAGCAGCAAAATCATTATTCAAAATGATTTGATTGACATATCCTAAATAATCCATTTTTATAATTTAGGTAGCAGGTTTTATTATTTTATTATTTTTTATTTCCAAATATTTAAAATAATAAACAATATTGTTGATTCCAGCTGCAAAGTATTAAATACTCATAGAAATTTAATTAGGTTCATTCTCTAAATTAACTTAAGAAATTTCATTTAAGGTTTACTCTTAAGTTGAATAAATGGAAAATTCTGTAAATGATTATTATAATGCAATCATAGATGCATATGAAGCTGTTAAAGTTGGAATTGATGTTTAATAACCTATTATACTACCTTTCTCAGTAGAAACAACTAAAATTTATCCATTTTAACTCCAAGTCCTGAATTATTAAATATAAATATTACATTTTAGAAACACGACCACAATCAGGTGGCAATAAAATGGATTCTGTAGGTATTTCTTTCCAAGTTTGTAAATTAACCATTTTGATAAAACCATCACCTGCTACTGCCAATTTATAGGTACCATCATTTGTACAAATAGCATCCACTTACTTCAATAGTTTTTCACTTTGTACTTCATCTTCTAATAAAATAAATATAAAAAATTACTTATTTCTTTTTTATGTGTAGAAATGTGTACTACATATCCTTCACTAAATCCTATTACCAAATATCCATCACCAAAAATAGTATAATCTACTATTTTGCCATATTTATTTTCAAACATTAATTCATCAGGCATTTTATGATTCTTGCCTAATTCAAACATAATAATTGTTTTTTATTGAATTATTGCTGTGACTGTTCTTTAACTCTAATCTCTTGATTCTGTCTTAGATCTAGACCATAGTACATTTTTGGCTTCTGCTTTTACAGGAATTGATTCAAACATAGTTTCTGAATTGTAATTTGAAACTGTTAAGAATTTATCTTCACCACTTGTTACTATAATAATATATTTGTTAATACATACTTAAATATCCTTCATTATTCCAATCTCCACTAATAATTTTCTTGCTATGCTTTCCCATTGTAGGTAATTTCTTTGCTTGCTTCTTTGTATAGAATAATAAACCACCCTTATCTGATCCTATTGCTAATATTCCATGACTTTTAGACCATTTAGCATATGACACTTTTGCTTTTTGATTGTCTAATTCTATTTGAATCAATTAAGAAGTATTAGAAAAAGGTGCCCATAAATTTACATGATTGAGACCATCCTTTTTAAATTTTCATTCTTCAATACCTATACAATGCAAACATATTCACCATCTTTATCCCATTCTAATTACAATAATTTATTATTTGTTGCCAATTAAATATCCTTTAAACGCTTCCCTCGCCTAATTTCATAAATTATTAATACTTATCGATCACATAAATTACTGATTTATCACCTCCACAAACTAAGAAATTAAAGTCAAAACTCCATTAAAAAATTGCTGTCACTCTTCCATTGATGTCATCTTTATATGCAAAAATCTAAGGCGTAGGCTTGTCTTTTTACATTTCTTGTAATATATAATATTTTAATTAAAAAAATGATAATATTACATTTCAAAATAAAATATGCATCCTCTAATTTCAAACAATTTAAAATAAAATAAAATCATTTTTATTGAATACTTATTTGAAATTAAAATTCATGAAAATCATATTATTATCAGATCAATAATCCTAATTATTGATTTCATTTGATATTCATAATTATAAATATCAATTGATTAATGTTAATCAATGATATTCATAGATATTTATAATAAATATTTCAAATTTATTACAAAATAATATTCTTATTCCAAGTATTAAAGCTTCAAGAAATTAATAAATTATTTAATTATTAAAATCATAATCACCTTATAAAAAGTTATTATCTAAGCATGAAAATACCTTTAATTATAGAAACTTAAATAAATTGAATTTTCAGCCATTTATAAATATTATCAGTTATAGAAATTAATGATTATAATATGAATCAATATTACTGTACTTATTTTGACATTAGAGTTATCAACCTAATTATTTAAATAATATTTTTTTAATTAAAATGGGTTGTATTAGCTCAAAAGATAATACAATTAAATTGGATAGACAGTCTGCCTATGTTTTTACTCTAAATCAAAATGTATGAAAAAATATGATATAATTAGAATAACTCTAAAAAAGCAACAACGAAATAAAAGTTTCAAACTGATGATTAATCAAAATAGAAAATTGAGATGATTAATCAAAATAATATATTTATAAATAAAGAAAGATCATCACATTTGAAATAGGCAACTTAAATATTAAATATTAATAAAGATAATCAGTTTAAGCAAAAGGTTGAAACTTTGAAACAATATTATAAAAATAACACCTAATTTTAGAGATCTCATTAAAAAGACTTTGATGAAATTATCCTCCATATTTAATCAAAGACCATCACTTTATAGATATTATTGGTAATTATACAATTATATATTTAGAATAAAAATGATCAATTATAGATGCCACCACTTGATATTTTATTTGTTATTAATAATGAAGGTAAATATTTAATTGAACTAATATTAAATCATATTGACAATTATGATATAATTACCTAATTATTATTAGAATAAAACTTATCAGAAAGTCATTTACAAATAATAGCTATTCCGTTATTTCGAAAATTGAAATATTTACATTCTAACTTAAATGTTGAAAGAGCAATATAATTTTTGAAAGCTACATCAAAAACAAAGTTTATTGAAGTCATACTTATTGCATCTTTACAAAATGGAAATAAGAATATCATTTAAAATTTTAGTAATATTTTTACATATATCAATAAATTAAATGAATTACATTTAAAATTTTTTAAGATCTTATGTTAAATAATTAAAGGAGTTAAAGCTTTTGAAAAAAAATATGAAGAATATCTTGATGCATCTATAACATATAAACTCAAAAATTTTAGAATATCAAAAAAAATTAAGAAAGGTCATATGCAAGATGAATTACAAATGCAATCAACTCTAAGAGAACTTTAATTCAATATATTTCATTAAGTAAGTTTAAATTAAAAATGGGATATCTTTTCATTATATTCAAATAGTCTTATTTAAACTCCAAATAATTCTTAACTTACTCCTTTTATGGTATTTTTTTAAAATGCCCCTTTTAAAATCATTCTTAAATATATTTAATAATTTCCATAATCATTTACTAGAGGAATTGATTATTCTACTTCTTAAGGATTAAATCTATTACATTGTTTTTGCTTAAATAAAAATTTGTCTCCAAAAATAGATAATAACTGTTAAGAAATAATGAATTTATTATAAAAGAGCAAGAATTTCAAATAATTACTATTATAACCTTATTAAGATTAAATACCTTTAATCTTTTATCTAAATAGATATAAGGTGATTGATTAGTAATTTCTTGATTTTTTAGGTTAAAATTTGAAAAAGGATTTTGATTTTCATGTATTAGATACATAAGCTTAAATATTAGGAGAATAATTAAAATTTAGGAAAATAAATTAAAAGAAATCCATAAAAGATCTTAAAAGAATGAAGAAGCCAGCTTTTAAATACACTTAATATGAATTAAACATAGAATTATCTAAAGAAATGTAGTAGTAATATGATCTATATTACTTACATTACATTTAATTAATGAAAATAATAATTAAACGAAAGTTTTCAATCAAATATTCTCACTTAACTTAATTTTTTACTTTTACATCTTATTTTCCATATGATCTAGGTACAACTCATCATTCTTTTTTATAAATTATGTTATAGAATTAGAATGATGATCTTATTTTATTAGAATTGAAAAAATTCAATTTTATTAATCATTTGTAAGCTTAGAAAAAAGAATTAGATAAATTTAATATTTTATTACCTACTGATTATTCTTAGGAAGCATAACTTTTAGCTAAACTAATTTATTTAAAATAGGATATAATAGATTAATCAAGTTAACTTCATTAAGAAATTAATTAAATAATTTTGGAGTAGCTTAAAAGAAATCCAAATCTTTTATGGTCAAAAATTTATGGAAATAGCAAATTAAAATATGAAGGATTTAATACTACATTATATTAATTAATAAAATAACTTTTGGATGTGGTTTTCGTTAAAGATGTATTGGAAATTTCAATATATAATAATTGTTAAGATCGTATAATGAAGGAATTTATATTTTAAGAATTATTATACAGAAAAGTATCTAAAAATGAAATTGATTTAAGAAATTTTTGTGATAGTTTTCCAAGATCAATAGAATTCAATGAAACTATTAAAAAAATTGATGTAAAAGTAGATAAAGATATCAAAAATTATTAAGTTAAACTTTACACTTGGAATTTAGGATTATATAAATCAGAAAATAAATTAGAAATTACTGAATTTTACCTTCTTTTTTAGCAATTCAAATAAAAATCTATATAAAATGTTATATAATAATCAATTAGTAAAGGTGAATAATAAAATCAATAAAAAATAACAGATTATTTCTTATAAGCTCTTTTAGAATCAGAAGTTACATTGCCTTTAATAAATCCAATTATCAATTTGAATCCCAAATATTTTATTCCAAAAATTTGGTGGTTGACCCAAAAAAGTAGTCCTAATAAATAATTACTTTAATTAATTTCAACAAAAAATATTAATCCAATTGTAATTACATAAACTAATATTAATTAATTGGATTTATTCTTTGATTGGTAAATGAATGGAGTTTAATTTAAGATTATGGGATTTCCAGAATAGAAATATTTATTTCATGATCTTTTAATAAAATCGTAATTGATATGTTTTTAATAAATTAATAAATTGCCTTTTGTTATTGCATTGGCTATAGATGATTATTTCAATGTAGAATTATCTAAATTTTTGGAGAATTCTGAAATTAAAAAAACAAAAGAAATAATTTCTTAAATTTAATTACATAAGATGTTATAAAATTAAGCAATTAAAAATATATAACTTTTAATAGATTATTTTAATTTAGATGCTTATTCTCTTATTTATATATTGGGTTTAAATCATTTATCTAATTCTAAATTATTTGAATATACTCCATCTGAAATATAAGAAGTGAATAAATTTAACTTTAATCATTAAATCTAATAGCTTTTGAAATAAAATTTTAAATATTCTGATTAAATATGCCCATTTTTTATATTTAAATAATAAAATAATGAAATTTTTTAGAAATCTAAAAAAGCAATAACACCTTAATTTATTCCATTAATCGATTATCTTAATTATGAATCATTAAGTATGCTTGATATAAAATTAAGAAATTAATTGTATGAAAGATTAAACTTTCAAATATAGTTTGATAAATTTAATGATGAGAGAATAATGGAAATTTTAATTGAGGATATTATAAAATTAAGAAGATAAGAATTTGGAATTGAAAAAATAGCAAGTATTATTACAACTACTTTTATGAAAGCTATAAATAATAATAAAAATATTGCTGAAATTTTGTGTAGACATTTGTCAAAAGAAGAACTCTAATATACAAAAAATGTCGCTATTAATTTGTTATATGAATTATCTCTTATTTCTAATCAAATATGTATTCAATATTTGAATAAACTAACACTATAAAATTATCAATTCCTTTAAGTTTATTATTATGCATTAAGCAACAGAAATATTGAATTATTAAACCACCTAATTAATTATTATTATGAAAATAGAATGTCATCAGTCTATGTATATAATTATCTATATTTGAATATAAATGTTACAAACTATCATAAAGCCTTATATTAGAAATATTATTTGGTTTTTAATGTAAATTAATATTAATTGTTATATAATACTGTTAAATTAAATAGTCAAACTATTTCTGAACATATTTAAATGTTTATTTTGTTTGGATGTGTAGATTAACTTAAATTTTTAATTTAATAGCCAAATATTTAGATTGAGGTTTAAAACTTTTATTTTCATTATGTATTTACAAAAAAAATGTGTATAGAAAATGTTTTAGGAATTGAAGTTAATAAGTTTCCAAAGAATCTGAACAATAAATAAATATAATTACAATAATTTTTTTTGAAAAATTTTAAAAGAACTTACTAATAATTTTGCAAATTTTCTCTTTATAGAGAAGATTGTGCTTTTAATTTTTATGAATAAAATATTGATTATGCAGAAACATTTGAAATCCTTAATAACATAATGTCAAATTCAAAAGAAAAGACTGAAGAATTAGATGGATTTAATGAACTTTATAGTTTAATAATACATCCTTAAGCAAAGTAGATTAAATTAAAAAATGAATTAATTTCTTATTTCTGCAAGCTATTTATTAGAACTAAAACTTTAAATAAATATATTTCAGATCATTATGATTAATACATTTTATTATTCAATGCAAATTCAAGGAATATTGAAATTATTTTTGATTTCAGAAAACCTAAATATTTTTCTTTGAAATTTATTATGGAAATATTGATAGAATATATCTAATAATTAAAAAATATAAATACTTTGGAAATATATGAAAGGTTAACTGAATATATATTTAAATATCATTTAAAAAATCTAAAATTAGTAGAGTGTTTAAAATTGGGTCTGTAAAATTATAATTTAACTAAATTTAACTAAACTACTTTATATTATGCTTAAAATTAAGTAAATTTATTACCTAAATCCTTCTACGATTATTCTAAAAATAAGCATTTCTATAATAGATACAAATTGATTCAAAATATAATGAATATAGATGAAGTATCTCTAGAAAATATGACCCCTATTCAAGTTTTATTAGGCAAAGGTCAAATAAATCATGTATAATAAATTAGTTATTCCAATTCAAATTTAATGGCTGCTTTAATTAGTAATAACTTTAGTACAATATAGGGTGTTTTAGATTAAAGTAAAAATCCTAAAAAAATATGTTCAGACTTTAAGTTGTTTCATATTATATTAAAATTTTAAAATGAAAAAAATATTATCTCCTTTTTTGACAAGTATATAGAAGATTCAATAAAAGACATTAATTAATTAATGTTTTTGTAAGATGAATCTATATTACTTTCAATTGTATAAAAAAGATAATATAAAGTTTTTGATCGTATTATAAGATAATACGTATAGAAATTAACTAATAGCAAAACTCATGTATAGATTGTTCAATAGCATTTATAAATTAAATTAAAAGAATAAGATTTAATGATTTATTAATTGGGAATTCTCCAAAAATCTTACTTCATTTTTGATTTTCTAGATGGTATTATATAAGGTGATGATATACAATAATTTATTACAAAATTAGACTTTAATTTAGCTTCTATTTTGTCTAATTAATAATAAGGAGATAGAAAAATCAATTTATTTGCTAAATATTACCTAAGTAATTTATCAATTTTATTAATTCCAACATAAAAATAAAATTCGAGTGAATGTTAAAATGTGTAAAATAAAAATAAAGAAAAAAAGATAAACGACCTCTGTGTTTGGAAGAAGGATAATAATAATATATAAAGAAATGTTTAGTTAGATAATTTACTTGATATCGAACATGCTTGTATATACAAGCTATTTGGATTTAATTAATTTATTATTAAATACTTGAAAAATAATTTTAAATTTTTTTCCTTATTTTAAAACTAAGCCTAAGACATTCTAATTGCAATAGATATCACCAAAGGACATACAAAATTACTTGAATTTTATTTAAATAGTTAACCTTTAGAGAAACTAAAGGATATTTTAGATGAAGTGGTGAAAAAATGTTAATAATTTTATTTAATATAGAATCCTATATTTTATAAAATCATGCTTACTTATCCAGAATAGTTTCTTAGATTATTAAAACCATCTGATTTTAATTTAGAGATTAGTCTATTATTATCTTATAAATTAAAATAAACATAAACTCTTTAAAATTTTATTAAGAATCAACTACAAATGCAGCCAGAAGAATCATAGAATTTAAATGGAATAGATATAATATAGAATAATTATCTATTCATGATGAGTTTATTTTTAAATAATTTCTAGCTTCCGATTTTATAAACTGAAATTAAAAATATTAATATAGAAATATTAATTAAAAGTTTAAAATTTATAGAAGAAAATTTTGAAAAATAATAGACTATTATTTCAAATCAAGGTTTATAATATATATTAAATTTGCTGAATAAGGATATTGTCATAAGTAATAAAAATAGGTTCTAATAGTTAATTAATTCCTAATTGACAGGATAACCCATAATTTTAGGAATGATTTGGATTTAATAAATATAAGATATTGTACAAACTTTCTTTTCTAAATTACCTTAATGGGGTATTTTTGTAAATAAAGTTATGATTTCTTTCGACAATGTTCCCATTTCATTTAACAATGAACATTATATCTTACCTTTGCAATATAAAAATGATTAATTTGAATTAGATGAAATCTATATAAATGAGTTTATGTCCGGATTAAAATAATTAAAATATGAAAGAGTGATGGAAACAGAATCTAATAGATTTTTAAAATTTTAAGAAAAATGGCCTTAATATAACTTTAATTTCCTATTTAAAAAAATAAATGTAAATTTGATACCTTCATATTGTTTTGAAAATTTAGATGACATTGATTTGGAGATATAGAATACAAAATAAAATAAAATCATATAAAAGAAGACTTCAAAGTAGAATTATAAAAATATAAAATAAAAAGATGAATAATTACAAGAAAATGAAAATAACTAAGAAAATTTAGGTCTTTATGAAAGTATGATATTTTTTAAAAATCTTTTGGATCCGTTTAAAGAAAACTCTGAAAATTATCATATAAATGATTTGCAGGCACCTCATAAAAATTAAAATGAAGATGAAAAAATTATCAATGAATCAAAAGGTGTTTAATAAAAGGAAACAGGAACTAATACTTTTGCAAAAAAGTTGCTCAAAAAAAAAATAGAAATTATAAAAACAATACTACCAAACAATAAATATAAATCCAGATTTACAAACTAATAAATAACAATTTTTATGGAATTTTATCATTTCATTTACCCTTAATAAACAGATCTATTTTTATAACAATTGTCAAGTCAAGAATACCTTCAATAATATAATCCAAAAGCAACATTAGAATTTTTAATTTATAAGTTGGAACAGTATTATCATAACTTATAAGAATTTATTCAATCTGAGAAATATGAAAAATGGACTATTACTATTCCATATTATATTGAGAATGATTAATTCATTTATTAAGAAATCTAATTTACTCCATATGCAATATAATTTATTTTTTTTAAATTGTTAAACTTTATTCAAACTGTTAGGAGTTTTTCAAATTTTGAGATTGATATAATATAATGGAGAATAAATACAATATCACTCCTTAAAGTTTTAGTCAAAGCTATTTTAGATTATTAATTTTTAGATAATAAATCTGTTGATATTTTTACTATTCTAGATTCTATTTGTTAATGGAATCTTTTGTAATTGCTACTTGCCTAAATTATATATAGAAATTTAATGTCTTTACCTAAAGTAACTAACCTCTTTTCACGAATTTACGTTGAATTTTAAGAAAAAACTACTACTCAATAATAAGCAAAAAGTCATAGCACTTTTTTCTTAGATTAAATATTTTAATTTGAATAAACAGAATATCGTATTTACAATAAAACACTGATTATTACTTTAAATGTATTTATAAGATAAGAAAAAACCTAATGGAATACTTCTTAATTTAATAAATAATTTTATCGAAGTTAATTCAATAAATCAACTATATTTTAAGCTTCATAAATCGATTTCCATTTATATAATGTAATTAATGAATCTGACTTTTTTTTTGATGTATTTTAACCTGAAGATTTGGTTTCATACTTTTTTAATCGATAAGAAATTGATTAATACATATAAATATTCTCTTATCAATTAAGTAAATTTGTCAATAAGGATGTTTCTTTAATTGTTAATCATACTTAATTAAAAAAATTATATGAAGATTAAATAATAGAAATAAAAGGGATTAAAGATAGAAAAGTTAAAGTATAGAAACAAAATTAGATTCAAGATGAATTGATAAGATTAAAAGATTTTTTTCTTGAAAAAGTTACAGATTCATTATTTGAATAATTAACTAGTGAATCTTTAGAATAATTATTTTTAGTTAAACTATCAATATTGCTTTAATCTATTCGTTTAAATAATTAATTGTCATAATCAACACAATAAAATTTTAGAAGGGCTATTAAGTCTACTAAGAGTAAAGTGGTTGAAAAAATAGCCAAATTTTCAACACACTAACTCCTAAGCTTTTAATTTGGTTTCTAACTCACTCCCACCTATTTTCAATAAATAGTTAAGGTTGGAGATATTTGTATGGTTTTGTATTAAGAGGATGGTTAACTCAAACTTGAACCATGCTAATTTATTAAAAATTAAGATTCTTCAATATTATTTTTTTATATGCTTTAGGATGAAAAGGCAATATTAAATTTGGATGAAATAGATGGAAAACTTAGAGCATCTTTTTAAGAAAAGAAGATTTTGAATCTTGTTTTTGAAGACATTATTACTATAATATGGTTTAGATCCACTTGGCCTATTGAATAAAATTTTAATGATGAAATTTTAAATTTAATTTTTATAGATTAAAATGGAAATATATTGGCATGTCATGAAAAGAAATTTCTTTAAAAAATAAATATGATCTAAAAATTTGAAAATGAATAATAAAAATAAATATTATTAGATAATTTATTTGGATAAAATTTAGTATCAATATATGATAAATTTGCATTAACTTAAATTATTCCGATAATTCCTAGTTAAATCAATTATAATTTTAAATTTGAAGATTAACAATAATCAAATGTTATTAAGAATAATAATGATATAGATATTACTATCTCTAAAAATGATTTTATTTTGGATAAATTAAGTATTGGTAATTTTAATACTGCTTGTTATTTTGATTCAAATTTAGGAATTTAAAAGTTTGTGAAAAAATTTAATAAATTTACTCAAAGAATAAAGGAGATGTCCAAAATATTAATAAAAATTTATTTTGATGATAATTTAAATAAGCATCCTTCATTCTATTTAGAATAATTTTTTGCTCATAATAATATTTTTGAGGAATTTGAATCAGGATTCAAAGAATTTTGTGAAGAAAAATAATTTCCTTAGATTGAAAATTCTCTTTCTTATTTATTTGATGTTCCATCTTTAACTTATTTAAAAGAAAGAATATTTTGTCAAATTGTAAAATAGATAGAATTTCATTTTTAATTAAATTAAACACATGAATTAATTTAATATCAAAATGGTAATTTGAGAATTTATATGTTTGCAAATGGAGATAAACCTATAAAACAAGATATCAGTTGTTTTATTTCAAATTTAATTGTTAAATATCAAGAATTTAAATTATCCAATTTGATTATTTAGGATCAACTTTATGATATAGAAATTCAAGAGGATTAATAGTCTTAATTAAGTAATTATTTAGCAAATACTATTCTCCTTACAAAATACTTATATTAATTGATATAATTAAAATAAAATTAAAAATATGAAAAAAAATTAACCTTTTTATTGTAATTTAATTAGTAAGAATAATGTTTTTATAAATTTAATAGATAAAATAGATAAATAATCTTATAATATAATTTATTGAAAGATTTTTGTCTTGATGTATTCCTATTAGATTATTTAAACTTTTGCAACTATTAAGGATAAATTAAATATGAAAATTTAATTGTGGATAATACCTTATTTAATTGTTAAATACTTCAGAATTTAATAAATGTTAAAGATAATTAGTATTTCCCATAATTAAAAAAAGAGGAGAAGAATTTATATATATCTAAAGATTTCTCTTACTTGTAAATTCTTGAAGGGAGATTAGATCCAAAAGAATAGGAAAGAGGATTTTTACTTTTTTAATGTAAAGGTGTTTATTAAGCTATTATTATATTTAAGAGTTAATAGAAATATATCCCTTTGTATTAATACTTTAAATAACATGAAAATAGATAATTTTTTGGCTAATCATTTTATTTTCTGGTTTCTGGATTAAATTAAAGAATTGATTTAGATAATTAATTAAATAATATTTATGTGAAAATAATTGTCAATAATAAAAAAATAAAGCGTTCTTTAAATTATTATAAAAGATATAATAGTAAACTGAACATAAATACTAGATTGATAACAACAAATGTAGCTTTGGTTGAAATAATTGTTTAAGGAGTTAAATCTGTAAAAATTAGATCAATGACACCATCTTTATTAATGAGTTCAATAAATAATACGAATTACACAAATTCAATCACTATATAGTTTGACCCTGAAAAAACAATATAGTAATCTCAAAATAAATTAGCACATATTGGTGTTCTGATTGAAGATTAACAAAATGATTAGATTTATAAGGCAATTTCTTTTAGCTAAAGGTAATCACATGGTTTGTAAACAGAAAATGGGAAAATTGTTCAATTTTTATTAAAAGGAATTGACTATAAACCTTCAATTTTCTAGAAAACTAATATATCAAATTCAAAGTTTGATTTAACAGATCTATAAAATGAAAATGTGATTACTACTTTGAATTAGAATTAAATAAAGATAGCATCATTTTGTGGTTAAATGAGAACTGATTTTATGGAATTTTTAGATTTGACAGGTAGTTAAATTGCTTGTGAAAATGCAATTTTTGTGCACTCATAATATTAATAAATTTATGTATAACCAAAAGTATTTAAAGAAACATTAGGGCTTAAATTTAAATGGCAACCAATAATTAAAGGCATTTATAATTTATATTTGGGAGATCAAAAAATAGATGGCCAATTTATAGTTTTAGCCAATAATGTAGATTATAGAAAATGTGAAATCATTTTATCAGAAAAGATAAATACTCTCACATTATATCAAACAATAAAATTTACAATAAAATTGAGAGATCATTTGAATAATATTTATGGGGATATTGAATATAAATTAAATTAAATATAACCAGCTGTTGAAACAGAGAATAAATTTTCAAATGAAACAGTAAAATTAATTGGACCAAATAAAGAAGGTATTATTATTATTAATATTACATTTGCTTAAAAAGAAGATATAGAACATCAACCTGAAGATGTTAAAATAAATATATCTTTATTAGAAAAACTAAAATAATGTATTTATTTATTTAAATAATTATAGCATATACTTTCCATTTGGAAGGATTAAATTTAGAGATGAGAATTATAAAATATTATTAAAAACTAAAATTTCCAAAAGTATTTAGAGAATTAATAATCGACAGAAATAAATTTGGAACTGATATATTAAAATTATCAAATTCAAATTTTAAATGTCCACTTAAGATTAAATTTAAAGGTGAGGAAGGAAGTGATGATGGAGGATTAAGAAGGGAATTTTATAATAAAATAGGAGAAATGATAAAAAGTCCTCAAAATGGATTTTTTTAATAAAATACAAAGAGTTAAACATATTTTTATTCACCTAAATTTAATTTAGATAAAGAAAGAGATCAATATGCTTTAGTATTTGGAAAAGTATTAAATATTTATTAAATTATTTTAGTTAATTGCAAATTCATTATTAAATAAGGAAATTATAGGAGTTCCATTTGCTCATTAATTTTGGAAATTAATATTTAATTAATCAATTACTTTTGAAGATCTTGATGGTATAATGGATGAGAATGAATTTTAAAATTATAAAAGTTTAAAGTATATGACATAAGAGGTATTAGAAATGCTTGAAGTTAATTTTACAATCATTAAAGCAAAAGAAACAATTTAATTGATAGCTAATGGTGATAAAATATTTGTATCAATTCATAATAAAGATACTTATTTATAAAGAATAGCAGAGTATTATATTATAGAAAGATTTTAACAAATTACAAAAAAAATAAGTGAGGGTATCGATTAAGTCTTAGATAAAAAAGTAATTATATACTTTATTTTATAGCTTTTAATAGAATGTTTTGATTTTACAGAAATGCATACATTAACTGTAGGATCTGATGAAATTTAACCTGAAAAAGTTTTAGAATTAGTAAAATATTAAAATGGTTCTGATTAACTCATTTCATTTTTTTAGAAATTTATCAACTAATTAGAAACAGAATAATTACATGATTTTCTTTAATTCACTACAGGATCTCCTTATTTACCATGGAATTCTAAACCTACAATATAAATTGAATTTTAAGAATCAATGAAAGTAACCAATTTACCAAGATCACAAACATGTTTTTATAAATTAGCAATTCCGTATTATAAGACTTATGAAGAATTTAAGAAGAAAATGGAAATAGCAATTGAATATGGATAAGAAGGATTTGGTTAATTTTGAAATGTATAAATATAATTTTAATTGTTATTACAATTATTTATAATTAAATATGGTTTAGGAATGACAAAATAAATAAGATATTTGCTTATCAAAATGTATAGAGATATATTTTTTTTGTTAAAGAATAAGATATTTTGATTTTCTATTATTGTATTCCTTTTTTTGAATAATTCTAATAACTATTCATAAATAAAAAAATTTTACTATATATACATATAAATATATATATTTTTAATAAAATAGAAGATCCATATATTTAATCATTGTATATATATTTTTTATCTATAAAATAAGTTATATTTTTATAAATATAATAAAAAATACTGTTTCTCTTTTAATATTCCTATGCACTAAAATAAAAACAATTTTAAGCCTGTTTTACCAAAATTAAAAATTCCAAACTAATCTAAATAATTACTAAGTTCTCCTTAGAGATCAAAATTTAATGATGAAAGAAAATTAGAAACAATTGTCGAAAAACGGAATTTTTAAAAGTAATTGATTGATTTAGTTACTACTTTACAAGATGATGCTTAGTAAAGTATAATGAATTCTGATTTTTCAAGAAATGATCTCTTAAAACATTATAAATAATTACCATCAAAACCTACATTACTATTTGAGAAAGCATTAAAAGGTCTTCATCCTTTATAGTAAAGTGAATATAGAGGTAAGGAATTAAAGAAATTGGAAAAGAAGGTTTAAGTTATTAATGAAAGAAATCCATTATAGGAGTCTTGGAAATCACCATTTTTATCATAACCTAGATTATATAAATCTTCTAGAACTGATAATGACACTTTGTCATAAGAAATAGAATAAAATGCATAAAATGTAGTGTTGATAAATGAAAATTTAAAAGGTTTTGGTCCAAGATTAAGAACATATTTGGATTATGATAAAAATACTAGATTTGAGAGATAAAAAGGGAATCCTAAATATTTATATAGAGAAAATTTAGTGAGATTGATAAAAAATAATACAACAAAAGAATTGGATTTAGTTAAGGAATGGAATATATTAATAAATTATGATAAATTAGTTGTTTATGCTGGTTTCCAAAGACCAGAAGTTAGACTATAATAATTTGGTACAATCTCATCCATTAGCCATTATTAAAGTATTTAAGATTTCCATAAGAAGTAACTTAAATAAACAAACAATTAACCTACTCCAAATTCATAGATATCCCCTTAATTTTTAATTAAAAATTCAAGATAAAGTAATTCAAGTGAACCAATAGATTTTGGTAAATCTAATTAGATGGTATTGGATGTATCAGAAGTTGAGAAGATTTAGGATGATATTTCAATTAAAAAGGATACATTTTTAACATATTGTTAAGTATTTTGGGATTTAATAAGAAAGGAGGATGAAATTGTAGAAAGAGTTGTATGGGCATTTTGTAAAAATGATTTAATGACATTCACTTCTTTTAAACATTTTTATAAATTGATTGTATTTTAGGAAGGTACATTTGAAGAATATATAAAATTAACATTTGATTTTTTTATGGGATCAGAAAGAAATGAAATTCCATTTACAGAGATTTAAGGTTTGTTAAGATTATTGGCTTAGAGAATAGATGGAAAAGATCATATTTTAAGTGATCAAATATTAATGGATATTGTAAGTTAAATACATAGACCATAAGTAATCTCTAAAGAAACCTTGTAGTAATTAATCTTTGAAGATAAGATCCCTCCAACAGTGATAGTAAAAATGATGTATGAGTAAGCATGATAAAAGTGTGAATTATTAATTTTTATATTAACGACTACATTCAATGTATCCACAATTACAAAAAGAAGAGCTAGTAGAATTTCGTAATTATATTCGAGAAGTAACATCTGCAAAGATAAATAAAACGTTAGATAAGACTCCAAAAAGAAACAATGCTTAAAAATAATTGGAATTTATTCTTAAAAGTACATAATTACGATAGACTGTTTAAAAACCTGAAAACACTTAATAATAAATATAAAGAATTAATTATGAATCATAATCATACATACCAAGATCATCATCTCAACCTTTTGTTCATTTTGATTCAAATTGTTGGAAAGAGACATAAAATTCATTTACAAAATAGTAAACTGCATATGTAAGTGTATCAGAAATGTTGAGAATTACAAATGGATTTAATTAGATGAATAAAAAAGAAATAAGTGGAATGAATTCTAAGTATTAAAAATTATAATTTAGCTATTTATAATCCTTGCATGAATTAGATTTGACAATAACAGCCCTTCTAAAAAGAATTGATTGAGCTAACTTATTCATAATCACTTCATGATTTCAATATATTATATTCTAAATTCAAAAATAGATTTATTTCATATAGATTACTTTCTTTATTATTTTAACCAAAAGATCTCTTCTAATTATCACATCAAATTCCCATACTAATATATATATATGTCTAATAGTATGGATATTGTATTATATTTGATTTATTTTGATATATTAATTATTGCAATAATATATATATTTTTATAAATCAAATATATATAAATAAATGGATGAGGAATTTAAATAAAAGTATAGTTTTGCAGCACTTCAAAAATATGTATCAGAGAAAGAGAAAGATAAGGATAAAGCAATTTTTAAGTTATGGAATGGAATGAATTTAGATGAATTAGGCATGTCTGTGTAAGATAATAAGTATGATTTGATTACATTAGATTACCTGGATAACCTACAAAGATTATTTCACCATTTATTGATGATAATGCTACTCAACCAGATCCTCTTTCAAAGCCTCATGATTGGATTAAACAAAAATTAATGCCTCGTTAGAATAGTGTGAATAGAAAGAAAGAGATGTTCAGTTAATTTTCTGAAGAAACTAATTTCTATATATTTTATAATGTTATGGATGAAGAATAATAATTATGGGCTGTAGAAAATCTGTAATAATTTATTATATATTTAGTTATACGAGAGGATGGAGGTATAATTTAAGGAAAGAGTAATGGTTTAAAGATTTATAGTTGATAAACAAGAATTTGTATTCTGGGAAGTATTTTAGTATTGCAAACTGGAGAATAATGGAGAGTTCATAAATTGATATGCAAGAATAAGATTTATGCACACTTGAATAATTCTTCAATAATTAAAATTAATGAATTTTATTGAGTAATTTCAGAAGATTAAATGTACAAAGCATCCATAAGCACCAATTTCTAATCTATGTCTGAATCAAGAGTGTAAGGAAGAATAATACTTTTGTCAAAATTGTATTAAAGCCCATTTAACTCATTCAACTCATATTATTTATATGAAATAAATAGATAAGTTACTTAAACGTCATACTAATGTTAATGAAATAATATAGGATAAATAGGGATTGGAAGCTTTTAATATATTTAAAAGTTTTAAACATGCAATTGAAGATAAGTTAAATTAACTTGAAGATGAATTGAGATAACTAATATTGAAATTAGTTAATGATTAAAAAATAAATGATTAAGGATATAAGTTTCTATAGAGTCTCAATTAATTCAATGAATAAGACATAAAAGAATTGAGATTATTCTTAATCAATCAACAATAAAACATTTAAAATAATCAAATCCATTTAAAAGAAAAAGAGAGTAAATAGTAATTAATATAACTCACTTCCTATTTATAAGATAAAATACCTAACATTTAAAATTAAGTGATAGATTAATTAGATTGTGTTAATAGTACATTCTACACAAAAACTGAAAGAGTGGAAAGATTAAGAAAAGTTTGGATATGTATTTATAATTATTAATTAATTTAATAGCTGATGATGGATAAAGTAAACCAAGCATATTTGATAAAACAACCATTAGAGCTAATGTATTTCAAGTTAGAGAAAAACAATTATATTTAATAGGAATCTTCTAACCAATGTTATATAAAGGTAGTTATAATTCAACTAATTATGATTCATAAGTCAAAACTCCAAAATTAATTTACAAATTACATGAAGATACAAATTTAACTAAATATATTTTCAAATAACATAAAGTTTTAGAACATGATAAATTATAAATTGTAGATGGACATTTATATTTTATTGAATTTAGAAATCCAATTAAATTATTACCTAATAAAACTTATACAATATCCATATCTACAAAAGAAGCTAAATTATTTCAGACCTATCATTATTCAATTCCTGTTATTGATCATCCTTTAATTAAATGGTAAACTGAAGATCTGACAGATTCTGATATATTCATCAAAGGACCTTATGTATAACATATCTATTCATATGCTAATATCGATTAGATTCCAAGTTTAGTTGTTAAAACATGAAATTTATCATTACAAGAAAATAATATAAAATATTTATAATAACATTTATTTCAAATGGCATAACAAAAAAAGGATGAGGAAGAAATCAAAGTAAAATCATAGATTTATTCTAGACTTATAAAATGATTGAGGGTGATTATTCTGTTCAAATTAGAGTACTAGAAGCTAATGATCTCATACCGACGTATGTTATGTATCAATATTCTTTAGTATATCTGGGTTTGCAGGTATTGGACTGCTTTCCTCTAAAGGCACTGCTTGTAATGCATTCATAGAATTGACAGTATGTGGCTAAGTGAAACGAACTAAAGTTGTTAAGAATCAATTAAGTCCTATTTTCAATTAGCTAATCTCATTCAAATTAAATGATATGAAAAAGGCTTAATTGTCATCAGCTACAATTACTGTGGCTGCAATTGATCGTAAAAATGCACTCTTAGGAAATAAAATAATTGGATCATATGAACTAGATCTAAGTAGTGTGTATTTCAGTTTACATCATGAATTATATCGAACTTATCTAGCTCTCTCAGATCCAACAGATGAAAGAGAAGGGACAATGGGATATGTTTTATGTAATATAATGGTATTAGGACCTAATGATGAACCATTTGTACATGATGTGGCCACTGAAAAAAAAGCAGATGCTACTAAAGGAGCAACATTAACTCCTAAAAAAATACAATAATGGCCTCATTGTATTCGAATTAACTTGCTTAAAGGAGAACATATGGTTCCATTGGATATGACAGCAGCTGAAATTGATGCATATGTAGTTGTTAAATATGGTGGTTCAAAAATCAAATCAAAAGTTGTAACCAGTCGTAATCCTGAATGGTATCAGCAATTAAATTTGGCTTGTATGTTACCTAATTAAAGCAAATTTGTGGATATCAGTGTTTATGATTATGATCTTCTTGGAGATGATGATTTAGTAGGAACCTTCTAACTTCCATTCAAATCCATTCCAGAATATGAATCACAACCAATGTGGATCAATTTGTATGGTGCTCCTTTACGTGGGGAATCTAAAAAAGCTGATATGATGAATCTATATGGTATGACGACAGGATCTCATTACAGAGGAAGAATTTGTTTTACTATTTGTCGTTTTGATTAAAGAGATGCGAAAACATACAAAGAAGATTTAATCTATAGATTTCCAGAAAACCCTATGCCAGTATCTGAACAAAAAGGATATATACTGAGAGTTGATTTACTTGAAGGACATGAATTTCCAATAAGAAAATAATCCATTATTCAAGTTAAAATGGGACCATATCTATTAGTCAGTCAACCTGCTACTATTTAAGATGGATCATGTATGTTCTATGAAAATCTACCAGACAAGAAGGTATTATTCCCAAAAAACATAAATGAAATACCAGATATAATCATTTATATGGCAGATGATAATATAGAGGATCGTAGACATAGTTTTATTCGTTTGAAACCTAAAGATCTTTTGGATACACCTCTTCATCCTCAAATTTTTAAAATGACTGAAGATAGATCATTAGATTTGGTAAAAGATGATGAATTTCCAGGATTTCTATTTGCTAATGTTTAATTAATGAGTAATATGCCTGGAATCAGGAAACCATATAAACCAAATGCTTAATTAAAATTAGATTATTAATTGAGAGTTTATTTGTATTTAGGGAGAAATTTTCCACCTGCAGATGCTACTGGTACTTCAGATCCCTTAGTAAAGATAAGATGTGCAGGATAAATTGTATAATCAAAGGCTTGTTCATAAACATTAAATCCTGGTTGGTATGAAACTCTAAAATTGAATGTGAAATTATATCCATTTGATAAAGAAGTAATAGTACCTTCAGGGATGTTTGTAATGGTTTTTGATTAGGATTTAGATGAAGATAATAAAGCTTCATATGATTTGATAGGGAGAATATGGATTACATTGGAACCCTAGAAGATGTAATTTTAAACAGAAAGTGAGATTGTTGATATGTTTTACAGAAAACCAAAATGGTATAATATAAGGTATGATGCCACAGATGAAGTATAAGGTTAAATACTTTTAGCATATTCAATAATACCTAAAGAGAAGGCTCATCTTATACCTGATGAGAGTATCTATCCTAATTGTGCAAAACAAGATCTCAATCTATTTTGTATTGGGCTACGTAATTTTGAAGATATAGTTTAAAATATTACACCAAGTAATGTTTCAATTTCATTTGATATCAGTGGTGATGATTATGATCCAATTTACACTGATTATAAGAAAGTGAAGGAAAAGGGTGTAAATATCAATAGATTAATACCTATTACTGTAGATGTACCTAAGAATTAGCATTTTTCACCTGTTATTGATTGTTATGTATGGAATCAAGAATTGCCAGACAAACCTAAACTATTGGGTGTTTAAACCATTTAATTATCTAGGATATTAGCAGAATATTATACTAAATTAAAATTGAAGCCAGGAGAGTAGATGCCAGTTGAATTTGATGAGTCTGATGAAGAAGAAAATGAATTAATGAAGAAATTAGAAGAAAAGTAAAAACCTCTTACTCTAGCATAAATTAAGGAAGCTAATGCTAATGAAGAAGATGAACCATTTGATCTTGAAAAAATTGATTTAAATATTCCATAAGAATTACCTTTCAAGAAAAGAGTAGTTGAAGATTATGAATATCAAGAATATGTGAGAAAATAAGAAGAAGATTATTAATTAATTAAAGAAGAAGAAGAAGATTTATTAAAACAATCTCAAATAGGAGAATCAAATGTTTAAGATATAATGAATTTACAAGATGATGTACCTATCTATAGACCTACTACATTTGGAGGTGGTTTATAAATAGGTTAAGATATACCAAATTAATAATTATAATAATCTCACTTTTCTAATTAAAGCAATATGATTATTGAATAGTTTCCTAAGGAAGAATAAGTTCCAGAGGAATAAATACCAGTACGTGTCACAAGACCTATGGATAATGAGAATGCTGGTGAAAATAATCCTATTTAATCTAATCGTAATCTTTAGAGTCATTAATCAAGAAGAGAATCCTAATAACAAAATGATAGAGTTGATATATAAGGCAATTAAAATTAATAATAGATGGATTAAAGAAGTTTATCCTAATAATAGTAAGTTGGATAAGCAATACCTCAATCTAAAAGAGGATCATAATAGTAAGTAGAAATTGAATAAAGAAATCAATCAATTTCATAATAATAATAATAATAATAATAATAATAATAATAATAATAATAATAATAATAATAATAATAATAATAATAATAATAATAATAATAATAATAATAATAATAATAATAATAAAGAAAAGAATCTTAATAATAAATTAATAATGTTAATGAATAATAATCATAATAATCAAGAAGGTAATCATAATAATAATAATTACTATAAAAATAACAATCACAATAATAAATAGAATAACAATAAGAAATTTAACTTTAAAAACAATAATCTCGTCGATAATCTGAATAATAATAACCCAGATCAAAATAATAATCTATACAAAAAGATAATGATTTATAATAGAGAAGATAATCATAATAGTAATAATTAGAGAAATAATAATCTAATCAACTTGGATAATCTTAAGATTTCTAAAAAAAATAACCATCCATTCCAATATCTCCAATTCAAAATAGAAATGGATATAGTTAAGGTAGTCAATAATAAATTGAAGATTTTAACTTTTAAGGTAATTTAGATGAATCAAGAATAGTACCTTCAGAACCAAAGTCAAAAAATATGAATGATTAATAATAAATGAAAATAGGATAAAGAGTTATTTAACCACCTATTTAAGGATCTTAAAGAAGCATAAGAATGTTAAGTTAAGTTGATTAAAGAATAGTTTTTGAAGCTGAATAACATGTCAAAAATTAAGCTGAATTAAGTCGTAGACAATCATAATAAATATAAGAAGTATAAGCAGTATAACCATAAATGAATTTATCTGAATAACTCTAATAATTACCTCAATAATAATAACCTATTAAGACATTATAAGTTCCAACTGATTTATCCTTTTCCAAAGCATCAAAAGTATCTTCAAAAGCATTATCAGTTAATTCTGGTCCCAAAGATAATATGGATGCTGTAAAGAAGCCAAAATAAAAAAATAAGAAAATGCTTAAAGGTTCTAAAAAAGCTAAGTTATTTGGATTTGCTGCCTTATTACCAAAAAAGAAAAAAACTAGTGATATAGAAACATATGAAGATTTTGATACAGATCCAGGAGAAGATTTAGATGTAACACCTGAATGGTTGAAGGGTAGAAAATTCTTACCTGATGATTTGGAAGATAAAATGAAAACTAGTAAGAAATTTCTAAAATACACTATTATGACAGGTTAGAGTAGAGGTAAAGATACATAATTTTTAACTGATAAAAATGGACCTTCAAGAGTATGTGATTTCAAATGTTTGTTTTTAGAAGTAAAGCCTGGATAGGATATTGAAAAAAAGAAAGAAATGTATATAAAAATGATGAGACCAAAATAATATGTATGTAGGTTATATTTTTTATCAGGAATTGATATTTAAAGTGGAGGAGATGAACCACCTGATTTATATATAAAAGTAAGAACTGCAACAAAGGAACATGATTTAAAAATGATATCATTAAGATAGAGTACAAATAATCCATAATTCTATTTTCCATTTGAATTATAAATGGAAGTACCAGGATCAGCTATAGTAGAGGTTGAAATTTGGAGTGTTTAATCAATTGGTGATGAATTAGTGGGAACATCATTGATTGATTTGGAAGATAGATATTTTTCTGTAATGTGGCATTAATTTGAAAAGAAACCAATAGAGAATAGAAATATTAAAGATGAATTTGGATCTTCAGTAGGTAGATTACAATTATGGATAGATTTGGTTGAAAAAGCTTATGCAAAAAAAGATCCATTAATTAAAATTACTGCACCACCTCGCTATTAATTTGAATTAAGAGTAATTATTTTTGAAACAAGAAATTGTGTATTCAAAGATGAATTAGAAAAATGCAATGATTTATATTGTAAAGCAGGAATAGCTAATTAAGAATTATAAGAAACAGATGTTCATTGGAGATGTAGAGCAAAAGGATCTTTTAATTGGAGAATCAAGAATAAAGTTACATATCCATCACTTCCAGATGAATTCGGAACTGACAAATTTAAAATTTAATTATGGGATAAGGATATAGTTGGATCAGATGAATTAATAGGAGAAACAACATTCAATTTGAATACACATAAAATGATTGAAAAAGCTGTAAAGAGACTTCAAGCAACATCTATAAATTAAAGAATTAGAGAAAAAGGTGGTGTAATAACTGATAGACTTTGGGTAAATATAAAAATATATTAATTACTAGTTAGATGTATATCATCCAGATGCAGTAGATGAAGAAGGATAGAAAATATCATAAGGATAAGTTTTGTGTTCTTTTGAATTATTGCCTCTTACAGATGCTGAAAAAAAACCAAATGGATATGGTAGAGATCCTCCTAATGTGTTCCCTCCATTGAATGAACCTACAGGTCGATTATCTTTCGATATCACTAATCCACTTGGTTTTATTAAGGAGATTATGGGTAATTTACTAATATTATTTAAGGTCCTGATTTATATGATAAAATATGTAAATTCCTTTTAACTGCTCTACTTCTAACTGTTGGTGTTACTGTAGGATGGATATTTTTAGGTCCTTTGATTGCTAATGTTGTTGTGAAGTGATTTAATTAAATTATTTATAAAATGGACACACTTAGATTGAGTGCACCTCAAATCGATTTCGAGTATAATAAATTAGATAATATGCATTCTTCAATCACTTTATATAATGATACTCAACATCCCATTGCATATAAGGTATTTCTAATTATTAAATTCTAATCTTAAGTTTAAGGCTACTAATCTTAATATATTCTTGGTCAGACCACCATTGGGAGTAGTTTAGTAAAAATAGTGTTAAATAGTCAATATTACACTTCATAGTAAAGTCCTTGAAAATAATTCAATTAAGGATTTTAATGAAAAATTGTAATTGATTACAACCATAGTACCTTAAGAAGTTTAAGATGCTGGACCTATATTTTTAGATAAAATGAGAAGATTTGAAAATAGAAAAATTAATATTGCCATTCTTACTAAGGATAGAAAAATAGTAGCTTAAAGTTCAGGAAATTCAAATCAAATGTTTTAATCAGTTAATAAATAATTTGGATAAGTGGAACCTACACGTGTTATTGCTATTCCAACTGCTGATAAGGCTAAAATTGAAGCAGAATACTTTTGCAATAAATTTGAAGTATTATAATAAGAGGTCACAAAGAAAGAAAAAGAATTAGTAATTATAATTTTTTTAATTCGATAGCAAGATGTTTAATAATATAATAATAGTTTAATTGAAAAAGAAGCAATCAAACCTAAATCTGGAAAATTGGATAAACTAATTTTCCTATTATCCTTAATTGTGTCTTTTTTCTTGAGTTTACATTACCAAAATCAAATTTTATAAGTAATCAATTTATGATATTTCTTAATTGTTATTATTAATGTTTGAATAATATATATTCAATTCTAACTGATAATATTTAATTAATTTATATAAAGTCACACCAAAGAAGGTTTTTCATATGAAAAATTTATTTTCTGTTCTTTTCTTTATAATTATTTTATTTTTCATTTTTTTATTAAAATAAATAAATAAAGTCTAAATATTTATTATATGTATATTCTAAGAGCCTAGAAGGTAGAAATTTGAATCAGACACAATCTTTAAGTTTCTTGTCAAGAAGGATAAAACATATCGCTTAAACTGATGATTTAGCGACTACCACATTTATCCCTTTAATTGATTGTTGAAGAACTTATTTAATTTAGTATTAAATATTTAACTTATCGAAGTTACCTATTAAGAAGTCCTTAAAATGATATATTGCATTAGTATTAAAAGTGGTTGATTTATTAGACAATTTCAATTCAAAATAATGTTAACATTGAATCTACTTTTTAATTATGAGATTAATGGAAATTATAGAATTAATTTAATACTAATGAATTTGGACAGCTTATAATTTAAGATATCTTTGAAGAATTTAATCATGAAAGAGTGATGTGTTTAAAATAAAAGAAAAATAAAAAGACAGTGTTTATCTCTATGCCAAAATTATTATTTAGTTACTTAAATGCAATTACAAAATTAAATATATTTATAATTAGTTGTATTTTTCGAGGTTTTAATTAGTCTGAAGGAAATGCAATTGCAGTTATTATGGATCTTTATTCAGTTGAAATTACATGATAATAAATTTTACAATTAATTTTTGAATTTATAAGAAAAGGTTAAAAATTATGTAATTTCTTAATCTTAGATGTTTAAATTTAATTTTATGAAGATAACTATAGCGATAAAATTGAGAATTTACATTTTGAAAATATATTATTAAGAAATGAAAATATATATATTATTAAGAAATATATAATATTAAATAATATTAATAATTTAAAAGTATATAATTAAAAATCAGAAAATATCAATTGATATTAATTAATATTAATTTTTATTCTGAAAATATTTGTCAATGTAACTCATATTGTTTGATTATTGGTGTTATTATATTAATCTAATATTTTTATGAAATAGAGCATATACATTACTCAAATGCTATTTTAGAATTGCTCTATGTAATAAATGTTTAAAAGTAGACACTACCTAAATTTTTAAACAAACAACTTAATCTTCTTTAGAATTTTTTAACCTTCTAGTGTTGTTGTAATTCATTTCAACAAATGACATTATAATAAATATCTCATTTTTTTATAAATTTTAATTGTTAATTTATTCATTAATTTTCTTTTAGGAAATTCAATTTCTATCATCTCACTTTGTCAATCCACCATTAAGAAATATTTTAAATAATTCTGATACTGATTTTAATGTTTTTTTTTAGTATTCTAAAGCTGAATTTTACAAAAAATAAATAATAGAACCAAAACAAATTAAATCTTCTTAAAATACATTAATGAGTTATTAGAAAGATATTAGGAAATAAATCTTTAAAGTTAAGAATAGCAGTTCAATCAAAGTAAGGATTAAATGGACTCAAGAGGAAGATTAATAATTAATTGACAATGTGTCTCATTTTGGATATAGATGGCTTTAAGTAGCTTAGAATATGGAATAAAGGAATGCATCTTAATGTTGTTAAAGGTGGAAAAGGATTAAAATATGTTAAGGGTTCTAACAAAATAAAGCTAAACGATGGACTTAAAAGGAAGATCAAAAATTATTGAAAATCTATAAAGAGGTTGGACCTTAGTGGAATACAATAGCTTAACAGATGAAAATCAAATCAAGTAAATAGGTGAGAAGTAGGTTTAAGAATTTTCTTGATCCAAATCTAAATCATGCTCCTATGACAGAAGTAGAAGATGAATTTATATTCTAAGAATATTTAATGTTAGGAACCTAATGGACTAAAATATCAGAGAAATTGCCTGGAAGATCTGTAATATATTGATCATATATATACTTTAGGAAAATATGATTAAGAATCGATTCTATTCATTTATTAAGGAGAAATATTTGAACTAGCCTAATCCATATTACAAAGTAAAACCATTAGATAAGAAAGAAGTAGCTGAAAATTAATATAATTTTTAAGAGCAATAACTAATTGAATTCAAACATGAATCATAAGAATTATATGATGAAGATCTATAAAATGATTCTAATGAAATAATAGATGATCATTTATAAAATCTATATTGGAATTTTGAAACAAAAGCATATATATACTGAAGACTCTGAAAAGAAATAGATTATTAATATATGATAATAATATAAATTTATAAACATTTTATACAGTACTAATTAAAGTTTTTAATAAAAAGCAAAAATTATTACAGATATTGTATTATATAAGTGTGATTAGAAGTAAATTAATAATACTAAATACTTAACACAATTAATCAATGATTAATAGTATAATAATCAATAACTTAATTAATTGAACATAAAATATTCATTATAATAAATATTATAAACAAAAGTATTCATAATATAGATTAATACTGTTGAAGCAAACTATTAAGTATTACAATTTTATTAATATAATGTTATTAACAAAAATTATATAGATTTAAACTCTTTGTCAATAATAAATTATTAATCAAAATAATTAGTATAAATTATGATATAAATTCTATGAAATTACATATAAGGATTTATAATTTAAATTATTATTATGATATATCAATAGGATTAAACATGTAATGGACCATTATTCTTATTTTTATATTTTGAATAAGCAAAGTATCCACCAACACCTATAATAGCAACTCCAAAGATTACGAGTAAAGTAATCCACCACCAATTACTGCTCTCTTTACTAAAGTAATATATATATAATAATTACTTATCATCATCTGGATCAGGACCTGGAGGATTTGGACCAGGTGGATTTTTTTTAGTTAAATGTATGACTGCTTTGGCTGTTCCATAATCATTTCTAGCAGTTATAAATACACTTTATTCTTTGATTTGATCTCCCTTTTAAATAAATAATCTTGGATAATCAGTGACTCCATATTTGATTAACATATTTTCTTTTTATGCAATATTATATACAAGATTGGTATGAAGAACAGGCTATAAATTATAATATAATATTATATACTCTTGCTAATGCAACATCTTTTGAAAGAGTCATGACAAATTATGTAGAGATGAATGTTTATTATTCATCCTCTTCACCTCCAATAAGAGTAATAATTTTAGTTTAACTTTCTTAAATAGCATTATGATCAATAATTGGTATTTGATAAACAGCAGCTAAGATACTCTTATCTTTAGTATAAGCAATGGCAACATGATCTTCAAAGAGTGTAAGTTTATTTAATTGTTTCCATGTACCATAATTAGCAAGTAAGAATGGAATGGTACCATCAAATTCTACAGGTGCTCCTTTAATAGGATCTGAAATATCAAAAGTAAAAGTGACAGCATAAGTTGCCATTATATCAGTAGATACTAAAGCAGTTGTTAATAATTTCTTATCTTTTATAGTTGATTTAATTGCTCTAATTTAATAAAATCTAGTTATTTCTTCAATTGCTAAATTCTGACCAATTAAATTGAAGATTTCAAATTTATCATGTTATCCATATTTAATTGTTCCATTATCCCAATAAAGATCAACAAACCATACTCTCTTAAGAGTACTAGATAATAGAAGTTTATAATAATTAACATTACCAACTTGATATTTGATAACATCAAAATCTGCAGCTTAAAATGGAATATTAATTTCAGTGCTCAAGAATTATGAATTAATAACTTTTCCTGCATCTAAATCCCAAGTTTTAGCTTCTTAATTAAGAGTAACTTTGTGGATTCTAACAGTTCCATCATATAAATTAGGTTTACTATTATAATTATCTAAAATAAAGAGTATTCCATCTTTATATAATAATTTGGATGGATGTTTTGCACCTTAAGCAATTTATTATAATGTAGGTGTAGCTGCTGTGCATGATTTACCATCACAAAATGTTAGATAAATATTAACAACACCTTTTTCTTCACATCCACTAAATACCATTTTTCCATCTTCACTTGCTGTTATTGATATACAATCAGCACCAATTCCAACTGGTAATTTATGTGTTCCAATCCATTTACCAGATGCATCTTAAAATATAATTGAATCAATAGTTTAAAAGATCATTTCATTTCCTACAGCAACTCCATCTACAAAATGTTATTGATATTGTGATCCATCAGTAATATGATATACTGGATTAACCATTTAAATTAAATGTGATTCACATTATTCACATGTGGCATCATATTTAATAACTTATCCAGATTACCATCCTGTTGTTTTAATTTCCATATATTAATCTGCTGCTTAATTAATAAATGTAAATTATCCATTTTGTTTTGTCAATTCTTCTTAATTAATTTGAATATAAGTTTAAGTATTTATATATTTAATAGGATATGAAATCGACATAGGTTTAGTAGTAGCTTAATTAGTGATATTGACAGTAGCCTTCAAATTTGTAACATATTAATTGGATAGATGTGATGGTTATAATATAGCAACAGCATCTCTTAAGAATCCAACCATCTTTTATACATTTTATTGATTATTGACATACATGTACATTTAATCACGTCCAGCAGCAGCCATATTCATAACTTGACCATCATTAATTTTTAAATGTGTTTTAACTACTTTATGTAATGATAATTAATAGAGTACATCTGATTCATATACTAATATTACAGTTTCTTATGTAGATGGATCTAAGGCACGTACAAATAAGAATCCAGTTTAATAACAGAAATCTGTTGTTAATGGAGTTTGAATAACATAATCATATAATGGTAATTCTTTCATCAAGTAAATGTTACTCAATTTTTCATAATTATATTCTTAGATCTTGAATCCTTAGGAAACACTCTTTTAAACTATAAAGATTGTTCTCATTCCTAAATATGCTCTAACTTCAGCATCAGGAAGTATATCAAATATATAAATTAAAGTAAAAGTATTTCTCATGTCTCCAAAGAATATGCAATCTTTTGATTAAATTAATACAAATTCACTTTTTAAAGCAGGATTACCAAATACTCTAATTGGTTCAAATATTCTATCACTTCCCTATTCTTTCATTGTTTAACTAGAAATTATATGTTTTGTTGGAGTTGGGAAGAATCCAAACCAAGCATCAACTTCTTTTTTATTAGGTAATACAACATAAATAGCTTTTCTTAATACAGTAAATGATGTAATCTTATTTTCAGGTAATTCATCATATTTTATAGCAAATAATGGAGCTGATTAATCATGAGTACTTTCATATATTGAAATTTAATAATCATGTTCAATAAATTAAAGTGTTAATACATCTCCTTCTTCTGCATCCCAATCAAATTATGATGTACTTGGATTTAATACATTTGGAATTTTGAATTTTGCATGTTCTTCACAATGAACATCTCTTGATAAATATGATTAAGTTGTGCATTCAAATATTTCAATTTATTTACTTGATTCTAATTAATAAAGGAACCAAAATTTATGTTCATCAACCCAATGTGGATCAATTAATATATCTGCATATGCCACATCAGTTACAGTTGGATAAGTCAATCCAGTAACATTAAGTTCCCAAACTGTGTGAACATCTACAATAACATGATCTTTTTATGAATCATCTCCATTTGTATATATCAAATTTGGTCCTGCTGCTAATTCTTAAACATAAAATGGATCAGAAGGATATTACATAATATTTGGAAATGGAATATGATCAACAGGATAAATATTAGTATCACCTTCTTTAATTATTTGATATTTTAGTGATGCTGAACACCTTCTTTAATCTTCTCCAATTGCTGAGAATTACACTTCATTATCTCCAAGTGTTGCATCATATGAATGTACTGCTAATCTTGCATATCCAATTTCATATCTATATGCAAATGAATTTGTGACAGCAATTAGATCTGGTTCATAAGGATTTGCCAAATATATTTTAGTGAGTAAAGTTTCTGTATGAATTAAGTATTGATGATCTGAATTGTAAAGATAGAATGTATTTCCTCCTGGATTAACAATCAAAAATTATTAACTTGCAAAAATAAATGAAGGATGTTTAGCATCAAATGCATTCAACCATCCTCCTTTTTATACTCCATCAATATATTCAACAACTGATTTTTAATGAACAACAGCAATATGAACATGACTAATACCTTAATAATCTATCTTATTATTAACATCAAATGCATATGCTAAATCCTCTCCAATATCAATCTTACTCTTAAATTTGAATTCAGATTTTGAATTTATGTAATAAATATATATACCATTATAGGCATCCAATACATAGATATCACCATTTGGCATTATTTTAAAATCTATCAAAGTAAACTTAAACTTTTCTTAATCTTCTGGTTTTATGCCTAAATCTTATATCAATAATCCTCTATCCAAATGTTAAATAGTTTCTACAATATCATTCTTATCATTATTTTTTAACAAATCAATTATGCAATCTCCATCAAGATTTGTAATACTACTACCTGGAGTACCATAGGCATATTAACCTCTTAATAAAATTCTTAGAGGCTCTTCATTTGAATCATCACCAATATTTTAAGCATTGTAAACATGATATTATACCTTTCTATCGGTAACAGTCAAATATTTTCTAGAGTATGTGAATTCTGAGGTAATAACAGGAGGATCACCCTTTTTAATAATATAAACATAATTCTTTCCTGGTATAGGATCATCACCTGTTTGTTCTTATCGTTCAATACAATCAACTAAAAATGTATCTCTGTCAATATATTCAAGATCCAAACATTTCATTAAACGATTGTTATTTATGAATTGAATTTCTTTTGTAAATGAAGGAGCCACATTCATTTATATTTATTTTCTATGATGATATGGTATATTTTCATTACCCTTCTGCATAGTAAATCCACCAAGAATTGTCCTCAGGATCTTGACCCATGAAGGCAAAATCATTAGTCCATGCACCAGTTTCTGGTATATCAAAAGCTCTTATGGCTATAATTTCAATATGTGCTAAAAGTATTAATATTGTTATTACGAGCAAAATGAACTTCTTCACTGATTTTATGTAAAGGTTATTCAAGTTGAAATAGAGTTGTAGGAGAATCCAATTCATATATCAAATTATCACCTTAAATAAATCTTCTGATTTCCCATTTGTAATATTCTTTCACAGTTGGATAAACATGATCTTATAGCTCCTTTGTCACTTGCAAATCAAAAATAAATACATACCACAAGTAGACAGAACTATAATTGGCAACAATGCTAATAGGTACATATGTGTTTATAACATAAATATTTAATTAATGGAGGATATGTTTAAATTTTCCACATATAATATGACATCATTATGAAGAAATATATATTCTCATACTCATTGTGCCATATTATTATTTTTATTTTAAGCGATGACATCAAAAATCTTAATTTTGATCGTAATTGCCGTGGCTGCCAAAGAGTAGCTTAAACTCTAGCCATGTGATTCAAAAGTTAGTACACTCAAAGTATTTCCATCCACAGGTGAAACTTTAGAGTGGGATTTGAAAGATACTTTCTTTGAAGGTGCCTATTTGTCATACAGTTTGAGTCCTGCTTAGACATTGTTTCAAATTCAGAAACCTTTTGCTTAATTGAGTAGTCCAAAGCCTCATTTTGAATCAATCAATAGAGTGACAGCCTCTCGTGCTTTGACAGAAAAAGGATAGAGAGTATGGATGAATCACTTTGTTTTTATTGAGGTAGAATTGGATTCAATAGATTTATTCTATGCAGAAGGTGCTCAAGGTGATAATGCTACTCCTCCTTAATTCAATAAGAAAATAAGTATTACAACAGGAAGTTCATATCTTTCATGTCTTGGAGTAGACTATTTGAATAAAGATCAATTCATATTGGATTGTGTTGATAGTCAAAAATTACCATTCACTAATAAATTTTTTATAGTTGACAAGAATGGAAATTCAAGAATCCATTAGAATGGAAATTACAATAATTATAAAGTGAATACTAAAAGAATTTCATAAACAGTTGTGTTTACGAATAAATTAGGACATGAACATACATTCCTCTTTAGATCAACACCTGCATATGCAACTTAAACAACAGGATTAGATTAATCATCTTTACTTGAAGTATTCTATATAGAAAGTGATGGAACACCAAGATTATAAAGTGTTTTGGATGCACCAACTTTAGGAGTGATAACAGATGTATAAAACCCAGAGAAGTTCATCTTTTAATTAATTGATTTCAAAGTATTTCCAAATGGATTAATATACATATTGACAGCCAAAGATGGAATCTATGTATTAGAATTCTAAGGTAATGGTGAATTCAGTTTCATTGAAAGAATTGTTACTTCTAAGGATTAAGCTTATGAATTCGATGTAGATTATTTATTGTAAGATGATGGAACAGTTAAAGAAGTCATTGCTATCTTATATAATGATTACATTCAAGTAGTTGAAGGTAAGGTTCCAATTAATAATTATATTTTGGAATTCACAGCCTCATATCCAGCAAGTCTAGTTATTTCATAATAATTTATTATCATATAATAAAAGGGTGTAACATATTTATTCAGTACTGAATATGAAGATTTCATTTATAAAGAAGTCATTGAAGGTGCTAAAGGATATATCATTAATCCATATGAAACTGAATTGATTTCAATCACTTAAGTAGATTCAAGAAGATATTCACTTACTCATGGTCTATTAAGATTCCCAAGTACATAAAATACAACTTAAACTTTATAATCATTTACTTTAATAGCCACAGATACATATTCATAATAATGCAAAGTTACAATAAATTATAAAGTTTATAATGCTAGTGATTATTCAATATAACCAACAGATGAATTGTAAATTCCAACTCTTCTCTATGATATTCCAGAACCATTCAATATTGATCCACTTGCTTCTGGACCCAATTTGAATTATCTTTAATTATTATCATAAAAAGAAAGTACAACAGTAAATGCAAAAATTACTTAATTATAAGAGATGTTACTTGAATCTATCAGTTTACCAAATCCATCTTCAGTAATATATTCTGATGTGTTAATATTGGATTCATAAGATGAAAGTTATGCTCTCCTCTTATAAACATCAGATAAGAGTATTACAATCTTTTAATGTCATATCAGAGAGAAACTTAAAGCAAGATCAGTTTGTTAACAATATTAGAAATTCTAATCATCAACCTTATTGAATATGAACAATTTCATATGGTGGTATTAGGGATTCAATATTTATCATCTTGCATTAGATAATGATTATTAAGCCACTATTAGAGTTAGTGGTGTAAATGGAACTAATGTAGTTGATACCATTTAATATCCAGCTGAAACTCTTAATAAAATTACTAGTGTGACAGTTTTAAAAGATAGATTCTACTTTGTCTTAGGAAATAAAAAATAAATTGATATAAGATCTACTTATAGTCCATTTGAATTAGAATATTCTTTAACTGAAGTCATGCTTAGATATAGAGGATTTACAGGTTCTTGGAATCCATAAAGAATATATGGAAATAGAGTTCATAATTCTTATCTCATGTTCATTGCTAATGATGACAATGTAATTGTTGCTGATTATCATGCAGAATTCACTATTATTAAAGTAATCACTCTTAGTAAAGGATCAATAGATGTGGCAGTAGGATTAGAAAGCTTTTTCATTGTATTAAAATCAACAACTCAAAATTTGATTTAAGAATATGATCTTTAAAACCTTAATTCTATCCATCTTATGAAAAATGTTCCCTTATATTGGTACACACTTTAAACTCCACTTCAAGCTGATTTCTGTTCTGATACTGGTGTACTCTTTGTAAGAGCATATGATAGCAAAACTGCTTAAACTGTTGTTTTAGTCTATGGTCCAGGAAAATTGTTAAGAGATTCTTTACTAAAAGTCATTCCTTTAGGTAGTAGAATAGCTGATGGTACATCTATTATGATGTCAACTGCTGGATCAGATTAAATGGTATTTTATGTTAATAGTGGTACCTTATAAAAAGTATATTCCTATTTCAATTATCCTGTTCTAACAATTCAACCAAATTATGATTCATCAGCATATTTTTCTGTCTATACTATCAAATTCCAAGTCACTAATTACAATGATATTACTCCCATTACCTATTATTAAGTAATCAATCTAGTCAATACTCAAATCACTCTAAGAATTGAATAGAATGTCCTCGACTATAGACCTTTGAATGCTTCAAAATCTGAATAAAATATTGATTTAGTTGCTGATTGGTTCGATGGATAAGCTGTTTCATTGGATATTGATTGCAATCAATGTGATTCTTATGTCAAACCAATTTAAACTGTTTAATAAATGGATTCAGGTAGCTTCAATGGATATCATATAATTGATGCTGCTCCATATAAAGGATCAAGAACTATTTATTTAGCCAATTAAGAAACCCTTAGAGTCTTAATTGCTGATAGTGAAAACAATGAAGAAACCAGTTATTCTATCTCACTTTCAACTACTCAATCCTCAACATGTGATCATATTACTGCTACTGAAGATGGAGTCTATATCTTTGCTACATGTCAACTCAATAACAATAAAGTATTCCATGTTGCTAAATGCTCAACCACAGGACTTCTTGAATGTCATCAATTTGGAACCATTTAAACAATAGATGCATTATTTACTGTATCCTAACTTGCTGTAAGTGGTAATTATGTCTTTGTGTTGAATGGTAATCCTCAAAGACCTAGAAATTATGAAGGATCACTTAATGTCTATAGATGGACTGCAAGTGCACAATAAGTTACATTTGATTTACAAAAAATATTTGATAAAGCATTCTTTGGAAACCAATCCAGTTATTTCAGTAGTTTCTATCTTGCTAACTATAAATTTGGAGTTACTAATTACCTCAAAGTTCTTTTAGTAGATTCTAAATAAAATCTATATGCAATTGATGCCTCTTTAAGTACATTTGGAGTCATCACATGGTATACTACTTATTCCTAATTGAATCTTTATACATTCATCAATTAAGGTCAATTTGTTTCATAAACAAGTTCATATTATTAAGTATTGGAATTAGCAGCTCCTTATTATTAATCATCTGATTAAACTATCAGACTCAAAGTCCTCATTACAACTGATTCATCAGCTCATTATGCAATCTCATTGACTTTTGATGGTAAATCTATTTCAACTAGTATTCCTTTAAGTTATCAAAATGTTATCTATCTTTTAAATCAATATTCCACATGGACTGCTTTGAATAAAGCTTAAGTTGGTAATGATTATGCTGTCATTGCATACACTGATAATAGTCAATTATTGTTAGCATCCTATTTATTACCAAAAGATCCAATTTAAGGAGTGCCTTTGATTAAATTAGTTGGTGGAACTCAATCCAAATATGGTTATCCTTAAGTATCAGATTTCTTAGCCTATATCCCTAAGAATATTGGTTTTGTAATTTTATATTAATTATAATTTTTAGCCAAGACTCTATGCTAATATTATCAGAAATGTTGATATCAAAGAGAACTTGTTATAAACTTATTATTTGAATCCAACTTATCAACTTTATGTCTATAATGTTGGTGGTGACTTAGCTGAATAATATGTTTCACTTACCCTAAATAATGCTTTCACTTCAGATACAGGTTATGTATTATTAAGATAATTTAAAACTGAATAACCAGAAGAAGACAAATCATTATTGGAAACAGTATATGATATATTTTGGTGAAAAATCCAAATGAGTTATTAATAAATAAAATAAACAACAATAATTTTTTAATTATATTGGTGATTAATCAATATTCTTATAATAATAATTCTAAAGATATTTGATATAAATTAAACAAATTTATCAATATAAATTTTTTATTTAATAATATAATTAAATATCTAGATATTCTTATTATTCTAATGATTCTTATATGAATAAAAATAAGAATTAAATGAAATGATTTTAATTATTTTAACTTTATCTTTGTAATTTTTCTAATTTAGTTAATATATATATAGTGTAATAATTATCAAAAATCTTTTAAAACCTTCTATTAAATACTTAATTCAAATATTTTTTCAATGAATTTTACATATTTAGATTTCACATTTATAAAGATGATGTAATAATTATTATACATTTATTTATATAAATTTACAGAATTAGTTTAGATTATGTTATTTATAAGAAGGATTCATTAATATATACTTATGATTAACTAGTTATAAAATTAATTAATTCTATATGTTAATATGAACAAAAATTGTGCATTCTTCAAATATTTAAGAATTATTAATGTTATTATTAATTTCAATATTCCTTAGACACATATAATCATGCAGTAATTATTTTAGAAATCCTTTAGATATATTGAAAAATGAATTGGAAATCAGTATTTCTACATATGAAAATATGTATTGGGAAATAAAGGATGAATTAATTGAAGGAGAGATGACAAAATTTAGATTGGAAGGAGATAAGAATGGGACATACTTCAAATTGTAATAGCCGAACGATATTTATGATTAGAAACATTTTCCTTATTGTATGAAATTCAAGCATAGTTGTAGAGATTTAAGAAATAATCAAGGGTAGATCATATAGAAAAGGAGAGTTTTGGTTAAATGAGTATAGTTTATTGGGAAGAGATTCTTAAGGATTTCATATATACATAATAAATGATGAAAGTTTTAGATAATTGTCACTTTATCATCTTTGTACAGATTTTGATTATTTGGATTAAAATAATTATGTAGTTGTTTGTTAAGATAATGATGGAATATTTATATAGATTATTAATAAAAGTGGAACTATTGTAAATGTTTATTCAAAATTGACGAAGTAAAAGAGTAAATATAATTTGGCAATTTATAGAGATAAATCAATTACATATCTATTAATCTATATACCAGCATATGCAGAAGAAATATTGAATATATAGTCAATAATTAATGTATTCCTCATAGATTCATATTAAATTATAGAAACACCTTATTATTTGGATAAAAAAAAACTTTCAGAATTATTTTAAAATGAACTCAAATATTTCTCTGTGATTGATGTTTAAGTTTATTCAAATAATGTATATGTTTTAGATTATAAATTGGGTCCAATTAAATTAGTCTAAGATAATAAGGGAAATTTTACATAAGCAAAATTAATAACATCATCTTTATACATAACAGAATATTATAGTTTTTCAATAAGAAAGTATGATGAACTTATTGTGTTTGGATTTGTATAGAAAAATTAGATGAGTTTGAGAGTTTTAAAAAGTGGGAGATATGATAATATAGTAAGAACATTTGAGAAAGGAGACTTTACTTTAGGTATTTGTGATGTATAAATAACTCCGAAATATTACTTAATCAACTCTGATAAAGATCTTATGATTTTTAATGATGATGAATTAGTTGATAAATTTTAGATTTAAAAAGAAGTCTTTATTGCAAATCCATATTTTGATCTCTATATTTTATTTCATTCAAATAAAGCAGAATTTTATGAAATTAGTTCTGGTATATTAATGTTTCAAAAACAAATATTAAAATCAGAAAATTAATAATATTTTAAATTATTTGACAATCAAAATGATAATTGTTATGTAAATATTGTTCTAGCAGTCTATGATAAATTAGATGCAAGAATACATACAAACTATTAAACTAGTTTTTATAATTAAAGAATATTTTACTATCCTCCTTATCCTTCAACATATTACACTTGGCCTAGAATAACTAATGGTCCTAATGTTCAATAAAAAATAACAATACATAATGACTAAATCAACAATATAGATTTAAAATTTCTCTCATTATCTCCTATGACTATTACAGGAATTAGTTAATTTGATTAAAATAATGTAATATTTAGTCTTATCAATAATAATTTGGGTCTTAATTAATATTTAGTATAAACTGAAAATTTAAGTGCCTTCATCTATGAATGTTAAATGAATGAATTAGAATAGAAGTGTTCATAAAAGATCACTTTTTATCCATTAATTAAATTAGTTGATGATAACATCGTATGGACAGAAATAGGAATATATGACTCATATATAGGTATTAAGACATAAAATAATCATGTAATCACAATATATAGAGTTGGTGATTCAAAGATTGTTCAAATATTCTAAATCAAAACTTCTTTATAAAATGAGAAAACTCAAATAACTGATTTTGCTATTAATTCTTAATTTGTATTTGTACTTATTAGTGGAATGAATGAGATCTAAATCTATTCTTTATCTTTAAAGATTTAAATTGATACTATTTCAAATCTAAATAATGCTTAAAAAGTTTATATTAGTAATACCTTTAATAAGAATTTATTATTTATCAAATGTAACAATATAATCATAATTGGGCATTATGTCAATGAATTTAATATCATTTCTTAGATCTAAGTGACAGAATAATAAAATGTTTAATTACTTTTGTCTATATTCAGATCTACCCTTATAGTTGTCTTTAAGACAGTTACTGAATAGGGCATTTTGTAATATCTTATTCATAATTTGAATTCAGTAACACTTTTAAGAAAGTTGCCATTATATTACTATTAATTATCATAATAGCTTTAATTGGCTTCTAATCCTTTAAAGAACTTAATTTTGGTTACTGCATATTCAGTATACACTTAGACTACTGTAATTTTGATTTATTAAATAAATGAATATTAAAGGAATTCTCTATTGACAGTTATTGATACTTTTAATTATTTTGAAGGGGAATTAAATTATTGTGTTGCAGGAATTACCAATACAGTGATTTAATTCATATATAAGGGATAAGTGTATAGTTATCTTTATTTTGAGTAACCTAGAATTTATATAAATTATTTGACTAATCCTACACACTTTTAATCTAATTTAATTTTATCTTAATAGGAATGGAATGATTATTATAATTTAAAGAGAGAATACAATAAAAATATTATTGTAGTTGATATGTAATTGGAAATGTAATGGATAAAGGATAATATAGAATTTGAATTTGATGAGTGCAAAGAAGTTTAGACAGTTCAAATAAAGAATAATTGGATCTAAGGTTAACGTATTTAATTTAAATTATCTTGTATTTTATGTACAACTGATAATGACAGTGGTTAAATTTATTTATTGAATCAATTTTAAAAATCTAATAGATAGATATAATCAAAATCGATATAATAATTTATAAATTTTGATGATAATTTTCTTTTAATTTTATCAGAATTAACTGGAACAAAATAATATTTGTAATTTATTAATAATGTTGGAGAAATAGCAAATGAAATTGAATTATAAATAGAATAATATAATTATGTTGCAACAAAATTGTTTCTATTAACAAAGAATATATTAGTTATTTTATATGAAAATGTAACTGCTTAAAAACCTGAATTAAGATATTATTATTGTTGGAAGGATTAAGAAAAATAAGATTGTAAATTGATGGGGAAAATAGAATTTTAAGATAGAAGAATTATTAAAGAGATGTCATATTTAAATAATGTATAAATAATCTTAACTGAGAATTTAACAGAATATCCTTCAATATATTTTTATTCTTTGTTAATAGATAATAAAGTTTTTACAATATAATAATTTAACTTAATAATCAATAAAGATTATTTTCATGAAAGTTTTAATATAACTTCTTTTGATGTAATGAAAATATCTGAAAATTAAGGTTGTTTGGTTTTGGCTGAATTTAGTATTGGTATAATTGCAATAAAAATGACATTAACTAAGGATTAGGTAAGTATATCATAATATGAATATTTGGAATTGCCATTTAAACAATAAAATTTAGTAGAACCTTAAGAAAATAGATTTATAAAAATATAGATCTTTAAAGAGGGGAATAATAATTGCAAATTGATTTTAGTAGATCAAATTAATGAAAGTTATTAAATATTTCTTGAATATTAAAGAGGGAAATTTAAGATAAATATAAGCTAAGTGTTTTTGAAATTAGGGAATATAATAAAATTAAGTTCAATTAATGTTATTGATGATTATTTATTATAATTGTTTAGATATGAAAATAAATATTACTTTTGTCTATATGAAATCAATTAAAATAATGATGTTAGAAATAATGCAGGAATATGTAAAGCAGGTTTGAAATAATCAGATTATGATATGATTATATCATCTAATTTTGTAGCAAGAAAAAATCAATTTGGTAAATATTAATTATTGATAAATACTTATGATGATAGGAGTTTGTAAATTTATTCTATAGATTAAGATGCAAGAATTGTAGTGAAGAATGCATCAGAATTAAACAATTATACTGTGAGTTTAATAGCAGTTAATCCATATAAATAAGTATAATTGGGAATAAATTTAACATTGATATCATGTCCAAATCCTGATTAAGAAATGAAATTATTTTTTATACTTTTGATAGTTGTTTTGGGAGTACTTTTTGTTGGGATAATCATATGTGTGGCAATCCATATATGTATTAACAAACATCGTAAAAGAAGACGATCATATAAGGCCATTTAATGATTTGTTCTTAAATATATTATTATAAATTTAATGACTTAATTCATTTAAGTCATTCAATTATTTACTTTTTGTTTCCTTATTATAAATTTTTATATCTAATCTTATTTACTAATTTCTTATTGAATTTTAAAATTTATTTAAATAAATTAATAAATATTATTTAATATAAATTTAATTAATACTATTTAATTGATAATAAAAAAAAATATTTTCAATGTAATTATTACTTTTTTTAGGCTTTGCTTAAATCAATTTTATTTTATGTTATTTTATATCTCTTTTAATAGAAATTCTTAAATTCTAGCAATAAATCTTAATTATTATTTTTCATTTTATATACAAAAAATATCTATTTAATAACATTGTTATAAAAGTTGAATAAAATATTTATAGTCTGATTCTAAAACTAATTTATTTGATCCTTATATTAGTAAACTATATGAAGGAAGATGAATTGTTCAGTATAATATAAATAATAAATTCAATAAAATAATTATTCTTAAATTATTTCTATAATATTCTTTTGATATCTAGACTTAATTAATCCTTTAATTTAATTCATTTTTAGAGAATTAAGATTGTACTAAAAGATCAGGCATCATAAAATATGTTAAAGATAAAAGAAAAATGAAACTTATAAAATATTGATTGATATAATTACATAATTAGAAAGCTTGTCTAACTATTTTAGAAGTATTTAATGTATTATTTATTGAAATCAATTCATCTAACAAGATTTAGATTAATTTCATACCTAATCTCTAATATTGATCTCTAAAGATTTATGAGTTGTGAAACCAATTGGTTTGAATATTTTAAATCATAAATGAATGAGTATAGTTGGAATAGCCAAGTTAAAACTAAATACTAAGTTTGATGAATCTTCAATTTCATACAAATATATATTTCATGATTAATTAATTTATCATAAATTTTGAATGAGGTAATCGATTTTATTGAATGACTCAAAACTTATCAGAAATTAAATATAAATATTTCCAAAACTTACCTTTTTAAAAATAAATAAATAATGTTCATCATCTTATCAGTGTTAACATAATTGTCATATGGATGTTCTGTATGGGCTAATGATACATTCTATATAACAGCTACCCCTGGAGAAAAAGTTGATATAAAACTTGATGAGATCTTTAGAGATAAAAATATTTAATAATACACCATCTCTCCTACGTCGGAACTATACTAATTATCTAATCCATTAAGTTTAATATAATAAAGTCAATATAATTAAATAGAACCAAGAGAATTGATAGCTTCAAAATTATATAAAAGTTCTGGATATCTAGATATAACAAATTAAATAACCATTTTAAGCAAAGCACAAAATAAATATTTTATAGAATATAGTTCTTTAATGTTTGAAAATACACCAGATATTGATATTGTTTAATAAGTAAATGTTAAAGTAGATTCAATTTGTTATGATACTGTCTAAGTAGATTTATTGTATATTATTGAATGTAATAATGTGGATGGTGATTATTTTGCTATTCTTAATAAAGATTAGGTTTAATATATGACAATTATTAATTCTTAAAGATAACAAAGGAAACTTGATTAATTAGATAAATTTATCTTAAGAAATTTATATTATTCATTAGAATTATATTAATTATAAGATAATCAATTAGTTTTAATAAGTACTCTTAATACAGAATTATTAAGATAATTAACTAAAGATGATAAATTTGATCTTTTAATTGTTGATTTTAAATTCCATACAAACTAATAAATTACAATTTTGAATTAAAAAGGATAATTTATATGTCTAAAATATATGAACTAATAAAATTAATGGGAATTATATGAATATTTATAAACTTAAACAAATCTTCCTTATGCTTATGATTATTCTTGGAAATATTTACAATTAGTAATCATTTCAGATAAAATAATATATCTTCGTTAGATTTCAACTTGGACTCAAAAAGATAATTTAAATTTTGATCCAAATAACAAAGTACAATTGTTATAAAATTATATAATTATTTAGAAATTAAATTCATTATAAATTTTAAACTTTAATTTCAAAGAGATATAGAGTATAGATATTCAAACTTAAGGTTTTTTAAACTCATATCCAGCATTTGATTCATTTTTATTTTTTGATTACTAAAACTTTTATGCTTATACAATTAATTAAGAAAATCAATAGATATTGAGATTTTAATCAAATTAATTAATTAATGAATATTAATTATTCAAAATTTAAAAGTAAACTCCTTATAAATTATGTGAAATCAAATGCTATTATAAAGTTGTTGATATTGCTACTAAAGATATTTATTAATAAGTTTAGGTTTCTAATAGTTTTTTTAAAGGTGGTCTATTATTAGATGAACAATAATCATTATAATTTACTTAACCATTTGTTGGATAAAATTTAAAGTTAGAATTCACACCTAACTAATTTATGACAGTTTAATTTAGTAGAAGTAAGAAAGTTGAAATTCTCTATTCAGGTGATCCCAAGGATATTATTTATCGTAAAATTATTCCTGAAATTGGGTAGACAAGTTTTATTGAATAAAATAATGATTTATAAATAACTGGATATCTGTGTAATTTAATAGAACAATAATTTTAGTGTAAGACATTTATATAAACACACGATTTCATCAAATTATAGGATTCTCCTCTTTAAACATGGTTTGCATAATTTTATACATATTTAGCAATTGGAAAAGATAAAAATGTTGATCTCTATTGTAATTGTAATGATTAAATTCAAATATCTCTTCTAACAACATTAGTTATGGATGGTAACATCAAAGAAATAAAACATAGTTTCTCTTATTTATTAATATTGGTTGATTAAGAATTACTAGTGTATTAGATAAATAATAGCAAATAAAGGTTAGTGTTTCGCCATTTAGCTGAAAAAGTCTATACATCTGCAAACTTAGATCAAGTTTGGATTTATTCAAAGAAAACATTATATCTTTTTGATATTTCTGATAATACTAAATTGCTTTGGTTCACTTATCTAAAAGATTATGATGATATTGAAGTTGGAGTATCTTAAAATTAATTTTTGTTATTGGCTAAAAGAGACAATCTATATCAAGGATTTGTATATGACTATCAAAATCTCAAATATGCTTACATTTTAAAACAATTAGATCTCTCAGGTTACACTGAATTAAAGCTTTGTTTATCCTGTAATTCAAACTCTAAATTCATTTATTTAGAGGCTTAAAAAAATGGAAATCATGTATTACTTATTTACAGATTAGATTAAATTGCTATTAATTCATTGTTCATTGAATTTACAATTTTAGCAAATAGCTAAATCACATCTAATGAATAAAATTTATTTATTACTAACTCTTAAATGTTATCATAATATATAATTTAGAATTAAGATTCATCTTCTATTAGTATTGAAATAGATTAAAATTATTAACAAGTAAAGAATTGTGAAATTATAAAATTAAATGGCAAAGTCTCCAATTCTGATAAAAACTAAGAAATTAAAGACATTCCAATTTCATTAATAAATAGAGGAATAAATATATTTGGAATAGAAAATGAATTGAATTTTAATTATGAGAAAGATGGAAATAATAGTCATTGTTTTGATTTAGGATAATCTTGGTATAGTGGTTAAGCTTTTGAAATAGATTTATAATAATAAGGAAATGGAGATATTAAATTATAAAAAACACTTATTAAATAAGAATAATCTATTGAATATAGTTAATCTATTATGGAATATGATAATAATACTTTAATTTAATTAATTTCTAATAAGATTATTTTTATTTCTAAATAAGATTTTTAAATTATAGAATACTAATTAGATAATTAATATTAATTTATTAATATACTTTATATTCAATCAAATCTTATCTATCTTTAAGCTATCTTTAATAAATAATATTTTATTAAACTATTATAATTTAAAGATTCATAAATTATTTTATAAAATGGATAAATTACTTATAATTATTATATCAAAAAAGCATTTTTAAACTAAGATAGATTCTTTACATGGATATATAATTATGCAATAGCATATGATACTAAAAATGATCCTACTAATTTGAATGAATTTGAAGTTATCTAAAGGGTTTTTCCATCTTTTTATCCAGTATCTCTTGAGTTTAAACATGTAAAGGATTAGATTTATTACTTTTTCTTTATTAGTTAGTCTGCTTAATTAGAAATAGCAGCCTATGAAATAGTTAAGAATTCTTAAAAAAATTTTTTTCTTGATTATCACACAGCAGACAATCTAAAATTATAAGGCATGTTTTTCCCTCTTGATTACACATGTAGTGGAATGGTAATGACAGAAAATTAAGTTGTTATATCTTTAAATAATTCTATTTCATATGCTTTTAATTATTAGATTGCTTGTTAAGATAATTATTTGTGCCAGATAACATAATTTAGCTATAAAAATAGTTATCAATAATATGGTAGTTGGAGCTTGAAAAATGAATATCCAAGTTTATTTGTCAGTGAAAACATACTTTCTATAATTTATTAGTCTGAAAAGGATCATGAATTATTGCTTTATGATTTAAATGATAATTCTAACAAAACTGGACCCATTTCAGCTATAGCTTATTTAAAGTCGAAGAACCTTGAAGATCAAAAAATAGTTTAATCTTTTGTTTATAATTATAAAGAATAACTACATTTATTAAGTTCAGCAGAAGACAAATAAAAATTGCAACACTATATTATAAGAAGATCACCTTAGATTTGTATTGAGAAATAGTCAATTTCATAAAATGTGAATATTTCATTGAAGAATTAAAACTAGGAAAAATTAGTAAATTTAAAATTGAATATTGATTAAATAAAATCTGATTCTTCTCATTTTAAAATATGGATAATATTGGTGATTGTATTAGTCATTGTAATAGTGGGAATATCAGTTATAATATATTGTTAAAAGAAAAGAAGAAGATTAGTTAAATAGAACTTATTAATAGAGGATTGATTTTCTTTTAATATAAATAATTATTATATATAAAATAATTTATCAANGGCTTCCTTAATCAATAACTATTTCTTTGTTTGGGTGGATTTAAAAGTTTAAATTTACAATATGAATAATGAACCTGAAAATTTATTAAACTATGCTTTGGTTAAAGATGTTAACATCCCATTATAGGAAGGTTCTATGGAAGTTTAATATATATAAACTAATGATGTTTATTAGATCATTTATTTAGATGAAGGTTGTTTATTATAGATATTTAGTTTTCAAATATCACAAACCTAAAATGCACATTATAATTCAGTAAAGGATATAGGGGGAATTTTAAGAGAAAAATTTCTCTATGATCCTTAAAATTAGATCTGCAGAAATTTATTCTTATAAAAAAATGAAATTGTTGTTGTTATTTCTGGAACTCCTTCTTATAAATTTAGTTTGATTATTTAATGTTAACAGTAGAATATATGTGATATTATTGAATTAAACTTATTATCTGAATATCAACAATATGGAAAATCATACATAGATAGAAAATATCCTAGTAGTTACTTAAATGAAAACATTTTGTCCATAATTTATCAAACAGATAATGGTTATGATGTTTTATTGTATGATCTTAAAAGTTAGAATAATAAAATTGGACCAAATTTGGCTATTGCTCACTCTTCATCTTTATTTAAATAAAGTTCATTGATTTCTTTTGTTTACAGTTATAAAGAGTAATTGCATTTATTGACTTCCGCAGATAATAAATAAAAATTACAACACTATTTATTAAGAAGATCTCCATAGGTGTGTGTAGATTAGGAGTCGGTTACATAAGATGTTAAATTCTTATTAAGAAATTCATATCAAGAAAAAGAGATTAATATAAAATTGAAGATATCACCAAAAGTTCCACCTAGTCCACCAGATCCAGGTTCTGATGAAAAAAGAGGATTTCCATTATGGGCAATTTTATTGATTGTTGGAGGTGTTATTCTATTATTTGGAATTGGAATTACGATTTGGTGTTGTAAGAAAAAGAAAGAAAAAGATGATTTATATTAATCTATTCCATGATTAATTATAAATATCATAAAATTATTTATTGTTAATTTATTTATTGTAGTTTAAAATTTATAATTCTAATTCTTCTTATACTGATACTAATATTATTAAATATTTATTAATCTCTAAAATAATATTCTGTTTTTCAAATTAAAATTGAAAATATTAATAAATAAGGAGCATCTATTTATAAAATTATTGAAATTTATAAATAAAATAAAGGTAGTTTAATATATATTGATATTTTGTATCTACTTCAATTAAAAGAATGAAATTGATCAATACATAAAATTATCAGAATAATATGCAAATTTAATGAACAAGTACATGGTTTTTTATTTGTAATAAATTCCTCTATATAATTGCTATTGACCTAAATATTATCAATTATTTTTATAGACTAAATATTTGAGTTATTTTAAGTAATTTATATTTCTCATTATATTAATGCCTTAAAAGTAATGCTATCAAATTTTTGATGATGCAAAATTATTTGATTTATTAGAAGAAAACCTAGCCCTTTTGGCACAATTAAGAAATGGAATTCCTTTTATTCCAATTCCAAAATTCTAAAAACTAAAAATACCTTAATAGTCAAAATAATATTCACTCTTCACTATCTTCATAATTGATATTCACATAACTACTAGCTCTAATATACAATAGAAGGTTACCTTTTAAACTATTAATATCCAACAGCAATAATAGATGGAAATTTTAATTATTGGATGAGGAAAAATTTCAGCGAATACTATAAAATGATAACTAAGTCAGAGAATAGAAGAAATAAGGATGGGACTAAATCAATATCAATATAAACTTCAAAATTTGTAAAGACTAATGCTAAATTTTGATAAAAATAATAGAATAAATATTTTGAATTTAGCAAAAATAATAAAATTTAATAAATGATGAAAGTCTTTATTATACAATTAGCCAAACCATTTAGAAAAGCTATTAAAAATAATTATAAATTATTTTAATATGGCAATATGTCATATTAGATTGATTTTGCTTTAGAGATTTAATCATCATTTACTAAATATATTTCTTAGTTATGTAATGTACATATAAGAATAATTCTCTTTTTCCTCTTCATGAATTGCCAGAGGATCTCAATATTCTCATCAAAACAATCTATTATAAAAAAGAATATATTTATAATAAAATTCCATTTCACTCACAAAGAAGAGAAATAGAAAAAAACCCCATCCCCCCTTCATCTGGAATGAGATTTTTCTTAACCCTCAGTTGAAACTCACATTCAACTATTTATCAATAATGATGACTAAATACACAAACGACCCAACCTATATCTAAAATTAAAAATCTTTATTATAAAATTCCCTGGAAGAAATAAACTGTAGTTATTTCGGATGATTGAATAATATCATAAAAAAAATAATTAAAAAAAACCAGAAAAATTCCAACATTTTTATGGAAGTTTCATTTATATATTACTACTGAGTCCTCAATTGACAAATGATTTTATAATGAAATAAAATGTATTTTTTGTATCATAGTTTTATTTATTTGTTCTTCGAGTAATCTCAAGAATTAAATTTAATAATTTAGATGGCAGTTACAACTGAAATTACTTTATGAGATGATGCTTACAAAAATGATTTCATTTTTTAGATTACTCCTAAAAATTTAATATTATTTTTATTCTAAATAGTTATTTTATCACAATTCATCTTTCATGACTCCTTTCTTTAGATATTTATAGATATGGCAATAAAGATTTTTTACTACTTGAATGCTAAAAAAAATGAAGTTTTCATGAATAACCTTGTAATATTTCCATTATGAAAATTTGTTAATTTTGAAGGCTTTTGTTTTGATAACAGTAAAGCTCTATTGGATTAATTAAGGAGTGAATGGCGATAAAAATTCATGTGGGATTTTCTTTAATTTATATTTTTAACTCTAATAGCAGTATGAATGGGAGCATTATCTAAAATTATAACCACCTTCTTTAAACATTTTATCTTAATATCATATATCAATTATCTTAAATGATATTTATATTCCTCTGAATTTATACTACCTTTGACAATTTAAATTGCAAAATAGCCATCATTTATTGTTGTTCCTCATACTGTGCATGATTTAGTTAGATTACTAGTCATCTATTTGATTAATTAAGCTTTAAGCTGCAAAAATCTTGATCTTATAAGTTTTTTGCAATTTGATTTTCAGCAAGATATATTAATCCTGTATCTTTTGCTTAATACCCAAGTATAATGCTGGAATACTCAAATCTCAGAAGCATTAATTTTTTCATTTTTTATTTATTTTGTTTGTTGATAATAATTATTAAGTAACATTATTGCAGTATTATTTGAAAAAAATAAAAAATGGCTGTTTAAATTATTGATTCAGAGTCGTATGGTTGTATATTTAATTGACTGGCAATAATGCTTGGTCTATATTTTTTGGTTGTCATTTATTTGATGACTTTTTCTTATTTAGATTACAGGATTAATTTTAAAAAAATAAATCTTCATATTTCTCCTACCTTTTTATCTATAAAGTATATTATTTTCAAGTTTGTGCATTCAAGTTTACTCTAATAATTAGAGTATGATTTAGTTTAAGACATATGATTTTTTATCTGCTAAAAGGATCATTTACTAAGGAAGTTTTATGAATATGTTTGTTGATAATTTATGCCTATTAAATAAATTTTGAACCTTTTTTTGCTTAATTCTTCTTCTTTTATATTTGGCATTTGTAGAACTATGAGCTATTTATTCACAGCCTGTCACGATAGTTTTAAAATATTCATAATAAGCTCATTATTTTAGTAATCTTTTAGATTACATTAATAATTAGATAAAACTTAAAGAAGATAGAAGCAGATGATATTTTTAGGAGATCAGAATAACAGATAATGGAGTTAAAAAGTAAAGACAGTAAATTGTAGAGGATATAATGATAGATAAAGGATAAAGAATTATAACTGCGACTGCAAAAAAGATCGTTTAAGGAACAACAACTGAAACCCTGCAAACAGAAGCAATGAAATTTAAAGTATGTATTTTTGAATTCTAATATTATTGAAGAAAGGAATTTAAATGGATCTATTTTTTACTCTTGTTGGATTAAACTTTATTTTTTGTAATCTAACTTTAGAGAAAAATGACAAAATGGTGGTATATATATCATTTTGTTGAAAATTAAAAAATTCAAAAACCAAAAAAAATATATATCTGTTTGTATTATGTAAGTGTTGATAAGTTTTTCCCTGTAAAACTACAAATTGTATCGCCATTTAAGTTCCAAAATTTTATTTTCATTTTTGAATCTTTCGTTATAATGCTGAAATTTAGGAAAAATGAAGTTAAGATTAAGATTTTACTAATTATAAATAGAGTATTAACCAATATGCTTGATAATTACTATGGTTATATTATTTGGAGTTGTATTCAATAAGTGCAATATATTGAAAGTTCAGTTCTTTCACCATAATTATAATAATAAAAATCTTTATTGCAGGTTTTGATTTTGGGTCTCTTGTCCTGTGTTTGATTCCATTAATAAATGTAGTTGGTAGTTTCGAGAGTGAGGAAATGAACAAGTATGCCAGGAGAGGAGAGGGTTTATTTCCCTTTGCTCCCCTAAGAAATAAGAGAAAAACCAAATTTTTTTTTTAAATTAATTGTTTTTGAGATAATTTAAGATTGGTTTGAATAACATTATGAGGAAAGAAATGTAGATAATTCATACTCCTATTTCTAAGTTCAATAATCTTAAAAAGTGTTACTCTTCTCTCTCTCCAACTTCTTTTAAAAACTCTCTGATATTTTTAAAAAGCGAGTTATATTTAATTTTTCCCATAAACTAAATTTTACAACGAGTCTTTATTTTTCTTTGCTATAATCTTTATTTATATAATAGTGCTCTAAGACAGAATAAATATGATTTAATTGACCTGGAGCTTTTTGAGAAAGTTTGATCATAAATTTAAGTGCAGAGAGTTTGTAATACGAGTTTATACGAGTTTGTGATTTTTCTGGCAATTTGAAAATCATTTACAAATAAACCAAGAGGAGCAAGAAAGGAGGAAAATTGATGAAATTCTAAATTATTAACAATTTTTAAATTAAATATGAAAATCAAATAGTATGAACAAAGAAGGAAAGTTTCTATTTTAATATAAAAGAATTTATATATTAATATAATATTATAAATTCTCCGTTTAATATAGTAAATGGTAAACAAGACTGGACTATGGAAGAGATAAATATTCCCATTTTCAAATTATAATATCAAACATTTTAAAGGCTAAAGTATCTTAAAGCAATTAATGAATAAAAAATAATTTACAGAATTCTTGGCTAAATATTAACTCAATTTTCTATAGGGTGTTGTGATTTGAATATTTCATTAAGAAAACCAGAAAGAATAGATAAGAAACCTTGAAAAATTATTTTAGAGACTGATAAAATAAGGGAAGGATTAGTTATAGAATTTTGAAGAAGGAAATCTATATTTGTATTTAGTTAGAGTTAAATTTATATGTTATTCTATCTGTTAAAAACAATTAAGGGATTTGATTAAACTGAATCAATAATTTATTAATGAGTCTTATTTCAAATATAATGATATAAATTATTTTTGGAATTTTTAGTTAAATTGTCAATACATATATAAACAAATTAATTTCCATATTACAACAAAAAATAAAAATGATAAAAATCTATTTTTTGTTAAGCTTATTCATTACTCTGATAAAAGCTTGCTCATATTTACAAAATGAGGCTATGCAAATCATCTCAACTCCCAATGAGGTTATCAACATTTAGTTTGCCTCAATTTTCAAAATAAATCAATTCAATAAGATAACCTTATTTAATGATGATAATTAATTTGTAATAGTAAAGCCAATTGAGTTGATAGAGCAGTCAAAAGCAAATAGTTAATAAAATAGTGAGGTAGTTTCATATAAACTTTTTAAAACAAAAAAGAGTCGTGATCCATTGCATTAAATGGCAATTTTAGTAAAAGTAAAGGATTACTATGTTGTGGAATTTAATTCTAATATTTATAATACTTTACCTTCTATTAACTCAGTAACTGAAAGAGTTGATTAACCTAATTCTATTTGCTATGATGTAATTTAAGTTGATTCTATCTTTATTGTTGATTGCCAAAAGGAAGACTAAGATTACTTTTCAATTGGATAAGATAATTATATACCAATTCAAAAAGCCAAGAATTAATAAAGAAGATTAGATTAAATTGACAATTATATTTTTAGAAGCACAGTAAATGAATTGGAACTATATATTTATGAATTAAATACTGTGCAATTCATTAAAATTCTTGATTAAATAACACTAAGTTAAATATTAAAAAAAGATAATTTCAAATTAGAAATAAGAGATTTTAAAACACATTCAAATGGTTAAATTAGTATTTTAAATTCATAAGGAGAACTAATAATATTAGAATACAGTAGATAAAAAGATGAATGGATATTAATTAAAAATATTGATACAAAAACTCAAAATGCAATTGGTTATGATATTGATATTGATGCTAATCAATATGTAGTGATTCAAGAACAAAATCTTTATTTTAAGTCTAAAACATCCCTTGAATACTTAGTTAATATAACTAAAAATGAAAGAAATAATGTTTATTTGACTAAAAATTATATTTTATTATCAAAATAGGATAGTTTAGTACTTTATAATTAGAAACTGGAAAAACTTTATTCAATATTAATTGATTAATCTAAGTATAAATATATTTCCAATCCAAACTTTGATAGTATAATTGCCTTAGATAATACTGACATTTATCGCTACTCTATTAATAATGATTACTATTTAAGGTTTAAATCTGATAAACTTTAAGATTAGTATAGTTCAATTTAGATTATTTAAGATTCTGATGAAGTTAAGTGTGGAGTACTTATTTACTATAGAGTAGTTCCAATAGAAACATTAGAAATGTTCTAAACTTAAGCATCATCTGCTTTATTTGCATATGGAGTTAATTTGGATGAATAAATGGCTAAATTCTAATAGGCTTGTTAAGGTCCAAATCTCAAATTTGAATTTTATAATAGTGATATTTTAAAAGTATAGGTTCAAAACTATAAAGAAGTAATTCTGAAAAATTTAGATTTAGAAGAAATTATTTATAGGAAAGCAATCTCAAATCTTAATACATAAAATATATATTTGATTCAATAAAAGTAGAATTTATAAATCGAAGGTTTCATTTGTGAAATTACTTCATAAACTATAATTAATTGCAATATTTGGTTTGAAAAAATTATTTTTCCAAAATTAGAAGATTCATAATAATAACTTTGGTGGATGACTTAGGATGGTCTTTATTTTGCTATTTTAAATGATAAAGCAGTAAAGCTCTATTATTTATCTTATGATAAAAAAGAATTTTAAGAATTTTAAGTTATTTAATTATAAACTCAAGGAAAATCAATAACAACTGATGGAAGCTAATTGTTTATATTGATCGAAAAAGATGTTGAAATATATGAAATTAATTCAAAAGAATGGAAAAAACTTACAGTAGGTTTAAAAGATGTTAATCAGATTTTTGCATCACCTTATAAATAGGATATGTTATTAGTCTACGATAATATTAATTTATATTTATACAGTATTTAATATTAAAAAATAACATTAATTTGGTTTACACCTTTAGAAAGCCAAATTGATATTAATATTGCAATTACTAATGGTCAATTTTCTATTTTGATAAAATCAGAGGAAATACATTCATTACTAACATATAATATTTAAAATGAAGGAAATATTTATTTTTAAAGAAAACATAGTTTGTATCATCATGCAAAAGGTGATATTTCATTATTTGATTGCAATTATTTTAATAACTAATTATATATTATAGGAAATCATGAGAAGACTGATAATAAGGCAATTTTAGTTTATAAACTTACTGAAGTAAGCATAAACTCTTAATTCATGATTTTAGATATTCCAACAACTCAACTATCATCTGCTAATAACTTCGTTTTCATTACTGAAGCAAATTAAAATAAATTTTATTCATATTACATAGATGGTAATTACTTCGTAAGTACTTCCTTTAATATTCCAGATAATTAATAAATCTACAATAAAAATATTAAAATATAAGGAAGGGTTTCTAATACTGATTTTTACAGAATTATCAAAGACATTCCAATTTCATTAATAAATAGAGGAATAAATATATTTGGAATAGAAAATGAATTGAATTTTAATTATGAGAAAGATGGAAATAATAGTCATTGTTTTGATTTAGGATAATCTTGGTATAGTGGTTAAGCTTTTGAAATAGATTTATAATAATAAGGAAATGGAGATATTAAATTATAAAAAACACTTATTAAATAAGAATAATCTATTGAATATAGTTAATCTATTATGGAATATGATAATAATACTTTAATTTAATTAATTTCTAATAAGATTATTTTTATTTCTAAATAAGATTTTTAAATTATAGAATACTAATTAGATAATTAATATTAATTTATTAATATACTTTATATTCAATCAAATCTTATCTATCTTTAAGCTATCTTTAATAAATAATATTTTATTAAACTATTATAATTTAAAGATTCATAAATTATTTTATAAAATGGATAAATTACTTATAATTATTATATCAAAAAAGCATTTTTAAACTAAGATAGATTCTTTACATGGATATATAATTATGCAATAGCATATGATACTAAAAATGATCCTACTAATTTGAATGAATTTGAAGTTATCTAAAGGGTTTTTCCATCTTTTTATCCAGTATCTCTTGAGTTTAAACATGTAAAGGATTAGATTTATTACTTTTTCTTTATTAGTTAGTCTGCTTAATTAGAAATAGCAGCCTATGAAATAGTTAAGAATTCTTAAAAAAATTTTTTTCTTGATTATCACACAGCAGACAATCTAAAATTATAAGGCATGTTTTTCCCTCTTGATTACACATGTAGTGGAATGGTAATGACAGAAAATTAAGTTGTTATATCTTTAAATAATTCTATTTCATATGCTTTTAATTATTAGATTGCTTGTTAAGATAATTATTTGTGCCAGATAACATAATTTAGCTATAAAAATAGTTATCAATAATATGGTAGTTGGAGCTTGAAAAATGAATATCCAAGTTTATTTGTCAGTGAAAACATACTTTCTATAATTTATTAGTCTGAAAAGGATCATGAATTATTGCTTTATGATTTAAATGATAATTCTAACAAAACTGGACCCATTTCAGCTATAGCTTATTTAAAGTCGAAGAACCTTGAAGATCAAAAAATAGTTTAATCTTTTGTTTATAATTATAAAGAATAACTACATTTATTAAGTTCAGCAGAAGACAAATAAAAATTGCAACACTATATTATAAGAAGATCACCTTAGATTTGTATTGAGAAATAGTCAATTTCATAAAATGTGAATATTTCATTGAAGAATTAAAACTAGGAAAAATTAGTAAATTTAAAATTGAATATTGATTAAATAAAATCTGATTCTTCTCATTTTAAAATATGGATAATATTGGTGATTGTATTAGTCATTGTAATAGTGGGAATATCAGTTATAATATATTGTTAAAAGAAAAGAAGAAGATTAGTTAAATAGAACTTATTAATAGAGGATTGATTTTCTTTTAATATAAATAATTATTATATATAAAATAATTTATCAATAGATGGATGTATAATCTCCAGAACAAGTGAATAAATCCCGATCAAATTCAAAATCAAANGCATTTTTAAACTAAGATAGATTCTTTACATGGATATATAATTATGCAATAGCATATGATACTAAAAATGATCCTACTAATTTGAATGAATTTGAAGTTATCTAAAGGGTTTTTCCATCTTTTTATCCAGTATCTCTTGAGTTTAAACATGTAAAGGATTAGATTTATTACTTTTTCTTTATTAGTTAGTCTGCTTAATTAGAAATAGCAGCCTATGAAATAGTTAAGAATTCTTAAAAAAATTTTTTTCTTGATTATCACACAGCAGACAATCTAAAATTATAAGGCATGTTTTTCCCTCTTGATTACACATGTAGTGGAATGGTAATGACAGAAAATTAAGTTGTTATATCTTTAAATAATTCTATTTCATATGCTTTTAATTATTAGATTGCTTGTTAAGATAATTATTTGTGCCAGATAACATAATTTAGCTATAAAAATAGTTATCAATAATATGGTAGTTGGAGCTTGAAAAATGAATATCCAAGTTTATTTGTCAGTGAAAACATACTTTCTATAATTTATTAGTCTGAAAAGGATCATGAATTATTGCTTTATGATTTAAATGATAATTCTAACAAAACTGGACCCATTTCAGCTATAGCTTATTTAAAGTCGAAGAACCTTGAAGATCAAAAAATAGTTTAATCTTTTGTTTATAATTATAAAGAATAACTACATTTATTAAGTTCAGCAGAAGACAAATAAAAATTGCAACACTATATTATAAGAAGATCACCTTAGATTTGTATTGAGAAATAGTCAATTTCATAAAATGTGAATATTTCATTGAAGAATTAAAACTAGGAAAAATTAGTAAATTTAAAATTGAATATTGATTAAATAAAATCTGATTCTTCTCATTTTAAAATATGGATAATATTGGTGATTGTATTAGTCATTGTAATAGTGGGAATATCAGTTATAATATATTGTTAAAAGAAAAGAAGAAGATTAGTTAAATAGAACTTATTAATAGAGGATTGATTTTCTTTTAATATAAATAATTATTATATATAAAATAATTTATCAATAGATGGATGTATAATCTCCAGAACAAGTGAATAAATCCCGATCAAATTCAAAATCAAAAATCAATTCTTAAGGATCATCTTAAAACTTGAATTCTCCAAAGGAAATAAAATCAATTGAAAATTTAAGCAAAGAGAACTCATAAATTCATTCTCTTGAGAAAGGCCATTAAGATGTTGAATAAAATGAAGAACCAAATGAACATTAAGAGATATAATAGGAACAAGATATAGTACCTTAATAAATTGGAGAAGTAAATCAAGAATAACAGCAAGATTCTAATTAAAAAAGTATAGCAAAAAAGAAAAGATAAAAAATATCAATTTTAAGTAATAATCATCGAGGTTTTAAAGGAAAGGATTAAAAAGTTAGTTAGACTTCTTTTACTTCTTTTTCTCCTGATTCAACTCCAGACCCAATTTCAAATAATCGATAGAGTAAATTTTAAATAACGACTCAAAGGCAATTAGAATTAGAGGAATTGGAGAAAAAGGATGAAGCTTTAAGAGTAAAATTAGTAGAATGGTTGAAAACTGAGTTTATGTTTAAGTAAATACATCCATTTGATCTATTCACTGCATTTGATGATCCTAATACAGAGTTTCTATTGCGTTAAAGTGAGTTAGAATAGGCATTTAAATATGTAAATATTGATATTGGTGAAGATAATTATAGAATAATAAACAAATATTATAAAGTTAAAGATGCAGTAAGTACTTTCAAATTATGTTATGATATTGTAGATGATTAACCAGAATTAATGTTAATGGCATTAAATCATATAATCATAAAATATCGTTTATTAATTGAAATCTTTTTTGATGAAATCACATAATCTGAAAAGTTATTTACAGCTGATTCCTTAAAATTATTAAATAAAGAATGGGAATGGGGATTTGAAGAAAAGTAAATGTCTATTGTTCATAATTTGATGACTGATTATGGAAATACATCTATGTCATTTTAATTATTTAAATAGAAGCTTTAATAATGTCCTTAAGCAGTTGATTCAAAATTAAATTTAGAAATGTATTAATCTTTAGTCAATTTAATAATTCTGGATGATTCTGTAATGACATTTAGTTTATTGTTATAAGATTAAGATCAAGCATCATCTGGAGAAGTTGCTTTATACATATTCACTGATATTTTATCTATGTATATAGACAGAGCTCTATCTAAGATTGAGATGAATGCTATAAGGATATTTCTTTAAGTTGAAAAAGATGAGGAGGTTGTGGCTTACAATAAATTGTTAACAGATGCTCTTAAAATTATAGAAGATTAAAAAACTTTAAGATAATAATAATCTGTCAAAATATAGAAATTTTAACTATAATTAATGTTATTATATTTTAATTCTATTGATAATTTATCCTAAATACAAGAGTAATATTTTAAAGAAAAGAAAAAATTAAGTAAGGATCATTTTATTAAATCAACAATTTAATTAACAAATGGTAAGATAGATAAAGAGAGTGCAAATGCCATTTTTTAAATGATTTTAGAGAGTAAACTTGATTAGTAAAATTTTAGCATAACTGATCTTGAATTTGATTAATTTATAAAAAAGAAAAAACAAGAGTTATCAATATAAGACAAAAATGATTAAATTAATTCTCCTTTGAATTAAGAGTAATTTAGAGAATTATATGAATTGTAAAAGAATTTAAATAAAAAATAATTGAATCGTTTGTCAGTTTAGATTTTATAGAGTCCTAAGTCATCTGATGTATCAAATTAAAATTCACCAGAAAAATTAGATTCTAAGTAAATTTAAGGATAATTAAGTAAATAATCAGAAAAAAAGGAAGGTTTATAAGATTAATTAATAAAATAGGAAGAAAAAGCACAAATATCTACTTAATAATTAAAGATGGATATACATTAATATTTTGAAGATTTAGACACAATTTAATTGAAATTTTTAACTTAATAATAAATGTTCTTTGGACTTTTAAAATTAGGAATTTTGATTAAAGGTTAAACTTTAATGCAATAAAAATCTTATGATTTAGGAGGATTTGAGAAATTTGTATTATTGTAATTAAAAACATTTTATAATTCTAAAAAATTAATATATTTATTAAAATAGGAATTTGATTAATATAAGGAATCCGAGACTGATGTTGTTAATATGTAATAATTAAAGTAATAAAAAAATGATTAAAATTAGGTAATTATTTGAGAAAGTAAATTTGAATGTGAAATTTGAAGATGTGATTTTCATTTATTAAACATTAGATACAGAGAGAAGTGGTTATATTAAGTTAGAGGATTTTTTTTATTTGATTCATTAACATCCATTAATTGAATATAGATTGAATGAGTTGCTATTTCGAGTAATTGCTAAATCAAATATTAGATGAAAGGTTATTATGAGAATTCACTTAGAGCACAAAGAATCTTTTATTCAAAAATGCCGTTTAATTATATTAGACCTTTTTCAATCAAAGCAAATCCACCTAGTTATTCTTTTCGATTTAAACCTGATGTATTGGGGAAATTTGAAATTGAATAAAAGGGCAAGGCATGGAATGTCTATAAAATAAAGATTTTATCTGCAGAAGGAATACCATCACCAGAAGATAAGAAAAATTGTTTCAAAAGAGAAGTTGTTGTTGGGATTTATGATAAATTTTATAAAGAATTTTTAGAGAATACAGTAATAGTGAAAGCTAAGTATTTAGAAGAAAATGAAGATATTTGGGAATTTCCATCTAAAAATAGGAGTAATGGTTTTTTTTTGAATTGTGAGAAAAAATATAATGATTTGCATTTAGTTTTGCTATTTGAATTGATTAGTTATTTTTTAGAGAATGGTGTAGTATAAAGAGTGAGTTGTGGATTTGTTGAGATACCCTTCTCTCATATTATTTAATAAGGAACCTTTGATCTTCCATTAAAAGGTGGGATCATAGAATAAGAGATAGCAATAAATAAAGGTGATGTAAGATGCAAAAGAGGAGGATTCGCTAATTTGGCTGCAAAATTAAAGGGAGAAATCTTACCTCATTTAACTATTAGTTCTGCCAAAAGATCTCGTAGACCTGCTTTACTGATAGAATTAGAAACCATGCCTCCATTATGTTTATGTCATAGAAATATGACTTAAATAATATATGCATATAAGAGATTTGCTAGAGACATTTTAGAAGAAGAAGGAGAGGTTTACATATAGTCATTGAATATGTTTCTATTTTCTTTGGATTGTCCTTATATTAATAATAGGATATGCAAATTATGGATTAATACAATAAAAGGAAAGATGATTGGTAAAGAAAAGGTTGTATTTTCTATTCTGATTGGGTAACTACAAAAATTAATGAAGATGAAGGCTTTCAATTTCAATCCTTACTCTCCTTAAGAAATCTTTCCTCCAGAAGTTGGGAAATTGAAAAAGGAAGTAGTTAAGTCAGTATTACTGAATACAGAATTCTTAATTGATTCATCTTTTGAAAACAAATTAAATTTATAAGGGGATAAGATATTAGAAGAGTAGATTTAAAAGTATGGAGAAATGTAGGAATAAGGAATATTTGATAATGAATAGAATCCTTTTGATCCTTATAAAAATGGATTAAACTTGAAAGGATATGAACCTTACGTAGAATAAATCATATGACTTATAACTCATTTAAGTATTAATGATTATTGTTGTAGTGACATTCTTTTTCTCTATTTCTTTTACCGATTTTTCCAATAAATAACAAAAAACATTAAAGACAGAATCGTAATTGCGAGAAGTAAAAGTATAAGTAAGATCCAGTATCTAATAAATAGAAAATATTCTTACGTAATAGAAGATGATTATAAAATATCAAATGATTGTACAATCATGCTTGCAGAGGAAACTAGATTACTGGCTATCAATACAAATTGTTATTCATGAGCTTCTTCTAAAAATGTAAGTGTTGCATATTCTTCAACTTTATATAAAGATAAATTTTTATTGGATAATTACAATTAAAGTAATAATTATCCATTCTCATCATCTAGAAGAGAGAAGAATTAACTATAGGATTCTGTTATTTCGATTCCTCCAAATTATAATATTATTTCAGTGTTTATATCTAATTTGTATATACAAATAGAATATTAACGAGTGGATTCTTTTTTGTATGCTAGTGCTAAGTAATCTTTAACAATTGATGATGGAAACATCAATTTAAAGTCTGAATATCTTTGTATCAATTAGGTTATTATGATTTCTTTAAATAATTCATCTTCAAATCTAACAATCATTTTTAAATGAGCAATTTCTCTAGTCAACAATATCACATTGAAAATTTAATAATTTTTATTAGCTTCTTCTCCACATTTTAAAATTTTATCATAAGTTATCCCTTCATTTATTTTTTCACCTATTAATGCTTCCAAATTACTTTTTGGAGATATTCTAATTACATCATTAATTACAATTAAAGATTTTATGAAATTATTTTAATATTGGAAATCTTGAACATATATTCCATAATTTAATTCATTCATTAATACTCTTACTAGATTTCCAAATGAATATGTGATAAAACTCCTTACCATAAAATTTGGTTACTTTGATTTATCTACACATGACATCTTAGAAAAACTCAAGAAACTAGGAGAAGCATAATTTATATGCCATGAACATAAACTTGATTGTTCCTCTTCATCAATTGCTTCTAAAAGAATAAAATTAAAATTTTCTAAAATTTCTAATTATAATATCTTTCTAAATATTTTAATAATAACTGGCTAATCTACCAATCTAAAAGAATTACCTTCTTTTATTATCATAGCTATAAATGAATTCCAAAATAATTTTGTGTTACTACTTCCTGTTATAAGTATTATAGGATCTTTGCACCAAACATTTTATGGAGAATATGAAGTTTCAAAATCAAAGAAGAATGGTTGATGTTTTACATAATGTTAATGATCTAAAAACATCAGACTATTATTTGTAAGAATCACTTAGAGTGTTTCATTTAATTAACAATAACTTAATATGTCTTCATAATGATGAACATTTGATATCTAATGAACTTTTGGAGTTAGTATTATTTTATCATTACATTATTAACATTCTATTTTATAATCAATTACCAACCCCTTAAACCAATTATTTGGAATTGGTACTATCTTAGATTCTAAATACAATTTATTATGAGATGAAACTGCCTCAATATTGGTCATCAAATTTAAGAATGTTACATTTTACACTTATTCAATTATCCCTGGAGAATCTATTGTAAGATAAGATATATTCAGTTCCTTTCTATGAATGTACTTCGAATCATACTTAGATGTAATTACAGCTTAAAAATCTTTAGCTACAAAGAAATTCTTAAATTACATCAAAGATCCAGCATGGATTAATAATCCAGATTAATGAAAGGCTGTCACTCCTAAGTTCAACTCTTTCTCTGCATACCATCCTAAAGGAGCACTAATAACTAAACATTCCCTCAATTCAACATCAGGTTAATAGATTAATAATACTGTTTATTATAAAACTGGAGTGTATGCTTTAAGAAGAACTAAATTCATTTAAGACATTATTTCAAAAGGTTTGTGTAAAATATAATGGAATAAAGGTATAATTTTAAGTAGATTAATCTTCTACATTCTTGTACTATATTCTCTGATTTCTTATTTGTAACCATAATCTATGGCTACAAAGAATGTATATTCAGTTACTCCAGTTGCAAGGGACTCACTATCTGAAAATGTAATACAATCCATTAATCTAAAAGAATTAAAAAAATAGCCAATTATTATATTCTAATATCCAGTTATGATAAGTAGATTTGATTAAATTTAAACTGTTTTAGGATTAAATTAATAGGAAGGGACATCAAAAGTTGTTATAGTGTCTATTATTGATTCTGAAGTCAATGAAATAATATCTATTTATTATTTTCTTTATTGAACAACAAATACATGAGTTTTAGATAAAGTAAAAGATGTAATTTCTGATTTCTCATCTTTTAGACTTGTAGCTATAGTGAACAATTCTTAAACGATAGATTGATTCAATTAGTAAAGTTCTAAAGTGTGTGAGAATTTAGATATATAACCAAAAATTACATAATTATTATGAATCCATTAAAAGGAATCTTTACTTAGAATTCTATTTGGATAAAACTAATGAACTTTTTAACAATTCAATTCAGTATATGGATTACTAATTGAACATTAATATAGAATTGCTTTGAGTGTTTTGGATTGAATTAAGTAATAAACATATTACTATACTTCACAGATATCAACATAGACAGAATCATTCGGTAAATCATTTGAATCTGACCAAACAATTCCTTTAATTTTAATATCTTCTATGTATCCAAGTTTCAAAGTAATACTTTCATCCTAGAGTTCAATCTAAGCCTTAATATTTGATCCAGAAACTCCTATTTCTTTAAAAATAGGTACCTAAGGATCAGTTGGATAATTTATTAATTATTTAATTTGATGTTATAGATTGGTCTTCTAATAAAGTTTGTTATCTAAATAATTGTAGATAACATAATTAATGGTTACAGCACATTGATTTAATTCAGTAGCTATTAATAATAAATTTTATAATTCATAATTAGCTTAATTATTAAGTTTCATAATAAGCAATCCATTAGAAATAATAAATGATTATTGTTTAGTATTTTGTACAATATAAATTTAACTCTTATAAACATTGAATGTGATTATCATAGGACTTTGAAATGTAATAGTTTTGATTATATATGAAGGATTGATTTAATGAATCATAAGATAAGTTGAATTAAAAAGACAGAGAAATTGCTATCTACCCAATTCTCCAATGAATTCCATTTTAATTCTTAAGAGATCATGGTCTTATAAAGTCCATGATTATAGATCTTATGAATGTAAATTAAATAAAATCAAATTATTTGTATTATATGATATTGCTATTATATAAGAATTAAGATCTTTTAGTATACAAAAAGAGTAGTAATTGGATTCTTATGGAGATGAGTAAATGTAATCAAATTCGAATTCATTTATAGTATGAACTTTTAAAACTATAACACCTCTTGTTGAATCCAATAAAAGTAGATTATTTAATGCATATTTGGTTTATATGATTGAATAGGTATTATTTGTTTCTAGTAGATTGTTTAATAGACTTGAATCAATAATGGTGCCAGTTTCTTTTAGAGTATAATCATAATAGAGAATCATAACTTTATTTAAAGTAGTTACTAATATGAAACCATTTTCAACCTCTATATCTAAAATTTAACTATCTGTATATAATTATTCATTAGTTTTTGCTATCCATATTTTAGTTTCATAAGCCAATAGGATAACATTATTTCGAATGATTCTAACAAATTAACACTTTTGTATTGTTGAATAGAACACTTTATCAATGGATGGATAACGTACTTAATATATTGAATATTTCTTAAAAAGAAGAGCTCTTGAATTTTCATGATAAAACCCATTCTTCATTGTGTGTAAATCAATGAAGGTTAGATTAGCTAATTCTTAATTAACTCATACTCAAATCTTCAGTTGTATAATCTGCTGTTTGTGGATTCATAATTTGTACAATATCGAAATAATCACTAATTCCATTTAAGGAATATTCAACATTTTCACCTTAAACTAATTAGCCTAAATCTTTTTCAATTCTTTCAAAAGTGGAACTATAGATAGTAATTTGATTAACTCTAATGATATTCAATCAGTTACTGCATTTAAGTTAAATTGATTGTACAATTAATTCAATCAGGAGCAAATAATTTAACATTAAAATAATAAATTTTATCGTCATCATTAGATTAATTTATTAGAACTATATCAATATATATATATATTTTAATGCAAATTTATAATATTTTCATTCTAATAAAGTAATTGAATCAACTACTTAATCTTTAGAGCGAATCTTAAAAAACAAGTAAGCCAATAAAGCTAATACTAATATACAAACAATTAGTATCAAAAGAACCATCTAAAATTAATAATNTATAAAGTCCATGATTATAGATCTTATGAATGTAAATTAAATAAAATCAAATTATTTGTATTATATGATATTGCTATTATATAAGAATTAAGATCTTTTAGTATACAAAAAGAGTAGTAATTGGATTCTTATGGAGATGAGTAAATGTAATCAAATTCGAATTCATTTATAGTATGAACTTTTAAAACTATAACACCTCTTGTTGAATCCAATAAAAGTAGATTATTTAATGCATATTTGGTTTATATGATTGAATAGGTATTATTTGTTTCTAGTAGATTGTTTAATAGACTTGAATCAATAATGGTGCCAGTTTCTTTTAGAGTATAATCATAATAGAGAATCATAACTTTATTTAAAGTAGTTACTAATATGAAACCATTTTCAACCTCTATATCTAAAATTTAACTATCTGTATATAATTATTCATTAGTTTTTGCTATCCATATTTTAGTTTCATAAGCCAATAGGATAACATTATTTCGAATGATTCTAACAAATTAACACTTTTGTATTGTTGAATAGAACACTTTATCAATGGATGGATAACGTACTTAATATATTGAATATTTCTTAAAAAGAAGAGCTCTTGAATTTTCATGATAAAACCCATTCTTCATTGTGTGTAAATCAATGAAGGTTAGATTAGCTAATTCTTAATTAACTCATACTCAAATCTTCAGTTGTATAATCTGCTGTTTGTGGATTCATAATTTGTACAATATCGAAATAATCACTAATTCCATTTAAGGAATATTCAACATTTTCACCTTAAACTAATTAGCCTAAATCTTTTTCAATTCTTTCAAAAGTGGAACTATAGATAGTAATTTGATTAACTCTAATGATATTCAATCAGTTACTGCATTTAAGTTAAATTGATTGTACAATTAATTCAATCAGGAGCAAATAATTTAACATTAAAATAATAAATTTTATCGTCATCATTAGATTAATTTATTAGAACTATATCAATATATATATATATTTTAATGCAAATTTATAATATTTTCATTCTAATAAAGTAATTGAATCAACTACTTAATCTTTAGAGCGAATCTTAAAAAACAAGTAAGCCAATAAAGCTAATACTAATATACAAACAATTAGTATCAAAAGAACCATCTAAAATTAATAATCAATATCTTACTACAACTCCAAATCCTCCTTTCTTTACTTAATTCTAAATTAATATTTATATTGAATTCTCATAATAATAATTACTTGCCACTAAAGTAAATTCATGATTCTTTACACTACTATTGATAATTAAATAAGAATCATTAAAAATTTTGGCTTAAAATATTGTGAATGAATCCTTATCTTTAAAATAAAGGAAAACATCTTATCCATCATTTTCTAGTAAATACATCAATAAATTTAGATTTCTATCAAGTAATGTAGTAATTGCACCATGAACCAAAATGGGACTCAATTTTAAATTAGTAGATATTGTAGTTGGTATTTTGTAAATAGCAATCATCAATCCTTCTTTATCAGGCACAAGATATCCAAGTGCTAAATAAGATTATTTAACTTAAGTGAAGGAAACTACAGACCATAATTAATGAGTATGTAACAGATAGGCTATAGTGGTGTCAGATAATTTTGATCCTCTGAATTGTACAATTAATCCATAATGAAGGGAATTAGTTGTTATAATAAGAAGATAAAATTCAGTATAACCTTCTATATGAAAGTCTTTTGGATCTTAAGTGGATAGAGTACTTAGATAGAGTTAATCATCTACTTCAAATAATCCATTACTTTATAGAAGAGTCTACAAATTAAGATTTATCACATTAGATTTGATTGTCATATACTTTTCTTAAGCCAAATCAACATATAATAGACCATTATTATTTTCAGTTAAAAATAATTTGTATATCATAATTCCATTTACTTAATATGATTGCATACTAATATACTTTATATTAAAGTCTTGATTTGCTTTTTATTTGTCAATCTTGTCTACTAGGTATAATGAGATCTAAAATTCATTCTTTTTAATATCATAAATATTTAATAAAGTTTAATTATATTTTGGATCTTTACTAAGAGTAATTAATGTAGAATTGATAATCATTAATGTAAAAATATATTCATCCTCTTTCATAAATTAAGGATTTCCTTATTTCAAACATTTTTATTAAGTACATTAAATAAATTATATATATTAACCAGAAATATTAAAATATCTGAAGGCAATTAAATTGCTTATTTAAGAACTACAAAAAACATTCCCAAGTTCAGCCTTTAAATCAGTAATATCTAATGATTCATAATAATCGATTAAATTAAAGTATACAAATTAAATACTATTAAGAGTTAATATAACAGTAATTTAATCAATTTAACAAGAATTAATAACATCTGATTTAAATATACGTTTTGTATCTGTCAATTCAACAGATTTCTGAATTTATAATAATGCATTATCAGCTTTTAAATTAGTTATTAAACCAGTAAAAAATGATGTATCTATAGGTATTTTTGTATCTTCTGTTATTTTTAATTCTATTAAATCATTCTTTTTATAAATAATAGTTTTTAAATCTACAAATTTAATAGTCTATTGATATTTTTATTAGAGTGGATAATCAATATTAAAAAAAGAGGATTCAACTTATAATGTATGAATAAATAAATTATCTAATTTATTATCAACATTGATTGTTGATCGTAAATCATTTGTAAGTAAATATATTATATCTTATTTATCCATATGAATGTACATTAATTTTTCATTCATACCACTTACTGAACATAATGATTATTAATTATCCTCACTTATATTAATCATAGTCAATAAAGAATCTCTTAATTCAACCAACACTTTATAAATCAAAATTACTCTTTATTTTAATACTGGACTATAAGCATAAACATAAAATACATCATCTTAATAATTATTCAACATTTATTTTTAAATCCAAAAATGATATGATTCAAATTTCTTTTGAAATACTATATAATGAGGATCTTTTATCAAATATTCCATTAAAGATAATTCTGATTCTATTTCAGCCAATACAATTAATACTTTATCTAATTGAATCTAAATAATTAAACTCATAGCATTTTCAATCACTATTTTATTTACCAAATCACAAGTCTCATAACATTAAATAACAAGTATATCACATCCATTAACAATAAAAATTAAATTCCAAATTTAACTAACTTTAACTTAACTAGGTTTAAATTAATTCAAATAATTCTTTTTTTATAAAAATTACTAATCTATTCTAAATTAAGCATCTCCCAATAATTAATATAGATATACACATTATCCTCTTAAAATCACCAAAAGATTATTAATTTAAAGTATCTATGAGATTGTCAATTACATTTCCTAATTATTCTCATTAAATAACATTATTTTATTCACTTAATTCAATTAATTAATAAACCATTTGTATATTATTATTTCATTCACATTTACCACATATATATATACTTCATTTTTTTCCATATTATAATTATAAAATATTTAATCTTGATTTATTACATTATCAATATCTATTATATATTCTTTATCACAATTAATCTTCAATTATTGTTTATTAAATTCACATGATAAAAATTCAGTTTATAATTGTTAATTTTCATAATATTATAATAAAAAATGTATCTTAGAATTAATAAGTTTATTTATTTCAATATTAATGCTAGTTAATTTTAATTGTTTTTTATTTAATCCTTAAATTGGTATAATCTTTTTATAATCAGTGATGATGTTAATTAATTACCAATCATTTTCTTTAACTGTTACAAGCATTTTTTAATTTGGACCTGATATTGATATTTAATTTAAACTATAAATAGAGGGGAATTTAGGAAAGAATATAATATTAGGATATGGATTTGGATAAGAATAAGGTTTAAGTAATTGTGAATTTATACTACTTGTAACAATATAAGAGACTCTTGCTTCACATTCCATTAAATCACTACTAGCTACAACTGAAAATTCTACTGGAGTCTTTATAATCTCTTTTGGTGGTATCAAAATTAAATAACCATCTGATAATATGAATCTAGAAATTTATTTTTCTTAAACAATTATCAAATCATTTAAATCTGGATTAAATATATACTAAATTAGATCAATTTCTTCATAAAACATTAATGTTTTTAAATAATCACTGAATTTATAAATGATGAGATTCTTACCATCATGAATGGAACAATATGTTGAAGATACTTACAAATTTGCTTATTTAATATTAATTTTATAATCTAATTAATATTATTTATTCGTTTCTATAAAATACAATCTATTTTCTGGTATAAGGGCAACAACTATAAGATTTAAAAAGTTATCTAAGTAAGCACTAATTTTTAGGAAATTTTATTCAAAAACGAATGATTTTATTAAAATAAAAATAGGTTAATCATTTTCAATTTCAACAGTTAAATAAACAATAAAATTAAGTTGATGTGCAATAATAATCTAATTAGCTTTGATAGTAATATCATTAATTGATAAGTTTGAGATCTGTTACATCATCAATTCAGATAATGTTTATGCATTTAATTGCATACCTGATTTTTTCTTATAATAAGTATCAATAATGCATTCTTCTGCAATTTAAATGACTATCACAATGTCATTTATTATATTAATAATGAAGTTCTTGAATTTCTATTTCATTTAATACTAGAATTCTTAAATTTATCCATATATTTAGACATATTATAAATAATAATGAGTTTCTTCTACACATAAAACTATAAATGAAGAAAGACTATCTTATGTAAGATCAACACAATTTCTTCTAGGTAATAATTGAATTATGTTCTCAAATATTGGAGCTTTTTAAAAATCACACATTCCATATTGGATGTAATATTATTGCTAAGTTCCTTACAATAAGGCTAAGAGTTCTCCCCATTATTTAATAGTTACATAATCTTCAATGAGTGGTTGTATTCCAACTAAATGCAAACGTTATTATACAGTAAATTATCTACTATGAGAACCCACTAATGAAAATCTCAAATTGCCACCAATAAAATTGTCATTCATATTTAAATCAAATCGTTCACCTATTGACAACTCAAAATGGTGCTCATCATTCAGAGTAGCTTAACATTGTAAATTTAATACTGCACTTTGTATTTGTGTATCGGAAGTATTGTTATAAAATCAATAAGCTTAAAATCATTATTAATAATTAAACAAAATAATAAATTAAATGAAGCATTGAAAACTACCATCATGCTTAAAGTTTGGTAATTATTAAATGACATGTTAATTACATTAGAATTTTATTAAAAAAGCGAGAATAAGTTTTAAAGTCAATTATAAGATTATTAATTTATCTCTAATATTGTAATGTATATACTTAATCCAAATGTTAAATATTTGAATTAGTGAACTATATATTAAATATTAAATCATGCTTGATTAATGTTAGTATTTCACATCAGAGCAATCTCATCAATATCTTTGTCAAAGAATAGAAAAGCGTATATATCCCAGACAATATAGAGTAAAAAATAGACTCTTAAGTTACCTTCAAGAGAAGATTGAAATCAAACCTATGCCTTTTGAAATTATGTCTATTACTAATATGAGTAATGCAAGTAAGGATTATGCATAGAGTGATAATATCTAAGATAATTTGAAGTTACTTGATGTTTAAGAAAAAACTGAAGTTCCACATATGGAATTATGGGACAAGGCCAGACAATGTTGCAATTTATTAGAATGTTCGAAGGAGAATATTTAAGATGTTGGTGGGTTATCATAATTATTTGGACATATTTTAGAGATTTTGCAATAAACTAAATAGAAAAATTTGTACTTCATAACCCCATATAATATGGATATTGAAAATAAACATAGAAAGTTTATTTATAATTCTGAGGCTTTAACTAATCTGATTAAACGATTAAAGTCAGGAAGACTGTAATCATAAACGAAATCCTTATTTAGATCAAATATTTAACATCAATCAATTGGGAAATAGATCCAAAAGACTGAACTAAATGAATAATTGAGTGTCTAAGCATTAAATTTATTAAAATAGTTAAAGAAGAAGTAATTGAATAAATGAATATATATGTGTATTTAGGTATATCATTTTCTCGAACTATATTCTACATATATTATTTATTTGGTTTATAATATCTTTTTCGTTATAAAGCTTTTTAAGTTTTCGCTTAAAAAAACCTTATACTCTTTTTGTTTACTATACTTTTTCTTATTAAGTAAAAGATTAGATTCCAGAATTCTATACTCTTAAAAAATTTATAATCATAAATCTTAAAAAATTCTAATCAGAAGTTTAATTAATGTATATTATTAAGTATATCAAATTCTCCAACATTATTAATAGACATTTTTGGAGTAATTTATTTACCACAAACCTCTCTTGTTTAGTTCACTTAATTGTTTTGTCTTAAGTAAGTAACACACACCACACACTTATGTAGTATTTCTTCTATTGAAATTTTTATCTTACAATCAGGATATTCATTATTAAATAGAAATTATTCTTCATTAAAATCATCATATTGATGTTATTGTACATTTTCATTTTTTGGATGAAATCTTCAATATATGGTATCTCTTTTTTTAGATAAGTTTTAAATAGCTGTAAGAATAATTTGCAACAAATCCTATAGACTTATGTTTAAAAGGCAATTTATTTATTTTTAATATTAAAGTAGGGATTAAGATATGGGAAAAAGATTAATTTTATTTTATTTAAAGTTATGGATTGTTTTAATTGTTTTCTCCAAATATTTTAGGATTATTATTTTCATTGACTTATTAAAAAAAAGCATTAAAATGTGTAATATAAGTAGTAAATTATATATTTGAATGATTATTGTCTATAAAAATAACACAATAGTTGAGTTCTTGAGAAGATTTCCCAAAATTAACCTTTATCGAATAGAGGAAATTCAGGAGGAGGACAAAGTTGAAAAGTAACATTGTAATCCAAAAATAAATTTATATTTTCCCAAAATATTTAATTATTCCTTTAGAATGATGTTTTGTTCATTATATATTGTTATATATATTATATCATTTAATTCAATTGATTTTAATAACCCTATAAAATATCCAGTCTATATTACTTGTTTAAATGATGAATCAATTTATCACTCAACCCAACTTATCAATATTTAAAATTAGATTCTAAACATTTTATTTATTTTGTTACACCAGAATAAAAAATTAATTTTATTTTACATAAAAATAATTAATTATCACTTAAATTCAAAATAAAATTTGCATTCTCTCATCAATTTTCTTTTGTTTTTTAGATTCCAAATATGTTACTTATCCATAAAATAATATCCATTTTAGCTTTCTCCTTTATTATAAATAATTAATTATTATTAATAATTGATGTACATTTTATGTATTTATTATTTCTTCTTGAATAATATGAAAAACGACAGATCTAAGAAGGTTGAAATTCTTTTATAATTATTTAAAAATTATATATTTAATTTATAATGAATGAACCATGAAATCAAAGATTATATAGCATATTTAGATATGAAAATATTTTTATATGCTTGAATCAAATGACAAATTTAATTATCAAGCAGATAACAGATAAATAAAAATATAAGATAAATTTATTGAGAGTATAAAATCAATAGATTCATCATAATTTTATTATTATTAATGTAAGATTAAGTTGTTAAACCCATCTTTTTGTCTGTGAATCAATTGACTGAACTATTCAATAATTCTCAACAAGAGTCTTCAATTTTAGATGATCATCAAAATTACAATAACTATTTTCTAACCTAAGATTCATTTGTTGACATTCCTCTTGAGTTTAGTTTTTAAGCTTTACATCTAATAAATTCCCAAAATACTATAAAAGATATTTAAAATAATGAGAAACATAATACCAATGTTTTAGTTAGCAATGAATTATATTAATAGATAATGTTGAAAATGGAATAGAATAGATGTTTAAGTGAATAATATTAATAAATGATAAGAGAGAATTAAGAATAAATATTAAAACGAAAAAAAATAGAAGATTAGAATGCTGAAATGTTGGATTAAAATTTTTAAATCAAGAGAGAAATATTCGAAATGTAACAAAAATTAATGATTTGTTAAAGTGCCATACCATTAAGAAAAGATAAACAAATAATTGAATTAAAAAATCAATATAAAGAGCTTTAAGCAAAATTAGCAGAAAAGCGAGACACATAATAATCAACAATTCCAACTGAAAATAGCACAGTTGACTCTGATAAATCAAATTCATATTATTGTAATACAAGTAGATTAGTAAAATTGGATCAAAGTTCTTCTCAACATTAATCAAAGAAACCTTATAGAAGTAGAAACAATTCATTTATTAAAATCGTTAAAAATTGATAGTAATTTTTGGATTCATTTGATTTTCTTTTTTCGTATATTTTTGAGGAAATTTGATGTTGATATAGAAATTAATTGTTTAATTAAGTATTATTAATAAAAGAAATATAAGATTTCTTAATAAGATTTCATAATATTTAATTAAATATATCCCATAAAATTCATGAATTATATACATATTTAAGTAATTCATTTTATTTTGGCTTTTGTTAAATAGCCTTTTAAAAATTTATAAAGGACTATTTGAAATTTTTAAGATCATAATAAATTATAGCTTTGCAATTAATTGCTTCAGATGAATATTAATCTTACACCAAAATTTCATCCAATTTCTTTAAAGCTGATTTATTTTTTCCAAGTTTATGGAATGAATTGGCTATTATATTATTATATAAGTACCAAGAGCTAACAAGAATTATTTTGATTTTGGAAATTATTATAAGTATTATTTATAAATTTTAATAGATAATTAGTATTCTTTTCTTGTATAATGAACAAATCCTAACCCAAAATAAGCTTCATTAAAAGAATTATTTATTTCTATGGCTTTCTCATAAGCACTTATAGCATCAGTATACTGCTGAAGATGAAAATGTGTATGACCTTACAATAAATAAATTACTTCATTCTCTGGTGTGAAACTTAGTATCTTTGAAAATTATTATTAAGCTTTCTCATTTTCATTTATTTATTTCAAAGTGATACCCTTTTAAAATATAGCCTCTATATATCTAGGTTACATACGAATAATCTCATCAAAGCATTATAAAGCAAGTACATATTGATTTAATTAAGATAATGATAATCCTTTATTGTATAGAGCTTCAATATTTTTTGGATCTATTTCCAAAATCTTATTCAAAATATAGATTGTAGCATCATGCAATTACAAATGTGATAATAGTATACTTAATTATTGATAAGATTATTAATTATTTATCTCTTTATAAATTAATATAGATTCTTTGTATTATTTTAGACTTTCATAAACTTTAGCTAATTCTAATTTAGATTAGACAAAATTAGAATTTAATTCAATACTTTTTTAAAATGATTTAATTGCTGAATAAAATTGATTTAATAAACAATAAATACGACCTTATTGATAATAATTAATATAATTTGTTGGTTTCTCTATAAATTGTTATCTATATTAAATTATAGCTGGATGTTAAATATTTTTATCCTCAATAATCCATAAACCTCCTAAAGCAATAACTTTTTCAAAGCAATTTGCAGTTTCACTTATATTATCTAAAAAGTAATAATTGATTCCTAAATTATACCAATACTCAGGTTTATCTGATTATTATTTTATTGCTTTCTTAAACAAATCCTAAGATTTATAGTATAATTTAAACTATTATTATATTAAACCTGAATTAAATAAGACCTCATGAGTTTATTAACATTTACTATATTGTAGCAAAGCTTTATCAAAAATTCCTAATTTTTAATACGCTAAACCCAAATTAAATTTGGCTTAGTAATTTTAAGGATTTCTATTTAAGGACTACTTGAAGTTTTTTAATGCTTCCCTATAATCATTGTTTTATAAACATATGACTCCTTTATTAAAGTAGGGCATTGAATTATTTGGTTACAGAAGAATGCATTTTTCAAAACAAGCCAATGCTTTTTCCTTCTCATTAATTTCAAAATATATTAAGCCTTTGCTATAAACGGTTTTATGGTTTAGACCATCAATACGTAGAATTTTATCATATGTTTTTAAGGCCTTCTTATACATTTTAAGATCATAATAAATATCTCCTAGTTTTTAGAGGGCAAGAATATATTTAGGATCTAATTTAATAGCCTAAATTAGATTTCTCAAAGCTGTTACAATACTATTTTTTTAATAATGGGCAACTCCTAATTGATAATAGACTTCTTTTCGATTATTAAAATATTATTAGGCTATAGTATAACATTCTATGGCTTTGTCTATTTGATTCAAGGCTAAATGAGCATTGCCTTTATCAAAATATATATTGAGTTAATTGGCTTAGAGTAAGGCTTATTCATAACAATGCAAGGCATGAATGTATTATTCTTTTTGGAAGTACAACAATCCTAAGATGATATATTGATTAAACCTTTTTAATGAAAAACAATAGGACTCTTTGGGTTAAGTTCTAATGCATAATCATATTGTTGAAGAGCTTTAAAACCCATTCCCATTTCAGCTAGTGCCTGACCTAGATAATACATTTGAGTATACCGTAATGTACTAATTAAACAATTTTAGAGGAATCAACAGAAAGTGAAGGTAATCTTTTTGACATAAATAGTTAATAATATATAATTAATCATCTTTTAAAGTTTCTTTTTTTACAACCTGGAATATGTCTATCAGCAGCTTATTCACTAAATTTACGACCACAACCAGGACATTCTACTAGATCATCTTAAGGTTAAATATCAACAGTTCCTCCTTATTTTGCTGCATTAATCATTTATCTAAATGCTTCTGATTGTTTTTTCCATTTAGGATCTCCATTTTAAGCCATCTATTTTTTTTTTTCAATTATTTTATCCTTAACTAATCCTTATTTTTCTAATTTTGCTTATTCTTAATTAATTTATCTATGTGCTTTTGAATTGAATTCTTTTCTTTTTGATTAGAACACTTTTTTACATACTTTAATATGTTTATCTAAGGCATTTTCTTTGAATCTTCTACCACATCCTTCTGGACATTCTAATAAATCAGCATCATCATCTTCTTCAGGTGGAATAGAATTGGTTTGATTTTTTTTAGCAACAGCAGGCAATTCATCTATGGGATTAATTACTTTATTATTAGTATTATATGATTATAATGGTTATTGTATTGGTTATTTTCTAGGTTATGGTTTAATGTATTATTATTCTTAAGTTTATTATGTTTATTTATATTATTCAGAAATTGGATCTTATTGTCTTTCGAAAGGTCTTTCTCTTTTTTCAAATTGAGGTTAAGAATTATGTTGAGAATATTTGTATTATTAAGTAGGTTATTGTTATTACTATTTAAGTGGAGATAAAGATTAAGGATTTTAATTGTAATTATATTGATTGTATGATGATTATTACTATAAAATATTTTAATTTATTTAATTTCCATATGGATTATATTGATTTGTTTAAGATGACTATTATTATTAATTATAATTGTTGTTATTGTTATATATATTGTTTTAGTTAGTGTTTTACCATGACATTTAGTTTGAATTTTACCATTACAAATTATTGTTATAAAGACCATTATTTGTGTAATTGTTATTGTTATTCATATAATCATATTTATTTTGCAATAAAATTGGTTATTGAGTGAAATCATAATTATTATTTTACTAATATCCATAAGATTATTATTTTTTAGATAAGACATCATCATAATATTTATTAGGTTATTGTATTAATTATTGTTATTATTGCCGCTTATTTAATTATTATTCATAATAACTTTAGGGAACATTGTAATTATTTAAGTTGTTAGTCTTTTTATATGGATCCTCTTTATATTTCTAAAGTTAATCATATTAATTGAGTCTATTTAAAGCATTCATACCTAGATAGGGATCATTTCTATTAGGATTCTAAGGAGGTAATATTTGTTGTTATTGTTGTTTGTATTGTTGTAATTGTTAATAATTATAAGTGCGTGGATCATTAATTTTAGGTTAAGAGTTGGATTGCATTTATTATTACTATTGTTGTTTCATAGTATAGAAGTCATAGTCACTTTTGGGATAGAGAGGTGATTGTGATGGTTTGGTAGGTTGTGTATGAGGATAACCGTCTAGTTGCTAATTGGTTCCTTATTACCAAGTGTCACGATTGCTCATCTTTGCTTTGAGTAGTTTTAGCTAATTGGAGACTTGCTCATTTTATACAGCCATTTGACCTGTACGAGAAAGGTTAGATCCCTAATACATATTTTATTATAATTAAAATGGAAAATATGTTATTGTTCATTAATTTATCACAATATCTAAGAATTTCTATTTTCATCATTGTTGTATGAGTAATCAATATATTATCTAAATTTGACAAAGACCCAAAACTTAAATATAAATATAATAAATTAATGTAATCCAATGATTCAAATAAAAGAAGACTACTTTTGCGTTCTCTTGCAAGTGAAGAACCATAGAAAATGTAAAATATGTAATAGAAATCCTTTCTATTTTCAGATCAGCCAATGGATCTTTAGTCCTTAGTCAGTTTCGTCTTAATTCTAAAGGTCTTACTTTCACCAAAAGTATATTATGTCTTGATATTAAAATAGACATTACTTATATGGAATCATAACACTTTAAGGATCTCAAATTAGAAGATTTTGAAATTGTCTGTAAATTAGGCTAAGGAAATTATGGTAGTGTTGAGAAAGTACTTCACAAACCTACTCAAGATTATTATGCTTTGAAAGTATCTTCATCATCATATCTTATTAACATAGAAAATACATTATGTTAGTAATGATGTATAAGAGTCATTATTAAAGAAAGAATTAAAGGCACTTATTGATTGCAATTCATAATATGTTGTATAATGTTATGGAGCATTTTATTCAAAAGGTGAAATCTATATAGTAATGGAGTATATGGATATGGGATCTTTGTAGATTATTATAGAAAAAACTAAAAAAATACCAGAATCCATAACTATGTTGATTATAAAAGAAGTACTTTAAGGTTTGGATTATTTGCATACAAACAAACATATAATACATAGAGATATTAAACCTCATAATATTTTAATTAATAAAAAGGGAGAAGTTAAAATTGGAGATTTTGGAATTTGTTCTGTTAGTGAGAATTCAGATTAGAAATTTGATACATTTATTGGTACTATTTAATATATGTCTCCTGAAAGATTAAATGGAGAAGAATATGGTTATGATTGTGATATTTGGAGTGTAGGAATGATGACTATGTAATGTATTACAGGTCTCTTACCATTTGAATTTAATGCAAAATAAATGAGTATGATAGAATACATTTAAATGAGTAAGAATTTTAAAATTGATGATTATTTCTAATAACATAAACATACAATTTCAGAAAACACTATTTAATTTATATCTAAATGGTAATTTCATTATTTTCATTATCTTTAATAGTCTACAATAAGAACCAAAAGATAGAACTAAAGCTTAAGAATTGTTATAAACTAAAGCAATCAAATATACATAATCTCTCAAAATTGATGTCTTTAAATAATGGTTATAATTGTCTATAGAGGAAATTTGAATTTACTTTTTTATATGATCATTACTTATTTATAATTAACAGAAATGAATCAACCCCAAAGAAGTCTTTCAAATCTAGGAATGTCTAAATCTCGTATTCTAAATATCATCTATATAGAGACTATATACCAGAATAGAATAGAACATCTAGTGCATTTTATAAAAGAAATGAGCAAACTCGATTAGATTAATAAATGGCTAGATATGAGGAATTTAAAAGAAATTACAAACGAAATGAATTACAATATTCTTATTATTAGCAATAACCTAGAGATTTGAATTAATCTTTTGTTAAAGAACGATACTAAAATTCCTATAATTATCAACCCAATTATAATAATAAGCATTTATAAACGCAGCAATATGAATTTGATAGAGAAGCTTACAAAAAGGAAATTAAATAAGATTCACCAATTAAAGTGGAACTAAGTTATACTGCCCCTTGTAGTATCTAAAGAGGTGTTATTTCTGACACAACTGCTTATTTGAGGGAAAGAGAGAAAATCATGAATTCGTTTATGACACAATAAGAAATTGAAACAATTAAAAGAATTTACTTAAGGAAATGATATATCATATAAATCTAATCATTTTAGTATGTTAAATGTAGTTTTTCCTAAAGTTTTTTAACATTATGGACAATTATGTCTAATATCTTTGCAATCATCTAAACAACAAGGAATACAAGCTACACAAATAAATCCAAAAGAACAAAGAAACAAAAGAAATCCTACTAATATTGTCGATTTTCCAGAATGGCGAGTAAGTACAGTTTAGACCTTATGAAAAAAATAGTAAATACCTTATTTTAGCATCCAGAACAAATAATCAATACAGGATTATTATGACCATCTCCAGAGACTTGAGTAGAAGATACTAATTTGATATCTTCTAAAGTGATGAGTTTAGGTAAAGTGCAATTTAGGGTTTTCTCTTAAATGATGTTTTGTTGATAAAATTAGGCATTTTTAGTAATATGAAATTCAAGTCCATCTTAATTACTATTTTGTATATGTTACATAAAATTATATATATTATCAACTTCCAAGATATTGGGTTAAACCATATGAATTGGCAAAGTACTCTGTGACTTTTCTGTTGAAAGCAGCAGGATTATCTTTGAATGGTATTAAAGATTTAATAGTCTTCATACTCATCTAATCCAAAATAACAGCAGGATTATAAGACCATTATTTAATTCGTTCTCCTTATGGTAGATATTTATATTGTAATCTATCACAATCAATACGTTTATTAAAATGTCCCTATAATTAAATCTATAATTACTTCTCTTTAAGCATCTACTAATCTAACAATGATGGACATATTTTTGAGATAAAATACTTTATTGTTGATTACTTAATCTCTAAGATAATCCCAAGTATCTTGTTTTTTAATATCTTCAATTACAGCTCTTGGGACTGATCCTCTGAATACTGGTAATTAATAACAATTAGACATGACATAATTATCTGGTGAAAACACTGGTAATATAGTCCAACCAACATCAGAGATGGCTCCATCTGGTTTAGAGAATGGTACAGATTTAATGTCTAAAATGATGTTTTGATATCTGTTAGCATTTTCTTTGAATTTAAACCAAGCATCATCATATTCAGGAGTATTGATTTTAGAATCAAAATCATAATTAGAACACATATGTCCTTAAGTAACATCTCTAGGTTCTAGATAAAATGTTCCTGGTTATGATAAGGAATAAAAGATTACATACATATGTGATTGATTAACAACATTATGTACTCCATCAACAGTCAATTTAAATCCTGCTTATGGTCTATATTTGGCAAAATACATCATATCAATCATGAATGTATCATGAGTTAATGATATACGATTATCTAAATAATTAATTATTTCATGATCTTTGTATTATCTATTTATTTATTCCCCTTTTATCAATAAATATGCAGCTTCACGGACACTTATATCTGATCTAATAGTTCTTTAAGCAAATAATTCATTTTCTGATTCAGTAATAGGATCTAATTCATTATTGTAAGTTCCTGTTCCATATTAAGGACGAGGTCTCATTATATTCCTTGCAATTTGATCCTTTAAACTTGGAAATTCTTTAATTGACAATGCTCTTTTACCATCTTCACTTAGAGGTGCTTTAAACATTCTGACTAGTACTGAACAACATGGAGATCGTTCATGAGAATAACTAATTCATATTTCATTTTATACATCTTTTTCATATCAAATGGAGGTGTTCTATCCAACTATTAACTAAATAATGGAATTTAATATGCTCCTGAATAAACAATATAATTATCTTCATTTGAATCTTCAGGTTATGATTTAGTACCAGGATTTAAAAATAAATTAATTGCAGCATATCCAACAATTCTGTTATCATTAGTACTTTTGTCTACTGTTACAACAGTAATCAAAGCAATAGCAGTTGGATCAAATTTTTCTTTTCTTAATTCTCTTCTAAAATAAAATGATGGATTATATGCCATACTATTGAGATCAGGAGCTGCAGTTTCAGCATCAAATAATTTTTCATATCTTCCATTATATACTTCCATGTACATTTTACAAGCTGTAACTTTATCAGGTAAAAATCTTAATCCATCTATATAAAAATCTATTCCATGTCTTCTTTCAAATTATTCATTTATCCATTATTACTAAAAATTAGGAATATATGGACTATTATCTAATGGAATATCTTTTATCTCCTCTAATTTTGGTCTCTTATGTTTATTATTCATCTACTTTTTAAATTCTTCAATATCTTTTTCTGTATAAACAAATTCATGCAAAGCAAAATCAATCACTTCATCTAATTCCTATACTTTAGTAGGATCTATTGGTGGTCGTCTTAAAGGAGGTTTAAATAATTTCATCTTGAACCTTCCAGTCAATAAACTACCATCATCTTGAGTCAATTTGAGAAATTGCCATCCCTTTAAATCAAATTCCAATCCTGCATAATTCTTTTGTGTTTCATTCAATATTGATTCCTATAACTCAACTGGTTCTGGTTTTTCAACTACCTACAATCCAATATATAAATCCTTCTTATTTTTCTTAATCATTGCATATAAATTTCGAAATACTCTATACTCTTCCTAGAATATAATATCCTGACCTGATGCTTTATTATTCATCCCATCTTATTCTACATTAGGTTTATTTAAGGGTATTATATATTCAGATTATAAAATTTATTTATTCTTTTGATCCAAAGGATTATGAATAGATGTATTAAATGCAACTGGTAAACCATTAGCATCCAATACTATATTTCCTTCCTCAAATAATCCTGCCATAACTCTCAAATGAGACCTAGCTTAATGATTATCAACCCTATAAATGATAAGTCTCAATCCTTTTTATTTTCCATCATCTTAAATAGGAGGTTCTTCCTATCTAACTCCGTACTTTTGCATAGGAGGTGGTTATCCAGTTATTTCATATTCTTCCATATTAGATTTACCTCCTGCTCCCTAACCCATCATTTAGCTCTCCTCTATAATCTCCTCAATCATCTTATATCCTCTACCCCCATATTTAGTTTCATAGCTTTCTTCCATTCCTCTCATATTTTTAACCTTCTCTCTCTTTCCAAATAATCCTCTCAAATGGATATAAGGTACTATATATTCATGTTGAGTTTATTCAGGATAAATAGTTTTGACTTCTCCATAATCTTTATCATTAGGATATCCTATTCTAAAATAGACCCAACAATTAGGAATCGGTTCTAAGTTCTATATTTCTTCAGCTGTTATCTCTGGACTTGTAGGTCCATAATATACAGGACATTTAAATTTTCCTCGCTTTAATTATTTATTATGATCAAATAGATCCACTTGAGTCCATCCATAGGTTTCAGTTCTACCTACATTATCTTCAACTCTTTTGCTGAAAGGAATTTGAACTTCCATAATCATTAAAGTATCTGGATGTGCAGGTACCTCAAAAACTTAATGAGCATCACCAAAAATGCATCTATTATGATTTTAATTTTCTGTTTCACTTTCTCTTGGTTCAACTAATCTTGGCTAACAAATTATTTATTATCCATTATAAACACCGAATACAACTTAACTGTAATTACTCCTTCTAGGTAATCCTAATGTGTAATCCCAATGAACTACGAATCCCTCACTTTAATTGTATGATTGAATCTACTATCTTTTCTAAGTATTATCTTTTCTTAATCTATTGTCTATTATAAATTTCTTATTATCATCCACCCATTTCTCATTTTCCCATTATCTATCATCCTCTTTCCTTTCCATCTCAAATTCTCTTCTTGCATCCTGTAAACGTTACTCCTAAACAATCTTCTCTATTTCAGCTCTCATTGTAGATAATTCCTTATATTATTCAACCTTAAATCTATACAATTCTGTCCCTACAGGAATCCTAGAAATTACTCTAAGACTATCAATTTCTTAAGCCTATAAACTCAATAACACTTTCTCCTCTTCAATTAAATCAACACCTCGCACTTCATTCATCAAAAAAAACTCATTTTTTCTATTGAATATGCTCCATGGATCCTTCATCTTTTTACCTTCTTAATTTAATGCCAATTGATTCAAAGCAAATTGTCCGAAAGCAGTTGATCCTTAATGTTATTATTATTATTCTTCTTGTCTCACTGGGTGTTGCATTATTGGATCATATACAGGTATCATTTGTGGTTAAGCAAATGCACTATATTACATCATTGGATTACTTTGAAATTATGCCACCTATTATTATTATAATGGTAACATTTAAAATTAATTATTTTGAAACTAAGGAATTGGAATACCCCAAGCATTTTTTAAGACTTCAATTTATTATTATTGCTATTGTTTTTTTTGTTAAACCTACTAGTTAACATCAGGGAAACTCTATATAGTTTATTATGGTAATAATCTATTAGCAGGTGCTCTATTGCCTTAAGAAGAGGGTTATCTCTTGACTTAATTCATATTGATACTTTATTAAAAATTTTAATCTATCATGCTATTTGCATGTTATTCTATTCCTTATCTAAAGGCTTAAAGTTCTCCCTGAGTCTAAGGATTCCTAGATTTATACATATTCGTAGCCTATTATCCAACAGTGGTTTGTTATCCATAAGCTTCATCTCCATCAAATGGCATAAATTCAGGTTTCTATTATTTCAATTGATTTATTCTTTATTATTATTCTGCAAATTTTACATCATGCAATTTAGCATTGAAATTTTCCATTTATTTCATATCACCTAAAATATTTTTTGCATTAGCCACTAAATTCATGGTGCCTCCTCTTTAAGCAGCCTTCAAATCACCATTTCTCAGTTTATCTAAATTGTCCATGATTCTTAAACGTTCTCCTTCTAATTGTTCTCGTTTTAATTTTAATTTAGCAACATTGTCTGATTTTTCTTATATTAGATCCTCATTTAATTTTGTATTATTTTATTATTTTAATTACATTCCATCAATTACATTATTAATTTTTGATACTTCTTCATACCTCATTTAATCAAGCATTTTTGTATTCTATTCCATTTATTCTATATCTTAAATAAGTTCATTTTCTTTCATTCTAAGAGCTTCCCTCTCAGCTATAAGTTTTTCTAATTCTCTTTTTCTCTCTTATTCAATTGATGTTAATTTTGCTTTCTCCAAATCCATTAAAGCTCTTCGAATTTCATCCTTTTCAATTCTAGCCCTTATTTCCTTTTCTTTTTTTTATTCAACCTCATGTAACAATTCTTCAAATGCTTATCTATCATCATCTTTTTTCATTTTAATATGTTGCCTATCATTTTTTAATTTAATTAATTCATCTTCCATTTCATCTTCTCTTCTTTTCTATGCCATTCTATTTAATCTTTTAAATTCATCATCTTGTTATTTAATCTAATCCTTCATGGCTTCTAAAGATAATTAGTTCTTTTATTATTAACCAGGCGGAGGTCTATCAGTCTCTATGATTTCTCTAGCTCCTGGTGCATTACTCTTTTTTATGTTCAATAGTTCTCTTTAATATTTCTCTTCTAATCTATTTTAAGATCCATAATCTGAACTCACACAAAACTAATCTATTAGATAATTTATTATTTACCTTCTTAACATGGTTCTCCAATTATTTTCTAGTTTCAAATTTCATTTTACAGGCTAAACATTCATTAAAAAGTGTATTCTCAGACATGTAATTTAAAAAAGTAAATTATTATAATATTTTAAACTATAAACAGAATTCTTTTAAAAAAAAAATCACAATTACTTTTCGTAATAAAGAGTTGTAGTGATATTATTAATTGGTGTTGAATGAAACTCTAATACCTCCTTAACGAAATCTTAATATAATTTTATTATAATTACCATCTGATTAATTATGAAAATTTTAGATAATTTACATAACAGAAGTACTTCTAGCTGAAGGTGGATGCATTTCCATAGAATCCATAGATTTATCTCCAACAAAACAATCCTTTCTTCTTTCATGATATGTTGTCCATAAAATCATCAAACAACCAACACTTGGACAATACATTAAACAATAATATCCTAAATTAGGTGATATTGATGATAAATAGCCATAAACAATAGGAGCAGGTAAATAACCAAATAAATTCACATAAGTAGTTGTATTAGAATTAGCAAATGATCGCATTCCTTAATTTACTGATGATAACACAATACCTAAAAAGATATATATATATATATAATTATTACCAGTCATTATAGGCACCAAAGCACCTCCAAAAAAGAGTAACAACCAAATAAATCCTGTTATAGCCCATAAATTAGTAGTGAGTGTAACACAAATTGAAGACAAGGATCCAAAAATAGCTGCTATACAAGTTATATAGTAAGCATTCTTAGAATCATATCCTCCATAATGTTATGTTATCAATCCTCCTATAATTAATATTAAATTAACTATTTACCTAATACACATCCAAGAGTTGGACCTGTAATTGAATCTAAACTAAATAGTGTATTAACAAGGCCTTAATTAAAGCATAAAACTGTAACTAAATAATTTGATATCCAAAATTATATTCCTGTTACTGAAAAGTATAACATTCCCAAAACTATTGTCATTACTACATATGATCTAGACTTAAATGTTAATTTGACCAATTCAAAATAAGGCATCTTTTCATATGTATTATTATTATCCTTAACATAAGGTCTAACATCTATATTCTAATGAGGTTGTCGAGAAATCAATATAATACTTGGTACAAGTACAACAATTTATAAATAAAATGCCCATCGCCACTTTTATAATTTCTCAATTATTTTACATTCCATTATGCTGCTATCACACTAGCCAATACATATCCTACAAATACTCCAAAAGGCACTCCTCCTTACAAAATTGTTAACCATACTGTTTTGTTATCTTAACCAAATGTATCCACCCAAACAGGGAAATATACTATCAAAGGAGCTTAGGCTGCACCAGTTATGAATCGACTAAGATAATAAGGCCATGCAATATCAAATTGCAAAGTAAACACAAACAGACTCAAAATCATAGTAATCATACTGATTTCAATAACTCTTAGAGGATTGTATTTCAAAAATATAAAGGAAGCCACAAATCCCATTACAACAGTACCTGCATACACTAAAGATCCTAATACTCCTAATTCTTAATTTGTTAATTTCAGTGCGCTTTGAATCTATACACTTGCTTAACATTTTAAATAGTAAATAAAAACCTGCAGGAATTATACCATGGTCAAGACTCACAAGTAAATTAGTGATGGAAATTAATACAAAAACTCTATAAGCATCAGGAATTCTCTATTATTATTCTTAAACATCTTTCATTAATAATATTTATACATATATATATATATTGATTAAATGAAATCTATCCCCCATAATACTAAATTCTTATTAATTGATAATGTTTACATAGGTCAATATATTCAAAATAAACAACATAAGTAATATGATTAAGATAATTAAAAGTATCTTCATCTAATTCAGAATTCTAGAAAATTTGAAAAAAGATTTTAGTATTTATAAATATGAAAAAAAAGGAAAGATATTCTGTATTTTTATTAAAAATACTCTTATCATTTGAATTAATCATCTTCCTAATTAAAAAGATTTATATCTTGAGCAAGATATTTTCTTATCTTATTTATTAATTTAATTAACATTGACTTTTGAATCAATCTAATCAATTATTTAATTAGGATACTTTGTTATTTACTAATACTATTGAGATAATATCACAAATTTTATTTAGATCTAAATGGCAATTTTGGAATTATTTTTTATGTAATTCTTGTCTACTACAACATACATAGATTATGGTTATGGTATGTTTTCACTACAGAATTTACTTATTAATATATATTAATACAGCTTGATCACTCATTTAAATAAAAATGAATCCAATCATGTTGCAATTTTATATATTTAAATTTTTTAATTAATTATAATTTATCAATATTATCAACCTCGGTATTAGTTTTTTATTTATTTCATTCAAATAATCATGGACATTCAAAACATCATGTAATAGTTAGGAGCAGCCTAAGCAGGCTAAGCAGTCAATCCTGAAACATCCATTCCTGATACAGCAGAATAAGTCACCATAAGTGCCCTTGCATTAATTAAAATGCTTAAAGTAATTAAGAAATTATCTTTCAGCATGCCAGAGCAGGAATTCCATTTGAAGTTATGGGTCTTTTATTAGGAGATATTGTAGACGATTATCATATTAGAGTTTATGATGTTTTTTCAATGCCTTAAACAGCAAGTAGTGTTTCTGTAGAATCTGTGGACCCAATATTTTAATAAAAGATGGTTGAACTTCTCAATTTAACAGGAAGAATGGAAAATTGTATTGGATGGTATCACTCACATCCATCATATGGTTGTTGGCTATCAAGTGGTATTTATTTATTTCTTATTATTTAAAAGTCGATATCAATACTTAATAATCATATGAATAGTTAAATAAGAAATCAATTGCTGTTGTTATTGACCCTATTTAATCAGTTAGAGGCAAAGTAGTAATTGATGCATTCAGATTAATTCCCTAACAAAATATGCTTAGTCAATAAGAACCAAGATAGACTACATCAAACACAGGACATCTTTAAAAACCAGGATTAGAAGCTTTATTAAGAGGATTGAATAGATATTATTATTCAATTAATATCAAATTTAAATGCAATGATTTAGAATAGAAAATGCTTTAAAATTTATATAAGAATAGTTGGACTGAAGGATTAAAGTAATTATTTATTATTCTATTATTTTTATTAGATGTAATTCTGCTAGTGAAAATAGCAAAAGAAATGAATCATGTGTTGAAGATATGTCCAAATTAGCTTTAGAGTATTAGAAATTGATAGGTATATATTTTGTTATAATTAAATTATAGATGATGAATCAAAGAAAGGAGAATAGGAAACCAAAATTAAGAATACAGGTAAAAAGGATCCAAAGAGACATCTTGGTTTGAAAGTGGATGAACTCCTTGATGAAAATTTAAATGCTATATTGGGTAGAATGATGGCTACTAAAGGCTTTTGATCTGATATATTGATAATATTAATAATGATTAATAATTTAATGTTTAATCCTGAACAATTTGCTGCAAATTATTAGATCAATTTCTCTAAATTAATAGGCAAAGGACATGATAGTACAGTATTTTTGACTATAAACAAATAAACTAAACAACAATTTGCATTAAAATGTTTAGCATAAACGATTGAATAAAATGCAATTAATTTATTCGTAATTATAATATCATATTTTCAAGAGAACGAGATCCAAATACTCCGTCACATTCAACATCCAAATATTATAACTATGATTGGATATTGTTCAGATTGTTCTTGTATGCTTCTTGAATTAATGACTAATGGTTCTCTTTATAAAATCTTACTCTAAGGTTCTTTACCTATAGCTATTGCAAATGGAATTATACTTTAAATAGCATAGACTTTATAATATCTTCATGAAAAAGGAATAACTCATGGAGATATTAAATTAGATAATCTACTAATTTCTGGAGATTTCATAATCAAATTATGTGATTTTGGATTTGCTAAGATTAATGGATAAACTCCAATTCCTAAAATTACTGTTTCTGGTAGTGAAGGATATACTGCTCCTGAAATTTGGAATATTCCAATAGATTTAAGAAAATGTGATATGTTTTCATTGGGAGTAGTTTATTTTATTATGGTGACAGGACATCCTCCATTTGAATCAAATAATCCATAAACAGAAGATACTTGGTGGAAATTCATTAAGAATGAAGAATGGAATATATTTTGGAAAGAATTAAAATTAACAATATTACCAGATTATGTTAGAACAATGATTGAAAAATTACTTTGTGTAAATTAACAGATGAGATATTCAGCTGATGAAATCATTTAATTATTAATAAATAAATCTGCTACTTTAGATTAAATAATTAATGAGATAAAAAAAAGACTCACTTAATTTAAATGAAATATTTGTATTTTTATTTAATAATCAAACAAACAAAAATATTTATTTAAAGCAAACGAAATTTATTTAATTCATTAAAATACTATTTTATCAACACTTTATCTTTAAAGTAAATGTTATTTTAATATGGCTTGACTATATTATTCTTTTTAATTTTTGAGATGCTTTTATTTTTAACTTTCTTCAATCATTTTATCAATTATCTTTTATTATTCTCTCTATTAATAATTATTCTATATACTTCTTTCTCTTCTGCAAATGCTCTTGTATTATTTAAGGCTCTTTAAAATCTCATTCTATTTTTCTCAGTTTATTCTTTGATTTTTATATCAATACTTGATTAGATTGACTATAATCGACCTGAAATGTCTAATTTGATTTCAAATGAAATTACTTTTATCATTTTCCTTCTTTTTTATTGATTCTATTTTCTATTCTAAAAGATTATTTAATTTTTCTTTATTTTTCTTCACTTTTCTAAATTAAGTAGCTAATTTAGTTTTTACCTATCCTAATTATTCATTCTTGATTTACATCTATTCTTCAACCATCTTATTACTCAAATCAGCAAATTTAATATATTATTCAAGTTTATTTTATTGATATTCAATCTGAGTTTATATTACCTTCTACTATGCTTATTCTTACTTTTAAATACTCAATTATCTCTTTTAATTCATTTCATCTTTTAATTTTTATAGTTATTATTCTGTCACTTACTCTTTCTCTATTTATTTCTCCATAATCTATTCAATTTATTAATCTTCCATATATATAGCTAATTTCTTCTTTTCTCTTCTCTCTTCTTCTTTCAATTAATTTCTCTCTTATTATTCTCTTAATTCTTAGTTCTATTATGAATTATATTATATTTTATTTTGTTAAGTAATTTCTTATTTCTTATTCAAATATTCCTATATTTTAATTCTCTATTCTCTATCTTTGATTTCTAATTCATGTATTTTTTCAAGAGTCCTTCTCTAACGATCTTAAAAGATTTTCTTTCTTTCTTATTGTTTACTAAGCCAATTTATTGATTTATTACATTTTATTCATTTATTTAACACTTTCTACTTTCTTAGCCATAATAGGAACTTTTTGTTGATAATAATCTTATAAAGATTTGAGTTTTTCTTCTTCCATTTATTTATATCTACTAAGAGTTTAGAGATATCCTTAATTCTTTTTAGCTTGTATTTCTAACTTCTCTTCAAAGGATGTCTATAAGAAATCAAGAGAACGTGTATTAAATGATTTTGACATAATAGTGGTCAACTTTGTAGGTATGACAAGAGCACCGCCATCAGTGAGGAAGCCTGATAGATGAAATGGAGACTGATACTTGAAGTATTTTATTGAGTGTGTGATTTGTTGAGTTAGTTTTTTGATTTCTATTGTTTCTCTTATTTTTTAATCAAATTTCTTGTACTCACAATACGCAACAATTCTTTATACTTTTCAGTAAGGTAATTCATATAATTTATTAGATTTTAAATAGGATGAAGTTCAGACATTTGAAACTGCTAAAATGTAAATATGTGACATGCATTCTCACCTAAATCTAATTAATTCAAAGCTTCTTTTGTACGAGGAGATTGAGGATCAAGTTTTAAAAAAAAAATTGATAGTTTATTTGGATCTCTTAATATTTTATCTTTATCATCAAATGGCATAAAATCTTGACTTATGGCTTCATCTATTATTACATTAGAGAGTGTTGGGAATTTAAGTTTTTTAATAAAGAATTGATTTATGAGATGGAATTTCTAATCTTCTGTTAATTTTGGTTTGATTCTAGGGGAATGTACTTCACTATTGTGACTATTATGAAAACTTGACATTAAAAATAAAAAATTAAATAAATTAGATAATGTACTATTGAATATGTAATAAATCAGCATTCATTTCTTTTACTTCTTTTTGGTTTATTGTTTCTTTCCACCTGCACCAATAACAATTTTATTGACATCTAAGTAATTGTGAATTAGGTTAAATACTTTATGGAAGTGTTTATTGAATTTTTTAGGCCTTATTCTTATCAGCAGTTTTGAAGGTAAAGAGATATTTCTTTCCTCTCAACTTGAATTTGGTGATCTTCTTTGACTCTTTGATATAAAGATCTATCAAAATTAGATAAAATTTCTACTCTTTTTTGGTTCTTTATTTGGGTCTTTGCCTTATGCTTCACTACCCTTCATGAGTGAAAGGAATACCTTAACATCTTGAATTTCCTTAGGCATATTAATTTAAAAAAGATTTAAAAATTTTAATAATAAAAACAAATTACCTATATTCATTTTTGAACATAATCCTCTTTGCTTTGCTATTCATTTTTACCTCTTAACTTCTTTAATTATTCCTCAGAATAATGTGTGATTTCAGTAGGTTTTTATTACATATCTTGATAACGAGATCCTTTCTTTTTAAACACTCTAAATCCAAAAATCCTGGGAACATACTATTAATTATTAGGAGCAATCTGAATTTCTTAAACAAAATTCTTATTAAATTAACCATCATCATACCATGATGAAGATTGACGGAAATGAACATCCAAAATATGCACCATCTACATCTGGACATTTCTTTTTTGGAATGTAGACCTCTTCACATCTTGGACAGAATACTTTTACTCTAGAAGTTCGTAATTCTTCACTCATTCCAACAGGTAATACATTTGATCTGTCACATAATACTCTTGGACAAGCACCAAATTTTCCTGATAAAAACTTATCCTTCATTAAAGCCAAACCTATTAAATAATTGATATTAATACCTTTGGCTGTAATTATGAATCTGGCATGAATTAATCCATATAAATCTGTAGCTTCTTAATAAACTTCTAGGAATCTTTCATCTTCTAAATCTTCATCGTCAGGAGTCTCAGAACTTAAAATCAAATCCAAAGCTTCACTAATTGTTGAGTTTTGATATTTACTTATAAAAATTGAACTTGCTTTTCAAACCATACAAATTGAAGTTGTCTCTTATAAAATCACTATCAACTTCACATAAAAATTGATGATCTTCCATATTACAAAACCATTATATCCAACCGGTCCCTTCTGAATATGATGAATCTCCTGACATATTTATTTTTATTAAATAATATATTAAATTTATTAATCATTATAAAATCAAAATAATAAATACAATCATACATATTCCAATAATATGAGGAATATAGAATTGTTATTGTTATTTTTTATTCTCTTAAATTTCTTTTAATTAATCATGTTATTAAGTTCTTGGAGTTACTTAAACACTTTATTTAATCTATTACTATTAAGTACAATAAGATTTAACAGCATTCTTTATTAAATCTTAATGTTTATTATTCTAAACAATCACCTTCTACTATGGCAATTCTTTTTCATTAAAAACCTCTGATATTTTTTAATCTTCTTCCTTATATGAATCATCTATATCAGTAATATGTTGTAAAGAGCATGGCATTTTGAATTAATCATTATTTTCAAGTATTTGGATTTCATTTTCATTTTCTTCTTCATCATTTTTAGATTGTGAATATAATACTCTTTATGTATAAAGATCTTCATATGAATTATTAATTGACTATTCCACATTCTTGTTTTATAATAAGATATTTATGAAATCTCCATTTTTGTGTTTACTTGTTAATTTATATGTTTTGATTTCTTAAAAATAATCTTTTAACTTTATATTAAATATTTAACACAAAAGTTAAGTACCTAAAACTATATGATTTTGATCTAAAAATGGTTATTCATATATCTAAGTAATTTCATTCATTTATGAGAAACTTAATTATTTATTTAATTAGAATTGACCCCTTATAATATTAAAAAATAATTAAAATTGTTGTTTTTGTATTTTCTCATTTAACATAGTAGTTATAATTGTAATACTTGCAAATTTAATAGCTAATTATTCTTTCATTGACATTTCTTCTTGTTATTGACTAATTTCTTCTTCCATTTGATTTTCAGGTGGAATCTCTTGATTTTAATCAAGAACACTTGTTTTTAAAACTTTTTTATTTTGATTACATCTCATTAAATTAAAAATACATAAATAATAAGATCTTTTTTGATAATTTTTGATCAAATTTGTAATTTGTGTAATACCTTTACAGAAATTTGATTATGCCTTGATCTTTTTTAAAGTTAATTTCTATTATTAATTTATAAGTTTCTTTAAAAGATGAAAAAGTACTATTACTGTAGTTGTAGATATTTAGGGATATTAATCTTGTTATATTTATTCTCTGATCTAATTATTCTATAAATCATCCATAACAGGAGTTAGTGATATAGTTTAATTTAGATCTAAGAAACTATTATGTTAAATTGTTTTTCTTTCTTATTACAGAATCCAAAAATATGTTTACAGTTTAGAAGATTTATACTTTTATAATTTATGAAGAAGAGATTAAGTGGCTAATACAATTCTTAGTTAGGTAAATTTCATAGCTAATTTACTTGATTCATCCTCTCTCATTTCACATAACACTTTACAAGCAACTTTTACTTAAGTTTTTCGTTCCTATTTATTAATAATATATTTACACTTGAGGCACAAGATTTAACTGTAGAATAGCTAATTAATGAACTTTGATCTGGATTTGTTTTAGCTCTACGACTATTATCTGTTATTATTGGTGATTTCATTATTATAAAATTATGTTATTAAAAAAACTCTTTTTATTTTGTTATCCAGAATTATTGTAAAAGTGTCAGGATAAAATCATTCACTTAAATGTTTTAATTAAGATGACTTCTTCTGGTTTTTATTTTTAATTCATTCATTAATTATTTTATAGAAAAATATTATATTTTTTCAATTTGCTAATTCATTCTTCTTCATTTTTCACTTAATTCAAATAAAGAACTTTATTTTAGAGGTAATTGATAACTTTTTTTAATAGACAATTTATAAACAAAAGTAATTAATTATCTGCTTTCAATTTATATTGCAAATAGAAGTAACTAATAAAATAAAAATTATTAAAAAATAATTAAAAACTATAGAAGAAATAATTCATTTTTTTTTATTTAAGCATAATAATAGTCTTGTATTGTCTTTATATATCAATAATTTTTAAGTTCAAGTAATGTGAAAGTGAGAAACATTTTTTAAATTTCAACAGTATCATAAATTTTTAATTATTTATTTGATATAAGTTTAAATTCCTTTAGAGTGTTTGCTTTATTTTTATATTGAAAAGAAGGAAGATAATACATAAGACATGATGATAAATAAGATTTAGTAATTATATAATTTGATATATATATAAATATTTCATCTTTAAAATGCTTTAAAAAATTTGGTACTATGATATTTTAGTATAAATTCGAAAAATGGTTTGGGAAATTATGAAATTTAACTTACTATAAGTTTTTGGAGGTAAGGGAAACATTCCTTTGAAAAAACAAAAGTATTGTTGATTTGTGAATGGATATTTATAACTCAGTAAATACAAGAGGAGATGATCAGAGTATATAGGGAGAGTAAAATTTAGATTTATGAAATATTATTATTTTTTATGAACAAGAATTCACCATCACCAAGTTCACCAACCCCTGTGATATTGGTGCTAGTCACAAACAAATAGGGTAAAGTATTAGAGCATAGCTAATTCTTTAGAACATTCTCAGTTTTTGGGCAAGTTAAAAAGGTACTTCTTTATTTGATTTGTGTTTAGATTCTTATATTCGAAAGAAAAATCATTTGGAAAGTGTTCATTGAGTATGAGAATGCTTAATAAGCCTAAGCTGCCTTAGTTTTAGATGGGACTCTCTTTGATTACTAATTAAAAATGAGAGTACACCTCAGCCAACGTGATTCTCTCGTGTTTTAGAATAATAACAATTGCGGTGTTGGTAAAATTTTCTATTTCTATCATATAGATTACACTACTCTTTAATCAAAGCAGCAATTTTTCTAACAGTTAAAAGAAGACTCAGGCTCTCTTAATCTATAATTACAGTAGAATCTTGACATGCTTAATTAGCTTATTGCCCAACTAAGCAAAACGGCAGATTTAAAAGAATAAATATCCATAATCCAACAGATCTAAGAGTATCGTAATTAAACTTAATAATTGACTGTTCTTTACTAGTAATAATTACGCAATTATGCATCCGTTTTACAAAGAGAGGGAAAGAAATAAAAATAAATTGTATCCACCGTAACCACTCCATCACCCTCCCCTTTTTTACACTCTACTTTGGATTCCATCAGGTAACAGATTCCAGAGGAGTCTTCAGAAGATGATAAGGAGGAGTTTTCTGATGGAGAGAGTATCTCATCCCAATCTTCAGAAAAATCTTAGAAATCTACTCATTCCGAAGACAATTATAATGAAGTCTTTTGCAATGACTCCACAAATCCTTTTTCTTGTGGTGCCAGTCCTTTTACTCCTTATCCCCAAAAGAAAATAAGCAGTCCCTTTATAATGACTCCAACTACCTTCCCAACCTATTTGATAGTTCAGCATTCCAACATTAATCTTCGAGTGGTGTATAACATCTTTAGTACATTCACGAGAGTAGATGCAATGTATCAAAGTCATTATGGAGCTTTTCTTCAAGTACCTTCTAAAGAAGAAGCAAATCGAATGAAAAATCTACTTGGCAAAGCCATACTTTTTGGAATGCCTATGAATCTTATGGTTTCTGATTAACTTTCTCATGATGCTCGCTCAGTTAGTTTACCTCCTAATGAAAGAAAACCGGTTCTTTAATAATAACTATCAAACTCAATCTTGATCACCGGATTAAGTGGGGTAACTATAGAGCAAATATATCAATATTTCGGGTGTATAACTCCCATCTTAAATATGAAGTATCTTATATTAATATAATATAGATTCATCAATCAGAGCTCTTGCAAAATACTGTATTCAGACATAGGATGCAGTCTAAGTGTCTTAGGATATATCTAAGATGCCAAGATTAATGGAAGGTATCATAATATATCATATATTTTAGATCTGTGTAACTTTCATTCACAGCTTTCTGATTAATGAATTTTATAATATTATTTTATCAAGTGATAAAACAATTCAATATTTTATTAATATAAATGAACTTTATAATCATCTATGATCAAAATAAATATATTATAAAACTTATATAATAAATTATATAATGTCTGATTAAGAACTTAACTTAGAACCAATAGATTCTTAATCCAAGAGTTCTAATAATGAAGATGTATAATAATAAGAAGACAATAATAATGAACCTCCTCTTACAATATTTTCGAAGGGTTTTAAAGTTGATAAAAAGTAAGTGGAATAAAAATAATAATAAATTGACTTTGATTAATAAAATATTTCTTAGGAACAACCTATTTAAAATAATTAAAGTAAAGAAGATGAGTCACCTAAATACTTATCATTTGAAAAATAACCTGAAGAAGGAGAAATTTAATTTAATTAATTCAATAATAATTAAGATATTCAAGAACCTTAATCAGAATAAATAAAAGAGGCAGATAAGGAAGTAAAAGAAATAGATGATCTCTAAAATTTATATGATGCAATAGGAAAGGATAAATAATAATAGGAATAAGAAATAGATAAATAAAAATAAGAAATAGAAGAATAAGGAGAAGTAAGTTCAGCTGAAGATAGCCCAGATTAAAAGACAGAGAGATAGAATACAATTATTTTAAAAACCTAAAGATTATATATGTTAGAAGTTCAAGAAAGAAATGATGAAGCTATAAGAATTGAATTAATTGAATAACTAAAAACTTAATTTGCATTTAAATAAGCTCATCCTTTTGATTTATTTATAATGTATGATGATGCTTTGGTTGAATTTTAAATTAGACTGGATGAATTAGATCAAGCTCTTAAAACTATATCTATTGAATTATAATAAGATTAAAAAAGAATAGTATAGAAATATTATCGAATACCTAAAATGGAGACTATTTCAACTATAAAATTATGTTGTAGTTTAGTAGAAGATTTAGGAGAATTAGTAATGATGGCCATAAATTATATAGTTAATAAGTATAGATTATTGTTAGATATCTTTTTTGAAGAAGTGACTGGGCCAGATAAATTGATTTCTGTGGAAACTTTAAAATTATTAAATAGAGAATGGATGTGGGGTTTAGATGAAGGAAAATTATAGTAAATTTATAATTTAATGACAGATTATGGAAATAATATATATAATTTTTAGGTATTTAAATAAAAGTTATCTAAAATTGCAGAATAAGTAGATAAGAAGTTTAATTAAAATGCTTATTAAAATATTGCAAAATCAATAATATAAAATGGTTCAATTGAATAAATATTTCGTTTATTAAGAGATGAGGATTAAGGTATGACAGATGAAATTTAAATATAAAAGTTTTTAGCCATAATAACTAAATTTATAGAGAGAGCTTTATCAAAGTAAGAGTTATTGGCTATACGAAAATATTTAGCAAAAGATAAAGATGAAGATATAATTATTTATTCAAAACTTATAAATGATGCTTTGAAACTAATAGAAGATGAAAAAATATAAAAATAATAGGAATAGGAAAAACTAAAATTAGTTTAAAAAGAAATTATATTAGAATACTTCAAAAGTGTTGTTGAAAAATCTTTAACATTACCTGATTAATATTTTAAAGCTGAATAATTATTTAAAATGGACAAAGAAACTTTTATAGAATAAACAATTATTCTAACTGGTTTTATTATTGATAAAGATAAAGCTTTATAAATTTATGAAATGATTAGAGATGATAAAATAGATAAAGATGAAGAGGATATTAATGTGATTGAATTTACATAATTTATAAATAAAAGAAAATAAGAAATTGCATAATCTGAATAAGAAAAAGTATAATAATCAAAGGAAGCTTAAGAAAAAATTGAATAATCTAAAGGTAATTCATAATAAATATTATAACCTCCTTCATTATTAAAATAAGGATAATCTTAACAAGGACAATCTTTAAGATAATAATTATAATTGCCTTTGAGTGCAATTTCTTAACCATAATCAGCTCTAAAAGAAAAACAATCAGTACTTTAATAAGCATCAAGTAGATAATAAGAAAAGTCTTCAGAAAGATAATAAGATAAGGTTTCAGAAAAGTAGATTGAAAAAGATAATAATAAAGATAATAATAAAGATAATAGTAAAGATAATAATAAAGATAAAGATAATAAAGAAAAAGATAATAAAGAAAAAGAAAAAGAAAAACTTTAATAATTATAAAGTATTTCTCTTAGAAATGATATATATTGTCTATTTAATGAACTTGATGAATAAAAACTTAAATTGTTAACATAATAATAAATGTTTTCAGGATTACTTAAAATTGGAGTTATTATCAAAGGATCAGAACTATTGAATTAAAAATCATATGATTATTTCAGTTTTGAAAAGGTTATAATGCAATAATTGAAGTAATTCTTTAATTCAGCTAAATTAATTTATAATCTCAAAAAAGAAATGGATTAATATAAAGAAGAAGAAAGTGATATAGTAAACATTCCATTATTAAAGTAATTTGTTATTTAATTAATCTAGGACATTATTTGAAAAAATTAGATTAAATGTAAAATTTGAAGATATTTAATATTTATTTTCTATTTTAGATAAAGAGGGATAGGGTAATATAAAGTTGAGCAATTTATTCTATTTGATACATATACATCCAATACTTGATTACAAACTGAATGAATTATTATTTAGAGTAAGAAAAGCTTCTTAAATAGATGAAAGGATATTATGATAATTCGTTAAAGATGCATAAAGTTTTATATTCAAAACTTCCTTTAAATTATTGTCGACCCTTTACTTCTAAAGCCAATCTGCCTAGTTATGCCTTTCGATATAAATTAGACTTGTTAGGTGACATTCAAATTCATCCTTCATGTTCTGCAAATAAATTATGCAAAATTAAATTATTAGAGGCATAAGGTATTCCTTCCCCAAAAGATAAAAGCACTTGTTTCAAAAGAGAAATAGTAGTGGCTATTTATGATAACTTTTATAAATAATTTGTGGAGAACAGTCTTGTTCTCAAAGCTAAATATCTTCCTGAAAATGAAGATATATGGTATTTTCCAGTGAAAAATAGAAATAATGGATTCTATTTAAATTGTGAAAATTAAAAAGAGAAATTGAATTTAATTTTAGTTTTTGAATTTATTAGTTATTTTAAAGAGAACAATTAAGTACATAAAATAAGTTGTTGTTTTGCAGAGATTCCAGTAGCACATATAATGAGATTAGGTACATATATATTGCCGTTAAAGGGTGGTTCTATTGAATAAGTAGTTTCAATTGCAAAGGAAGATATAAGATGCAAAAGAGGAGGAATTTCAGGACTTATAACTCGATTAAGTGGAGATGTTTAACCTTAATTAAAAATAATTAGTATGAATAAATCAAATAGACCTTAATTACAAAAGGAATTGTAAATGTTACCTCCATTATGTCTTTGTCATAGAAATATGACATAAATAATTTAGACTTATAGAATATTTTGTGAGGATAAGTTAAAATAAGATGAAAGTGTATTTATTCAATCTATTGATACATTTTTATTTTGTTTAGATTGTCCTTATATTTGTTCAAAGATGTGTAAATTATGGAATAGAATAATACAAGGAAAGATGATAGGTTAAGAGATAGCATCATTTTAGATATTAATAGGATAATTGTAGAAATTAATTAGATTAAAAGATTTTAATTTTAATCCTTACTCACCTTAAGAAGTCTTTACTCCAGAAATTAGTAAACCAAAAAGGAATGTTGTAAAATCAATTTTTGAATATGCTGAATATTTAATAGACAGTTCATTTTTTAACAAATTGGGATTAGATGGTGATGAAATATTGAAAGAACAAATGGACTTATATGGATAACCATTGATTCAAGGAATCTTTGATGGTGGACATAATCCATTTGATAAATATTATAATGGATTGAATTTGAAGGCTTATGAAACTTATGTATAATAATTGTGATATATATAAATGGATGATAATTTTAAGAAATTGATTGAATCTACATAACCAGAATCTGTATCCACTATCAGACTATGTAAAAGATTAGGATATCGTCCATAAGATCTCACATATAAGTATTTGTATATTCTATACTCTATAGATCCATAGATGAATTTTAATCTGTCAATAATGAGTTAAGATAAGTAAAATATGATCATTACAAAGCTAGAGTGCTTAGTAAAATCTTAAATTTTAAATAAATTAGAAATAGTAAATGAAATTAACAATGTGAGAAGTAGAAACAAAACTACTGGTTTATCTGAGTTACCTTCTTAAACCAATGTTCAATTTTCTTCCATTGTTGATACTATAGAGGAATAATCTTAAAACATATCTAGTAAGGATAGAGTGCTTTAGAATCTTATTTATTAAGAACTTCTAAGATAAAAAAAGTTTGCTTAATATTATCAATAAAACAATAAAATTTAAGATCGTAAAACTAAATTGCCAACCTAATCATCTTAATAAATTACAATCTAATCAAAGCCATCTACTTAATTATTGAAAACAGAATAATCAAATAAAAAATGTGAAACTCATCGTGAATATGAGAATAAAGACAAATTCTTTATAACTTCAAATGAAAAGTTTCTTGTTAAAAGATAATAAATTCTATAATAAGAGGAAATATAATAAGAAGAATAAATCTAAAAATTAAAAGAAAAGGGTAACTATGTATTTATCATTAGAAAAGAAAGCAATAGAGAGAATTCAATAATTTAAGAGTGAATTAAAATAACATTTTCAAAAATCCAATCTAGAAGAAGTGAAAAATAAAAAAGAACAACTTGATAATGAATAATATTAAATGTTGATTACTAAATAATGTGAAAAATTGTAAAAGTTGAGATTAAAATAAAGTTAACTTAATAAACCATTCAAATAGTAAATTTAAATTAGAAATAAAACATAATCATTAGTTTTTGATCATGATTTACAATAAAAAATTGATAATAAAATTGAAAGAGTAGTTAATTTGAAATCATAATTACTATCAGAACGATAAAAAATTATAAGTGAGAAACTAAAAATCAATTAAGATGATGTAAATTTCAATAAATATCATAATGAATAATTGAAGATTAAGGAAGAAAATAAAAGAATTGGAAAAATACAGAAGAATCACAAACAGAATTCTTATCAAATTGACTTGAAACATTAATTGTTAGAAAAACATAAAAAAGAATCAGTATGGGAATAAGTGAATCGTGTTAGTCATTTATTTTCTAATCCAGTAGAATATGATGGATATAGAACACAGATGAAATTATTATTGAATAAATAAAGAGAGACACTTGATCCAAAATATTAGAATCGCATAGATATATTATATTAATTGTTACCCTCATAAATGGCAGAAAAAGTGTTATAATGATAAAAATTCATATAATCTAACATAATTGTTTACAGCAAGCATCCGATTCCTCTTTATCTTCAATCAAATTATTGAGTTTCCAATTTTCAACTACATGAATATCAAACACTTATTGAGAAGGAAGAATTTCATCTCTAAAACAAATGTGAAACTTTAATTATTTATTGATTGGGTTTCCAAATCTATCAAACCTAACATCTTGATCTATTTCTGGATCTTCATCATCATCAAAATTTGATCTGCAAAGTTCCTGAATATTTTGCTGTTAGTATTTAGGTCCCTGCATCATTTTATTAATTTATTATGACTTAATAAGAACACATTAATTTCTTGAATGTCTACCTCAAGTAACTTATGAATGAATAACAAAAATATAATTTTTAAGTAATCTAACAAGATCTCATTTATGGATTTGTTGATAACAAATATTAGTAAACAATATTTTTTTAATATAAAAATATTAAATTACTTTCTTATATGTAAATATATAAGACAAATACCCTCAATGGTGAATTTAGAATTTAATAATTCTTAATCAAATCAGAGTAATTCAATATAATAATTATTTTCTTATATTTCATATATGCATTTCATATAAATTGGTTATTTTATATATTTTGCATAATTCTAGAGGATATGATAAATAAAATTGCAATTAACAAAAATTGTAGTTTAAGTTTGAAATATAGTTCTTATTTAATAAATATATAAGATCATCCATCATTTAATATTTGAGCCGATTATTGTAGTAAACCTTATAATGAGAAAGGGGATGTAGCCACATAAGGTGATTGATTGATTATTACTCTATTAAGTTATTTTTAGGGACTGGAGTAGGAGAGTGTAGTTTATACATCTTTTAGTAGTTGTAATTCTTTAGTTTAAGTATTGAGTTAACTTTTGAGAGTTTCACATTGTAATCTTAGACATTTTTATTGATCATGTTGATTGGTGGAACCACAAATACACTCTGTTGTTGGATTGCATATGGAGACATGAGTTATAAAATCTTTTTTGTATGTCTGTTAGCCACATTCTTATTTTGGACAAGTGATTGTATTAAATCCACATTTCTATTCATGTATCCTCAAATCAGGATAGCAAAGTTCTTCAGGACATCCGTTGACTCTATTTTGACATGAAAATTTGACACTGGTGTATAATTTATGAAACATTTTTGGTAGTTAAGATGTTAAGACTGTCAGAACTTCACAATTAGGACAGAAGCCTCTATAATTAATATCCTAAACATATTTTGTATTCTTATTGATCAGAATGGTTTGAACAGTTATTTCTATTGGTTCAGGAATCTGATCATCCGCATAAGGTATGCATTTAAAGCAAAAGTTTTCATGACATTTAAGACATATCAATTGTTGTAGAGAGAGTGATTTGCAACACTGACATACAAGATGTGGTAGAAAAGTTGAAACTTTGGCATAATTAGCAATTCTATTTTCAGGCAAAGGGAAATTCATTTATATTGGTAAAATAATATTTATTAACAATTATATATTTCAAACTCTTTTTGCCTCTTAGAAATGTTTAGCAAAGGTCTATGCAACAATTAATGGGAACACAAGTGTAGCCTCAGAAAATACTTTTACATATTCAGCATCAATTCTTAATTTACCCCAAGTGATTCCTTCTGATGGTTTTGCACCTGCATCACTTCCATCATATTAGATTCCTGTATTAATGAATACTGCCCAATCAGCACCATTTCTCCATATGTTTGCATTCATTATGTGATGTTTTACTACTCCTCCTCCAAGAATAATCAATCCTGACTTCTTGGCATACATTGCTTTTTTATTTAATGCTACAACATCTTATAGAATATCACAAATGAATCCTTCTTCCTTATAATTAAAGTAGAACATCATATCTCCTATGGCTCCATCTGTTAATGCAGGACAATACACAGGTATATTATTTTTAGCACACCAGTAATAAATTGATCTTTCATCATTAATTTTTTCACCAAATCTTTTAATCATTGATTATGGTGACCAAATAGTTCCTTTTTCTTTTTATTCTTTGTACATTTCTTAAAATACTGGAAGAAGCCAATCTTCTAGTTTTCCATAGTTTGCAGCAGGAACATATATATTACCAATACGACAAATGGCTTTTAATCTTATTTCTTTATCATTAGCTTACCAATCACCTTTGTGAAAAGTAGAGAGACATTTCATAAGATCTTCTTCTATTGCTCCAGCTGTAGTTACAATAGCATCAATCATTTTATGTTAAGCCAAGTATCTGATGATATCTCTATTGCCTGATGATACCATATTACTTGTGTAACCTAAAAATATGGTACATCTAGTATTGGGATCTTCATTATCTTCATTTGGACCCATTCGCCAATGAATCATTTTATTTATTAAATCTATTGCTGTACTTAATTGAGTAGCTTATAATCCGAAATTAGCATAAGACTTTAAGAGAGCATCAAAATCAACTCCTTGATTAAAATCATATCCTTTGATTTCTGGAGTAGTTACTGGTTCTGGTTAGAGTTTGTATAGAGTTTAGTATTGTTCTTCTGCTTTTTGCATAATTAATATTTAATGGTAAATAATTGCAAAAAAAGATGTTATATTACAATTTATTAAGAATTATGGTTCTGATCAAATTATTGTCGTTTTTTTGTTAAACTTTGCAAATGCTCTATGAATTCGTATGAGGCGAGCTGTCATAAACCTTATTATTGTGATCTCTACTTAGTACGCAATTTAATTATCAGTAACACCACCAACAACAAGGCTAGGATAACTAAACACCACAAATAGAATAAGTCGAAATATTTGCTACATTGTACATATGTTCCACAAGAATGTTGATTTTCTTGTAATAAACAACAGGTATCACAATTCAATTTGATGCAATGATTCTACTTATTTAATGATATACATCTGAGTATATGGAGCACTCACTTTGATATTTAGAGCATTGATGGAGGTCGTTGCAACAAAGACTATTACATAGAGAAGCTTCTTTTGGGGACTTGCATAACATAATAAATTAATTAAAATGATAGAGGTCTCAAGAAACAAATAGATTGAAAGAGTAAAACTAAGTCTTGATTCTGACAAGTTCAACTATTTCTTGGCCTAGTCCTTAAATAAGGTTACCAGTCATCGCTCATTACAACAATTAGCCAAAACTCTTGCTGATCACTTCATCTAGAACCAAATAGAAATCCGCAACAAATCTAATCAATAGCGTCAAAGACAAAATGCACTTCCTTAGATTATTAGACGATCTTAATAATCAATTAAAGTCCTTCCAAAGCCTCCTCGTATTGAACCAAAACAATAATAAATTCCTTTAAACAAAGTTCCCTTTACTATTCTTGAACCCTAATATTCATATCTCTTGGGTGGAGGCAATAATCATGAACTAATAAAACGCATCATGGACACAAGACGTGAATGGCATCAATGTAAAAGTACTACAAGAGTTCATTTTAGATGGTAGTAATCTAATATAGGTTACAAATATTACAAAATGAATGCCTACAATCCTCATAGATCATTAGTCAATCATTTTGAATTTCATTAAGAAATAAGTAATAAGAAGAATCTCCTTTTGAATATGACTACCTTTTGTGATTCCATTCATAGAAATGTATTTGACATTCTTCCTGTGACATTCATTATTGATTTTAATGATTCATAAATTGAGTCTCATCTTGTTGCATTTCTCAATTATTATAACCAATACTCCCCTAATCCTATATCTTCAGATGAACTCTTACTTAAAAAATAAGAAATCAAAAAGAAACTCAGAATTCCACCTAGTAAAGAAAGGAGATTTATTGATTATTAAATGAAAGATACTTTTTTAGGAGATGATTATTTATGGCTCCTTAAACCAACAGGATTAAATCGAGGTAGAGGTATCAATGTCTTTAACAGTATTGATCAATTAACTGATTTATTAATTGAATATACATCAGGAGTAAGTGAAAAGCATATTGAAACTCCTAATGAAAAAATATATTAAGGAATAATTATAAAATCTCCTTCTTTTGTAGTATAGAAGTATATTGAAAAACCTTTACTAATAAATAATCGTAAATTTGATATAAGAGTTTGGGTTTTGGTTGATTAAGATTTAAATTGCTATTTCTTTAAGTATTCTATAAATATTAAATAATAGAGAAGGATACATAAGGACTGCATCTGAAGATTTTGTTACAAATGATGTTAACAATTTATTTATCCATTTAACAAATAATGCAATTTAGAAATATAGTCAAAAATATGGGGATCAAGAAGCAGGAAATCAATTATCATTTGATTAGATTTAGAAGATTTTTAAGAATAAGATTGATTTTAGATAAGTAATTGTTAAAAAGATGAAAGAAATAGCATTTTTAGTAATGAATTCAGTAGGAAATAAAATAAATAGAAATAATCGTAGAAATTGTATGGAAATATTTGGATTTGATTATTTCTTAGATGAAAAGTTCAATCTATATTTAATAGAAGTTAATACAAATCCATGTATTGAAGAATCTAGTCCTTTGTTGGCTCAATTGATTCCTAGAATGTTAGATGATGCTTATATTTTGACACTTGATTCGATCTTTAATATATCAAGAGAGAAAGTTAGTCCATTTCCAGTTAAAGGTTACTAAAATAATGAGAATATGTGGTATTAAATGATTATTTATTTAGGTAATTGTTAGGATCGCTTAAAGATTAAGTTATTTACTAATGATTTTATTCGTTTTTATAATTATGAAATATTTCATATTGACTTTATTTGTTTTGAATGCATACAGTTTCTCTTTGAATGATGACTGGGATGGTATGGAAGAAGCAATTAATGTTTAATAAGATGCAATTTTGGTATAGAGAATAATTAAATAGGATCTAGTAGACTAATTAGATGTATATTCAGATACTCCTATAACATAATAAATAGAGAATCAAGTATAGTAACTCATGAATCCATCAGTTGATACAGATAAAACAGAAACAGAAGATGAATAAACGGAAGTTCATTCTCTAGAATACTGGTTGGAGAGATTAGGAGATGAATATTCAGACGAAACCATTTTATTATAGTAATCATAATAAATTACAACAGATGTGGATAATATAAAAATAGAAGATATTAATCTAATAACTGAATCTTCAGTGATTATAAATAATATAGATTTAGAATATTAGGATTAGAATATAAATGAAAATATTTAGATGGAATAATAACTATTAAACTCACCTTTATAATTACAGGAATCATTAAATCAAGAAGATTAATAATAAATAAATACTCTTGAAGTATAAATTAATACTTTTAATGATTAATCTATTTCTAAATTTATTCCAAATTAAGATAATAATGGAATGGTCAAATTTTTGAATAATATTTAAGAAGATTCTTAGAATCATATGTAATAATAATAATAGATTAAAGAAATTTACAATTTTAAAGATTATTCATTCAATAAATAAGTTGGAGAATAGCGTTCAATATATAATGATAAAGAGGATTCAACATTGTAAGTATTAGAAAGAGATTAACATAAAGAAATTAGTAAAAATCTTTAATAATAATATTAAATAAATAAAAAAGAAGCAGAATTAAATTAAAGTAAATAATCAAAATTAAATAATTAACCAGAGGAAATGTCAACACTAAAAAAATACTTATTATATACAGATTAACCAGAAGTTATTTCAACAGGAACAACAGAAAAAGAAATTGAGGAAGATAAAAGATTGATTAATGCTTTTAAATCAATGAATAGAAATTAAAATTGGGAAATAATAAATAAGAATTAAAAAATAAATTCAGATGTTAGAAATGAACAATTAAGATGTAAAAATATTTTTATATTCTTTTAGTTTCTAATATTAATGATTAATAAAAATAATAATAAACTTAATTTTAAGATTTTAATGAAAACTAAGTGGAAAATCCTCATTAATTTATTTCATTTAAAAGTGATTCTAAATTTGAATAGGTTGATAATTTTAAAATAGAAGAAAATGTTAAATCTAAATATGATGAATTGCCAGAAACTTAATTGTAATCTAAGGAAGATATGAAAAGAGAAAAAGAATAAAAAATTTGTATAAATACCTATTGAATATTTAGAGGAAATGTAAAAGATAATAGAAGAATAATTGAAGAATAAGACATTAAAAAAGAAATCTGAGACTGATAAATCATTACTTTATGAAAGTGAATATCTATAATGGGAAAGAATTACATAAACTAAACCTTATCCAGAAATTAATTTTGTCATGACATAAAATAATTTAAGAAAAAGATTATGATTAAAAAAACTAACATAAACATAAATCAACAACATCCTCCACCATCATTTTATTATTATTTCTTCTTTCCTTATTATAAACTACTTCTTTCTTTTGTTTATTTTACAAATTACATCAACTCTAAATTTTCATATATTAATTTACCATTAGCAAGATAATCAAAAACTTCTGTTATTCCCTTCCCAGATTTAGCTGAAACTAAAAAATGCTTTGCATTATATTAATTACATAATTCATCAATCTCTAATAATTGTTATATTACAAATAATACATGATTATTCTACATCTTTATGAATGTGCATATCACATTTATTACCCACTATAACTAATAGCATATTGTCATTTTCTGCCAATTACTTTAATTCTTATATCCATTAACGTCCCTTTTGTAATGTTTCTTTGACTGTGATATCATATACTATTATCGCAGCATCTGAATTTCTATAATAAAGAGGTGCTAAACTATGATATTTCTCTTAGCCTGCTGTATCCTTTATGTATATAATGTAAACATTACCCAGATGGCTAAATCAATAGGTCCTTTTTTAGTCTAAATGGTTTTCTCTTTACAATAACCATCTGAGGTTTCCTAAGTTTATTCTTAAAAAGAATTATGAAAGAATCTTGTTATTATTGATGTTTTTCCAACTCTGCCTTCTCCTAGAGTAACTACTTTATATACTCGATCTTCGAATTTTTGTTTTTTCATAACTTTATTATTTATTATATAAAATATGTATTGAAATGTATTCAAAATTCGAAATCTTTTATCTACTCTGTTGTGAATCTAAATTTTTATTATGTCTTTTGACAAATAAAGTCGTATTCAGTAATTTTTTATTTGAATTTGCATTTTTCACATACTATCATATTATCATCATTATACACCAACTTTTCATTGCAATTGTGAGTCCATATATGATCCTTATTACATATTAGGCATTTGAATTTAAATATAGGATGTTTCGATTAGCTTTACTAATTTTACTGTTCAGTTTCTTCCTATACAGGAGGTAACTTTTCACTATTCTTATGAGAAGAACGCTTCCTAAATCTTAATTTCATTTACTAATTCTTCAACTTGTTTTGCTTATTTCAATTACAAAAATTTATCATCAGTGTCATGAGAATTCTTAAAATATGGAGTATTGGGCTATTCTAAACTATGTTTCAATTGATTTGATTCAGCCAAATTTTTATTTTATGGAGAATTCTTTTCATAATTCAAATACAATTCTAATATCTCTTTAATTTCTCCACTTAATTCTTAATATTCTTCTTATTCAAGTTATCTATTTGTAGGTGATAAGACACCATAATCATTTTGACGATTCTTTAAATTCTTACTGCTACAACACACACCCATAATAATTAAAATATATTTCAAATAAATAAATTCAATTAGTCCTTTAAGATAATTAATAACATCAATCTCCACTTGCTATAGAATTACCTATATATCTATTAACAAAATCTATAAATTATATCACTTACTTTTTGATTGTTTAATATAATTTATAGTTTATTTGGAAACAAAATTAACTCACATGATTTTTAATATTCTTAAAATAATTAAATTTCTTATTAAGAATTAGCAAACATACATTAATATTTTCATACAATATATAATATAAAGATTTATAAAATATATTATAAATTTTAATCAAACTATATTCATTTTATTTTGAGTTCAATATTATATTATTTCTGATTATATTATTATCTTTTCTTATTTGACTATTCATATTTTGTTAAATTAATAATAATAAAAAAATATATCTAAAAATAATGAATTCATTATTCCGCAATTTATTTATTTATTTATTAACCGTCAAAAATGCTAGTTTAACAATATCGATAGTTACCTCCACCATCAAGAGAACTTCCTTCCAATTTGAATTAAGCTCATTTTGATTAGAAAATGAGATTCTAATAGTAACAAATTCAAGCAAGAGTGATTGAAGAAAGACCCAATTTTCAAGAGATGTAAGGAGGATAACCACCGATGAAACCTTGGTTAGGAGAAGATGTCTATATGGTAGCATTTCTGTTAACGGTGGAAAATGATAGATTGAGAGAGGAGAATGGAAGGATTGGAGAATATGTTAATTAGAATGAATTAAGATTTAAGGGAGTTGATTTAATTGAAGGAGAATTAATTTAATTGAGAAATAAAATAGGAGATTATGAAAAAAAGATTGCTTAATTATAATATGAAAGTGAATAATGGAGAGTAAAATATGTTAATAGAGAAAAAGAAAGTGAAGATTAACGTTATTAGAAAGAATTATAAAGAAGAATATCTATAGATAGAGAAATAAGAGAATTAACAGCTAGATTTATTTCAGATAGGAATCAATTAGAAAAGGAGAATAGATAATTGAGAACTGAATTAGATAGTCTTAAATTATCTAAAAGTAGTGTAGAAGATATAATGAGATAAGCAGATATTGTTTAGAAAGAAAATCAAAGATTGAAATTAGAATTAGATAATCTAAGGTAAATTAAACAAAAAATATATTTTAGAAAAGGTTTTGATGAATTAGAGTATGTACTTAAAACAGCTGCTGATTTAGAAGCTGAGAATACTCAATTGAAATAATAGATAGAAACTCTCTAAGTCTAATTCTAACATCAACAATAATAGTAAATTTAACCAATTTAAAGAGTTGTTGTAAATTCAACAAATTTATGTAATAATAAAATATAATTATTTAGAAAACTCAAATCATTTGGAATCAGAAAATAAGAGGTTGAAAGATGAAAATGATAGATTGAAATTAATGTTAAATCTAGGTCAAGCTACTAGACCTTAACCTTTTATGTGATATATTAACTACTTAAAAATCAATTTATAATTTATTTGATATTTCATAAAATCTAATTATAATATCTCTTACTTATATTATTTTATATATACTATATAATAATAAGAGTATATATAGATTTTAATTAATTTTTTTATTAATTTTAATATAACTAAATATTCTGAAATTTTTTAATTATTTTAGTTACTCAAAATCTGTCTTAATATTCTATTCTTAAAAATAATATAAAAATATATTATTGATTTTTGTACTTAATTTAAATTAAACAAAATAAATAATTTTATAGTTCATTATATTTTATAAAAAATAATCATTTCATTTATAAAATATCTTAGCTATCAATGTACTTATTTATAATTGAATTTAAAGTGTCTATTTCTGTTGATTTAGGAATTAACCTCAAAATTTTAGTGGGTTAAGAGTATTTTCTAGTTTCACTAATTTTGCCATTCTCAAAATCCCAAATTTTAGACTTCTTTTATTCATACAATATTAGAGTATCATCTTCTTTACATTACTATTTAATTTTAGTAGTAATATCTTTAAGATTATGTTCTAATCGAATACATTTTTTAAACTAAAAATATTAATTTTTATAATTTCTAGAAATAATAATAAAATATTACATAATATCTTTTTCTGGATTTTAGAATTAATTTTGTAAATCATTTAAATAATTATGAATTTTAGGAATAACTCTTCTACTTGATTCTAATACTCTAATTTAATTGTTTAAATCAACAAGCATACAATCTCTTTTTTCAAGTACAAGATTATACATTTTACTTAATATAGCACTAAAAGTAATTGAACCTATTTTATCTTCAACTGGAAACCATGTTTCAATAATTCCTTCTTCTGCATCATTATTTAATTTATGTTTTTCCATATAAGCTTAGAATAATTTTGTCCAAGATTCTGCTCTTATATGTCCTAAAACAGCAATTTACAAAGGAGATTAATTTTCTTTTTTGTATTTAATCAGACTTTTTAATAAATCCAGAGTGTCATCATTTTCATAATCAATTAATAAAATTAATAGAATTTTATCTTTTTTTCTAGTGATTTCTTCATTTCCCAAACTTTTAGAGATAGACATTTCCTCATAAGGAGGTTTTCTTTTTTCAGCATAAGGTATTTTTCCATACTATTGATTTTGTATTTTTTCTACTGTGGGTATATGAGTAAAAAAGTCTTTAATCATTTTATTAATTCTAGAAGTAACAGGATCATCAGAATTATCACATTCACTTAAAACTTTATCTCTTGCATGAATCCATTATTTGACTTAGGAAATGTATTGAGTAGATTTATAATAAGGAATAAGAGTAGATTGTTCCCAAGTAGATATTTAAATTAGATTTTTTTCATAATTAATTTAAATTTTAATTTGTTTTTCTAATGCTGCTTCAATATTAAGATTATTTTCTGATATTTTTTACATTAATACTTTCTTTAACAATTAACCATTCCATAGAGTAGATTAATATCCAAGAGGTTTAATGAAAGATTCAGTAAGTTATTATGATTTAGGTGAACAATTCACTTCTATAATTGGTTTTTCATATACAATTTTTTTGAAATTCCTACCAAAAAAGGTTTTTTTAGTAACACATACATTAATATTTCTTGTGAAAGGTTATTGAGTTTGTTAATCTAATACAAATTTCTTAATTTAACAATACTATTCTTTAGTAATACTATTAACAAGATTAGTTTGTTGTTTTCCAGAGTATTCTTTTACACCTTGATTAATTAAGGTTGTTACTTCCTGAGATACTTCTTCTGAATCTGAAAATATATCCCATTCATGATTATATCTTTTCCATATTAATTTTTTACCATAAAACAATAAACCACTAACCAAATAACCTTCCTCTACTTCATTTGTATTTTCTTAGAAGTAGATATCTAATATATGATTATCAAGATTTTCATATCCTTCTGTACATATATAAATATGTTGAAATTATTCCCATCTGTGATTTGATCTTACCAATTCTTCATAAACAGATTTCTATTCTATATTACCTCTTGTCAACCCTATTAATTGCAGATCAAACTATTTTAATGAATCAATCAAATCTATTGCATGTTCAAAATTAACCATTTGTTCTCCTTGACTCCATGATTTTATTAGAGTGTATTTACCATCTTGTAAATTCAAAATCTGATCTTATTCATTGAATAACATTTGAAATTTTATTTAAGGTAAAGTATCACCTAATTCAAGACCACATTAGAAGACCATTTTCTTGTCAATTATACATTTATCTTATTCGTTAGATTAATTCTTTAGTTACTTGAGTTCCTCATTTACTGTTCGTAACTTAGCTATATTAATTGGTTTGACAGTTCCTTGAGTAATGATTGTTTTAGTGTTATCCTATCGACCCAATCTGACAGCATCATCATATACAAATGAATATTAAGTAGTTTTGATGATTTAGTAACTATCAAATTCATTCATTAATTGCATAATCTTTCTGATGTTATCACTTTTTGATTCTCTTGGTATTGATGGAACAATATCTATAATTTCAGGAGTTTTCTACTATTTACATTATTAACAAGTTCCCATAATATATATATATTTTTAATTTACAATAACAATTAACTTTTATATAATAATTTATTATCTTTTAATCACATATATATATTGATTATATGTTAGATTTCTATAATATTGCTTAACCAAATAATACCATACAGTTCCATCTTTATAAATAATAATAATAAAATTATTATATGTTTTATAATTAATATGTCAGAAAGTGAAATTTCATTTGATTTTAATGAGGATGAACCTGTTGAAGAAGTCAAATCATCTCAAATGTTAACAAAACCAGAGAGATAAATGATTCCATTCTCAAAAAGTGATAAAAAAGATAAAAAAGAAAAATTGAAACAATTACAATTTACAATGCAAGGTTAACTTTCAAGCAAATAATAAATGACTAAAGATTTATTATTTCTCTTAAAATTCGAATAACATATGTTAAGTTCAATTAATAGTTTGCATTAAAGAATAATGAGATCTTTAGAAAATGAAGCTCCATGAAATTGAACTACAAATATATATATATATATGTTTATTCAATTTATTTTTTAAATCTTATTGTCTTCTACTTCTTCTTATGGTAATTATTATTATTATTATTATTATTATTATTATTATTATTATTATTATTATTATTTCTATTATTTTTATTGTTTCTCTACTTCCATCTCATCTATTTCAATAGTTACTGGACCATCATTCACTATATTAACTGCCATATATTATTAAAATGCTCCCTTCTTTATTTTCTCTGGTTTATAAGCCTTTCCACATTCATTAACAAAATATTCATATAATTCCTTTGTTTTTAAATATATTTATACTCTTGCTTTTTCAGCATCCATTGCATAATGAAAATCTGGTTTATTACCTTTCATATATGCGTATAATGTAAATTAAGAGACTATTAGAATTTCATAATTAAAATCAACACATGATCCATTCCATGCTTTATTTTCTTTCTCCCACAATCTTATTTTAGATAATTTATGAGCCAATTTCTTAGCCACCTCTTTTGTATCTCTTTCATGTATCTTAAGACATATAATTATATCAATACTCCTAGAAGGACTACTAAGCCTTTCCCAATTTGAGATACTAATTGATCTCCAACAGATACCGAACCACTAAGACATCGCTGAATTATTAATCTCATTTCTTAATTTATTAAATGGAAGAATAAGTAAAAAAACTTTAAATTATTGTTGATCATCTTTAAAAAAGAAGTAAATAACCAAATTCTAAAATCTTAATGGATTGTTATGAAGTATTTTCAGAATGTATTTTAATTGTTCAAAGAGAAATCAATTTAGAAATTGGAAGTATAATGGACAAGCTTTTTATGATAATAAGAGAAATGTTTGAGAATTCTCAATTAAAAATTCAACCTCCTATAGAACCATAATAAATTATAGTGGCAACAAAAATTCCTGAATTTGTGAATGCCTTATAATTGGGAAGTGTGTCAGTTTTAGACTAATTAGGCAATGTTGAATAAGTTAAGAATATCCATTAAATACCTTGGTGTGATCATAAATGTAAGGAATAAAAGCCTCGTAATTTCAAAGGATTTTAAGATGTTGGTACAAGTACTTTAATAGATTATTATGAAAATTGTTAAAAATCATCTAGTTAAATTTTGAAGAATGAAGAGGAGATTAGAGAATGGATAGAATTTACTAATGATACTATAGCTATGTTAGGTGAAGCTATAGCTAACAAGAAATAATTAGATATAGAATATTAAGGTAAACCAGGTGATGTGGATTTATTAATTTCAGATATACAATTTAGAAGATTAAATTTGGAATAAGTATTAAAGTCAGTGAATCCTGAAAATTTTGGAGTATAAAATTTTGATCACACTGTTTAATTTCTATAATAACATATACTCTAGATTTAATAATAGACTGCTATAGCAGTAATGTAAAAAATGAAGCATAGATAAGAAGAAAAGGATAAACAATAATAGATAATTAATGATATGAAAGGGAAAATAAAGAAAAAGGTAATGCATAAAGAAGATTGTCGTTGTGCTTAATATGTTAATGATATATTGTCACTTAAAAATAAATTAGAATAAATTTAAACAGATCTTGCAAAAAAAGAACATTATATATTGGAATTAGAAATAAAGAATGATTAAAAAGATATATAATATAGAATGTTGTAACAATAATTTTATTAAATGGAAAGTGAAAGAACAGAAATGAAATAAAAATTAGATAATTATACAAGATTTGCTAAAAAGAATAGTGATAGAGGATATGTTTCATAGAGTAGTAATGATGAAATTGTAGTTAATGGTATAACAGCTCATCCTAGAACAACAAGTAGAGATTAATCATAATAATAATCTTCAAAATAGTAAATTCTACTCACTCCTAAAGAAAATTATATTATTTAAAAGAAAACACAATAAATGGAAAGATTAGTCAAATTGGTTAATGCTCTAGATGTCAATAATTAAACAAGAAGATTAACACAAATGTAATTTATTTTAGAATAGAAGGTTACATCATAAATTAATGATCTTGCTGATTTAATTAAGGATATAGAAGAAAATGATTTATTATAAAACGATGTAATTGATAATAGTTATGTTACTAAAGAAATAGAACCTATTTCATCTAGATTTTTAGATAAACAATCTAAATAATATACAACAACATAAAGAAATTCATTATAGAATTCATTTGAAATTGAAATGAATATTGATAAACCAATTATCAGAGTTAGTATACCTGTTGAATAGATTCCTTATTAAAGATAGGTGCCTAGTAATAGAATAATGTCTTCAGTTGGAGGATCTTAGAAAAAGTAGGATTTATCAAATATAAATTATAATTAAAGATAAATGGATACATTAAAAATTAAGAATTCTTCATCAAATTAATTATCACCAAATTCATCAAATGTAAGAATGAAATCATCATAAAATATAAGTATAAATAGATAAAATTCAATAAAAAATTAATAGTAATAATAATAATAATAATAATAATAATAATAATAATAATAATAATAATAATAACAATAATAATAATAATCTTAAATTATATTAGATAAATCTAAAAAATAAAAAAATAAAAAAAATACAAAAGATTAATATTAATAAACTGATAATCTTATAAAAATTGAAATTTCTACTTAAACAGAAAAAATATTAAATAGATAAACAACTGAATAAATAGATAACATTAGAATAATGGGTTCATATAATAAAAATAATTCTTAATAATTAACAACTAGTAGTACATTTCACTTTAATTCTTTAGGCACTACTGGTAATATTATTACACCTATATAATCAAACAATAATTCTAATGTATAATCTCCAAGAAATTAAATCTCCCATCAACATCTAAATTCTACAATAACAGGATCATTTCCATTACCTTCCCCATCTTCAACATTATAAAAAAATAAACTACAAAGTGTTAAATCTGAATCTGAAAATTCTCAATTATTAGGTCGTTAATTATCATTACATACTATTGATAATTAATCATCCAAATAATCTCAATCTTTGAAATAAAGAATTTTAGATAGATAAGAGGAAAAACATTAGAAGAATAATCATCGTAAAATATATACAAGTACTGCTACTTAATTCTAGAGTATGTCACCTAGAGAAAATAGTTCTATGAAATTAAAATCTAATGATGATATGAGATTATAACAATTTCAATAAAATCAAGAAGAAGAATAATTAATGTATGATTAAGTATTGCATGATCTTCCTGAATAACATGAACATGAAATTATATAAAAAGCTATTAATAGAACACCTGGTTATGAATTAGCATCTGAATTAAATGAGAACATTTTACTAACTATGTTTGACAATCTTTAAAATGTTCCTGAATTTATAGAATTGATTAAAAAATTAAATAAGAATAATCCAGTTACATTTAATGAATTTAAAAGATTTATCAATAGAATATAAGCATTTCATAAAAAATGTGGAAGAGAGTGTAATCATTTACAAAGGTAAAATATATAATTTAATATCTTTTTTAAGATTCTATTTAAGATTAGGATTTGTATCAACTAAGTACTTAAACAAACGTAAATAACTTATATTGTCTAAACCAAAAGTACTGCCTGGTTTTAAATGATTCTTTTATAAAATTATCAATATTCACTCTTACTTTTAAAGTGTCTCAATTTATATAAGTAAAATATATTTAATCATAAAAAATTAATATTCTTTAAAGATTTAATAGAGTAATTGAAATCATTTTTTTTTTAATGGAGGTAACTCTAATTTTTATTTAATAAATTATCTGGATTTTGCAGAATTCTCATTCAAAGCCTCTTCAATTGTTTTTGGTCTTACTGTTGCTTTTTGTTAAAAGCATTTTTTGAATGAAGCTATTGTATATCTTTAATCTTCAAGAGTATTCAAATTTTCAAAAGAAGTCTTTGGTTTGGATTTTGATTTTTACCTTGATTTCTAATCTTTAGGACTTGTAGATCTAAGATTTTTTATTTTTTGATTATTTGACAAAACCCTTTACTTTTATAATTGTGGGTTAGGTAAGGATTAATACTGTTATTATAATTTTTTCTTATCACTCAATTTTTATAATATCTCATCATCAGGATAAGGTTACTAAATTGGAGAATTCTTCATTATATATTATAAAAAGAAGAGTAACTTAAATTACTATTATAATAAATAATTATAATTACATTTCTAATTTATTGATCTTTGATAAACTAATAAATTTGTTCATTATAAGTTAATGGTATTTTGTCTTAAAAATTACGAGTAATCCATGGATGAATCAACGCCTATCCAACACTATATCTTTCTATTGGTTCAATTGTAGTCAACTTTTAAATGAGATCCTTTGCTAATGGATTCATACGATCTGAGAAATGCCATATCGGATTCATAATTTTCTTGATTACTTATTCTCTAGTTTCATTTTTATTATAAAATGGATGTTAACCAGAATTCAATAACATGTACATAATTACTCCACAACTCCAAGAATCAATTTATTTGCTATACTATCTATTAATTATAATTGAATACAAATTTCTCTTTAAATTACTCAGGAGCCATGTAAATAATAGTTCCACATTTTTTATTAAGTAAACTATAGAACATGCCTTCAGATGCAAACTTAAAACTTAAACCAAAATCAGCAATTTTAACAGTTCTTATGTCTGTTTTAGCAAACATAATATTCTCTGGTTTCAAATCTCTGTGAATGATTCTTTTCTCATGTAAATAATGAACTGCCAAGAGAATTCCTTTCATTATAATGGCAAACTCTTCGTCAGTATGTTCTTATTTCATACGTTAAGCTAAGGTTCCTCCTTTCATTAGTTCCATAATTAAAAAAAATTAATTCTTATTTTCTGTTATCTTCATAAGAATGCTAAAGTACTCTTTTGCATTAGACGATATGAGGATGATTTAACTACTAATAAATATCTGACTCGACTTAAGCATCTTTAAAAAGTGTTTTAGATACAACCTTAATAATCACAACAGTATTAACCTTGACAGCACACTCTGTATTATCTGTTAAGTCTATTGCCTTATATACTTTCCCGAAGCTTCCTTCCCCAATCTTTCCTACCTCCTTTATTTTATACATTTCTTCTAGGAAATCAACATCCTCTCCTTAGAACATTAATTTTATAATTAAAATATTATTATAATTATTTTCACTCTTAATAATGTGAAAATATAATTAATAATATTAGTTTATATTTATTAAGATAATAACTTTTTCATTAGATCAACTAAAATTTTAATTCTATTTCATGATCTTTACTAAGATTATAAATAGGTTATGAAGTATCAACTGTTTTTTCCTCATATATCAAATTATACTTATTAATATCAGCACCTTAATCTTTTATCATTTAATCAAAAACTGTTTATTTTATATCTTTTACTTAATAACTTGAATCAACATCATAAGTTAGTTTCCTATCTCCAATAGTAACTATCACTCTAACTTTACTATTTATTTAAGAAAAATTCTCAGATGGTTCATGTAGCATTTGTGGTTCATCAAATGTAATTTTTTCTTAAGAATTCAATTATATATTTTTTATTTTTGTAGACCAATCTAAAATTTTACTCCCTTAATAAATGTTTTGGATATTGACACCTAATCTATCTACTATTATTTTTAAAGTATCCTCAGGTTATACTTCTACTCTAAACTATTGTCCATTTCGATGATTTTCAAAAACCATCATCTATCTATATTCTATTGTAGAATTATCTTCTATAGGTAGATCTTTAATCTATTTCTTCACAGATAATAATTTTTATTGATAATAGAAGTTTGATTCAGGTATATTGTTTTTAAGAATAACCTACTCTAATGTATCTTCTAATTATGCTTCAATCATTTTTTATTCTTTTGAAATTGAATTTTCAAAAACTAAATTCAAGAAATATATAAATTCAACTGTCAATTATTTTTGAGTTTCATTAATTAAAGTTTAAATTGATGACATAGTCTCTTTTTGATCAATCAATTTATCACCTACAAATACCTTAATTACTTAATTTTTTGCCAATTTAAATCTGTTTTTAATAGATTCATGAAGAGCCAAACAATTTTTTTCCTAACTTATTTGAAATGTATATTAAGTACCAAGGTTTGTAAATTTTATTGAAAAAACTAATTATTTTATTAAATTTTTGTTAGATTCTGTTTAACCTAGAATTTTTTTGAATTCAAAAATAAAAGTTTTATTTTTATTTAAGAATTGTTTTAATGATTCATTTTTACTTTCAGAATTAATTAATTAAAGAGAGAATGATTTATCTATATTATGTTACTTTCTAAATTACTCTTCTATCTAAAAAATAGGAAGATTTTAATCTACTACTAATGTATAAGCTAATTATTCTACAATAGCCTAAAATACAATCAATTCTGTAGAGTAAATTAATTTTTAATTTTAACCAATCTTTAAATTATCAAATCTAGTATTTTTATCAATTTTTTCATCATTTAAATATACATCATAACAATTTAAATCTTTAATAGTTTCATTCTTAAGAATTTCGTTTAAAGCCTCAAAAACTATAGAAGAAGATTGAATAGTAATTTGATATTATTTATTTGTGTATTTATTCACAAAATTAATTGTGAGTTATGCATCAATTTTTTACTAAATTATACTAAAATCTTCACTTGGTTAATGTATTTCTTAAATCTATTTAAAATCTTTAGAAGAATTTTGAATATCTTTTTACTTTTCTACTATTTGATATTCTATAATACACTCAGATCTCAAATCTAACTGTTTTAAATTAAGTGCTTTAACTATGACTTAATTGTCAATATAATAATTTATTTCATGTGTATTATCATTATGAATTATAAATTTATCTAAATCAGCTGACGTTGAGCTTAAACTAACTCTCTCAATCTACTTATTAAAGTTTTATAAATTAAATAATAGAATATTAATCTTGTTATCAGATGGTTCTCTAATTAGATTTAAATAACTATTTGATGGTATACATTCTTATTTTATTGTATTATTCATATCTAGAATGTAATTTTTAAGTTTGTACTCTAATTATAATGGTATAGTATTTTCTATTTTAAATGTTGATCTCACAAGTCGTATTAAATCAAATACATCTTTCTTTTTTTCTATTGTAATTTTCTTGATTCCTTGTTATTCAAAATTAATTCTAAAAATATAGTCATTTGAAATTTCTGCATTCCAAGGTTGTTCAGGTGGGAGATTTAAATTTTTGTATACTTCATCTGGATTTATACATTCTGCATTAATCTTAAAAGTAATTAAATCATCAATATTAATTGTATCCATATATTTATGTAGAATCTAAGCAATAGGTTAGAAAATATCTATTTTTATTTCCTAAACATCTTAGTTATATTTGATTTTCTATTACTTTGTGATTTAAAGGCCCACTTTAATATTATTAAATATCCCATATTTACCCCAAGCTTCATCTCCAAATTAAGTTCCATTTTATTTATTTATTATAATAATCTAACATGAATTGATCTTTATGAAATCTTTTATCAAATGATTTCGAAATTAATTGACTGAAGCAAATACATCAGTATTATATCTGATTGATCCTAAATATTAATGATCACACTCAATTATTATATTTTTAGATAAAATTACTTCAACTTTTGTATAATTATTAATCTCAAGTGCATTTATAGTTTAATTAATATCCACTTCGACATTCTAGACTTTCAAAGAACCTTTAATACTTTTCCTTATCTCTTATCCAAAATCTAATTTATTGAAAATTAATTATATAATATTAGCACCCTTTTAATTAGGTTACAATTCAATTTATTAGGACATATTTAGTTGCTTTAGTTCCACATTTATCTTAATCATAATTAAAATAAAATAATTATTATATATCAATAAATACTTTTATAATGTTAAATATATAAGCTATTGTAATTAATTATCAAACTTTCAAAGTTAACTAAAATTAATTCAAATTACAAAGTGATTGATTAAAGTATATTTAATATGTATATACATATCAATTCATCAATTTTACTATTTCTGTTAATGATAATCAATTAAATCATTAAATCTTTTATTTTAATCATTTAATCAATATATTTATATTCAAGTATCTTCAATTAACAAGAATAGAAATTAATGGAAATAAAGAGTGAATCTTTTAATAAAGATTAAACATCTAGAATAATTAGATAAACCAATTTAGAAATATAAATGAAAGTCAATTATTCTACATTCATCCCTTTAAGTTTAAAAATATATTCTCTATTGCTGTTTTGACTTTATCAGATCCTAATACTTTTAATTCCACTAAATGCTTTTAGAAGTCCGTCTTATAATATTACTTCACTTTTTATAAAAAAATCTATTAATTTGTGCTTCTAAATTATTCTATTAAATTCATCATCTAATAAAAATCATTATATTAAATATCTATATTAGACTTAAATAGAAATTTAAGTATTTCATTTTTTTTTATTTTGAATTCAAAAGACTCATCTGATTGACATCTATAAGTAGAAAGAATTTAATTCATACTAGGGAAATATAATTTACCTAGAGTATTTATTTTAATGAATTATTCTGCCTTTTCCAAATAAAGTCTGAGTTATTCTGATAACTTCCATAATTCTTTAAATGTACTCAATTCTAATTTTTATAGTTATAAAAAGTAAATTAAAGATTATCTAATTTTCTAACTTGTAGCAAATAAATTAGGATCAAATTAAGTACCCAAATTTTCAACTTCAACAGAAATTATATCTGAAAACTCTCTATAATTAAAATAAATTATTATATATACTAATTAGAATCCATCTTTTTTTAATCTATATAACCAGCAAAAGATAAGATATTTAAAAATGAATAAATAAATTTCGAAACTTTTATCTAAGTTGCTAATCTATTTATTGGTTTTAATTATAATTATTATAATTATTATAATTATTATTATTATAATAATTATTATTATTATTATTATTATTATTATTATTATTATTATTATTATTGTATTTGAAAAAATTATTGATTTTCTATAGGAGCTAAAGATTGTATATGTCTATTAAGTTTTTCTTAATCTTGAGGCAAAAATATCTTAAATTCTAAAAATTCTAAATTTATATCCTCCTCCTTTTTTTAATGAAAATCGATAATTCTCTCAATAAATAATTTCAATTTTACTGATTAAAGAGTTTCTACAACTTAAGTTAAATCATATATCATCTTTTAATCAAGATCTTTTTACAAAAGCTTAGTTAAATATTTTTATTAACTTATTAAAAACTATTCTGAACAATCATCCTTATAAATCCATGATATATGTCTTAAAATATTACAACTTATTTAACTTAAATACAAATACTAATCTATGTACTTATCATTGGAAACATCTAAAATTAATAAAATAATTTAAAATTATTTTTGATTCAATTACAATTTACCATCTAATTAATATTAATCATTGATAGCTTTTATAATAATGTTAAAGTAATCTGACAATTCATTAAAAACAAATATAATTAAATTTAAATAATGAATAACATTTTATTTTTCTTCATTAATTAATGATTTAATATATTTATTCAACATATCAAGGATCTTTTCATTATTTTGAGTTTAATTAATTAAAATATAATTTAATAATAATTTTAAATTAGGATCTTATTCTTAAATAAAAAGAAAATACAAATATTCCGATAATCTTTGAGAATAATCCCTCATAGATTATTATAACTCTTATCCTTTTGGATCTTTTATTAATAAATTATGAAAATCTAATTATGATTTTAAATGGTATTTATTCAAAAATTCTAAAAGATTGAATGTTATTTAATTATTAAATTTTGGAATTTCATTATTTATAGATTCAATAAACATTTAATTTTCTTTTGATACCATTTACTTTAAAATAATATAAATTTTTTAATATTCTTATATTGCTTCTTCAAATTCACCCTATTTGTCAGTATTTCCATACTTTTATTAAAATTAATTTATAAATCGTTATTATTATTGAAGTTCTTGAAATATCAAAATTTGATTCCATCCTTAAAATTATGGTATTCTTGTTTCAACTCTCTCTATAGCCATCACCTATGCATATGTCTTTGCTATTCTTTCAAGCTTATTAAAAAGTAGAATTTTAATAGATTGTCTAAATTATTATTTTTCATTCTACTGCTTCTCATCTCTATATGTTTATTAAATTATGAATTACTTACAAATATATTGCAATAATTTGATTCATAATTAAGTTAATTAATAAAATAATAGAAAATGAGAAATATTATATATTTTTAATATTTTCAATAAAATTTAATACATCATAATATAAATGAAGATGATGAGAACATAATATTTTATTTTAATACAATTTGTAAGTAAAATTATTATATTATTATATAAAAATGAATTCTGATTGATTATGTTTAACAATTTAAATAAATTTAAAATAAATCTAATAAAACATTTATTACCCTTTAGGATGAAAAAACTGAATAATTTATAATAAAAGTAAAATATATTATATAACTCGATGTAAACAAAAAATATAGTCACTATACTGATTTACTTGAACGTGTTCAACATTCGGAATCAAGTTCATCACTGATATCACTAGATCTGAATCCATTTTGACTTTCAATAACTTGATCTTCTGGAAGAGAATTCATGTGTCTATACTCACTAAATGATACTTAAAATCAAATTACCTTCCCATAACTTCATCCCATCTATAACGAAGGTATTTGTAGTAACGATTCTTGACCATGCTAACGCTCTTCCCTGGAAATGATTTTGATATTTTATAAAACTTCGGTCCTATCTTAAGAACAAGTTCCAAAATTCTCTTATCTTCAATATTAGAGAAAGGATGGGCATTGGATTTGGGTTTTTCCATGACAAGACAAACTTTCAATCCATTTTCTTTTATATGGATAATAGGTTTTGGAGCAGGACGCTTCTTTTTCTTATGATAAGTATATTGAATTCTTTTTGGAGGACGTCTTCTTTGAATTGGTAATTTTATTTTTTGAATTTCTTATTGTTATGGAGTCGATAAATTCGAATCTAAAGAAAGTTTTATATTATTATCTACCTTAATCTACACAAGAGCTTGAACCTTGATCAGACAAAATTAGAGTATTTGGAGAACTTAAAAACCCAAATAATTCAAGTTCTTCCTCGAACTATTCTAGTTTTTAATCTTCATAAGTATCCACAAAGTTTATCATATTATTATTTTTTTATGATTATTAATGATTTTTTATTTTAATTTTAATTGCAATTTATAGAGTTGAATATCAGTATTAATGACGAAAGGTAATTATTATTGAAAAATCATTTAACTTACTTACATCAATTTATATTAGAATAGTATCTGAATTTATATATTATTTTGGATATTTAAATAGTTTTTACAAAATTTATTTTAAATCTTTTTATTTACTTTGATTTATCATCATAAACGATGATTAAATAATTTTCATTCAATTTTTAATCAATTTAATCTAATCAATAAACTTCAATTAATTTTCCATAGAATAGTCTGAATACTCTGCCATTTCTAAAAATTAAATGATAATTAAGTATTAATAACAATTCGATAATTTAATTAATGAAATCCAATTATCTCATCATTGAATATGCAAATTTCATGTATTAACCAAAAATTCGAAAAAACTGTATATTTTATTATATATATACTTAAGTTTATTCGGAATTTTATTTATTTTGGTTCAATTTGCATAGTAGTTAATTTTTTATTTATTATTAGAGAATTATTTATTAACACTTATAACCTCTATCTATTATCAAATAAAACTACTTAAACATTTAATTTTGTTCATAATAGCTATAAAACTTAATTTTTTAAATAAAAATTATTTTATTCTATTTTTAACAGCTTTCAATAATTTAAATTATATATTTTAGGTCCATTAGAATGTATCTTGAAATATATTAAGTTTATAAATTAAATCTATTTAAAAAGTAAAATTATAATATAAGAGAACTTAGTTAAATTGATTATACAAAATCAAGTTTAAATAATGTACTTGATCAATGAATTTTGTTGATAGATTATGATAAATGAGTGTTATTTCTTATATAAATATGATAATTTAAATAACTAATAATCCTATCACGACGTAAAATAAACAAATCTAATCTAATTAAATAATAAATTTATGAGAATTTGCATCATCATATTCTGTACTTTAGTATTTTTGAATAATGCACAATTTGTTGAGACATTCAGATATTATGATGGAAGTATTTGAGTATCATCAATTTTAAATAGACAAGTTAACTGTGAATTTTGAAAACATAAATCCAGGAGATTATTATAAGAATCAGACAAGTCCAATTTACCCTAATTTCACAGTAGAAGTGATTGAGGATGGAAAGAATCAACTTACACTTCGTATTCTAAACCCTTTAGATACATTTGAAATACCTCATGAGTTCCCATTTCCATATACTAAATCTGACAGTGCACATGGTGAATATGATTATTCAGTGAATGAAGATGGAACATTTTTCTCTGTTTCTAGATATGATGGAGTATTTCTCATAATAAATATTAGTCCCCTGTATTCACTATCACAAATGCTACTGTTCTCTCTTTGTTGTACTCTGAATTACATACAGAATTATTATCAGAAGATATTTTCGGATTTGGAGAAAGACGTCTAAATTCATTTAGAATACCTAAGGGAGAATTCTCAATTTGGAATCATGACTTTTGGGAATTTGATACTCAAGTAGGATTTTCACTTTATGGTACTCATCCAGTTGTCTTACAAAGATATAATTAATAATATCATATAGTTTTGCTAAGATCAAGCAGACCTATGACTATGGAAAGAACAGATGATGAACTAATCTACAGAATTACAGGTGGACAACTTGAATTCAAAATATTTATAGGTAAGAAGAATCCAAAAGAATTGATCAAATAATATCATTAATATTTAAATGGTTGGGAATTGCATCCATTCTGGTCATCTGGATGGCATCAAAGTAGATGGGGATATTAAAATACTTCTGTAATTTAGGATGTGATTTAAAATTATAAAGAATCAAATATTCCTTTAGAAGTTATATGGACTGATTTAGATTATATGTAAGATAGAAAAGATTTTACTTTAAATGAAGAAGCTTATCCAAGAGAAGATATATGGAATATAACTGATAGAACTTAACCAGATGGAGTACATTGGGTTCCTATTGTAGATCCTGGAATTGCAGTAGATAGTGATTGTGGAAGAGATTTAGTAGAATCAGGAGCTTATATTAAAAGTAATAGATAATCTTAAACACCATATCTTGGTATGGTTTGGCCTGGAGATGTCTATTTTACTGATTTTAATCATCCAAATGCATATGAGTTATGGTATAAATGTCATAAAGATTGGTTCACAAACTATTAAATTGCACCAAGTGGTATTTGGATTGATATGAATGAATTGGCAAATTTTAGAGATGGTGAGAAAATTAAAGGTCCAAAATTGAATGATGATATATTTGAATTAAAAGATTTACCTTGGGATGCCATGGGAACAATGACATTAGAGGGTCATACAATTGCTATTGATGCATTACACGAAGGATAAGGTGTCTATTTTAATGTTTCATCAAAATATATTCCAGAATTAGATCTCCATAATTTCAATGGTTTTCTTGAACAAATTGAATAGAGAAAATTATTATAAGAAATTTAAAATAAAACTTTAATCTTTTAATTGAGTAGATCATCAATTTTTGGAAGTGGTAGATTTTCAGCTATTTGGTTTGGAGATAATGCATCTACTTGGGCATGGTTACGTTCATCAATTTATTAAATGTTTAATTTCAATCTTTTTGGAATTCCATTTGTTGGTGATGACATTTGTGGATTCAATTAGGATACTACTCCTTAACTTTGTGCAAGATGGATTTAATTAGGTGCATTCTATCCATTTGCTAGAGATCATAATGCTTTAGGATCAAAAGACTAAGAACCATATCTTTATGAAATTACTAAGATATCTGCTCAAAATAGTATTTAACTTAGATATGAGTTTTTAAAATATTACTACTATTTATTCATATCATAAAGAGATTCAACTCTTTAAGCAGGATCAGGTACTATTGTAGATCCTTTATGGTTTAAATATTAAAGTGATCCTCAAACTTTTAATATTGAAACTCAATTTCAAATTGGAAATATCATAGTGAATCCAGTTGTTGATGAATAAACCGATTCATCTCTTGATTATACTGAATTATAATTCTATGTTCCTCTAAGTGCTAATTGGGTATCTTTAGAAAATGGTTAAAGAATTCCAAATGGTTGGAATACAATCAATAGAACTTTCACTGATAATGCATTTTTAGCACTTGAAGCAGGATCTGTAATTTAACATAGTAATGCAACAGGAGTAATGAGATTAAGAGAAATGTCATCAGATATTGATTTGATTGTTGTTTTGAATGAAGTATAATAATAATTTTATCAATATTTAGTTTGGTTAAGCCAGTGGATCATATATGTCTATAAGAGATTATGATAATGAGGAGACTATATTATAGAGATGTTGGAATGATCAATATACTTGTATAAGAGAAATATCTGTCAAAACATATAAAGATTCTTTATTATTTACTAACACTAAGGCTAAAAATGATAATAGTGAAGAGATTAATATAAAGAATATTATCATTTATAGAAATCAATAGATATTGAGAGTGGAAATTAATGTTTCTTCATTTACATAAAGTTGGTAAATCAATTTATGAATATCATTTAAAAGAATAAATGAATAAAAATTAATATTTCAATATTTTCCTTATTCAAATTAAAATAGATCTGCCATCTCTTCATCTTCATCTGAACAACTTAATTTTCTTTCTTATTCAAAATTTTATTCTTTTTTCTTTTTCATTTAATTGGTTTAAGCTTTTAGTGGTGGTGGGGGTGGTGGTGGTTATATTTGATTCTTTTAAAATGCCACTTATCGAGGTCCAGGTGGTACTGAATTTTATTATGGAACTTGATTTATGGGTGGTTATTATTTTTTTTCATCTCCTTTTATAAATTATGCTACTTTATCTAGAAAACTAGGTTATTATTGTTATTATTATTATTATGGTAAAGGTTATGATAATTTTTCTTTTCTTATTTCCTATTTTTATACAGCTGTTTATAATTTTAAATTATGTGTTTAGAAATTAATATTTTTCTATTAATTAACTACATTATTATTTATAACAGCATTTTTTTAAACATATCCATCCCATTAATCATTATATGATTATGCCTCTGAATAATTTCCTTTCTTTGCTATCTAAGCAGTCTTTTATGCCATTCTTTTATGAATAACTTCTACTTCAGCTTCTTCTTCAGCTTCCTTAACATTTTCTGTTGCCAAAACCAATTAAGTGACTACTCTCATAAGTCTATCTCCATGTAAATTTGTATAATTAACTTTAATTTAAAATGGAACAGTCTTTAAATCCTTTATGTCAATCTATTCTTTTTGTAATTCCTAATCATTTTTTAATTAATATTCAAATGTTTATGTAGTAGCAATAGTTGCATTACCAATGTCTCTTTTAAGTTTATTACTCAAATTTGGATCATCTTCTCCTCTAAATTTTAAAGCACGATGTAAATTCACAAATAATTAAACTTAAGTTCCTACTAATTCATCCTTTAATATATTTGCAAAATCTTTTTCAATATCTTCAGGTTTGACTCTAGTTACAGTTCCATTAGTTTTTTCTGACAAAGCTCCTAGAATATCAACTTTACATCCTTCTCCTTTAATAGTAACAACTGAAATCACTACTCCACATTATGAAGCAAATGATCCCAAATCCTCATAAAATTATTTATTTGCATCATTATCTAAAGATCCCAATCCCAAATTGGCTAATCCATCTGTACATATGATAATCATAGATCCAGGTTTTCCAATTTTAGCTAATTGCAAAGCTGAAATCAATGCAGGACCTAAAGCAGTTTATCCTTTTTCTTAAAGTTTCTCAAATTTTTTCAAGAGAGTATCAGCTTGAACTTTAACTGGATATTTCATTAATTATTTAGCAGTTCCATTTAATAGATTTTCAATTTCATCTTATTTAAAGAGTCTATCTCCAGCAATTGTAATAGGGACTTCAGAACCATCACCATAAACAACTACTTCATTATTAAATGTAACTAATCCAACTATTTTATTTGGATTCTTTTTTTTAAGTTCTCCTATTTATTATTCAATAGCTGCCATAACACATTATTTTCTTGAAACATGAGTGACATGTTTAGTATTAAATTGTGGCCATATTTAATGTTCATCTCCAGGTTCAATGAATTATTTAAGCATTTCATATTCTTCAGGAGATATTCCATGTTTAAAATTAATCTTTCCTTTAATTTCAACAGTACTAGACATAGAACCACTATTGTCAATACAAAATACAATTGAGTTTTCACCATCCTCTATTTACATTTATTATTCTTAAGCTGATTAAATTAAATAAATGGTATCTTCATTAACAGGTATTTCTTCCTTTTCTATTTATATGTAATTCTTATGATCACAGAATTCACATATCCAAAGTTGTTTTCCAAATTATTGATTTTAAACATCATCTTATATTTTTGAATGTTTATTTAGAACAGTTTCACATTGTTAACACATTACAGGATCACCTTAATGTATTTTGACTATGTTGTCTTTCAAACAATCGAACTTAACTTAGAATATATTTGTATCGACATCATCTAAAAAATAATATTAAAAATTTACATTTGTTATCATTTGACCTTCTTTTAAGATAGGCCTTCTTTGAACACATTGCCATCATGGTTTTTTAAATGATTATTATTTATAAATCTAATTTGTATGAATAGATTATATACTACAAAAACCTGATTAATACTATTATTAATTATAGAAATAAATAATTATGTAAAAGTAGAAGACTCAAACTTATAAGGATTCTCATACTTTAGAAGAGAGAAAGAAAAGAGTATAGGAATAATTAGCAAAATATCCTGAAATGATTCCCATTATTGTAGAAAAGATTCCAGGTTGTAAATTACCTTAATTGTAAAAAGTGAAGTAACTTTATTTAAATGATTGAATGTAGATTTTTGGTCAATTCTAGTTTCTCATTTAATGAATTCAAAAATACAATCAAAAAGAAATTGAACTTAGATGAGAAGACTTCAACTCTATTTATGTATTGCGGAAAAAGCTTAATGAATGAACGTACATCTTAATAATCAATAAATAGATGATAAACTCAGAAACATTTACGATTAGTACAAAGATCCAGATGATGGATTCCTTTACTTGCAATATGCAGATGCAGAAACCTTCGGTTTTTGATTTAATAATAATAATCTATATAATAATTTATTCAAGCACCCTCTTTTTCATCTATCCTTCTTAAAACATCAACTTTGGGTACTTCAAAAGTCAGATGAATAGTATGTTTATCTAGTGATATTAATATTTATATTACCTTCCTCATTATATTTACCAATCATTTTCTTTAAATTTTATTATCTCCAATTGTTATAATTCTTTACTTATTCTTCAAATTCTCGAATAGATAATTTTAAATATTGTTATTGCATTTCATTAATTTCAACTTCATGTTTATCTATCTCATTATTAATTATTCTTACAACTCAACTTTTTATACATTACTGGTCTAGGAATAATCACTGGTTTCAATTGATTTTATTTTTATTATGATTCATCTTATTCAGATATCATTCTCTCTAATTTCAATTATTCCATCATTTTAGGTTCATCTTATTGTTATCTTTTCAAATCCTATTCTTTTCTCAATTTTTTATGCACCATTTTTTAATAATAAGTTTAATGATCTTATTAATATTCTCTCTAATTTTCATTAGCTTTTGCTTATTCCAATTTACTAAGGAATCTTAAATATTTGATATAAATGTAATCAGACTAAATAATTATTTTGTACATCTTACAATTAATTGTTATTAAGGTTAACGATTCTCAAAATAACTCTAATTCTTCTTTGGTCTATTAATCAAGGTATATTATTGTATGATTTATCTAACTATTATCAAACATTGTTTACTCTTCATCCAATCCTCCTATTTTTAAATTCTTATGTTAATGAGACACTCGATAAATTAAAAAGTAATGAAATACTAATCTAACAGTTCTACTCCAATGTAAAAATAATTTAAAAACTGCCTTTTCAAATAAAAATTCACATATATCTTTTTTAAAATCAACTATTAAATTATTAATATTATTACTTGGAAATAAAGGATATATATTATATATTAGCCAAACACATTTGGCTATATTTATTGCATGTTCTGAATCCATTATAATTTGTTTGATACCTTTCAAGAAAAATGGATAATCAAATTAAGCAGGCATAGTTGTTAATGTACTAAAACAGACATCCAATATTTCAAATGTTTCTATGACTTATTCTGAGTTATATAAACTTATTAATTACATAAATTACTTTGTTTTATTGAATAACAAACTCACTACAATTCCTAATAAATTCTAATTTTAAAGCAAACTCTTTAAAGCCATCTTCATAGCATCTGGAACTGATTCTTATTATTTTAATTCACACATAAATGATTTAACCAAAATTCTATAACCAGGAATATCTTACCAAGGTAATATTTTTACTTATAATATATTTCTAACATATTTAGCCCATTCTTCTACAAAAAAACTAAAATTTATAGATCTGTGTCTTATATGCTCTTTCCAACTTTCATCATCTAATATTTAATTCAAAGCTGATTAATTTTATATTCCTTTGCTTTTATCAGATAAATAAGTATGAAAATAATTCTACCAATCAAAAATTTATATATTTGTTTTTGTACTTTTATCAATATTTGTTGGATCATCTTCTTATATAAATTCAGTTCCTCTTAATTCTAATAACTAAGGATCATCTACTTTTGTAATTAATTCAAGAAATTTTGCTCTAAATTCTGGTATTCGAAAATAACTAATTACTAAAAATTTTATGTATAATTATCTTGCTTATTGACTAGGATCTTTTTGATTTAATTTTTATAAAGTAAATCTAAGTGTATTTACTAAAAAAGATTAATAATCTAAACCAACTTCTGTTTTAAATTCTGATTATTTCTTACTTAAAGCTTTAAAAAACCCTAATTATTATAACATCAATTCTCCTCTACTTAATACTTGATTTAAACATTCAAAATAAGAATTAAATGATGCCAAAGTTTTTGAATAATCTACCAAATGAATTGACAATTAAATTAATAAATGTTATGCTTTCATTAAATCATCCTCAGATTTGTATTAAAATGTTTTAATATTGGATCCATGTGATTATCCAAGTAATTATGCCAATTTATTCAATTATTAATCCATATCTTAACGAATCTTTAATTTATCATCTGTATTTAATGTTTTATGTTCAATTTTAAAAATACAACTTGATAATTTCTAAAATTCAATTTAAATCATTTTTATTTCTGTAACACTAATATTTTCAACATTCTCTACTACTGATAATGTTGACACTATCCCCTTTTCTGTTTAAACTCCAAATGATGATTATTATAAATAATTTGGTAATTTTACATTTATTTCATAATCTATTTTACCTACTTCTACACCATGATACCATATTGATTTTGCTTATTAACTATTTATAACAAAAAATTTAGCTCCCAAATCAGCTACTATATTATTTTCTAAATGTTATAAATTAATATATGTTTCTGCAACAAGATGATGATCTTATATTTCTAAATCCATATATTCAGAGTCATGTTTATTTTAAGTCTTTTTTATAGTAGTTTTATGAGGAGACTTACTATTACCTAGACTATTTTTATTTGATGAAATTGACCATAAACATAATTAAATAGCAGAACCTTAAAATTCCGAAATTGGTAATTCTACTATCAAAGTTAGTTCATCATCAGCATGATCCCATTCTATTCTATGATAAGGTTATGAGGCAGATGGTTATCCTTTATTTGTTGGTGTAGCTGCTATAATCGAATCGAGAGAATGATTAATGCCTGCACTATTATTTATTATAGATGGTATTTTTTGTAAGGATATCATACAATCTCGCTATGCATCTTAATCTAAAATGCTTTTACGACTTGAAGACATTATAGTCTTTTACTTTTCATTTTATTTTCTATAATTTGGATTCACAAAAGTAGTTGAATGTTCAGAAATGAATGAGAACTATGAAGTCTTTTTTATTTTAGTTTATATTCATACCACTAAACGCAAATTGTAATTATATCTAACATCACTTAGACTTTAGTTTAATTCCCAAATAATATATTTACTTTAAAGAGTTGCTTATACAATCTAATTCATTTTCAAATCAAAACTAACACTCCCCATATTTTGTCCTCTGATTGGTAATTGAAAATGAAATGGACCTACTGCTGCTTCAAATAAATTGATTGTCGCTGATCCAATCACTTAAGTATCCATCACTGAAATTTTCATATTGGATTCTCGCATCTACTACTCAGTCATCTTTAAGATTCCATCAAAACTAGCTCGCCACTTCCTTCTATGAATTTAATACATAATGATCTCCATTATTATCTATATGCACCGGCGATGTGTACTTACACTACCCCAAATCGAATTGAATAGAACATTGTCTCACACCAGTCATTTTCAAAGTGATGTTCTTCAACAACACTTTTATTTGTAACTCACCATTAGTTATGATAGGTTAGTTCAGTTTGTGAACTTAGTCTTCCTAACTTTTAGACCTACCTCCACAAATACCCATATTGTAATATAAATCGTATTAATATAATTTATGTTCACTATTATTTAAGATCAAAAAAAAAAAAGTTAGGTATTGTATAATATTATTAGATCTATATATAAATCATTTCTTAAATTATAATTTATTATTTATTTTATGCAAACCTTTTGAATCTTTCTTTAATGCATTAATTTAATTAATTATAACTAAGATTTTGATATAATTTACTTTCTTTTTATATATTATTTTACTCCTTATCTCTTCATTTATATTTATATCTACTTTTCTTTTTTTTAAGAATATATATTAACTTTATTGCATTTATTAAATTCTTTAGAAATTATTGATTAATTTATTGTCCTTATCTAATTCTTATAATTTGAATTAATAGATCCTTAGATTTGAGATATTTCCATTATATCAAAGGAATCCTTAGAGATGATTGTATATTCAAAAACTATAAATGCATTATTATCATTTCTTAATCTAAGCTGATAAATTCTTATTGTTAATAGATGTACTTATTTTATATTAGTTCAGAATTCATACAACTATATTTAGAGGATTCCCTTTTAATTAATTTCTTTAATATTTTTTTTTATTTATAAATAGTATTATTTCTTAGTATTAATAAATACATTGAAATTAGAGTTCTAATAATTGATCTATTTCTTAATTGTCTTTCCTATTCTTCATACAAAAAAGTATGAAAATCCTTTTATAAATTAATATCAAAATTAACTTCTTAATTGTGGATTCAAATTTTTTTAGGGTTCGGTTCTTTAATCATATAATATATAATATGGTATAAAAATTTAGTTAATAATAAAAGGTTGTAGTATTAAAATATCAAATATTAAGTGTTTAAGTCAATCAATAATAATTATATGATTGTTAATAAATAATTATATAAGTATAATAACATATTTCAGGGTATAATTGCATAATCAATGAAATCTCATAGTGGAGTGATTTATACAAATATCATCATATAATGTAATTATATATAATATCAGAGTGGTGATGCAAATTGAATCAATATAGCTTATATAAAATATAAGTTAATTCATGAGCCAATTGATTTTCATCACAAATTTTAATTTTAATAATGATATTAATTATTTATTTTATTATAATATGAAATACACAATCACCCCAGTATTCTAATTTTTTGATTGATAATACCTTAAGCATCTTTAATAGCAATATCAATTGATTCAATTTCCCAATCATTTGTTTTTTTGTTCTTCTATCCTTTTACATAACAAACACCTGCCTTCTATCCATACATATCAGTCTCAAATTCAGCTTAATCTCTTATCTATCCACCTCTTAATTATTAATTGAATTAAATATTCTAACCAAATAATTTCTTTATTTAAGGATTACTCTATATGATAATTAATGATTATCTATGAATTTAAGTATTCAATACACTTATTCTCTAAATTATTAAATAAATCATACTCTATTTGCTTTTACATAATTATAAATAGCCATAGCTCCAATTATTGTACTAATTATTGTGATATTTCTAACACCACCTACTTTTCTATATAATTCTTATTGTCTATATCTTCTTGCTTCTTCTATTTCTTATTCAGTAGTTGGTGTTTTAGGTTTACGAGCATCTATTTCTAACTTTAGATCATAAAGTGTTCTACGATCACTAACCAAAGGTGGACTCATTACTTAAGCCACATCCTTTTTCAACACTTAATTTGAATCAACCAATACTATTCTGAAATCTCCTTACAATCCAATATCAGCAACCAAATGATCAATCTTCCATAATTTTACATCAGGAGTCAATTTCCAATTTTATAATGCTTCAATATCTTTATTATATTTCATCACATCTATCATTTGTTTTGTAGATGGAATATAATATTAGGACTTATTTTATATCTCCTATAATTCTCTTGATTATCCCATTAATTCCACTTTTGCAGCACCTTTAGGACCAACAACTTAAAATGAAAATTAACACACATCATCATTTTGAGTTGCATTGCTACCCATATTTATCTAAAGTGATAATGGATATCCAGCCAATTGAATTATTTAATCATTATGTTACAATATTCTTAATGCTTCCTAAACTATTGGATGATCATATTTCTGTTTATGCAAATAGCTTGTACCAAAATAACCCACACCTGAAAATCCTAGAAAACATAAAAGGAAATTTGGTCCAGATCTAAATGGAAATGAATTCTTTAATTTATTAAACATTATTTATAAATTTTATATATTATAATGGTAGGCTATTTTCGAATGATTATTTTTTTGTTTATTTAAAAAGAAATTAGATATTTCTTTATATTTGATTATGAGTTCTTAATCATTTATATCAATATATTCTACTAATCTAATTTATTTTATATTAAGAATATATTATATATATACTAGATTTGTTATTTTCATGATTTTACTATTATTCCCTAATTTAAATACTTTATTGATTTATTAAAATAATTGAATTGCTTAAAATAATTAATAAATTACTAGAACTTATTTATTAATAAAATAATTAAACAACAACTTATGTTTGATTTTGGATTTCATAATTGGTATCAATCTTAATAATTAAAATGCAAAGGACTTAATCATTTTGGAAATAGATTAGAAAAATTAGAAAATTTATATTTCCTTCCTATAACTAATCATGCTATAGATGAACTTCATCTATTATGTGAGAAATGTAGTAAAAATGAATCAAATCAAAGGATTAATGTACATTCAACATACTCTTATGCAATATCATGGTTCAAGCAATTTGAATTACATTATTTGGGGTATTTAACAAATAACACTTTTCTCACTAAAAAATAGGGTAATGAAATTTAACACAGAGAATTTTAGGATAAGTTATTATTATTATCAAATTGTATTAATGATTTAAATCATAGCAAAATTGAATCTTTTATATTATCAATATGGAATTCTTAAATGATCTAAAATAATGTAATTGACAAATAATATGAACAATAGACATTTTTGACTTTTGTAAAGTAATAAAGTAATCAATTGTTTTCTTTAGCTTCCAGACACTTTTATAATATCTTTCTCAAAGCTGATGTGAAACTTAAAAGTTAAGATGATTGTGATATTGTTTAAATTGATGTTTCAAAAGACTTTGTATTTTTATTAGAAAATTCACTTCTAATTAATAAATAATTAGTAGTTTCTATATATTTATATCCAAGTTTAGAGTATGTTGATTCCTTTAAAAAAGAAAACATTAATCTAAAAGATTTTGTGATGAAATCAAGCATATATTCAAATCTATTATTATTTCAATACTAAAATACATTAAGGATAATGGACATATTTGTATAAACATAAAAAAAAGAAGAATACACAATTAAATTTCTAATTAATTTTCATTATAAACACAATTGTGATATAATTGACTCTATTATTGAGGATAATAATATAGTATTTATTGATCAAACCTATAAACTATTTGCTGTAAATGCTTAAAAAAAGGAAGTGAAATATCTAACTAAAAAGCTATAAATTTATTAAAAAGCTAATTAAATACTGTTCACTTAGTTTCATTTTTATAAAGAACTTTTAATTATTGAATTATGTAATAAAGTACTTACAATGAATTAAAAAAATTATAAATTCTAGAAATCTAGTTAGATTGAATAAGAAAAAACTTTAGCTGCATCATATTTTTGTAAGTCTAATAAGATAATATATTAAGTATTACAATAATAGGAAAATAATTAACATGTTATAAAAAATGAAATAGTTGCATATAATTTTTAATGTAATAAGAGATTAAGAATAATAAAATTAAGAAATACTACAAAACAAGGAAACATTAAATTATCATTAAAAAAAGATTAAAAAACATTGATACTGTTATCTAATGAATATATATTAGTATATGATATGTCAAAAGGTGTTATAGTATTTTGTTTACCATTTGCTTAAAAGTTTTAAGTTAACAATTATGATTTTTAGGGATATTTTTTAGTTCAAAATTAGGAAAGAAGGGCATTGATATGGAAATAAGAAAAACTTTTTGAAAGAGATATTAGATTATTTTTCAAAAGACTATGATTAGTAATATATTATTAAATTATATATATATATTATTTATAATTATTAATACTTAATATAATATTTTAGTGTTATGAAATTTGCAGATAAATTAATATAATAATAAAATCCATCAGCACAGGTTTATAAAATATTGAAAATTGGAGATAAGGACTATTAGAAATTATCTTAAAGAGCATAATAAATTTAGATGATGTCTTAGAGAATGAAATCAATAATCTAATCTCTAAAAATGACTGCTGCTAAAGAAAATGCTATAAGTTTATCTTGTCCATAGATTGGATTCAATTATTCAATATTTGTTGTATTGAGAACTATAAAAAGAAATTAATGGTGTTACAATAATGTATAAGCTTCTGATTATGTGACTTTCATAAATCCTTAGAAATTAAAAGAAAGTAAATTCACTTAAGTAGAATGGGAAGAATGTCCTTCATTTCCATATTTAATGGGGAAAGTGGAGAGACCATATAAAATTGAATATCAATTCATTAATGAACAGTTTAAATTAATTAAACATTCTCTTAGGTAAAATTAGTTTGTATTATATTAGTGGTTTTGAAGCACGAGTAATTTAACATGAGATGGATCATTTAGAAGGAATTACATTAGATAGACCTGATAGAATGTTATTGGAATCAAAGAGGGAGAGTTTTAAAAGTGATGATATTAATTTTGAGAGTTTATAAGAATAATTGGCAGATTTAGAAATAGCTTCTATGAAGATGAAATTAGAATAAATTAAAAATAAGAAATGAATATTATTAAATTTTATGATTTTGATTTTTTATCATATCTTAAGATATCTTATAATGTATCTTAAAAAAGTTAAGATGAAAACAAAAAGTACTCCCCTAAGAATATAGTTGAGGAATCTGGTGTAGAAAATGATTCTTGACATGTGATTGGGTATTAATTCTTTAAGTAGAGTATTGAGATCTTGAATTTGATTGGTTGATTAATTAAATAAAGGAATTTTAAGACTGTTTAAAATTGAACTGAATTATCTATTCTGATTATTTAATAAAACACAAAATGTCATCAGGAGGAAAAGGAAAAGCAGGAAAAGGAGGAAAGGCAGCTGGAGCACACAAATCAGTTTCCAGATCACACAAAGCTGGTTTATAATTCCCAGTTGGAAGAGTGTCAAGATATTTGAAATAAGGAAGATATACAGAAAGAGTTGGTGCTGGTGCTCCAGTATATTTATCAGCTGTTCTTGAATATTTGGCTGCTGAAGTTTTGGAACTTGCTGGAAATGCTGCTAAAGATAACAAGAAGAATAGAATCAATCCAAGACACATTCTCTTAGCCATCAGAAATGATGATGAATTGAACAAATTGATGGTCAATACTACTATTGCTGATGGAGGTGTCTTACCAAACATTCATCCACATTTGTATTCAGCTAAGGAAGATCCAAGCCAAGCTGTTTGATTTAATTTTTATTAGTCAAATAATTAATATGAATATTGATAATATCAATCTAGGCTACTTTGAAGGAGATCACTCCTCCACTTGTTCTTATTGTCATAAAGGAAAATCTTATTCCTTAGGATTCTCTACAAGTAATATATTATCAATCTATTCAAACAAGATAAATTATATCCTTCTACATATCAATCCATGATGGATAGAGGATGGCGACGATGTGGTACATATTATTACAAATATAATTTCACATTAAATTGTTGTCTGTCTTACACAATCAGAGCCAATGCTCTTTTATCTTAATAGAAAAAAGGATAAAGGAAGATTGCTAAAACATTTTTAAAAGTTGTTTAATCTGATTTACTTATAAATAAAGTAGAAGATTTGAAACAAGTAATACAATAAATAAGTTAAAATCTAAAGTAAAAATAAGAATCAAAACAATTAAACAAATAGCCATAATAATTACAATAAAAGATTGAACCTAAATAAAAAATAATAGAAGTAAAATAGAAACCTTAAAAAATATCAGAAGAAATAATATAATCATTAAAATTACATTTTAAATAATTCTAAGAAATCATTACTTAAAATATATAAGAAGTAATTTAATTATTTAAAGAATATTTTGACTAAAAGGGATTTAAATTAGAAGAAGTTTAATAAATATTCTAAATTAATGTAAATATTGATACAATTTAAATATTTCCATCATAAGTTAATAATAAAGGAGATTATTATAGTAATTTTATGATGCTCATTTATGGTCTTAATAAAAAATTATTATTCTAAGATTTTCCTGTCAATAAATTTGCTTTACAACTTATTCCTTTTGTTTAAAAGAATTTTATTAGCAATTAATACTTATTTATATAAGAACCAAATGGATTTCTATCGATATTTACAAAAGAAAATGAATAAAAGGCTAATTTGCATTTAAATTAAATTGAAAAATAGATTGTTTAAGAAAAATAAAAGGTCATTATTGAATAAAATGTTGTGAATTAATAAAAATGTATCTATATTTATATACTTATAAAATAGAAAATATTAAAATAATAGATGCACTTACATTTAAATCAAATTAATTTTAAATAGGAAACATGAAGGTTTTGTTGAAACCTGCAGAATGTACAGAAGAAAACTTTTAATTATATAAAAGATATTGTAAAGAAATTCATGGTAGTACAAAAGAAAGTAAAGATGGATATTCTTCATTTTTATGTGAATAGGGATTAGATTAAAAGAAATTTATATAATCATAAATTGATAAAAGTAAACTCCTATTTATGGGATGTTTTCATATGAGATATTATCTTGGAGATATTTTGGTTGCTGTTGGAGTAGTAGATATTACTGAGACAGCTTTAAGCTCAGTTTATTTTTTTTATGATCCAATATTTGAAGAATTCAATTTTGGAACATTTGGAGCTTTAGTTGAAATAGAGTATATTCAATTAATGAATCAATATTTTCCTGATTTTAAGTATTATTATTTGGGATTTTATTTATAAAATACTAATAAGATGTCATACAAAGGGGATTTTGAACCATGTGAATTATTATGTCCAGAAACATATACATGGGTTGAATTAACAAAAGAATTAAGAAAAGAAATTGATAAAAGATAAGCTTAATAAATCAATTAAAGATAGTTAAGAATTAGTAAATAAAATGTTTAGATTATTGATGATATGAAAATTAATGATAAATCATTTTATGGGTAGATTCAGGTATCTTTAAAAGGGAAGATTTTAAGATTATCATAATTGAATTTTGATATGAATAAATTATATAAATATTTGGATAATGGTTATTGTAGATTTGGAAGATAATTGATGGAGAAATTGATATTTGGGATATGATATTAAAATAAATATTTAAATATATATATATAATAATAATGTAAGAAAAAATCATTTAGGAAAGTTATTCTTATTTAAATGACTTGAATAATAAAGTAAACAACAGTAATAAATTGGTATATAATGTAATAATTAATAAGGTTGGTATCTATAAGGGATTCATAAGAAACATTCATTAATCATTTTGTACTCTTTCAATGTAATTAACTGAATATTCAGAATAATTTTATTTAGAGTTAGCATAAACATAAGAAGAAAATGAATTAAATCTCTTCTATTATAATTAATTATCCAACGCCATCATAAATTTTGCTCACAATTTGGATGAGTTGACTAGTGAAATGAAATAAGGCATTTTGGAACCTTATGAAGAATTTACATAAAATTACAATTAAATCAATAGTGAATTAATCATAAAGGGTTAAGAATTCTTGAAATAAGTTGAAAAACAAAGAGAAGGATTGTTTTTGAAACAACATGATTATTTAAAAACAGCTTATGATTTAGAGAAGAAGAAAAAATCAAAAACATTAAAATTAAAAGCAGATGAATTATTTGTTGATTATCGTTAAGAATTGGCAAATGTAAATTAATTATGGGATGTATTCAATGATAAATTTAAGAAATCATTTGATGAATATGATTCAAATGAATTAGGAAGAACTTCTATAACAGAAAATACTTCAGAAAAAATATTACAACATATTTCTAAAATTACTAATACATTAAATATGAGATTATTGTAATAATTACAATAATCTAATGAGAAATTACATTTGATTTAAAATAAATATCAAATAGAAAAATTACCCATTTTGAAGACTATTATGAAAAATAGAAAGTTTAATATATTTAAAGTAACTAAATAAGATAATTTTATTACTTATGAGGATTGGAAAGCTAATATGGATTCTCATGATAAATTTGATCCTGCTAATTTATAGAAATTTAAATTATCATAATAACTTGTCTAATAAATTAATTAATTGACAGATGTTATATAATCAATATGTAATAATACATATTCAATTACTGTTGTTTAATATGATTATGAAACCTTATTTTAACATGCAGATACTAGAATTAAATTATTAGATAATATTGTTGAAATTATTGATAAAGCACCTACAGATACAATAACAATAAATCAATAAGCAAATGATCTCTTAGTTTTGATTGCCAGAAACTTAATTATCAGTAAAATTATTAATATTTATTATTGTATATAGACTTGTAAAAAGATCAAGCTTTTAATGTTGTGGAATTCAATGCTTTATTAAATTTCATTACTTAATTTGGAATGAGAGAAAAAAATCAATTTATAACTGTAGGATCATAAGCAAGTGAAAAAACATAATTATTTTATGTTAAAAATAATTGGTAATAATTATTATTGTATTTAAATGAAAAAGAAAATCTTGAAAATAATTCAAATAAATAATAAAATAATAAGAAAAAAAATAAACCAAAGAAAAATGAAATTTTAAATTTTTTATATTAAAAAAAAAGAATAATAAAGGAATAAATGACTTAAGAATAAAAACTTAATTATTTAAAAGTACTCTTAAATTTATAAAAAATCTGTTCAATGATGTTAAAACTTGATATAAAAATAGATTATGCAAGTGAAACTATTATTATTTTAGCCAAAATGTGTAATATTAAGGTTTAAGATATTGTATTATTATTGGAATAATTTGAATCAATAAAAATTTATATGGAATAAATATAACCATAATCACCAAAAACATAATAAATGATTTTAGAAAAGAAAAGATTATTTTATATCTTTAAGAAATGTCTTAAATATTTAACTTTATAAGATTAATTAAATATAACTTTAGTTAATAAAGAATTTGCTACTCTAAACACTAAAGTTAAATAATAATATTTATGTTTTAATAATCTTAGTGAAAGATTATCAATTAAAAGAAAGTTATTATGGACTAGTTTACTTTAACCAGATTCAGTTTAACTTGATTATTATAAATTAAAAGAGAAATATTCAAAGTCAGCAGGATCCAAAGAAGCATTTTTAGAATAATAAATTGCTTAAGATGTATAAAGATCATTCAATAGTGTTGGATTATAAAGTAAAATTAATCATCTTACTTTACACAATTTACTTAAATTATATGCATATTATAATAATACTGTCTCTTATACATAAGGAATGAATTTTGTTATGGGATTTATATTCATGATCATGGTAGATGAAGAATTAACATTCCGTTGTTTCTCTGCCTTAATTAATTAATTATTAAAAGATGTACTTCTATATGATTTAAAATACATAAGAGTATTCTTTTACAAATTGGATCGTTTATTAGCTATATTTATGCCTAAAATTCATTTGCATCTTAAAGAAGAGAAAATTGAAGCAGGTCATTATTCTGCTCCTTGGTTTATTACATTATTTACTGGATCTTTTATGAAGAATGAATTTTCAACAGTACTCTTTGATATTTGGGATTTATTATTAAGTAGAGGATGGTGTGGATATTATTAAATATTATTGGGAATCTTTGAAACTTATGAAGAGAAAATTTTATCTATGAAATTTGATAATTTATTGTAATTCTTAAATAATCTAACTAAAGCAGAATTTTTTACTTAGAATACTGATGTATATATATATAAATCAATTATTTATAGGAAATAGCATCTTTGAAGACTCTAAAATATAGAGCTTTGAAATTTAAAGTGACAAATAAATTAATTACAGAATTAGATAAAGAGTACTATTTAGTCAGACAAAAAATCAATAATTTGATGAACTCATGAATTAATATAAATTATATTGTTAAAATATATGAAAAAAACTCTTCCTGTTCTTGCCCATTTTGAAAAGAGTTCAGATGAAATTGCTAGTAAATTAACTAATCATATATAGAATATTTTGCATAAAAGTATGGAAACAATTACCATATAATAAAACAATTATAAAACTAAAAGAAATAATTAGAAACTCCTATGTTAGATGCTAAAAGAACATTAAGAACAATAGAATAAGAATGTGATTCAAATAAAAGAAGTAATTCTAAATAATCAGAACGTATCAAACCTACTTCTACTTTTAATTTCTCTAGACCTGGTAGTTAATATGATACATTCATTCAAAGTACTTAAAATTTTGACTTAAATTCTGGATAACTTTTATTTTAGAATTTAAAATAGATTATGGAATCTATTTAAATTAAAGAGGATCCTCCAAATTTCTAATCTTATTGGGAATCCGTTTATATGTTTAAATGGGAATAATATATATATTATTTTATCAAACCTTTAACATAAAAGATAATTTAAGAATCAATATTATTAAGTGACATAGTAATTTCATTTATTTAATGTTAAATGAAAGAAAATTTACTTAATAATAATTCATAAGAATATCAATAAGAAATGATAATTATAACAAAACTTTTATTTGAAAATTTCTGTCATTTTTTAAAGAAAATATTAACATAAACAAAATAATAAAATACATTAGTTATATAATTATAAAGTAAAATTGATTTAATATTATGTAAAAATAATCATAGCATTAATTTTATTTAGGAATTAACTAAAAATAATAGTTTCATTAAAAAAATAATAGAAAATTTACTAAAAAATGATAATCCTAATATTTAACCTGTAATTATTACATGTAGATATTAATTAAGTCAAATTAAATTATTAGATATTTAAACTAGTAGATAATAATTAGTTAATGCAATTTATTTATCTACTAGTATTGATTAATAGATAGAATAATATTAATCACCATTAAAATCCTTATTCAAAATACCTCATTAATAATAATACATGATGCATTTAAGAGAATCATTTAATAATTTAGAATCTGTTTAAGTTCCATTTATTTAAACACCTTTTTAACACTCTTTATGTGTATTATTGGATTTAGATGAAACCATGGGTCATTATGTATAAGATAAAATAATAAATTTAGAATGATAAGTTTAATAAATTTATTCCTAGACCAGGACTCATTGAATTACTCTAAGGAATTAAAGAACACTGTGAAATAATAATTTTTACAGCAGGTTTATAAAGTGTATATATATAATTTATATAAAGTATGCAGATCATGTAATAGCTGAAGTATAATGTGATGAATATATAGATCATAAATTATATAGACATCACACAACATTTAATGGGAATAATTTCATTAAAGTAATAGAATAATGATTACAATAGGATATAAGTAAAGTAGGTAGACCTTTAGAAAGAACAATAATAGTTGATAATACTCCAACAAATTATGAAAAATAATAAGAAAATGGATTATTGGTGTCAAAATGGATTGATTAAGAGGAAGATAGAGAATTATTTGAATTGAAGGATTTGATAATTAGATTAGCTAAGACAAAAACTATTGATGTTAGAAAAGCTTTGAAAAAATATAGAGATTATATCAGTAGACGTAAGTGATTATAGATATTGTCATAAATTAATATATTTGATCAAGATCTTTTCTTTTTGAATGGATTTTCATGAGTCATTTCAAAATAGTTATCCACAAATTTAGTGATTTCACATTGTTAATTTGCAAAATTCTTAGTTGGTTTATAGACATTCTAAAAAAATATTATGGAAAATTTTACTAATTAGTTAGCAAACCAACCAATTTCTTAATTTTATGTCATTGGGAAATTGTATTTTTATCTTGGAATTTAATTTCTTAATTCTAAAGTCTTTTCTAATTTCTAATTTGAAAATGCTTCTTCAACAGGATCATCTGTATATGGATTTCCAAAGATATCATTATCTTTGTCCTTTCTAGATGATTAATGTGATTAAGGTTCTTGTTATTTCATTATGATATATACTTATATGATTAGGTTTTTCAGCTAAAATGACAACTGAAATGGATAAGAAATAATAAATACCTCTATTTGGATTTAATTGAAAATGTTCGGTTCTATTCTTATCAAAGAATTTCATTTCATTTCTAATGTTTTCACTAAAGACTATGTCCTTATTTACTACTTGACCAGGGTCTGGTTATTTCAGTTATCTCTTTTATGCCATTAATTTATTAAATATATGAATATAAATAGGTTTTATCATTCATAACTTAAAGTCAAAACAAATAACAATTACATATTAGATACTATTCAATCATTTTCATCAATATTTAATTCAACAAAAATTAATTGAATTTATTATTCCTATCAACTCATTTGTAATAAATTATTGATTTTAATTTTGTAATTGAACTATTTAATTGTTTTAATTTAAGATGATGAAATCCTTAATATTTTATAATCTTATGATAATTAATTCAATTAATTTCAATAGATTGCAAATTACTGTTACTAATATAAAATATAAATGAATAAACAATTAATGTATTAAAATGATAAAGTAACAAGAATTTATGAAAATCTTACAAATTATTGATTCTTAAAAGATTATATTTAATGCATATCTCATTATAAATTAATAAATATACTTAATATATTATAATAGAAATTCTATTTCGATTTAATAAATTAACCATTGATATCTGCTGTAAAATATAAAATTCTATTGATATTTATAAATATATGACTAGTTTTACTTTTAACCAAAAACACAACTTACTAAATGAATAATAGAATAGGTTCAATAAATACACTAATTTCTTTATTTATATTCTTTATCTTTATCTAATAGAATATTTATACAATTCAATATTGTAAATTATATGTATGTGATAATCTTTAAATTATTTTAGATTGAGTAATAAAAAAAGAATGATACATAAAAAATAGATTTTAAGATAGTATGAATATAATAATGTAAAAAAATAAAACAATTTTTTAATTATGAAAAATAATCATAATTCAAATGAGTCATGTTTAATTTTAATCTTACTTTCTTTTTCGGTTAATGGCAGAATCCAATATATATATTCAGTACCAAAGAGTTCTTTAAAATTATCAATAATCTTAGATTTTGAAAATGGATTGTCTGTTTTCATTTCTTCAATATGAAATTCTACAGTAGTCACATTTTTAGAAATGTGATATAAATGAAATGCTAAAAGTGTCCCCATAGAGAGACATAGAAGTAAACATGTTAATGCACACATTTGACAAAGGAATTTTGAATCTCCTTTTAATTAAGTGTCACCAAAGAGATCAATTGTGATGAATATAAAACATTGTGACATACATAGTAATGCATAGATTATGAATTAACAAAAGAATCTATGATTTTTCAATCCAATACAATTATTGACCCAAGGACAATGATGATCCTATTTATATTTTATTTAAAATACCATTCTAAGAATGCATTTATTACATTCTTTACAATGATGAGTTCTGGGTTATTTGACATTTTTGCATTTGAAACAATAGGAATCAAGTTACATAGCTTAAATGATGTCACTAAATAAGATATGATTTAATATTGGATTACAATATTTCATCTTCTTCATCTATTGCTAATTCATATTTCTTCATTAATTTTTGTTTTCTTTTTTTTTGTATGATTTCTGAATGTTTTTTAGTTCTATTCTTGATTTCTTCTAATGTTTGTTCTTGATAATTTTTAGCCTAAGATTAAGGGAATATGTTAATACCAAATCAGGAGATGGATGACCAGGTGATTAAATTTAAGCTTGAATATAGGCCCAATGAATCATAATGTAAATGAGTGTGAATTCAATTCCAATTAAAATTGTGGATCCACTATTCTATATTAATTATAAATATGATACATTGATATATCTATAAGGTAAATAATGAAATACAAATACATAATACTCACTTAAAATTATAGCATAGACAAAGATCACAGACAAGATGCCTTTTGGATTTTAAAATTTCATAAATTAATTATTATTAAAATGGACCCAAAATAAAGAAAAGATCGTTCAACATCTAGGGATAAAAAGAAAACAAATAAAAAATAAACATAATATAGTTATGGATAACTAAAGTATCTATTTATAAATCTAATAAAAGATTTGGTGAAGTACAAAGTAAGTCCAAAAAAATATCATTAAAAACATTCTTTGGAAATCCTGAATTTGAAATTTTTTGTTTGAGATTTGATTTTGAAGATCAACTTATAGCAGCTGGTTGTTCTGATGGAACTGTCAAGGTTTTTAACATTGTGTCTGGTAAAGTGAATTCTTAAATATATTAAAGGAAAATTGGCATTCAATTTATAAGGATCATCAGAAGGAGCTAGTCCTACAACAGCAATAAGATGGAGAAGAGATGTAGCCAATAAAGCCAAAAGTGTGTTTTTATCTGCAAATTCTGATGGCTCCCTTATGATGTGGTAGGCTCAAACAGGAAAACAATTATTCAGAACAGTAGAATAAGGCAATCAATTATTGGCCTTAGATATAAGATCAGATGGTGATCAATTTGCTACTGCTGGCAAAGATTTTAAAGTTAGTTCTAATATAGATTGATTTATAATAGATACGTGTTTATGATGATGAAAAGAAGGAAATTATTCATACTTTTGATAAGGCTGATTAGTATAATAATTATTTAAATAAGCAATTAACCAGGCCATCAGAATAGAATCTTTGCTCTTAAATATTTGGAAGAAACACCTAATATTCTACTATCTGGTGGATGGGATGGTAATCTTTTGATATGGGATCTTAGAGATCATAAATCTATTGGAACTATCTATGGTCCTAATCTTTCTGGGGATAGTTTAGATTTTAGGTATCTATTTATATAATTATATAGAAATGGTTAAATATTGACAGGCTCATATAGAACAAATAATTAATTATAGTTATGGGATTTTGGTACCAGATAACTAATTTAGGAGATATAATGGGATAAAAATAATAATAACAGTGATTTCTATGTTTATTCTTGTTAATTTAGTAAAATAAATGGAGATACAATCTTGGCTGGTAGTAGTGGTAAATAAGAATTGAAGTTGTTTGATATTAATAATCAATATTAAACATGTGGTTATATTTAAGATTTATAAGAAGGTATAAATAATTCTCAAATATTTTTATAGGAGTATACTGTGTAGATTATGGAAATAAGAGTAATAAATTTGCATTTGGTGGAGGAGAAGGTGTAGTATACATTTGTTCATTGACAAATTCAAAGTGATGAATAAATATTAATATATATAAAAATAATGGACCCTTAATAATTAATTGATAATTTAAACGATATCTTACTGAGTGATTACTTCACATATATAGAAGTATTGGGAAGAGGAAGTTTCGGTATTGTGGTTGCAGCTAATAGTTAATCATTAGATAAAGTGGTGGCTATCAAAGTATTGAGTCATAAAACACTAGATTACACCATATTTTGAATAAGAGAATGAGTCATCACTATTGTAAGAATGTTCTCATCCAAATATTGTAAAATTGTACAAGGTTAGAATTATAACTAATACTCTTTAAGGTTCTAGTTGCTTATAATTTTATCTATCTAATTATGGAAAAACTTACTGGAACTACATTAGATGTTATTTTAAAAGAACAATCACTTGATGAACTTCAAATTAGAAACATAATGCTTTAAGTATTAAATGCTTTAGCTTTTTTACATCGTAAAGGAATCATTCATAGAGATCTAAAACCTGGTATTTTTTAATATCAAATTTAGAGAACATCTTTATATCTAATGGAAATCATGTTAAATTGATTGATCTAGGATTAGGATATCAAATAGTTTGTAGAGGTGTAATAGGTTAACAAGTTGGAACTCCATATTATATTGCACCTGAACTCATTAATGGTTGTGAATAAACGCAAGTATTTATTCATAATAAAATATAAGGCACTTGATATCTTTTCTCTTGGAATTATATTCTATCAGATGTTGTGTAATAATAAACATCCAATTTGGACTGAGGGATTAACTAAAAAAGATTATTATAATACTCTGTCTCGTGAATTTCATATTAATTATCCTTCGCATCTTTCTGAGTATTTATGATTTAATAATATTTATAGAATGGCTTAGGATTTCATTAAGAATACTCTTACTCATAGTCCAATAGATAGAATGACAGCTGAACAATGTTTGGAACATCCATGGTTATTGGGAGAAGATAGAAAATCTCATCCAATTACCAATAAAGAAATCATTTAAAGATACAAATTTATTTAAAAGTTTCAACTCGTATATATTCATTTAATCTATTAGATAGTAAAGGCATTACAAATGATTAAAATCTTCAAATAATAATGTCATGAATAAATGTATTATCTAAAATCTTAGAATTCTGATGAAATAAATGAGATCTTCTTTCATGATGATGCTCCAAAAACATAAAGAGTCTATACAGATACACATATCAATATTCGTCATTAGAAAACTTACTATAAACCTTAGAGTTTGAAGACTATTCAATTGACAAAGGTGACATCATCATAAGATCTTGTATCAACAAAAAATAAAATGCTTAATTCTAATCGATGTTATAGTAATAATAATGATATTAAATAATATTTTAGATTTTACATCCAGATATAAAACATCTTTAGATATACAATTACCAAAAGTTAATAGTTAGAAGAGAATTCATTTATAATTACCTTCCATTTCTCCTTATTAAACAAGATAATCTAGCTTTGTATTTAGATAGTCATGATTTTTTTTTCTATTTTTATATATATATATATTATTTTAAAATATGGATAACTAATTTTATAATTAAGACTCGTTAGCATTTGGTTAACCTTAACCAACATCTTAATTATAACCTTCAAAAGCAATTAAATTTGACAATGTTTGTATATTCATTTAATATAGGTACCATAAAAATAAAATAAACAACATTCTAATGTTAAATTCAAAGAGGCTTCTAAAAAAGTTTAATAATAGAAAATAGAATCAGTTTAAAAAGTACGTCCTTCAAGTGCATAATAACAAGAGAAATTTAAACCTTCTTGGAATGATAAAGTAGAATCTAAACCAAAATAATTTGATAATTTGAAGAAGAATGAAATATTCAAAATTGAAACTAAATTGTAAAAAGAAAAAATTGAGAGAGAAAAAGAGAATAAAAAACGATAATTAGAAAATCCACCTCCTGCAGCAGTTAAATCATATGCAACTATTAAAGATATTGAATAAGTGATTAATGATTGTAATAATTGTTATATTGATTAGAGCAATATAAGAAGGATGTTTCTGAGATGAAGAAATAGAAGAGAGAATTAGAATAATTATAATGGATGATAGATTAAGAAAAGAAATAAAAGGCAGAGTAAAATAAACAATTTGAAGAAAAATTAAAATAAATGAAAACATAATAACATCCTGATATGGCTTAAGATATTATGAATGCTAAAAAGAAGGGTATAGAAAATAAAGAATCACCATATAAAACAAAAGAATAAAAGAAATAAGATAAAAAAAAGTAAATTGAAAAAAATATTGATGATATCTATATTGAACCATAATAAAATAATTATCCTATTTGGAAGGATGGAATCAATTTAATTCATTATGAAGCCAAAAAGCCATTATTACCTGGATAATATGATTAAAATGATTTGGATATAATACCACAAAAATAAACTTAATAATAATAAGTTAAAATTGATGATAATAAATTAAAAAATGAATTGATTGAAATATAAAAAAGAGAATTATAAAGATAACATGAATTAGATGCATTAATAGATAAACATTAATAATTATTGAGATCTGAAGCTTAGAATCCAAATAAACATTATAAAGAAATTAATGAAAAATTAGATAAAATTAAAGGGAAAGTGGATCCATTAGTTAAGAAAATAGATAGTGTACAAATTGAATATCCATTTACTGGACATTTATTAGCAAGAGGAGTATCTAAAATGATTTAAGTTCATTCTGAAAGATTGACTGAATTATTGATTGATGATTTATTATTTGAAATGGTAGATATATTAGATACATTGGAAATGAAAAAGAAAGAAGAAGAAAGATAGAGATATGAGTAAATGGCATTATGTGATTATATAGAAGCTGTTAAAGATATTGCATTAGATTAAGATAGAGTTGAATAGAATTTTTAATAAACAAGATAATAATTTATGAGAGATAGTAATAATAGATATATTTATAGCAAGACTTGATTAATAATATGTACCTGTTGAATAATTGGGTAGAGATCAATAATTTTATATAAATCCAATGGATCGTTTACGTTCAATAGAATTGTCAAGTGGATTCATAATTAAAATAATGGAAGATAGAAAGAAGAGAATTCAATATATTACTTAAGATAAATAGTATTATCCTAAAAATCTTGAATAATTTGATTTAGTAATTTATTTAATTATTTATTCTATTTAGATAACTGAAACAATACTTGAGGAAATCATTTGGGAACGAGCAGCTGCATTGTATTAAAGTAGTGATGAAATGGCAGAATAAATATTTATTAATGAATTTAAATGATTTTTTTCTTTTAACTTATAAAAATAGATAAATTAATTAAATAACACAATTAAATGATGAAATTAAAAATTCTTAAATATTGTTTTTCTCAATTCCTTAAACCTGGAGATAAATAATTTTATAAATATGGTTTGAATGATTGTTAAATTCAAGATCTTTAACTCTAATTTAAAACTCCTTAATTTAATGAAATGTTCAAATCATATATGTTAGCATATATTAAGAAAGGTGATGAAGAATACTTAAAATTGAATGAAGAATTATTCTAATTCATAAAACCATAATATGTTTAAGATGTATCTTAAATTATGAATCACTTCAATGTATTAGATTTGCTTGCTTGGTAAAATCTGATAGTATAAATTTGCAATAACTTAGAAGTTATACCATTACCTGAATTATCAATAGCACTTAAATAAATAATTATGTTTATGAGTAGAAAGTTTAGAATGTAAGAATCACTTTTAGAGTAATATCATTATAGTGAATATGATTTACCTCTTATTCTTACAGAAAAATAATTATTTACTATTCTAAATCAAATGAAATTAGATCCAGATTAAATAAATAATTATTTAGATGCTTTAACTACTTTACTTAATATATTTTTTAAATTCAGTCGAGTTTAACCAATTTCTTTTTATGATGTTTATGAAATTGTTAGAAACAAACTATAAATTGTATTAGAAAAACATTTAGATGAATTAGATCTAAATAATTTAATAACAATGTATCAAAGTTATGGATCTGAATCTGAAATTATTAAATAAATCATACAAAAATTACAATAAACCGATTCCAAAATTCTACATAAAGAATTGGATAGAATTTTAGAAATCTGGAAAACAAATGGATCTATTGATTAGGATTTACTTCTATTTTTAAAATCTGAAATCCTATATTAAATTTAATTGACTAATAAATATCAATAAAATAAAGTTTTTTAAAGAATCTTTGCTTTAATCTATGCAAATATTAATGATACAGATATATTAAAATTTATAGAATCTAAATTATAATAATCTACAAAATTGCTTTAAACAAGAAATTATTCATTTTAAAATGTATTATTATTATTATAATTAATTTAGGGTTACTTAACATGCATTAAAATATTAAAACTACGTCATCCTGAATTGAAAGTACCTGAAGTTATAATGAAACCAAAACGTGTAAGTAAATAGATGTAGAAATCCTTATAAGAAAATATGCTTATCAATTTCTTTCGCCAGTATGTAAAATCTTTAGAAGAAAAAGTTAAAATTAAAGTTGATGCTCCTTGTTGGATATATTTAATAGATGTAGCATTATTATTTAAAGATGCTAAAATAGCATTTGAATTATCAGGTTCAGTTTATTTTAGAGGGAATAATCTTACAGGTAAAAAATAAGCCAAAAAAGAAATAATGATTTCAGAAGGATGGATACCTATATTTCTAGGAAATTAAGAAAAGATATTATTCAATAATTTCAGTTTTAATTAATAAGAATTACCAGAACAAATAGAAAAATTATTTGATAATTTATTTGAAAAAGCATTGGGAAGAAAACTTAATAAAAAATAACGTTGAGAATCAAAATATATTTTAAAAATTAAATTGTTTTATATTGTTTATATGTATATTTATATCATTCATCATCTTTCTTGAAGATGGATAGATATTATTTTTTAATAATAACTTCTTAATTAGATTATTTTGAATTATCTAATTATTGATTATCTCTACCTCTATTCTAAGTATTTGGAATCTTAAAAACATGATCATTTATATTCTAGTTATTTATAGGATTATTATCCATATTCTCTTATTTTATTTAATTGTTTATCAATATTTCATTATCTTAATTAGCTTATTCACGATCTCCAACTGATGATTTTTATCCATAAATGTGTTCATTGACTTAATTATTTACATCAGAAACAAATTGAACTTTATCTTTCAATCTATAATGACTAAAACATTTATAACAACAAATCCAAGTTATTAATAATATTATGCATACTACAATTAATGCATAGAAAACATAAGGATTGGAAATAGGACTTTCATTTAAAAAATTAGATGTTAAATGACATTAACTATCCTTTAAATAATAACCAGCTATACAAGAACTGCATATATTTGGAATTTTGCATATACATTCATTTGGACATTCAGGATCACATAATTTAGTCTTTTAATTTCTTTAATATCCTTCAGGACATTCAACTTAAGTACAAGAATTATTTGAATTTAATGAATAACCACTCACACAAGATTAACAAACAAATGGTTCTTAACATTAATTGCAATAAAGTCCACAATCCATTATACATTAACTATCCTAAGATAGATAATAACCATATGAACATCTATAACAATTCAATGGAGATTAACATATATTACATTCTTTTCCACATAATTATGGAGTAGTTATAAAGTACTCTTGTCCTTATTTATTATAATATTTAATTTGAATACTATCTCCCAAAATAGATCCATCTACATCTATACCTTTTGAAATATATGTTATAGCAAATTAATCATCATTAATTATTTAGATATTTGGATTTTATGGATACTTTCCTGAAATGGCTACATTGATAATTTCACTTTATTAGACACCTAAAGAATCAAATATTTAGAATTGTATTCCATTTGGTTAATATTATGAATCTGTAGTTCTCCATACAACTAAAAATCCATCATTGAATAATTTTAAATCTGGTGTTTATTCTTAAACTTAAGATATACCTATTCCTTTAACTTCACTTCTTGAAGATAAATCTTTAGAAATTAATTAATAGTTAAGACTGAACATAGCTTTGAAAGTTTAAATATTCTTGTTTTCCCATAAAAATACAAACATTTAATTTTTTAGATAAGCTGTTTTTATTGTAAATGTTCCATCATCACTAATAGCTTATGGTGAATTAATTGGATTACCAAATTATGTAATCTATTAAACAAATACATAACCATCACTTGTATAACTGATATATATCATTCCTTAATCATCCTCTACGATTGATGGACTTGTTAAATAACTTATATTAGGAATCTCTTAAATTTAATTTATACTTTAAAGATTAGGATCAAATATTTAATATTTATAGTTGTAATTTGATTAAACTTCAGTATTTTGAGTCATAAAGGATACAAAAATATTTTAATTGGATAGAGTTAATAATTCACATGGTTTATTAATTTATGATAAAACATTATTATTAGATACACCTATAGATTAAGGAGATGTCAATTTAGAACCACTTGAATCAAATTCTTGTAATAAGAAATTAGTTTAATCAGTAGTAGAATCAGCCCAAACAATATAAAAGTTATAATCAACAGCTGCTAAATGAGCATAATATTCTTTCTTTATTTAATTATCTACTAATAATCTTCTATTTAAATCTGATACTATAATTTCTTCTCCTATTTTAATATTATCAGATGTATATAATTAGAAATATACTCCTGCTTATTCACCATTTTAATACCATACTAATACATAAGATTAATCTGGGAATGTATATCTTAAAGGTGTACTAACAATTGTATTTTTGACTTGGTCAATAATAGATTCATCTTCAAATTTACATATAGCATCTGGTGTTAATATAAATCCTTAAGGACAACTTGTACAAATATATGGTAAATCACATGTTCTACAAGTTGATGCACACATTGGTTAACATTATTATTAATTTAATTAATAATTGCTTTAACATTTATTACAAACTATTTAATCTGATATCTTTGAACATAAATCACAATTATTTGGACAAATTAATTTAATACATTAATTATTAACTAATTCATATCCATCTTAACAAATATTACATTATGAGACTATTGAACAATCTATACAATTTTATGGACATTCTAAAATACATTATGAATTAGTATCTAATAAGTAATTTATACTACATTTTGTACAATAACTTGAGTTTATACATTCATCACAATTTTAAATACAATTTATTTATTAACTATTAGTAATTTCATTTCCTTGATCATCATACTCTTTATATTATATTTTCCTGATAAAACTTTAACATATTGCATCTGTACATAATGATATCTACCAAAATACTTTAAAACCATTTTCAGATTAAATAATTTTTACAAAGTTTTGTAAATAATATAAACCTATATATATTTGTGTACCTAATTTAGCACCTGAATTTTCAAAATATTAAACAATCAATTAATACTTTTAATTTTCGTAATTATTTAATGATTTTACAATTATTGCAAATGTATTTTCAAATGTTACAATTTTCATAAATTCTTCCTGTTATAATTTACCTTCTATTACTCTCAATTCTTATGTAATAGGTATAAATTCACTATTTAATACTCTATAATAAATAGATTTTACTCCTTTCAAAACAGCATCATATTAATAAGTTGAATCTACCAAAATTTAAATTTGATTTCCATTTTGTAAATCAAATATTTCACAAGAGGTTTACTTTAATAATTAAGAATATATGCAATTCTTCCAAATTAATTAATCTCCATTCAAAATAGCAGTTTTATCTATAGAATATAATTTATCATATTTCAGGTATACATCTCTTAATTCAAATAAAAGTTATGGTTATCCAATAAAATTTAATTCAGAATCCAAATTTATTTTATATATCATTGTAAGCATCGATTTATCATATGAGAATTTATAATAAGTTAGAGAGTACTAGTTACCCACTAATGGTTACAAAAATACTTGATATGAATATATATATTATTCAACAAAGATTTCCTAAAAACTTATCACTTTATCAATGATAATTTATTAATCTTAATTAATTCTTATAATGCCCATTGATTATTATTCATTATAGACAATTAAATAATCTTATTCAATTTTATGAATATAATAAGGTGATTTAATCTTAAATCCATTTTATTTCTCTATAGATACCTTCTTAGTCATTTATTACTCTTAAATTATATAAAAATTCCAAAAAGGAATATTAGTTATTATTGAAATACCTGTAGATAACACGCATAAAGTTCCATCATTTGATCTTATTAGTTCCTAGACATTCCCCTAAATATCTTCATCAATTAAAGGTTAAGGTTAATGATAGTCTGGTTTTAGAGGAGCACAAATTCCTTACTATTCTTCATAGTATCCATCATTACATTAAGTACAAACTGAAGGGAGGATACAAAAGCTACAATTTTACTAACAAGTTAAAGAACATCTTCCATCAATTAGTTAAATTTCATTTAGACATTAGGTACATTGATATTGATTTTCACACTTAATACAACCATAACTACATTTTAATGTCATTTGATTTATAAATTCACCTTAAGCAGTTACTTTTTAAATATGAATATTTGAATTATCGTAAGTATCGTAATGTTAATAATTAGACCAAACTACAAAAAATGACTAATCTAATGATTCAACCATTTTTATAGAATTATAATTAGGTTCTTGAAAATTTGGTTAGATATTGAATTTATTCATCAATTTAAATTCCATATTAGAATTAATATAATACAGTTCTTACATTCCTGCAACACCATTTTTTCTAAATTCAATCAACAAGGTAAGTCCTCCATTGTATTAATCAATTTAAATGAACTAAACCCAGGTGAAAATATTGTCAATAAAATAGTTTTATTAGCTTTCTTATACCAATATTTGATTTCCATAAGATACAAAGTTTTCATCATAAAATTGAGCATTTATTGATATAATATTATCTAATTCCATAACAAATACAATGACAAAATATTAAGAGGTACTACCTAAGTAAAATTAAGTTATAGACATATTATAAAATTATGTTAAATCTTATGTCATAATTTATGTACCATCTAATGAATAAATCAATATTTATCTAAAAAATAAAATTGCTACTCTCTAATCAGTTGATGAAATCAGGATATTTTATAAAAAATAACCATGAATCTCTTATGTATTTACTATTTAATTGTCAGAATTATAGAACCTTAATTTTAATACTTTTTCTTAAGGTTCTCCAATAATTGATATATATCCAATCACATATCCTCCATTTTTTAATTTTATCACTTTAGCAATGTAATCATTTTTTATATTAAACATATCAAATTTAATGTAATCAATATCTAAGTCATCATCTATTCTTTATTAATCTTTATTAAATCTAGCAACCTTAAGTAAAGCTCCTTTTTCTGGATTACCCTCAATATATAAAATAATAGCAGTATCATCATTTAATATTTACAAATAAGGAGAATGTTAGTTTCCTTGTGTAGTTTTACTCACTTAAAAATTATTTCCTATTTTTTATCTCTGACTATCTAGTATCTAACCATAAATACCCCAATTAAATCCATCTTAATAATCGCTATTCCAAACTAAAATAATTGAACCATCACTAAATACACCTAAAGAAGGTTTAGTTTGTGCAAAAGTTGTAAATTCATTAACAACTAATGAATATTATTAGAAATAATCTTCTATACAACCTAATTAATAAGGATAAAGCTAATAAGGACATAAAATACAATTATTAGCTGCAAATTCATAACAAATAGAATCAACAAACTTTTAACAATATAATCCCCCATTTAATTAATCAAGTTATATTTAATATCCATCCAAACATTTTGTACATTCATTATTACTTATGCATTAATCACAATTAAGTGGACAAATATTAGTTATAGATTTAACTAAATCTCCAAAATTATTGATTATTGATAATTATAATCCCCATTATGCTTCATTATTTTTAAATTCCCAAGCAAATCCAATTTATTAATTATTAAAGTTTACTAATATTGGTCTACTTATTTATGAATCAATCAAAATGTATCCTGAAAAAGTTGTTTATTATTAATTATCTACTATTTTATAAATAAGTTTCTTGTTTGATTTCTCACTGTAGGAGATAACAAATTTATTATAGAATACTGCTATAGAGAAATCTTAGACTCCTTACAAATACTATTAACCATTATAAAAGCATTAGCTAATTTCATGACAAAGATTTAAGAACCATTTATTTTAACCATACATTTAATACATGAATACAATTAAATTTCTACTCATTTCGAATTTGACTTTGGAGATATTTGGTATATTCACAGTAACTGTAGTGAACACCATTCCATAATCATTTAATTATATTGCTTTTATTGAAGATAAATTAACATTTATTAAATAGATATAACCATCAAAAACTTTAATTGCCTAAATGATATTTTTATCACAATCATTAATTGTAAATATATCAGGATTATTAATATCTATTTTTTCAAAGATTTTCAAATTTTATTTATCATAAACAAATAATGATTAAGAACGTCCAATTTAAGATAAATTATCAAATACATAATTCTTCAAACATGTTATGAATATCACATATTTCATTGATATATTTTCAATTTTAATATCTAAAATTTCTAAATCACAATATTTATCCAGTTATGGTAATAAAGTATTTGTATTATCATCTAATTTATATATTTTACTAATTGTTTTATCTGTTGCATAAACTAAAATAACATAAATTTGATCATCTACTACTGTTGCATCAAATAGATGAATATTTTCTAAAGTAATTTCAACAAATTTTATATCTTATCCATCTTAATTGAATTTTCTGATTCTTAAGATATTCTAACAAATATATATTATAGCATAATCATTATTAGAGAATTTAATAAGTTCTTTAATTTCCTCTTAAGTACATTTTTCTAATACTTCAATTGCTTTACCATCCTTTACAGGGTCATTGATTATTGATGATAGGTCAGATGGATCTGGTAGATCATTATCTCTATCAAATATCATTTAGTATAAATTATTGGTGCATATTTATTAATCATCGCATTCTTCCTTTTGTATATATACTTTAAATCCATTTTAATATTAAGTAATCTCAACAATATTATAAGGTTAAGAACATATATATATCTAATCTCCAATTTTTTAACCAGTATTATATATATATTAAGCAACCAAATATCTTTATTCATAAAACCTAGAATTGTTTTATTCTTCAATAATAATTGCAAATGAGTTGATATATTAAAAAACTTTAAGAATTTATTATCTTTTTAAACCTTAACTTAAAACATTTGTAGTTTACATTATAACTTCTCTCTATGCATCTACTATCATATATTCACCTTAAATAATGATAATTTCATCTAAAAGTAAATCACTTTTTACCAAATGAGATATTTTAATAATATTCCAATTTTCTTATAAAGGTAAATTACATTAACCTATGCTTTATTCTCTTTTATTATAACAGAACATTTCTTCAATTTTATCTTTTTTTATTTAATAACTCTCACCATTAAAATCTGAAAATTAAAAATAATTTTCTCTATTTTCAACATGAACATGCAATCTATTTTAAAAGGTATAAATGATCTAAACATTTTCTACTTTTTATAATCTTAAATCTAATTTAGTATAATAGAAACATAATTAGTTAAGATTCATAGATTCATTTGGATTAGTAGTTACTTGATAAAATGTAAGGATATATTATTAACCCAATATTGGTTCTAAAATTAATGCATCATATTAAATCTAAAAATTTGAAAATTATGAAAGATCTAATTTATCTTAGCTTATTAGATTTGAATTGACATCATATCTTTATACTTAGACATCATTATCAGAATAGAATATTAATATGATATTTTCATCAAAATAAAATGTTTTTCTAAATCTATAAAAATCTATTGTTTATTAAATAACCGAAAAGGTTTTAACTACTTATTCTCCAATCAAAACTCTAACATTTAGTTAACTGCTAAAAGATAAATAAACTTTTTCAATTTCATTTACAGTTTCTACTTAAAATATATTATCATATCTTTCATATTCTTATAAAACTGTAGGCTATGATTAAATAGGAATTTCATAACATTTTCCTTCTGCCTTTAAATAATAACCCTTTTAACATAAATTACAAATATAGGGAAAATTACAGTATTAACAACCTTCCTCACAAAAAGGATGACAAAGATTATTTTCAATTTTATAATAATTACTAAGACATTAATCACAAATAGTTTAATCTTAACATTACTAACAATTTAATGAACAAACCATCTAATTTTATGCTATTATTTATTTATCTTATGATAAAAGCTAAAAATAATAATTAATTTTATCCTGAAAATTAAATTAATTTCCTTTTGTCCATAGTAGAAAGTATGAATTATTCAATGATGGAATAATCTAAATATATTCGTCATAATTGAATGAAAAAAATCGAAAAGTATTTATATAGAACTTATTTACTAAAGAATATTATTGGTCCTTTATGAAATACATCTCTTAAAATTTAAAAGAATTTATATACAACTGAATTATTAAGTATATTCCTTAATCACCTTCATACATTGAAATTTATGGTATATTATGTTCTACTTATCTAATTGTTAAAGGATCTCCTAATTCATCAAATTGTTTATTAAATAATAACACTTAAATTATTCTAGTATTTTCTTAAAAGAAAACATATCCTATTGTGTAAAAATCATTTGTATGCCCTAAAATAATTTACTCATGGGGGAAAATATTAAATTAATCGAATTATTTTGTTAATAATAATTTTCCGTCAAATGAATACAATTGAACTCTCTTTTGATGATCATATGAAATATAAAATGTAGTAGCTAAATCAAAAGGAATTTAGTTAAATATATATATTCCTTCAATTCTTTTTTGAATTACTAAGTGATTGGATGAATCATAAAAGCTTAAATTAATATAATCCATCATTTAATATGCCTATTTAAAAAATCCAATAACATATCCTCCATTTTATAAGCTTAACGCGTGTATATATTTATGATTAAACATATTATGCGAATAAAATTAAGTTGTACCAACATCAAATTCATTTCCAATTCTTTGCATTTGCTTATCAAATTTTTAAGCTTTTATTATTGCTTCATTTAAATAAGGATTTCCATCAAAAAATATGATAACAACTGTATCATCTTATAATACTATGACTTTTGGAAGACACTGAGCCCCTTTAGAATTAGTGTTAATTTATATATTGTCTCCAATTTTAACCCCAAAATTATCAATTAATTGAGCAAATACTCCCCAATCATCACCATCTTAAGAATAACTTGACCAAACCACAATTATTGAGCCATCACTAAATTTTGCCCCCTCTTAATTTAATAATACTTTTTATGCTTCCTAATTAATTCTAATTGCTTTCTCTTATACTTCATCTAAAATGCATTAACCATTTTCGACAAAGTAATAATCTTTACAAAATTAACAATTTCCCATCTAATCACAAGAAGAACAATTAGAATCACATTATTTTTAACAATAATTGTTGTTATAACTAATTTCTTGAATAACAAAATTAGTTTCACACATTGTACATTATTTAAAATTAATACATTATAAGCAATTTTCAGAACATTAGATCTCCATCGTATTAACAAATTACCCATTTTAATTCATAACAGCATATGAGATATCCCATTGACCATCTTCATTTAGTTTAGTCCAAGTAAACCCAACATAAGTATTCATTAAAACTATTGATTAAATACTACTAATTTAAATATCACTCTATATGACTCCTGTTGAAAGTTGATTTCCTTATAAATCTAAGAATTCGTATTAGGAACTCATAAGGTTATCATTTTAAGTCCATTATATGAATAAATTATTAGCAACAATAGCTAATTGAATATCTGAGTTACCAGGAATAAAATTAACTTTAATAAAAATGATAATTAAGTATTTATCACAAATTCTTAAAGTCCAATCTTATGCCTCAAAAGTCTTATATAAAAGAATAATATTGTCTTAATTAATTTCAAATTTTATTTTTTCAATATTAGGAATATCTATTTAATAAGTATTTTGAATTGTTCCATAACTATCTAAAGCTTATATTTATCCTTGTGATGAACTGATTGATAATGCATAGATGATATTTTCAACAACTTTAATTTCAGATATTTTGCTTTAATTACAATTATTCTATGTAAGACCTTCAGGATAATTGAAATTAATTTTTTCAGCATTTTATGAAAAATGTTTATCATAAATTGTTAGGGTTTAGGTATAGCAATTCATTAATGTTTAGTCAAATCCAAATTCAATATTATTTGAGATTAAAATAGCAAAATTGTTAATCAAAGGTTGAATTTTAATATCTAAAATCTCAGAATTATAATTTCTCTCAAATTCAGGAATAATAAGTGTGAAACTAGGATCAATTTTGAAAAATTGGCATTATTATAGTCTACTTATATAAACGAATGCTAAAACAATTTGATCTTCAACTAAAACAGTATCAAAAATAAAAACGATTTCAATCATCATGGTAAAACTAGATATTTCTAAACCATCTTAATTAAATAATTTGGCCCTAAAATATTCATTACAAATGTAAATGATAGCATATCTGTTATCAGAAAAATTAATTAGTCTATTCTGCATTTATATGTTGCATTTCTCTTCGATTGGATGTTCAATAGTTCCTATATCGATTGGGATATTAGGATTTGTTGGATCTGTAGGATCTGTAGGATCGGTAGGATCAGTTGGATCAGTTGGATCTGTTGGATCAGTAGGATCAGTTGGATCTGTAGGATCGGTAGGATCAGTTGGATCAGTTGGATCTGTTGGATCAGTAGGATCAGTTGGATCAGTTGGATTTGTTGGATCTGTTGGATCAGTTGGATCTGTTGGATCAGTAGGATCAGTTGGATCAGTTGGATTTGTTGGATCTGTTGGATCAGTTGGATCTGTTGGATCAGTAGGATCAGTTGGATCAGTTGGATTTGTTGGATCTGTTGGATCAGTTGGATCTGTTGGATCAGTAGGATCAGTTGGATCAGTTGGATTTGTTGGATCTGTTGGATCAGTTGGATCTGTTGGATCAGTAGGATCAGTTGGATCAGTTGGATTTGTTGGATCTGTTGGATCAGTTGGATCTGTTGGATCAGTAGGATCAGTTGGATCAGTTGGATTTGTTGGATCTGTTGGATCAGTTGGATCTGTTGGATCAGTAGGATCAGTTGGATCAGTTGGATTTGTTGGATCTGTTGGATCAGTTGGATCTGTTGGATCAGTAGGATCAGTTGGATCAGTTGGATTTGTTGGATCTGTTGGATCAGTTGGATCTGTTGGATCAGTAGGATCAGTTGGATCAGTTGGATTTGTTGGATCTGTTGGATCAGTTGGATCTGTTGGATCAGTAGGATCAGTTGGATCAGTTGGATTTGTTGGATCTGTTGGATCAGTTGGATCTGTTGGATCAGTAGGATCAGTTGGATCAGTTGGATTTGTTGGATCTGTTGGATCAGTTGGATCTGTTGGATCAGTAGGATCAGTTGGATCAGTTGGATTTGTTGGATCTGTTGGATCAGTTGGATCTGTTGGATCAGTAGGATCAGTTGGATCAGTTGGATTTGTTGGATCTGTTGGATCAGTTGGATCTGTTGGATCAGTAGGATCAGTTGGATCAGTTGGATTTGTTGGATCTGTTGGATCAGTTGGATCAGTTGGATTTGTTGGATCTGTTGGATCAGTTGGATTTGTAGGATCAGTTGGATCAGTTGGATCTGTTGGATCAGTAGGATCAGTTGGATCTGTAGGATCGGTAGGATCAGTTGGATCTGTAGGATCTGTAGGATCGGTAGGATCAGTTGGATTTGTAGGATCTGTTGGATCAGTTGGATCTGTTGGATTTGTAGGATCTGTTGGATCTGTAGGATCGGTAGGATCAGTTGGATTTGTAGGATCTGTTGGATCTGTTGGATCTGTTGGATTTGTAGGATCTGTTGGATCTGTAGGGTCTGTTGGATTTGTAGGATCTGTTGGATCTGTTGGATTTGTTGGATCTGTTGGATCAGTAGGATCAGTTGGATCAGTTGGATTTGTTGGATCTGTTGGATCAGTTGGATCAGTTGGATTTGTTGGATCTGTTGGATCAGTTGGATTTGTAGGATCAGTTGGATCAGTTGGATCTGTTGGATCAGTTGGATTTGTAGGATCTGTTGGATTTGTAGGATCTGTTGGATCTGTAGGATCTGTAGGATCGGTAGGATCAGTTGGATTTGTAGGATCTGTTGGATCTGTTGGATCTGTTGGATTTGTAGGATCTGTTGGATCTGTAGGATCGGTAGGATCAGTTGGATTTGTAGGATCTGTTGGATCTGTTGGATCTGTAGGGTCTGTTGGATCTGTAGGATCTGTAGGATCGGTAGGATCTGTAGGATCGGTAGGATCAGTTGGATTTGTAGGATCTGTTGGATCTGTTGGATCTGTAGGGTCTGTTGGATTTGTAGGATCAGTTGGATCTGTTGGATTTGTTGGATCTGTTGGATCGACTGGATCTTTTATATCAATAGGGTCTATTGGATCTTTCGGATCTGCTGGACTATTTGGATCTTTCACTTCTTCTTCATAATTTGGATTATAAGGATCTTTGGGTTGTTCAATTTATTAACCAATTTTAACACAGTATCCTTATTCATTAAATTAGTATCCATTCAAACATTCGTCACATTAACTATACTTGCATTTGCTGCACTCAACTTATGAACAGACTTGTTCACAAACTAAAGTATCATAATTTTTTTAGTAGCCAAAACCGCAAATATCACATATTGAAGATGTTACACAAGAGACGCAACCTTGAGGACATATAATATCGTTTATAGGCCTAGACAATCCTGTTTAATCAAACCTTGCAAAATTTAATTTCCAATTATAAAGTACACTTCCTGCATGAAAGAATACAATAAAATTATTATTTTACAACTTCATTAACCAACAATATTGTATAGGAATTTCTGTATAATTCATATTTACTTAAACTTAGTTTTTTAGTTGCCCTTACATTGAAAAATACATTAAATGATAAGATTTGGAGTTCTTTTAGAATGATAGAATGACAATTTCATTTATATCACTTATTGCTATATGTATTGGGTATAAACTTTGCATTGTAGTATTATAGGATTACCTAATTAAACCTTAAGCAAATATATTGATTTAATAATTAGTTACGATAATGAATTATTTAAGTGAATCAGTTGTCAATTTAACTAATCCTCCATCATTAATAATTTCATGTTAAATTAATTTTAATTGTAAATCAAATATATTAAGGATAGTTATTTTATCCTTTGTATATGCAAATGCAATTAATTCTCCGTTTGAAGTTAAGTCATAGTTTTCGCTAAAAGGTTGTTTTAGATCAGCCAAAAATTCGTAGTTTGATTTCATAATATAAATATAAATATCAAATCTACTCTTAATTAATACTGCAATTTATCCTCCATTGAGAATTTTTGCTTTAATTGTTGTAGTTTCCCAAAATTGTAAACCTGTATAAAGTAAGGTAGGTTCTGTAAGATTATTAAAGTTGACATCAAACTATTAATAGTAATAAGTATTCTTATCTGAATAGACGATAGGTAATACGGAATAAAATATTGTAAGTTAGTTATTCTCATCAACAGTGATGGACACATCATTAATTCTGGAAATATTTATAAGATTTATAATTTTAAGTTTTTGTATTTAAGAAGTTCCATTACTCAAATAATAATTAAGTTCAATAACTTTTTCCTCTCTAAAACCTACCACCACGAAATTACCAGTTGAGTATGTGGCAATCTAATAGAAGAAGTATTGGCTATAGTAACTTTAATAATCCAAAGGAATTGTTGTTTCAACATATTGATTAATTCTTTCACAAGTAAGATATTAGGTTTTGTAAAAACCATTAAGACAATCTAGACAATTGGCTTAGAAATTGACACAATTTTGAGGTTTTTTTACACAATTTCCATCAACTTATAATATAAATAAATCAGGATTCGTGCATTTAAGACAAAGTCCTTAATAATTACATTCTTGGCAAGCATATCCGCACCTCATTTAAGAGAATTGCAACTTTTCACCCATTTAATTAAATTTGTATGAGATAATCATTTATGTTTGAGCCAAAATGTTATAAAACATTATGTTAATTATTATATCTTCATTTTGTAATTCAATTACTTCAAGTTTACCCAATGATTTTAGATAAACATTATATTAATTGATCGAAATGATTTCACCCATCTATAAATATGATTGTTTAGATATAAGAATTCCTTTATAAACAGAATTCAAACTCATATCTTAATACTGTGATCCTTCTCTCCAAGATATCAATATTGAATTAGAAAGCATATTAATTTATAAATCAAGTTTATAAATTTCACTTCCAATTGAGAGTTTCTAAGAACTTTTTAATATAATTCCATCTTATTGTATAATCTAATAGTATATTTCATATTTAAATGATTCAATGGTTGTCCAAACAATTAAGTAGTTTTCTTAATTCAATTTATATATTTTAGATTCTACCTGATTATTTGATTTCTATATATTATTTTTATTTAATATAACCCCAAAGATGTCAAAACTAGTTTCTACATAAGTATTAGATAGATCATTTTTCTAATAGAGCCTTAGTTCATTATCATTAAATTAAATTTCGAAATCTAAAGAGTTTTTAAATTAAGAATATGTTAGTAATTGAATTTTTTAGGTTAAGTAAGGTGGGAAACTAATTTTAAATGGACTTTCAAAAGATAATGGAATAGTAACTAATTCTAAAATAGGAATATCCGATTACATCACCATTTAAATCACCCCTAATTTCATATTTTCCAATAATACTATTTTAACCATGTATTTCTAGTATTTTTAATAGATAATAGAATTGGTGGTTCCTTAATATGAATAAATTACAGTATACGCTATATTTTCCTCATTAAAATTAAAAATATTTATAAAAGTTGTAGAAGTATCATACGAATTTTTGTAAGAAACTACAAATAGATCCTCATCAAATTTCAATTAACAAACATCAAAATAATATTTGCAATTTGTACATTATGAAGATAATTACAATATTTTAGGATTAGAATATCTTTTACCATACTTATCAAATCTTTGACTCATTACTCCTTAATCTCCGATCCATATATATAATAGATCACCATTAGAAAAAGTTATAACTTTGAATATATTTTAAGATGTTTTATCATTTACAAATTCTATTATTTATTCATTAGAAACAGTACTAATTTGATAACAATTGCTTTTAATCAATTCAAAACCTTATAAACATTAACTACAAGTGATAATTGAATTTTCAATTAAATGAGTTTCGCAATTATTTATTTTTGGATAACATAAATTTGATAATAAAATATAATCTTGCTTACAAGATTAGCAAACATCGCTAGTTTAGCAAGTCAAGCAATTATCTGAGCAAATGATTATATTCAATGATAATTAGGTGCCATCACTTTTATATCTCTTCATGTACACATCATCACTTAAGATTTATGATATCAGAGTACTAAGTATCCATGATGCTATGAAATTTCCTTATGGTTAGCTTATTAATTAAGGATGATGTGGATATTAATTAGAAACAGAATAGACAATAATAGGTAGTGATTTAGGTGAACCATCCAAATTAAATAATTACAATTAGATTGTTCTAATTTAATCATCTAGTGTTGATACACTTTCAGCAATAATAGCAAATCCATTTTCTATTTTAATCACATCAGGATTATCTAGATTCTCTTATGATATACCAAAATGATTTTAAACTTCATATTAATTTAAATCTGTTGATATTTTTCTAAATCTTATTTTCTAACTCATGAAACCATTTTCATCAATTACATACTCTTTCCAAGCAATAATTATGTAATTATCTAAAGATGTAATTGCTGGAGCTTCTCCTGTAGTTGATAATTATACTCTCTCTATTAAAAATTGATTTAAGCTATATGAATTAGCGAATATTCCTTTATTGGTTTACCAAGCTATAACAATAATTGATTAAGTAGATGCTACAACTGGTTCATTTATTATTGATTCATTTTCAGTAACAATTTATGTATTAAGTAAATTATTATCATTGTCAAAGAATTTAGTTATAAGTGATATTGATTTCTGATTTCCTTATTCTGCCCAAACTATAACAAACCCATTTATAATCTATTGAACGACTACTGGTGTATCAAATGATTAAGCATAATAAAGATGAATATCTGATTATATAGTAATTTCATTTCCAATTCTTAAGAAATCTCTATCAAATCTTGTCATCTTTACATCAGCATTTACTTTAATATTACCATCCACCCAAACAACTACTATTTCATCGTTATTCATTACTTAAACATCAGGATATTATTAAATTCCTGCTGATGATTCAGTAATTCTCATTTAATCTTTCAATTAAACTCCTTATGAATTATATAATGACATGTAAATTCCAGTTCCTTCATTCTGATAAAATTATGTTGACCATACAACAACATAATCTCCGTTTGATAATGTAGACAATCTCTATCTACTTTAAGCTGGATAATAACTCATTTTAATTTCTTTATATTTTGAATCACTAAGTTAGCATTTATAATCTGATGTTACTGAATATCCAAGAACACATTATGAACATCTACCATAACTACCTGTTGCACAATTATCTGGTAATTTCTAAGAACATTTATTATTTTATAATGAATACCCTTATTTACAAATTACACATATATTTTTATTATTACAATAGAAACAATTAGTTTCACAATTATCTTAATATGATTATTATCCTTTCTTTTCAATAAAGAATATATAATTAACATTATTCATTATTCCTTAAAATACAACATATGACATCAAATTTCGTGGGTCTACATAAGTTAATATTTTTGTATTAGCTTAATATTAACTTAAAATATTTAATGGAGATGTCAACAAATCTTAAGTTGATCCATATTTTAGAAAATTTATATTTATAAAATATTGACGTAATCTTTGCAATTCTCCCTTTTCAATTTATACATAAGTTGATTATATTAATGGAGAAATATAATTAAGATTTAGATTCTTAATTTAATTATATGAGCTTACAGCAGTTCTTTTAACTGCTTATTAATTCAATTATCTATCAAACCATTAAACATTGAGATAATAATTTTACATTCCTAATTAATTAATTTCACTTTCTATCCAACCTATAACTAATCCACTACTATCAATATTGTCTGAGGAAATAGAATCAATCTAATTTGTACTCTAATATAATTGTTTGTATTTTGTAGTTGTACTATCTATTGTTAATGAATTTATAATATAATTATTCTTTAAATAGATTATTTGATATGAAGAGGTCTAGATCAATAATTAAGGATTTATTGAGATATCATCTTAATTTTCATTAATATTTTATTTTATTTAAAATCCATCATTAATATTATATATTCCAACATATGTCTAATAAACAGAATTATCATCTACTTCAGTCCAAACTATTATAAAATTGGTATTAAATATTTTGATCTGAATTTGGAATTCATTTATATTAAGTACTTTAATCATTCTTAATTCAATTGGATTTGTTATGACAAAAAAGCTACTTTGGAATAATTATATCATCATTTTACAAGAAACTTAACAATTTCCACTTAACCATATAAGTGCAAACTTTTTAGATTCATATTCATAAATTCTGTGATAAGGAATTACTTATTCTGAAGAAATTAATTATTTAATAGTAATAACACTAGATTCTAATTAATATACATTTGCATCTAAACTATGCATTTCATTTTTATAATTATAATAGGTAGTTATCATAGAATTATCATTAAAAGTCAATATTGAACCTATTCCACTACATGTTTATTGACAAATTGGTATTTCTAATTGATATTCAGTAACATTTAAGCATTTATTATCTACATATTTAAAATTATTATTGCAATAATCACATGTATAAGGCTGTGTACAATTTTAACAATTATTTGAACAAATAGGTGAACATATCAATTTTTCTTAATTAAATTGATATCCATCTAAACATTAAGTACACATAATATCAACATTGTTGGAACAATCTCCACAATGAGACATACATATTTAGTCATCAAATGGGATTTTTTATAATTTTTAATTTAATCTCATCTTATATGACTTTCTATTCTTTATAGAACTCCATGTTATATAAAAAAATTCATTTTATTGAAAATTACCATATAAATAATCTATAGATTATTCATTTGAATTTATCTAAGTTTCATCTATTATGATTCCATTTAAATCATATTATTTAACATTAATATTCATTATATTTTATTCAGAGGATTCAGCATATAATAGATAAATGTTGGAATTTGTTTTTACAACTTGTACTTTAGATAATTCATTTATTGATTCTAGAGGTTATGTGTTTAACAGTTTTCCTCTTTGATTTAAAAATTACAAATTTAATTTCTGATTGCTCATATCTTTGTACAAAACTGTAAATACTTGTTAATAATAATTATAGTTAACATAATAACTAGTAATTGTAGATTTTGTTAATTTTATTTCAACATAATCAAATAAATAAACTATTTAATCTATAGCATCTTATTCAGTATATTATATTGATATCTTATTTTAATTGATTAAATGTTCTAATCTTAAATTTTTATATCTCTTTGTTAAAACAAACACATCTCCATAATATCTCTAAGTTTCTGCCGTCATCAATCCATTTTTTATTGTAAATGTTTAAATAAATAGATATAGTGTTTAGCTACCATAGGTACTGTCATAAATTATATAAAGTTAATTATCAATCTTTAATATATCAATTAAGATATCTTAATTTAATGTTATTGATACATTATTTTACATTATCTCATATTAATTATCTAAAATAACAAATATTGCTTTTATTTATAAATTATTAATTTCATCTCTTACTAAATAACTAATAAGAATAAATTAATCTTATTTAATCAATTTAGGTTATTAGAATAATACTGTCAAATTACTATCATTTGATATTCTTCTTTCTCCTGATATTGATTATCCTTATCTATCAAATTCTTCATAAACAACCTCATTTTTAGTACCATTTCTTTTAATTGATACAATAGATACTATATCATCATTAGTTTAGAATATTGTAGGATATAAATAATCTTATTTTTATACAATATAATTTTTTTCTGTTTAGATACATTAAGATTAAGAATCCAAGAAATAATTTAATTTACATTTTAAACATTCATTCTCAACTGAACAATAATCACAATTATTAATACATTATAATTTACATTTACCATTATACAATACATAATTACTATTCTTACATTATAAACATACTCCAGTTTCTGAACATTAAAAACAAGCAGAAGAACAAGTAAATGATTTTAAATTAGTAATCTAATTAGTTTTTTTAGAGAAACCTTAAATATAAATATGAGATATTGGATTTTTTTATTAAATATTTGAAATTCCAGACCATACCATAATTATATCATTTTCACTAACCTAAATGAATGTATGATTTTATTGATATCTTGATGATTATGTAATTTAAATTTTAAAGTTTTCAGTATTATTTAAATATAATTACTTATTCAAATAAGCATCATGACCTACATACAATGAAATTTTATCAATTTAAACCATCTTTTATGAAAAGAATTCAGTTCTATCTTGATTTCTCAGATTACTAATACTTAATCTTGTGTCCAGAACCAAACACGAATAATAAGTATCATCATTTAGGAGTGTTATATAATTATCACCAATTGAATTCCTATATGATGTAATCTCCAAATTATCTTTTCCAAAATAAATTTAATAATCAGATTTAGTTTAAATACCATTTGAATCAATTTTGATAAAGAAAAGGTAATATAAATTATTTTGAATAGTAAAATAGAAAATAAAAATATTCTAATTTTTATTATTAATTATTTTAATTTGATCTCCCACCATTATTGGTGATGCTTCTGTTATCAAAGTTTCTCCTTTAATTGTTAAATCTTCTAAATTATATGAGTAATTAATTGTTTTTGTTGATCTATCAATTGAAACCCATTTAATCAATATATAAAAGATATCATCTACTAAAGAATCAGCTATATCATAATCAAGTAATGTTTATAGATCTTTTTGATTCTCTAGTATTACTTTCATTAATAATTATCCTTGGATATCTAATTTTCTAATGACCAAATATTATTGTTTATCATTTTAATAAATACTATAAATAACAATAATATTAAAATCTTTATTAATTATTTTCGCTTTACCCTTACTTTCTAATTCTCTACTTACTTTAAGTTCCATAAAATCATTCGTTGGATTTACACATAAGTTTTCTTTTGTATATTAATATCCCAATTTACATTTATCACAATAAGAAGCATCAGAACATGATAAACAATTAATAGGACATATAGGATTACATTGATTTTTAATAGTATCCAATTGATAATTTTATTTACATTCTTGACATCTAAATCTGTTATCACATTTATCACAATTTAATATACATTCATTAATTTTTAAATTCATATCTATTAATTGAACTTTCAATTCATTGTAATAATACATTGGAGTAAACCATCTTAGTAGTAATCTATTATGATCAATATAATCAATATATATGGATTATATATTTTATTTATTTTTAATCTCTATCTATCTATATTATTCTGTAATGTATTAAATATTTTGAATATTTAATAAATCAATTTATTATAATTTTATCTCCTAATAACATTTACTTACTAAAATTAATTATGAATCTGTAAACCTTACATCAATCTATTGAATTTTATCAACACTACAAAATTCTTTAGTTTAAATTGTAAATGGATTTTGAGATCCTTCAAAATATTTATCAAATCTTCTAATTATAAAGTCTAATTAAGTTGTCCATCTAAGAACAAAAAATTCATTTGTGGATAAACTATTTATTTTTACTTTCTGTTGATTATAATATTATATAGATGATGGAATTGATCTTGTAGTTAATTTACCTTCATATAATTTTGATAATATAATTTTGTTAGTATTAGATTATGCTATAGCAATAACTCCCAATTTATTTTATGCTACTGATATAAAGTCGCTATCTGGTAATATTATTTTCTCACCTTTGACTCCTGTTGTTGGATTATACAATACCATATTCCATTGTTTAGTAGGATATTCTTTTCCTTATGAATACCATTTAATTGAAAATAAATTTTAATTTAACTGACTAAGTTAAATATATTGAATTGTTTATATAATTTTTACTTCTTAAATAGTACTTCCTAAATTTAATTCTACATTCAATTCTTCAAGAGATAAACTATATTTTTTCATCAAAACATGAAGAACACTTCCTCTTTCCCTAACAAAAGCAATAAATATAGAATTATTAATAATGATTATATCTGGGCAAAAGTTACTCTCCTCTATTCCTCCTATCGTTATTTGTCTTACAACTTCATTTTTCATTATGTCTAATATCATTAATTGGACTTAGAATAACTAATCATACCCTCTTATATTTTAAGCTATTAAAAGTTATTAATCCCCTATGGGTAGAGTCCTTGCACTCCAATCAAACTCTATTCCTTTAATATCAACCTAATTGTATGTATCAATCATCAACTAGGCTAGCACAGTCTACAATAATATGTAGTATATAGTTTAAATAAGATATTTCATATTTTTAATATTTTTTTGAAAATTTTTTATTTTCTTTAAATAACATGAAATCCTATGAATTTAATGCTTAAATTTAGAAATTAAATAAAGTATTGAATTAAAAATATTCTACATTTCAATTAGCCATTAAGCTTGATTATTTATAATAATTAAATAATTTAAGTTATTTATGATATAACAATTAAAATCTCAATATTATTTGAAAATCAATTTTCTATTTGTAATTTGTAGGATTACAACTTTAATTTATAAATCAGTAAGTAAAGACATAAAATAGATTTAGAAAATAAGCTAACTTTTTTTAAAGTATTAATACATTCTTCATAACTCTATCTTTTCGAATTTATCATAACTATGAACATGTATGATATATTTTAAAATTCTTATATTTCTACTTATTACTTTTATATTTTAAAATCTATGCAAGTAATTCAACATTCTACATACAAAATGATTTTAATTAAAAGGTATATATGTAAAATTATATAATTTAAAAAAATAAAATAAAAGTTATTTTAAAATTAGAATGATGATTTGAATTAAGCAGGCATAGTTTATTTCTATATATCGAAATTGATATATGCTAAATAATTTAACTTTTTTAAATATCTTCTAATACAAATTTACCTAAATATTCAAATTTCTATTAGGATTAAAATATTAAAACTTAAAATTATTAACAGGTTCTATTTCCACTTAGTCAAATAATTAAGAATTCATTTTATGGATTATTCCTTCCTCGAATACTTCATCATATGATTCAAAAATATCATTATTATCTTCTTTTTATAATTCAATAAAAAGTGAGCTTCATAATATTTTAATTCGCATAAAAAGCTCAATCAATTTCGTAACAACCTATTCCTCAACTTTGAATTTGGGTGAAAATATTAAAATTATATATTTAACAAAGATTTTTTAAATTTAATGCTACTTTTAACATATAACATCACTCTAATAAATTATATTATTTTAAATCCAAATATAATTATTAACTATCTTATTCTAACCAATTATTTATAATTGTTTTTAAATTTAATTAAAATTAATTAATAAAATCTATTAAGCTCTAAGAATTCTATTACCTAATAGAATAATGCTATGCTTTATAAACTTAGTACATAGGATTATATTTAATTGATTAAAACAGTCTTATAGAAATAAAAAATGTCAATGGTTCTCTTAGGATAAATCGGCTCAGGTAAAACTACAATTTATAATAAAATTACAAATTCAAAAGAAGCAACGCCAGCAGGTGGGGCTTCGGTTACTAGGAGTGTTTTTATGAAAAAATCATGTTACGGGTAAGGGTTTTCCGTATTAGATACACCAGGTTTTGGATCAGATTCAAATAAAATAGATCATATTGCAGGGGTGCTTTCTGCTTTATCTGAAGGACCAATTAACAGAATTGTTATTCTAGCTAGATTTGCTAGAACTAATGTAATTTTAGAAGATGTAAAAAGAATTTTGCCTGCATTTATCAATTATAGGCATATGATCACAGTAATTGTTACATGTTGGGATTTTTGTAAAAAAAAAGAAGAGCAAGAATCAAATAAAAGAGAAATACAATAAAGGCTTGCATAATATAAAATTAATTCAGTGATGTTTGTTGGTAAAAATGACTCTTCTGAGAGTATCTGTCTTTAAATTGATCAAATTATTGCTACATCCCCAGCACAAAATGTTAGTTTAATTGAAAATGATATCTTCCAGAATTTTGAAATGACAGATTATGATGATGGAGAGATTTTTGAAATTGAGATTTTTAAAGGTAAATTAGTAACATAATACCACAATTTTTTTAATTAAGCATTAATACTTATAGAAAAACACAATATTTAAAAAGGATTATAAGCAGATTATTTCTATGCAATAACATAATTTGCCAAATAAAAAGTAGATGATGTTATGAAATAATTTGAGATGGAAAAACTAGGCACCATTGATAAATTAAGCGAAAATGAACAACTTAAGGTCATTCAAATTCATTTTTAACTTAAAAATACTATATTTAAAGATTATGAATATCTTGTTGATGCTGCCCACAAACAAACTCACAATTCACATTTCACCAAATTTATTAAAAAATGCCATCATTGTGGCGAAATTTGGTTCAAAGCAGCTGGTTGTGAAGGCGAGACAGTCTGTGGACGCCTCAATGGGAGTCATATAGATGATTTCATCAAATAGGAAGATCCTCCTCTAAAATTTAAAGTTACATACATAAATGAGAAGTTGTAAGTGAAACTTGATGAGTCTGTGAAACCAAAAGAAATAGTGTTAAATGAAAAAAATATAAAAAATTTAATGACGGACGAGACAAAAATTAAGCTAGAACAAATGACATTGAACGGTGAAACATTCAAAGTAGGTGGAGCTGGATGTAAAAGAGTAATAGAGTGGGAAAAAATGTTTCCATTGTCAGAAGAAGAAATCAATACTGTTTTAGGTATTTTAGATATTAAATTGTGTGAGAAAATGGTTGAAATTGAGAAATTAACATAATAGAAAACACTAAACTAATAAATATAATATAAGGAGGAACTAGATAAGAAAATAAAAGAATAATAAACAAAAATCTAAAGAGCAACATGAAATTAATAATATATTATAATATTTTTAATAGAATTATTTTAATTTTATATTTTCATTCTGTTTCTTGAAAAACATTAATATTTTTATCATGAAAATAATTATAATTGGTGAATATTTTGAATAATCCTAGAAAATGTAATACATTTTAGACAATATTGAAAATTGTGAAATACATTTTACTAATATGGAAAAGGATTTATTATATTAAATTGAAACAATTTAAAAAAGTTAGAGAAGTAGCATAACGAACATAATATATGAAATTAAGAAATCAAATAACTAATTATAAGATACTGTTATATCTCAACTTAAAAAAGCTAGAAGATTTTATCAGTTCATATTTTTAATAAGCAATGATCAAATTTAAGAAGAAGCCAATAAAATTAAGAATTAGATAAATAGATATGTAAATGTTTAAATATACAATCTTGTTGATTATTTCAAACAAAATTATGGTTATGATAAAAATATAGACTTGAATGGTAAGCAAATTGCATTATTTATCAGTAAAGAATAGGATATTAAAAATTTAATATTTAATACTGTTAAATCCCCTGCTATATTACAAAACAAATGGGCTTTAATGAATACTCCATAATTTAATATGAATTAAGATGTTGAAGAAAGAAATGAAATGATTAGCGAATTTTAGTAAATTTTTAAAAAATACTAATACCAAATATCTATTTTGTTTATAATTGTAGATTTAGAAAGAAATGATATAGTAAAACAAAATTTTATGGATTTATTTACTTAATTACAAAAATTTAACTAAAAAATTATAGTGTTATTATATAATCGTTTTGATGAAAAGTTTGAAAACAATCCAACCCTAAATAATTTTTTTTTTAATTTAGCTAAAGTTAGAAAAGTTTATTCACTTTCAAACAATTAACTTTAAAGTTAAGAATAAATTAATGAATATTTTAATAAGATTTTGGAAGAACAACAAGAGGATCTAGAAATAGGTATTGATATGAAAGACACTCTTTTTGAAATAAGAGATGAAAGATAATCTGAGATTGATAGATAATCTTTTGAATAAGATTTCTATAAAAATAAGGTAAAACAACTAAAATAAGGTATTTATTAAGATGAATAATAAATTAATTTGTACCAAGAAAAGATTGCAGAGCTTCAAAGATCAAGAAAAGACAAATTAAATTAAATAAGAGAGTTAGATAGAGAAATATAATAACAGTAAAAGTGTATTGATAGCATTTAAAAGGATACTTCCATCTAATCACAAAATTCAAGGGAATTCAAACCTCCATAACAACAAGGTTCTTAAATAAAAAATTAGAATTAAATGATAATTGATAATAAAAGTTCTTAAATGATATAATTAGAAATTTAAAACCTCTAAAGAGAGAATATATAGTTAAATGAGTAATTATAGGAATATTTAAGCAAATAAGAGAATATACATAAAAGTAAAAATGGAAGGAAATCGCAAGATTAAGAAAGATAATTAACATAATAAATAGAAGACTTATTGAAGAAAATAGAAGAAAATGATTGTAAGACTAAGGAATACAACAATTAATTAGAATAGCTATAATAGGATTTTAAGAAAGATAATTAGAAATTTGAATAACCCAATAATGGATACAATCGACATAATAATTATCCAAATTAGATATCTAAGGTTTTCTAGTATAATAATAGATCTGGATGGAGTTGAATTAAATTCTTCATATAATACATAACTCCTTAAAACGATAATATATTATTTTTTATAGCTATCAAATTTAAAAGGAAATTAATTTTATCGATACTAACGCTTATAAATTTAAACATCTTATATTTATTAAAAGTTCAATTTTTATATATTAAATTAAATATATTGAAAATTTATCACAAAAAGCTTTCTATTTATTAAATTATTCATACTATAATTCCATAAATAATAATTGAATGTTTCCAACTTTAATACATAATGTAAATAAGAATTTTCAATTCTCATTGTTATTATTCTTCACCAAATTTTTCAAATAAATTCAAATTCATCTATGTTTTGTAATATTTCAATTATTAAAGGAAATTTGTCATTTATATAGGTCCTCTATTTAAAATATCAAACTTTACAATTTTCATAGTCCTATTCTAATTATTATTTAAGATTTAGAGAATATTAAATTTCAAATAAAGTTGTTCCTCCTATTCGCTATGTTCCAAGACCAAAATCTACATTTATAATATCAACAGTTAAATTGATTAATATGTTGACTTATTCTTGTTTAGTTTAGAACTAAGTAATAGGTATCTTAACTTATATAAAACATGGATGATTAATATAGTGAGTTAGCATTTGATTGTGTCGAAAATAGTTTAAAGATTCTCGACAATTTTAAAAATTAAACATTATTATCATAGAAATTGAATTAATTGAATTAGAAAATATGGTGTTTCAATTCCCTTTTTAATGAATTATATAAAATGTCAATCAAAACAATAGTATCTTTAATAAAGAATTTTAGATTATAAATTCCTAGATGTTATGGTTATAAAAAAAGATAAGGTGTTTATTTATTTTAAAATAGACATAAGCATTATCAACTATCTTAAACTTGGATGGAACCTTGAAAATTGGCGTGGGCTAGCCAAATATACAGTTTAAGAAAGAGAATACTTTTATATTTATTTAAATATTTATGAGGAAATGTAAAGTTGCATAGATATAGATTTTTAAATAATCATCTCTAGACTCTAATTAAATAATATTTATTGAATTTTAAATTATACATATTGATCCATCTACAATAAACATTTATGTAGGTAAGAGAGAATCTTAGAAAATCATGCAGAATACTTCAATCTCAAGATGCCATAATCTATAAAATAACAAAACCTTGTGGATATAAAAAATGATAAAATTATTCCATCTTGATTTATATCTATCTATTTTATGATCACGTTATTAATTATAATATGACAATTAATTTTATCAATAAATTATATAATGTAACATACCAATAATAAAGCAAAATAATCCTACTCTTTCTCTAAAGCTAAACGTTTTTCATAAACAAACACAAAGTAATCATATGTATTAACTAGAATAGTTATACTACAGCTAACTACAATATTAATAGAAGTATAAATAATAGAGCTCATTCAATTGGTAAAGGTCCTCGATCAGATTTTACTAAATCTTTTAGTAATGCCCCTCCTCCAACCTAATATATTATCTCTAGTCTCTTTGATATTCCTAAAGAGAAAGGAATAACATTCGGGATTTCAAGAGAAGTTTTAAAAATTAATTATTATTTCATATTAGAAAACCAAAGAATTAGGATATATTACTTAAGGAATTTAAAGAAATCCAGGAGTTGGCAATTATAATTGTTCCTATTATTTTGACCCAAAAATATAATATACTATGAGGCCAAAAACATAATCTAATTGGCTACCAAGTAATTTTCTAATAAAGAATTAGAATTCTTATAGGAGTAAAGTTTAGATTGTAATCCTGGCCCAGGGAAATATGATTCGACAGATATTGATTAAATGGGTTAGACTATTTATTCTCGATATAGAAGTTCTAGATGCTATAAAATAGGTAAACAAGAACGATTTGAAAAAATAAGTAGTTAAGTAAATTATTTAGGATAGATTAGTCCAGGCCCAAATACATATAAATAAACAGATGTTTTAAATGATTCTGGCTTATATTATGAATCAAAACATCGAGGATAAGGAAAACGGATTATATGTAAAGAACCAAGACGAAGTTTTATTGATTTAATCTATTAAAAGAGTACTAATGATTAAAGATAATTAAAAAAATCTAATAGAACTTTAGATTCTCAAGTCAAGTTATATGAATCGGAATTTTGATTTTAGATAGTTATTTTATATTATTCAATATAATGGTATTTTCATTGAATTTGGGATTCCAAACTCAGTTTTTTTTAAATAAAATTATTAGTTAAAATATATTTTTAACTAATAATTTTAAAGTTATTTAAATAATTTACTCTTTTTTATTTCCGAATTTGATGAATTTAATCCAGTTGATAAATATTATCATTTTATATTTATTAGATATAAAATAATCGAGCAATACAATAAATTATTTTTCTTTCTTGTCAGTTACTTTACTTTTAATCAAATATGTCTTTTATTAATGTCGAAAAGTTTACTTTTTTATTATTTAAATAAATTTATTCTCTAAGGATACATATTTTCTCTTTTTAATCTTTTTTAGAAATTCTTATATTCTGTTCAAGTAACCCTCTCAAATTAATCAAAAATACCTAGCAAAATCATTAATAAAAAATCAAATATAAAATTAAGAAATGTAAAATAAATTTATTTTTTGAATAATGTATCAACTCCTATATTTATTTTTAATCATTTCGCAATTCTTATTTCATCAAGCATTTTTTAATAACCTTATTTCTTAATAAAGCTTAATTCCTGTTCTGCAATTTTTCTTAGCCAAAGCACATTCGAACTAGCTCCTTAATCTTTCAATAGGATTAAGTTGTGGACTGTAAGAATGAAGAAATAAATGCTCTATAAATTCAAGGATATTTTTTTATTAATTACTCTTTATTAAAAGATGCATTATCCATTATAAAATAATTCTTACAGCATCTACATTAAATTTAAAACATTGATATATTAATAGTTCCCTTCCAATCGCCCCAATAATATTTATCCTTTAAGTTAATTTTGTTCGGTCTACTTTAAGACTTTATTTTTGAGGTTACCGAATCTTCAGAAATGGATTCTCTTTTCCAATTCCTGTCTCATCTATATAAACAGGAATTCAACTTTCTTTTTATAATAAAAAATAAAATCATAATAATAAATTGATAAAAATTTAATCTATCAATTTTTCAGATTTTGTATATTTCTCTAAAATTCATATAGATTTTATTTATCAATGATATAATTAAATTTGATATAATTCATTTTCAATTTTTATACTGCATTCCATGTAAAGTAATTTACCTTAAAAACTCTTCATTGTTATTATTAATCTGTGAACATAAATAATTTGCATATTTTTCATCAAAACTTCGATTGCAATAATTCATAAAGTACAACTTTACATTTTAATCAATATTGTTCTAAAATTGATTTCTCATTTTTAGATTCTCTTCACAGTTTTTATATTTTTACCATAAATTAGTATTTTTTGAGGCAAGATGATTATAGGATCTTGTTCCTATTCCAATAGCGCTAAAATTGTAATTAATTATTTTTATATATAAATAAATTTTTTTATCTTTTCCTCTTCATATCAACAAATTTTTCTTAATTTTTATCAGAAAGATATGTAATTGTAACAATTTTCTAACAATTTTTCATATTATTACAAGACATATATGGGGAGTTTTAAATAAAACCATTCCCGGGTTTAACCAATCAAGAAATTAGGTAAAGTCTTAGGTGATCCCAAGCTCTTAGCTTTTGCTAAGACTCTAATCTTATTCATTTTTTACCTAAAATTAACATCTTCATTTACATGTATAAGGAACATGGATAATTCATTCAGAATTGAAAAATTCTAGATAATGGTTAAATCTATCAGCATAAGCTATTATCTTAACTTAAGATAATTACATATTTTTTAATCATCTTCTTTTCCCATTTATCTCCTAAAACAAGCTTTTTTTCTTTAGCATGCTAAGGAATATTCTCAATTAAATATTTAAATGAATATAAAAAAGGAATGTTCCCATTAGAGATCCTTAATAAACTCCAAACTTAAAATTGCCTTTTCTTTCATTAACTGGGTCATAGATATATAAAGAGTCATAAAATCTTTAAACCAAGGTCTAATTCTCTTAGTAAAAAATATTTAAAGTATCTTTCCTAACTTCTCAAAATTTCAAATAATATAAATCAATATCATAGGCATTGAAAAGATCGAAGAATATAACTGAGTTTTATTACTTAACTTTTTTAGAATTATACTTATATTTATACTATTCTATCATTTAAAAAATATGGTACTAAGAAGTCATACCATTCACAAATCTTATTTAGGATGTTAAGGAAGGTATAAAACATGCATCTATTAATATAATTAAATGGCTCTAAATCATAAGAAGTCTAAATTCATCAATCGAGGGTAGATTTGGATATGGCTTATTTAATGGCGCTAGCAAAATGGAGAATATAAATTCAATTATAAAATTACATCAAAATTTTAATGAAAATATCATTAATTTTAGAGGGAAAGTTTGTAAGGTATTTTTATTCAAGCAGGTCAATTATTATGATTTTTTATTAAATTAGAATAATACATATCACAAAATAAATATCCATAATGCAAACTGGAAAATCGAAATCAAATTCCACCTTTAAAAATTTTTCTTTTAAATTCAAATCAATTATCATATTTCTGTTCTTTGCCTTTTTTGAATCCTTCCTCCGTTTTCTCACCATCTCTCTTCGTTTCCATACATACATCAAATTTTGTAAAATATTTATTTTGTAAATTGTTAATCCAAAAAAAAATTTCCAATGATTGGAATTTTAAACTCAAAAATTCATTACATATGCATCACATGCTTCATTATATGATATATCACTGTAGGTCTGAATTAGTATGATATTTTATAAATTTTAATTTTATATTCTTTCAAATGTTTTCCATTTTTTTTTAACAAAAGAAGTCATATCACTAACTTTATGTTTATCGTGTTTCCAAAAAACACATCTTTCAGATTTATCAATACCCTCCCCCTCCCTTTGCTTTTTTTTATAATTTTGCTTTTTTCGATTAATTTTGTGAAGAATAGGTTTCTTTTTTTGCAAATGTATTTGACTTTTAGTTACTTGTATGAATTTATTTATTTATATTAAATTAACTAAGTTTTTCAATAACTTCATCCTTTAAGCACATAAATATATAGAAAATAATAATAAGACACACTTTGAATTTTTTTAATAAACAAAACTTTTTGTTAGAGTGGATAAACCAAGCATCTAATACATCAACGGGTAATAGCAGCACTCTATCATTAGCTATCATTAGTAGATAAGGCATGCATTAGCTTTGAAAAATAAGAAATTGACAATATATATATTTTTTGAAAATTTATTAACAAATCCCCTAATTCTATTAGGCTAATAGAAGCTCTTTTTTACAAATTTTATGCATTTAGCCTTAAATTATTTTTTAATAAAATGGCAATCGTACTAATAGGGCCAATTAGCTCAGGGAAAACCACACTCTATAACAAAATTACACTGTCATAAGAAACAAAAAATATGGGTGGAAATGCAGTCACTATGAGTTTATTCATGAAAAAATCATGTTTTGGTTCTGGTTTTTCAGTATTAGATACGAAAGGATTCGGATAAAATTCGAAAAAAATAGATCATATTGCTAGAGTTCTTTCAGCCATATCAGAAGGGCCCATTCATAGAATTTTTATCACTACTAAATATGCGACAACCAACTCAATTGTCTAAGATCTAGAAAAAATTCTAACTACATTTATGAAATATAGAATTTTGGTCACAGTAATAATCACATTTTGGGATTTATGTGAATAAAAAGAATTAGAAAAAAATAAATAAGATATTTAATAAAGACTTGCATAATTTAAAATTAATTCCATTATGTTTGTTGGAAAGAATGACACCCCTGAGAGTATTTGTAGTAGGATTGATTCCATTATTGCGAATTCTAAAGCATAAAATTAAGTTTTAACTCTTAAGCATTTCTAACAGAATTTTGATATATTAGAGTATGATGATGATGAAATACATCAAATTGAAGTATTAAAACTTGAATTAATAAGAAATTATAATAGGTTTTTTTAATAGGCAACATAAAAAATACAAAACAACAATATTTCAAAAGAATTAATAGTAGATTATTTTTATGCAATAACTTAGTTTGCAAAAGATTTTTTCTAATAGACAATAAAAAAGTTTGAGGTTGATATATAACAAATAATAGAAAAATTGGGAGAGTTAGAATAATTTAAGGCTTGTGAAATTCATTTCTAACTTAAGAATACAATATTTTAATAGTACGAATAAATTGTTTAACTTGCCCACCAAAAAACTCACAATGGAAAAAATTTCTCTTAATATATAAGAAAATGCTATCATTGCGGATAAATTTGGTTCAAAGCAGATGGATGCGAAGGCAATACAGTCTGTGGAAGCCTGAATGAGAACCATCAAGATTATTTCCTCTAAGAGGAAGAGGCTCCTAGAATATTCAAAGTTACATATTTAAAGGAGAATTTGGAAGTCTTTCTTGATAATTCTTTGAAACAAAATGATGTAGTTTTAGATGAAAAAAAGAAACAAAATCAAATTATAGATGAAAAATTCAAATTAGGTGGAGTTGGATGTAAAAAAATAATTAATTGGAATGAAATGAAACCATTGACAGAAGAAGAAATGAATGTAATTTTAGGTATTTTGGATATTCAATTGTGCGAAAAAATGGCATATAAAAATGACCTTGATTTGAAATTATTAGAGTAGAAAACAAATATAAAAAAAACAGCATGATATTTAATAATATTTTTAATAGAATTATTTCAATATGTATATAGATTGTCTCTTTAAAGCTAATTGTTTTTATCATGAATATTATTGTTTTGAAAAAGTTTCAATAATCCAAAAAGCTATAATATTAATTAAAGTTGATTAAACTAAGGAACAAGCCATAATAAAAATTAATTAAATGAATGTTTAAATATTTAAATTTTTTAATATTTAATATTCTAGATTATTTCTAAAAAAAATTATGTTTATGAAATATCTGTAAACTTGAATAGAAAGCAAGATAATATGTTTTTTTGTAAAGAATAAGATTTCAAAATTAAAATATGTTTAACTGTTAAATCACCTGCAATATTAATTTTCAACTAAGTTTTACTGAAGACTCCACAATTTAATCTGAATTAAAATATAGAAAAATAATGAGATGATCGATAAATTTCATAAATTTTCAAAAGAGACTCCAATTACATATCTCTTTTTTTTATAGTTATAGAAGGAAAGACATGACATTTGTAAAACAAAATTTTTAGATTTATTTATTAGATTAAAAAGTTTAAGTAAAGAATTATATATTAATAGATATAGTTTCGATTTAGGAAATTCAAATTTCAAATAATTTTTTATTGATTACTAAAATTAGAAAAATTTATTCACTTTCAAACAGTCAACTTTAGACTTAAAAACAAATTGATGAATATATATATA